ACCCAGCAGGAAGAAAAATTAAAAAACTCAACCTCACACCCCGCTATCTTGCCCCTAATCACTCTAAGTTCACATCAGCCTCACATTACTTAAAGAGATAAAAACACTGTTGTCAAATGTGTAGTAGCATTGAGAATAAACTAGGAGGTTTTGTGAAGAGAAGATGAGAGTTGTTGATGCCTAAAATTGGTTCAACAGAAGATGACCTCTTCGAGATCGAGGTCGAGCAATTCTTCTAGACAAGGTTAGCGTGACCAACCAAGTCGTCCTCCAGAACCTGTAAAACAAGTTAGCCTCAGTGGGTGACACCGGTGTGGTGCTGGCCAAGGACCCTCCGATGCTTAAGTCAGTCGAGTGTTTGAGAGTAAAATCGCACAATAGGTTCTAGTGCTCAGAATTGCATACCTTTTACGGAGGATGGCTTTAGCCTTTTATATCATCCTAGATGACCTAATCCTTCTCGGAGTGGGACCCTAGAGCAAACTAGCTCTCCTCGAACTAGGACTCCAGAACAACCTAATCCTCCTCGGACTAGGACTGCATTTAGATTGGCGTCTTGGTGATCCCGAAACATCCCAACTTCTTTGGGATTAGAAGTCCTTCGAGTGAACACCGTGTAAATCAAACTCATGTGCACTGAGGCTGAGCTCAAATGGGCCCCCAAGTCCACACGGGTCAGGGTGGAAAAATGTATGGCGACCAAGCTCGAGCCCAACTTGACCAATAACACCGTGGTGTAGCCTAGCTCGACCTAGAGGTATTTTACCTCACAAACATAAGTCCCCCAAGTCCCCAGACAAGAGAGTTTTGTGTGGGGAGTTGTACTTTAATAATTTGGCCGAGCTAGCAATATTAAATTACAAAATAATTTTTTAATATTTCCCATGTCTCAAATCGGCACCAGGAGTCCCCCAAGTTTCCACAAAAACGAGCTTGGTTAGTGGCGGGGAGAATAAGAATTTAGCATGAAAGATAATAATAAAACCTGATGCTTGCCTCTCTCGCGTTAACTACCATGTGGCTGCATGCGTACATTTATTTGAGTTTGAATTGTACAGATGATATTTGATTTCAGACTTGTGTGTCTTTGAGAATAACAAAAAATGATGGTTTGAAAATATCTCATGGTAAGGATGCCACTTGGCAAGTTTGCATTGGTGGGGAGCTAAAAAATTGAGCTTTCCAAGACAGCCCCATTTTGAAATGAGAATAACCCCAAAAGCGGGGTCAGACCACAAAAACGTACAGCAAAAAGTGAGAACATATTAGCCCCCAACCTAATTGTTATTTGGAGAAGAAAGGAATAGGAGAGGTCTGAAATCTGATACTAGCAACGCCACCACATCCATGGGGGTAAGATCTCATCACAATCCTATTTTTTATTTTCTGCTACCACCATTTCTGAACTGAACATATCAGCTCCCATTTTTTATTTTTGTGAAGAGAGATCCATACTTTCCTGTTTATCTTTTTATCTAGACCCACGCGTGTCTTCTTGCTGCTTTATTGTTGGTTCTTGGTGGAGGCCATATATTAATTGATGTTTAACAATGTCTGGGACCTCATGTCTGCTGTTTGTAGGAAATTAGTGTGCTTTTATATATATAATATACAATATATATATTTTTGTGTCTATATGAGCTATGTCGGTGAGTGCTCTTATAAGAAAGGAATTTTGGGGGGGGGGGTATCAACTTCCATCTGGGACCTCATGTCTATTTGTAGGAAATAGGTTTGCTTATATATATATATTTGTATATATTATGTGATAAAGTGTATGCACATGGTCTATGCTTGTTGAAATGTGTTCTTTGTTGCTGCTTGAAAACCCACGGCCAATATACCCACAGGTTTGGCATGTTGGTGTGCAACCCACATATATGAGAGAATCAGTACTCAAATGGGTAGCTGTGATAATGAAAACACAAGGAAGAAGTCCCCATGCATACGAAAACATGGAGAACTTTATGATAATCGCTGATTGCCTTTCTTTGTTCTCAATATGTCTGTTGAAGTAAACATAAACCAAATAGTTCACTACCTTGTGATACTAGGAGGCCATGTGTCTTGATATGCTGAAAAAAGTTTGGGGTTTGTCCCTCTTTATGTGACTATGTCATGGAATTAGTCTTTGGGACCAGGCTTTGTTCTTTATTTTTCTTCCTTGGAACCCTTTGTACTTTAGATTGTTGACATAGTGCTGTTGTGCTGTTGAGATCTTGGTATCTCCTGTTCCTTTTTGTTTTTTTGTTTTTTTTGGGTGTGGGTATGACCCAAAATATGTGGATGTGAGTTGCTGTGCCGCTGCCCTGTGCTTTATTTGAACCCCTATACGCCTTGTTGCAAAAAACCAGGTGAAAAAATAGAATTTCTAGATAGGCATAATATATGCTGCTGAATTGTTTGTCCCGTCATCAGTTTTGTCATGTTGGTGTGTCCGTATAATTGACTGAATGATATGTTTATTGGTGCAGGTAGACACAAGCAAGGGGTAGGAGAGCTCATGATCAAGATCTACCGTCGAGGTCAGAACCTAAAAGAGAAGAACCTCGCCACCTGAGTCGGGTAAATCCCCATTCTAGAACACGACCTAGTGTATGCGGCGTGCCACGTAGATGTATGAGTCAGGTAGTTCACGATTTGGGATGGAGGATTGGGAAAGAGATTGGGATCCCAGAGACGAGAGTGAAGGGGGTGATGAGGATGAAGAGGCTGAGCTAGTAGGAGGAGATGGCGGTCTTGTTGATGATGAGGTAGATATGGAAGACGAGGTGGTAGCAGAGAGAATAGTTCAATATAGCATTGATATGGTAAAAATGAGATGACCGAAGGTGCGCTTAAGCATTTGAGGTTGGAGTATGGGATCCCAAACACCATAAAGTCGAGGTTGCCCAGGAAGGATGAGAAGGCAAGTCAGCCCCCAAATGGCTCTGTCTTGATACATCCAGGGTTCTTTAAGTGTGGGTTCAGGTTGCCCCTCCACCCGTATGTCCATAAATTCCTTAGAACCTTAGGGTTGGCTCCCATGCAAATCAACCCGAATGTCTATATAGCCTGGTTGAGCATGTATGTGGTATGGAAGCAACTAGGGCTTGGTGAGCCTTCCTTTGCTCAGTTTGTAAACCAATATTGTCTGAAGAAGCATCCAGGTAGCACAAGGTGGCGGTATGTCTGTGCTTTCATTAATATAGGAGGTGCCTTGATAACAAATAACCCTTCAAAGAAAGCTTGGAAAAACAAGTATTTCTTTGCCTTAGGGAATTGGGAGTTTAGAAAGGGTGATGTGGGCTCTGGTGCTCGAGTTCAGACTTGCTTCCGTCGAGCAGGTGGGTACTTGCATGTCATGTAGGTCAGCATGTTTTTATCCAGTGCACCTTTGTATCATTGGTTGACGATCTAATACACGGTGTATACATGGTTTTGCAGATAGGTGGGCCAGACCTTCCATTCGAGGTTGGAAGTTGGAGCAGATCATGAGAGTCCGAGTTGAGAGGAGCAGCATCGAGAGGTCGGGCAAGAGGTTGACCACTCCTTCCATACTTGTAGAGTTCGAGCTCACATCCCCCAAGAACCAAGGTAAGGTTCTTCGTATATACTTTCCTTATTGTAATTTAATTTGATAATCTAAACCTGGTGTATATTGTAGGAAGTATGTCACCAGAGAAGAGAGTGAGGAACCCGGGTTCTAGGCTCATTGAGTCCTTGAGGAAAGCTCTTGAGGAATAGAGAAAAGCATAGCAAAGAAAGGGCGGTGGTGGAGGCAAGGTTTGCCAACCTACCATTCTCATGGATGGTCCCTGGTCCCCTTCGCATCATCCCTCCTAGCACACCTTCTTCGTGACCAACCTGTTCACCCGTTTTGTGTTTGTTCCTGTGATGGTAGGGTAAAGTTCTCCATTGCCTTGAAAATCATTGACTGGTCAACAAGTCAACTTTCTTTAGTGTGCGAGCGTGCCACTGCTAGCAATGAAAATCCTAGCAAACATCTTAAAAATATATAACTTGCACCCCAAGTTTCTAATTTCTAATCAAGCGATTGTGAATTTGGGTGAGGAATATCTCCCAAGTAAGTTCTTTTCTTGCCTTAAACTGGTGAGGACTTCACAATTTATCTCAGTAAAAGATTGGTAATTCTGGCCAGAATGAATGATAATAAAGTGGATTGTTTTAGACAGAACTGCCTTTTACAAAACTTAAGAAGAAAAAATCAACTCTAGAAAAGCAAAAAGAGGGCCGGAACTCCGTTTCTGCTAGATAGAAGCTTCTGATCCAAGCTGGACTGAGTATGTCCATGCTAGACTGAACTGTCAACAACCTCAACTGTTAAGCTTCAATTGTAAATCGATACCAAAGCTTGATTTTTGCAGAGCTTTAATCTATTTCAAGCCCTGGAAGACTTTTTGAACAGGCAGAACTGCAACTTCTTTAGTCTGAACGGGGCAGAAGTGGCTAGACTTAAGGATTACTGAGCTGGAACTGTGCTACGGTACCTATTCTGCTTGGTTAGGGCTGTTCATGAATTTGTTGAGGTTTTCATATTTGTGAAAACTCAAACTCTGCTTGTCTTTACTTTTGCTGAACCAAATTTGTAACGAGAGAAGTCTCGTTTTGAATGACTTATTTCTCTAAGTCTGAACTTGGAATTTCTCATCTACAGCTGGCTTCTTTTGTGGCTCAAATGAGCTTTTGGTTGCTCTAGTTTGTTTTGAAGGTTCTCAGTGATCAAGTGATCATTTTGAGTTTTTGCCTTTGGTTGGTTTTTGATTGTTTGATTGATTGATTGAGTGTCTTTTGCCCTGTTCACCCTCTCCTATATTTATAAGAAGTGCTTTTGGAGTAGGGTTTCTTTCTTTTAATAATAGGCGGCAAAATTTCTTAAAAGATCTTTCATTTTTAAAATGTAAAGAAGAAGGGGTTCTATCAATTCTGGCAGATAAGCTCTCAATAGTCAGTTCCTATGTCAATCACTTCCCTTTTTTTTGAAAGAGAACCTAATCCTTCTTTAATTCCAATTGCTCCTTGTGAGAGCTCAAACCGTGATGGTTAGTTTGATTTTTCAGTTTTGATCAACTCCCTGTCCTTCTGCTTATCTCTGTTTGAGAACATAGTTTGCTTATCTCTTTGGAAGAACCACCCACTTTCAAGTAAAAACATTATTTCCAAATATATAAAAGGGATTGGATCTTTTGGTGGCAGAGATTCAGAGAAGTCTTCTTCTAGCCGCCTGCTTTTGTTAACCCCAGTTGAAAATATTGACTTTTCTAAGTCAGAAACATCACGTAGGTCTGTTCTTGTTTTGGGTTTCTTCTTTTAATCATGGCAAGCCCAAATTCGAGTTTGGAGCATGGGTTGATTTCTTTTTTTCTTCGTTTTTCCGAGGCCCAAGTTTTATTATTTATGTTTTAGACAGATCCTGGGCTGGGCCTCCTCTGGGCCTCCTTTGGATTTGGGCTTTTGTTCCTATTCGCAAAGTCTGGATGTGAGCCTTGTTCCCTTTTGCTTTTTAGTGTTGGGCTGGGTGCGCAAGAGTTTTGGCCCAAATAATGCCCCCTCGAATTTGAATCATTTAAAAACGTTTCTTTTTCTTTAACTTCCAATGGTTCATATTCGAATCAATTGGCCATTACTATGGCGTGCCACCTTCTTCCGTTTCTACTAACCCACGTCTGCCACGTTCCTTGAGCTAGAGTTCGTGGGGAAACTGGGTAATTATTAGCTAGTTACCAGCGAATATTTGACAGATGACGTCTTGCCTTCTTCCCCCACATTTCTGAGTTTAAAAAGAAATTCAAACCCAAAGTTCCTGTTCACTTGAAAAACCTAGCTTTTCAGACATTGCTCTTTTCAGTCTTCTGCGAAGTTTCTACCCTTCCCTGTGCTCAAACCCTGCCTTCCGTATTACTTCCTTTTGCTCCAACTCGAGACACTTAAAAAAAATGTCTTCTCCAAGAACTCGTGCCCAAGGTTCGTCTTCCTTAGTTCCTCCCGATTATATCACTGGAACTGGGGTTGACAATCATGCGATAGAGGTTAGGAGCAAGCTCCATCCTTTTGCCAAGAAAAACCTGGATGAAAATGTCCTCCATGTTTTCGAGAATACCCTAGTCTTGGGCCCTCACTGGTTCGGTTCTGTCCCTAGTGGAATGGCAGAACTGTTCAAGAATGACACTGAAGCTCCCCTATGCTTTGAAAGCTCTTCAGCCCTAGCTTCCCACACTTGGGTCAGCAAGAACCTAAGCCGTTCGTTCCCATCCAGTGAGGTGAGGAACAGCTCAGTCAAGTGGGCATACTGGATTGATAGACTTGTCTCCCGCTATGGAGCTCATTGGAAGCGGGCTGGTATTTATGACGCCATCCTTCTGTCCAAGCAATCCATCAATAGGGATGAGAATCTGCTTGCAGCTGCTTTGTGTTTCTGGAATTCTGCCAGCAACACGTTCGATTTTCGTATAGGCCCGATGGCTCCAACTCTACTGGACATGGCTCAAATTTTCGGGTTCAGGTCCCATGGCAGACCTGTGGATGCAGTGGGTGATTATCATAGCAAAAAAAACCAAGAGAAGTTAGCCAAGCCATTCATTATTTCTCCAGCCACCATCAACCAGAACTGCTCATTTTCCAATTACTTGAGGAAATTTAGTGCCGAAAAGGACAAGGATCAGCAACATATGTTATTTCTCCTGTTATGGCTGAATAGGTTCATTTTTCCAAATCGTTCCTCAGCAATTCTGCTCGAGTACAGGCACCTGGCAGAAGCCCTACACAATCACACTAACGTTGGACCTGGGCCCACAATTCTGGCTCACTTGTTCACGAACCTGCACACTGCTACCCTAGAGAATCCCTTGAACCTATCTGCTCCTGGTGCGTTCTGGATGATCCAGATCTAGCTGCAGGTTTACTTCCCTAAACTGAGGTTTTTGGAAATAGTTCTGCCTGAAGACCAAGTTTTGGCTCATCCTTTGATGTCTGCAGAAGTGCCGGAGCGCTCCATCGAAGAGTACCTGATGTTCTTCAGGCATTGCACAAAAAGATCTGCTGCTCAATGGCAGGTGGTGATGAGAAGAACATATCCTTGGTTCCAGCCTGAATTCAAATTGTTTGAGAAAGAACCAGAGGAAGAAGCGGCCAAAATTGACTTCAGGAATAAATTCCTAAGTGTGACCCTTCCAAGAGACCTGCCCTAAGGAGATGGAAAGCCTCCCAATTATCATTTTGGGGTAGAAGTTTATCACCCCAACTTTTGTGCAAGACAGCTTGTCTGCCCTCAGCTTATTCCACTCAAATCATACAGAAGTTGCAATTGGGCCACTTCTTGGAGGGACCTGGATGACTTGGAGGTGCACAAAGACACCAGGTGTGCAGTAAACAAGATCAACAATAGTGCACATGCTCTATATCCAGCCTGGGAGCCTGATTCCTATACTTTTGCCGAGTTTGACGCTTGGTAGAAAGCCAGGTTTCAGGGTCTGCTTGCTTCCAGTACTGCACTCAAGGTGCTTTTTGATGGCTGGGACTCCTGGGTTGTTCATGCAGAGGAGAAGACTCATAAATTCATGGTGCAGACCATCAAGGCCATTAATGCTCAAGTCATAGAAGGTAGACCCTGAATTCTATCTGTGATTTTATCCGTTATGTCTGTGATGTGTTCTAACATGTTGTTCTGCCTGCAATAGATCCTTCTTTGACAAGGACCATAGGTGGTCAGTCCGTCCAAGCTGGAGAAGTGATTGGTAAGTTTTCCTTAATTTATTTTGTTTATTTTTCCTGCTTGGATTGGCTTCTGACCTGTCTTTTTCCTGCGTAGTTACTTCTATCATTGCTGCTGGGGATTTGGAGCTTCCCTCTGGAAATGAGGAAGATGAAACCCTGGCAGAACAAACTCCTATTGAGGCTACTCCTTCTGCCAAAAGGAAGAGAAAAGAAATTGCTCTTGTTCAGGACAGTGTCGTCCTGCCTGACATTTCTGGTAAGATTATGACATTTCCAACTATTTTCCTTGAATCTGTTTTATTTTGCTCATTCTTCTAACCTTCATTTTGTGCAGCTGAAAGTCCTCCTCCTCCTACTAGGTCAAAAAGACTTAGGAAGAAGACTGGTGTTGAACTTGATGAGTCAAAAGAGCCTGTAGCTATTCCAACCGAGACTTCTGGAATTGATGATGAGCTGCGAGAGGCTTTCGAAGCTGTTGAGCAGGAGAAAAAAGAAAAATAAAAAGAAGTTCCTGTGAAAGCAAAAGAAAAGGAAAAAGAGTTCGAGGAAGTGAGTTTCTATGTCGGCCGTGTGACTATTCCCATCTGCTTTCCTTCTAACCTTCTAACCTCTGACTTGTGTTTATTTTAAGGAGGAAATTCATGCCGAGGTAATAGCAGAAAGCATTGCCTTGGCCAAACAACAAGAAAAAGCTCAGAGGGTAGAATCCACAAGTTCACAGTTGGCTTTATTTGATGACCTGGAGGCAGAAAATTCTGATGCTGTCCCAGAGCTCAAGGTAGAGGCAGAACAACTTGTTGTGGCTCCTGTTCCCGTGGTAACTAGTTTTTCTGCCTTGTCTTCTCTGTTTTGTTTATCTTGACATTTTTCTAACCTGTTATTGCCTTTCCAGGTAGCAGAGAACAGAACTGCTGGGGTCCTAGCTGTGATGACCAGTCCTCTTAGGCTTCCTATTGTAGCTGTGAGCATTTTGTACCCTAGTCTTTCTTTCCTTTCTTATTCTGACTCTTTTTGAAAGACTGACTTTGAGTTTGTTTTGCAAATGCCCATCCACTCCCTTCTAGGTTCATCCACCACGGCCTCCTTTGCTGATCTAGAATTGCTACAGTTTGAAGCTATGGACCTAGATGCTCAGTTGGACAAGCTGGAAAAACTTAGCTCCAGTCCAGGCAAGGCAAAGTCCAAGGTAGTGGAGGAGGCCATGGAGAGACTGAAGATCTGGCAATCTACTGAGCTGGAGCTGGATGAGGATAGGGAAGCCATTGATCAATTAATGAAGGACTTGGACCTCCTGCATAGGCAGAACATGGCTCCCAAGCCCATACTTGAGATTAGCCTTGGCTTGGCAAGAGATGTGCTCAACCTCCACTACCGAGCTGAGTTCTGTAAAGCCACTCACGAAGCCAACTTGGTTGATTATGCAAAACAGAAGGCAAAATTGGATCGGATGGTTGCAGGGTATAAGGAAGCTAAGGCCACTGCAGGCAAGCTGGAGAAACAGATTGAAGAGCTTCAAAAGTAGCTTGCAGAATTCAGGGAGGTGTAGAGTAGGCTTGGGGCTGGACTGAGCTCCAAAACCAGGGCTACCTTCCTCGTGCAGAGCATGGTTTCAGCTTCCAGGCTAGCTTTGGAGATTACAGAGGCTTCAATCCATCATGGGGTGCTGCTTCAAAAGGAACTCTCTATCAAGAAGGCCGCTTGCAAGAAACCCTTAGAAAATTAGGGTTTTAATTTTAAACTATGAAAATGTAATAAACTTTAGTCATGGAAAATGACTAATATTTAATATTTAATAAAAGTTATTTATTTGTCGCAATTTTCGGATTTTCAATTTCCTTTGATGAAATAACATAGAGTAAAAACAAAAGGGAAATAAACTTTAACAAATCAGACAAAAATAAATTATGAACAAAACTTTTAAACAAACAGTTTCAATCTTCTTTCTTCTCTATCCCAGGATTTGTTTGTGCAGCCTATGAATCCCACATGGTTGGGTAGAATTTTTTCAACCATTTGTCATTGATTGGTGCAGCATGAAAATCACCATCTCGATCCTATAATCTATATGCCCCCATTCCAAGGATTTGCTTAATTATGAAGGACCTTCCCATGTAGGTGACCACTTTCCATAACCTGCTATATGTGTTCCAAGCGGCAGAACTGCTTTCCAGACTATTTCTCCTTCTCAAAACTCTTGTTTCTAACTCTTTTGTTGTAGGCCCTTGATACAGCCTGCTTTCCTGCTAAGAGTTTGTTTAGGGTATCAATCCTACTTGTATCCAACCCTTCCAGTTCTAGTAGTATGGCTTGAGAGTAATCCTCTCCAACCAAATTCTGTTAATGAGCAATTCTGAGATACTGGACTGCTATCTCCATGGGCAGAATTGCATCATGGCCATAGGTTAAAGCTTATGGGGTCATGCCAGTTGCCTTTCTCTTTGAAGTTCTATATGCCCACAAAGTCTTTGACAATTTCTCATGCCACTGCTTTGGATTTTTCTCAAGCATTTTCTTGATAATGTTGATGATAACCTTGTTACTTGATTCTACCTGCCCATTGGCTTGAGCATAATAAGGAGTGGATTGAAGCAGCTTGAATTTGAACGCTTCTGCCATATCTAGCATCTCTCCAGATATGAAAGAAGATCCCCTGTCAGTTGTGATTGATTCTGGAATGCAAAACCTTTGTATGATATGCTTTTCTATGAAGGTGATAATTTCTTGAGATGTAGTGGATTTAACAAGCTTGGCTTCCACCCATTTGGTGAAATAGTCTGTAGCTACAATGATAAAACAGTGTTGCTTGCTACTGGCTGGATAGATCTTGCCAATGAGATCCATTGCCCATCCTCTGAATGGCCATGGTTTGACTACTGGATTCATGGGAACTAAAGGAGCTTGCTGGATTGGGCCGTGCCTTTGACAAGCCTCACATCCCTTGTAATAGTCAATGCAATCTTTCATCATGGTTGGCCAGAAGGAGCCATACCTTCTAATTAACCAGCACATTTTCCTTCCACCTTGATGAGCTCCACAGATTCCTTCATGGGTTTCTCCCATGACCTTCATGTATTCTTGCTTTCCAAGGCACCTCAGAAGTACCTCGTCCTTGCTTTTTCGAACCAAATATCCATTCCACATAAGGTAGTTTAAAGCCATGATTCTGACTCTTTTCTCAGAAGGCAAGATTGGATATTGCAAGTAATTTATGATAGGATTTCTCTAATCATCTTTAGTAATTATGGCAGAATTAACATCTATCTCCATTCCTCTGGTCAGAACAGATGGTAGACTCTTATTTCCTACCTTGATGATCCTTTGCACACAGTCTTCAGGTATTTGTATACCTGTTGCTACCTGAGCCAATTCATTGGCTGCAAAGTTTTCTTCTCTTGGGATATGTTCCCAAGTAGCTTCTCTGAATTCTGTCAAAAGGTTTCTGGCTGCCACTAAATAGACAGCTAAAGAAGGACTCAGACATTTATATTCTCCAGCAATCTGTTTCAACACAAGCATAGAATCTCCCAGGATTTCCACAGATTGGATTCCCAATTCCACTAGTATTTCAAGTCCTATGATTAAAGCTTCATATTATGGCCTATTGTTGGTGCACTGGAAATCTAACTGGAAAGAATAACAGTGTCTGATCCCCAGTGGTTCTTCTAAAACAATCCCTGCTCCAGAGGCTATGTTCATCTTTGACCCATCAAAGTACAGTTTCCAAGGTGTGAGGTGAACTGAATAGATGGGATTGTTGAGGCAAGTATGGGCTCTAGTCAGCAGATCTGCATTTGCTATATCCAAAGAGTCCATGTTTTCAATCTCTTCTCTTGGATGATCTGCTAGGAAATCTGCTACAGCTTGTCATTTGACAGCTTTTTGGGGAACATATCTGAAAGCAAATTCTGTTAAAGCAAGGGTCCACTTTCCAATTCTGCCCCTCAGCATTGGACTTGTTAGCATGTATTTGATCAGGTCTATCTTGGCAATGATGTAGATGGTGAATGGCAACATGTAGTGCCTGAGTTTCACAGCAGTGAAGTATAAGGCTAAAGAAAGCCTTTCAATCACAGAATATTTCCTTTCTACTTCTGTCAGAGTTCTACTCAGGTAGTAGACTGCATGTTCCTTCCCTTCCTTGTTATCTTGAACCAACAAACTCCCAATGGACATTTCTGATGCAGAAATATAGAGTTTGAGTCGTCTTCCTCTCTTTGGTGGGGACAGAACTGGTGGATTTGAGAGGTAGTTTTTGATCTCCTCAAAAGCTTGTTGGTGCTGTTCTTCCCATTTAAACGTTTGTTCTTGCTTCAACCTTAGTAAGGAGGAGAAAGGTTGAATTTTTCCTGCAGAATTGGATATGAATCTCGTTAGAAAATTTATTTTTCCTAGGAGACTCTGTAGTTTTTTCTTGTTCCAGGGTGGTAGAGCTTCTATGATAGATTTTGCTTTATTTTTGTCGACCTCTATGCCCCTTTGGTGGACCAAGAAACCCAAGAAATTTCCTGCCAGAACTCCAAAGACACACTTTTTGGTATTCATTTTCAACTTATGTTGTCTCATTCTTAGGAATGCCTTTCTCATATTTGATACATGATCTTTCTTCTCTGGGGATTTAATCACCACATCATCTATATATACTTCTAGAGAATGCCCTATCATATCATGGAAAATACAATTCATTGCTCTTTGATAGGTGGCTCTTGCATTTCTTAAGCCAAAAGGCATTACAGTATATTCAAAAGCACCTATATGCCCTGGGCACATGAAGGTTGTCTTGTGGATGTCTTCTTCTACCACCATGATCTGATTATATCCCGTATTGCCATCCATAAAAGATAGCATTTGGTTATAGGCAGCTCCATCTACTAGCATATCTGCCATTGGCATAGAATATTCATCCTTGGGAGATGCTTCATTTAGATTCCTGTAATCCACGCAGATTCTAACTACCCCTGTTTTTCTTTTCAAAACTAGTACAATATTGGCTAGCCAATCAGCATAAATGGCTGGTATGATGAATCCTGCTTTGAGCAATCTTTCTATTTCTTCCTTGACCTTCAGTTCTGTGTCCATAGACATCCTTCTTCTAGCCTGTTTGACTGGAAGGTAACCTTCTTTAATTGGCAACTTGTGTTCCACCAGCTTTCTGTCTAATCCAGGCATCTCATGATAATGCCAAGCAAAACAGTCTTTAAAATCATGCAAAAGTGCAATGATTTTAGTCTTCAGTGGTTCTTCCAACAATGCACTAACGAAAGTGGGTCTAGGATCCTCTTCTGTCCCTAAGTTTATTTCCTGCAGTGGATCTTCTACTTCTGGTAAAGAATCATCTAGTGTTGCTGGTGCAAAATCTAGTACTTCCTCTTGCAAACTCTCTTCCTGCTCTTCAGTGCTCTCATGGGTGAATTTTGCCATATTGATGGCTGGATCTTGCATAAAGAGCTTCCTTTCTTCCCAATATATCAACAATCTTTTTGTAATGCATCGGATTGTTGCAGCTTGATCCTTTTCTTGTTGATTGGGACTAAACATCAAAGTTCTGGAGGTTTAGAACAAAAGATCTATTCCAGTCCTCTAGAGAACTGGCTAATCCATCTTCAATGAGTCTCTAGGCCGTAACACCATGGGGGCGGCCATTCTAGTTGACTCCAACGAAGGTGAAAGGACCAAGGTCATCATGATAATACCTTGCTTCAAAACACATGGCAGAGGGCACAAATGGTCGTGAATCGGCCTGTACTATCTCCATGTTTCCTTCTTCATTCCAAAGGGTTAATTGTTGATGTAGAGTGGAAGGAACACATAAGCTCTGGTGAATCCAGTCCCTGCCAAGCAATGCATTGTAAGTGGTAGAAGTGGTATCTACCACAAAGAATGCAATCTTCAACTCTTTGGTTCCAACTACGACATCCACATCCAGGATTCCATGAGTCTTGGTGATGCCCCTAATGAAATTGGTGATAGTTAAATGTGTTGGAATTAAATCCTTCTCTGTTCTGCCCATCTTGCTTAGCAATCTGTGAGGTAAAAGATTAATGGTTGCACCTCCATCTACCATGACTTTGGGAATAGGAATACCCCCAAAGTTTGTTGTTATGAACAAAGGTCTGAGGTGATTGGCCATCTCCTTGGTTGGTTTGGCCAAGCAAAGTTGTTCTGCAACCAGTTTCATGGCAGTTCCACCTATCTTGGCAGTAGGTGTTTGCTGTTCTGGTGCCTCTTCTACCTCTGCCAACCTGCACTCAAAGCTTTCCTGGGATAAAACATCTCCCTCCAGAGTATTTTCTTGCCCTTCTGCTGCCCTAAATTCTTCTTACAAGATGAAGACCATGTTGATGCCTAGATCACCCTACAACAAGCTCTCCAATTCTGCACCAAAAGCCTCAGTTTCTTCATCTAGTTGTCCATCATACTCCATCTGCTCTTCTCCATATTCTTCTGTCCAGTCTCCCTATTCTCCTGTCTCGAGGAGTCCGTTCTGGTCATCTGCAGATGGTTCATAGTCCAACTACTCATCTTCATACTTTTCAGTCTAGTCTTCTTGTTCTTCTACTCGAATAGGTTCTGATTCACCTTGTGCTTGTGAAGGCTGAAGTTGATTGACTAAGGATGAGGCAAGATGGATAGAGGGCCTGCTTGGAGACTCTGCTTTTACTAGCTTTTGTTGCTGGCTGGTTGTTCCCTTCTCTGGCAGAACTAGTCTCTGGATAGAGGGCCTGGTTGTTCCCTTCTATCTGAGGGAGTACTTCCGGATTCTTCCCTTCTCTGGCAGAACTAGTCTCTGGAAGTACCTGTGTATCACCCTTGTTCTTGAGGAAGGTGCAATATTGCCTTTGAACCATTCTCTTCTGAGTCCTAGTCAATTCCAAAGTTGGTCTACCACTTTTTCCACAGAATACCATATGCCTTCCATGATAGTTGCCAAGGGCTTTTCATTCCCGGGCATCTTAATTGGTATTTTTTTCTTGGGTTGCTCTATCTTTCTTCTGCTGTACTTAGCAGGCCTCAGATAATCCTTCTGTCTGGTTCTGTCTTTAGATAGAGCCGGAGCAGGGGCTCGTTGGTATGATGTTCCAATCCTGTCAAAAACACTAGGTGTGGGCTGATTTTGCTTATCCATAATTACTTCTAGGTCAGTTTCACACTTGCACTTGCTGTAAAGCACTACCCAAGCCGAGATGGTAGCCTTTGGCCTTTGACTAGTCTCCCTCATAACTCTTCTGTCTCTGCTGGAGCTTCTGTCGTTGGTTTGCCTATCTTCTGTTCTGGTCAATTTAGGTTGACCATGTTGACTTGCGACTGGGGAAAGTGGTCTATTGTAACTGATGGAGGTTTCTCTGCCAGTTTTAACCCTCCTGTTGTTATTCCTTCCTCTATGACATCCCTAAAAACAACACAACTATTGGTAGAATGGTTCCAAGAGTTGTGCCACCTACAATATTGTCTGCCCTTGAGTTCTTCTAGCTTGGGCAACCTGTGGGGTGTCTCTATTGCCTTCTGTAGCAACATCTCATCAAACAAAGCATCCACCTTGGTCAGATCAAAGGAATAGACCTTGTTTTGTGCTGGTTTGTTTGGAACAAACCCTCCTATGAATGGTGGCGGCTTTTGATAGTTTGGTGGCTTTGTAAGAGCCTTGCAGCTGATGAGATGTTTCAATTTTGCCATCTCTGCTACTGCAATTTCTCTTTCCTCCAAGCCTTCTGTATCTTCTCCTGATTCTACCTCAACTAGATGGACTGAAGAATAAGGAGTCTTGTAGTATGTGCCTTTGGAAGAATTCCTCTTCTGTTGTTCTTCCATAAGCATCTCCTCATATTTAGATGCTTTATCTGCCAGTTCTGCCAGGTCTCCGAATAGCAACCCATCAAATTTTTTCCTCGGATAGATTTTAAGGGCGGCTTGAGCCATCTGAATGAAGTGCCTTTCTTCCATAGGGATCCAGCATTTCATTTTGAGTTTTCTGAACCTGGTTATGAAGTCTTGAGTAGGTTCATCTTCACTCTGCTTGAGGGCAGCAAGATCACTGATTGTAACTTATGGCTAGATCCTAAAATAGTAGTCATGGAAAACATTTTCCATCTAATCCCAAGTTTGAACGGAATTGGCTGGTAGACTGGTGTACCAGGTGAAAGCTTGTCCAGAGAGAGAATTTCCAAAAAGCCTTAGCTTTAACAGAGGGTTATTTTCTATGGCTATGCACTGGACAGAGAACCTGCCTATACGCTCAACTGATGAAGCATGGTGATCTTCTCCATTGAGCAAGGTGAAGTTTGGCACCTTGAAACCCGGGGATAGAGGTATTTGATCAATATAAGTCGGATAAGGCTTTCTGTAGGTGGGCCTCTCTCCTTTTCTGGCTTCAGGCTCCATCACCTCCCTGATCATTCTCTGTAGTGCCCCCATGTCATTTAAAGCATTGACAGGGTGTAGATTTCGTCCATGTTCTGGCTGGATGTGGTCAACCCTATGCTCCATTCTGTATGGCCTGGGCAGAACTTCCTCCCTGTGTTCTTCCAATTCTTCAAAATCCAGATGATTCCTCTAGTTTGCCCCCGGTCTATTTCTGTCATTGTTGGCAAAAGGGTTGATTCCCCCTCTGCCTCTTCTGCCTCTTGCTGGTGGAGGGAATGGATTGGGATCCATCCTTATAGGTCTGTAAGACAACACAGCTGGTGCGTCAAGCAGAAGTGCCAGGTGCTGATCACGTAGGGCCACAGGTTGTGGAATAGGTGGAGGTTCTGGCTGATTTTGTTGGGCCTGAATTGGTGCAGGGCCATCTGGCCGAATTGGACCCTCCTGCTCTTGGATGGGAAGGGCTCCTCCCCTCTGTCCAGCTTGGATCTCTCCATGCCCTGGTATTCCAGCTATTTGCGCAACGAGGGGATTCTCCTAATATGGTCATGCCAATCCTGGTGGAGAACCATAAGGGAGGTCTAGCTGCTGGACCACAACATCCGGGTTTGGAATTCTGGCCATAGCAGCTTCACAGTCCTTCCTGAACTGCCTGTTAACTTGCCATTGCATCATGCCTATCATGTTATTCAAAGTGTCCTGATTCCTTTGTGCTGCAGCCTCCTGTCGAAACACAACTTCCTGTAATTGGTTTAACCTCCAGGAGCCAACGCTAGAGGGTCTGTTGGCTGTGCAAATCTCACGGCCTGGTGCTCCGGGCCGAGGGGATGTGCGTCAACACGTGACGTCCTTCTTTTGGATGCGGTGCGATTGTGCGCGGGCGTCCCAGCACGGTCTACCGTGCATCGAGATGGTGATGAGGCTCGGGTAGAAGATGGTTAAGTGATGCGCCTGTTGTGTGTTCAACTCCAAATCAAACGATTATGGCTGAGAAAGGAACTGATCTCAGCCGTCAGGTTCACGGCCTGAGCTACAAGGCCGTTTTAGTGGTGGTGTTGGTGGCGGGTTTTAGGCGGTGCTCCGGCGCGTTGCTCAAAGAGCGACGGTCGTATGATATATGGGGTGAGTGAGATGATAACAGAGATGGTGCTCCGGCGCCTTGAAAATCAAGGGTCGTATGATATATTGATGAATGGATTTTCCTTACAATCTACCACTACTCCTAGGAAAGCAAATAAAGGTATTGAAAGTGCATTACAGGAAAATATAATTTGCTCCGTGGGAGGCTTTTGGTTTGGTGTTTGAACCCTTTGAATGTAGTCTTGAGCTTAGTATTTATAGGAGGAGTCCTGGAGGGACAATCGAGGCTAAAAAGACCTGCATGGTGGAGCCTGATCAGGGCAAGTGGGTAGTCAAATCGGCATTTGGGATCGTGAAGCATGGTGGTGTGACCCCCATAAATCTTGGTAAATCTCGGCCACCGCCCTGATCGTGGGTTTCTGCCCCCTTGGTTGTGGGAACGCATTTAATGCCCTGGTCTGGTGGTTGGTGATCTGACCTCAAGTTGTAAGATCACTTGTGAGAATGTCTGCGCCTAACCACTCTGATTTCCATCACCAAATCCTGACTTCAGTCACTTCCCTTCTTCCCTTGTGCATTAAATGCTTCTTGCGACAAGTGGGTTTGCTGCGATAGTCAGAGGCATTACTTCATTAAATGGGGCATGGGACCTTGAGGCCACATGTCGATTTAACCATAGTATTTTCGGCCGTGTCTTTTACGGCCTTCGGCTTCGGCCTACAATACTGCGGTCGCGAGGCCGAGAGGATTCTGCCTTTGCAGCTTTTCTTTTGTTTTCAGGAAGGCGAAATGCCTAACGAAACGATAGGTGCCAGGACCGAGAGGAAGTGATTGACAGTTGGCGCCTTAAATGCGTAGGTCGGATGGTGCATTTAATGCGCAAGCACGTCTTTGCAGGCCATTATTGTACAAGCCGTCGTTTCGTCTCATTAAATGAAACGACAGCTACTGGGCTTCCGCCATGTCATCGCGCACTCAAACGCACTGTCAGACCGTTACGTCTCTCGCGAGAGCCATGCCCTTTTGTTTCGAATTCTAGCGCCAATATAAAAGCCTGTCCTTCTTCATTTTTCTTCACTCTTTCCCCTTCCATTCTAACCTGCCCCCCCCCCCCCCCCCCCCCCCCCCCCCCCCAGCTTCTCCAAAACCGGGGTTGAGCCATATCCGCGGATCCTCGCGTCGTGGCCTGATCCAGATGGTTTTTCCCCGCCTGCTGTCCACCAACTATCCTTCATCTTGGAAAGTCAACGTGGGCCAAGGCCATGGTATGGCCGAGATTCCTTCCCGGCCCTGGGGGAGGATGACCCTCCTCCTTATGAGGCCATGGAGAAACTGTCATGTGATTGATGAAGATGGGAGGGCCTGGTATGATGATTCCAACTTGGCCACGCTCGTTTGGCTTAGCACCTCGGTTGCACCCATTGCCGGAGTGACGGTCCTGGCTTCACCTAGCCACAGTTGTGCCCAAAATGACGACCCTGGCCATGGTCGGAGTGACGGCCTTGATTGCAACCCAATTTCACCCATGTCCAGAGTGACTGCCTCGGCCGTGGTCGGAATGACAGCCCTGACTTTAGCTAGCTGCACCTGTGTCCTCAGTGACGGCCTCGGCCATGGCCTGAGTGACGGCCTTGGCTTCAACCCGGCCGCACCCATGTCCAGAGTGACGGCCTTGCCCATGGCCGTGGTCAGTGAAGATGTGGGCGGTGGAGGCACCGCCTAGGGAAGAATCATCTGGCTGCTCTAGCGAGGGGATTAAGAAGCGGTCGTTCATAGATTTAGAATGTACTCTATTTTTCGCACTTGTATGTTTATATGTTTCATTCGGCCATGACCGGCCGTTCATTTTGTAACCGCGACCCTTTTCTTTTAATCTAAATGAAGTATAACCCCCTTTTTTCTTCTGATCAAATGTATGTTTTTCTTTCATCTTTGTCGTGTTGTAAACCTTATAACCCATTCTTGGCCGTCTCCCATAATGACGGGGTATATTTCTTCAAATACTAGCCGTTTATGGGCAAGTTGTGCCATTCTCCATCCCTATCTCTCAACTGAAATGCACCTCGGCCAAGAATTCATTCGATAATAAACGGCCCTTCCCAATTGGGCGAGAATTTGCTGAACCGAGGGTCCTTAGTCCCGATAGGAAGCACGGCACGCCATCCCAAGTCATCTTCGGCGAAAGTCTTTTGCTTCACCTTCCTGTTGTAGGCCCTCGCCGCGATATGCTTTTGTGCTTGCACTAGGTTATAAGGATCGAGTCTGGATTGCTCCAAATCTTATAACTCCTGAGCCATGGCTTGCGCATAGCCCTTCTCTTCCTGCCCAGGTCGTTCGGTCACACGGAGAGACTGAACCTTTAACTCCATCGGAATGATGGCGTCATGGCCGTAGGTTAAGGCATAAGGAGATGTGCCAGTAGCCGATCATTTTGAGACTCGGTAAGCCCAAAGGGCTTCAGGGAGTAAGTCGTGCCACGCCCTAGGTTTTTCCTCAATCATTTTCTTGAGGATGCCCTTGATTACCTTGTTGCTCACCTCGGCCTGTCTGTTAGACTGTGGGTAGTAGGGTGTCGAGTGGACCAATTTGATCCCTATCCTTTCGGCGTATTCTCGAGTCTCAGCTGATGCGAAACTGGGCCGTTATCGGACCATGATGGTTTCGGGTATACCGAATCTGTGGACGATGTGATTTTCAATGAATCTGACCACAGGTGTGCTAGAAATGGACCGATAGGACTCCGCCTCGACCCATTTAGTGAAATAGTCAGTTGCCACCAAAATCCAGGCATGCTGGTTGGACGTGGCTGGGTAGATTTTGCCGATGATATCCACGGCCCATCCTGTGAACGGCCATGGTCTAGTAACCGGGTGGACGGCGTCAGCTGGTACCCTTTGTATGGGGCCGTAGATTTGACACTTGATGCACCCTTTCGCATATTCTATGCAGTTCTTTAAAACCGTCGGCCAATAATAGCCGTGCCTCCGGACCAACCATCTCATCTTGACGCCAGACTGGTGAGCGCCGCAAATCCCTTTGTGGGATTCTACCATGATAACCTTAATATCTTTGGCGTTGGGGCATAGGAGCAATAAGCCGTCTGATCCTTTTCGGTACAACTCGTTCTGATAAATCAAATAACACCGAGCTCGGAAACGATTAGTCCTTTCATGGTTGCTGGAGGGATCGCGTAGATACTTTACTATGGGGTAACGCCAGTCGGTTTCGGCCGCTTCAACCTCGTCGGTAATTTCGGCTGATGATACTTGCGTGGTCATTCCTCGCTCAGCCAAAGCCGGCAGGGTACGCTTCTCGATTCTTATCATGCGGTTGTGGTCACTGTCCGGAATGTTCACACCTGACGCTACCTGGGCCATCTCATTGGCCTCATGGTTTTTGACGTGCGGCACGTGAACGAAGGAGATCCTAGAAAACTCGTCGGCCGTATTGAGGGCCGTTACATAATACATGGTTAAATTCTCGCTCGTGCACTGGTATTCCCCGGTCAGTTGGTTAATTACCAACTGAGAATCACCGTAGACCAGGACACGGGTCGCTTTCATTTCTTTTAGAATTTCAAGACCGATGATGAGTGCTTCATATTCAGCCTGATTATTGGTGCATTTGAAATCAAGCTGGAACGCAAATTACTGGAGCCACCTTTGTCCTTGGGGGGATTCGATCACGACCCCCGCCCCAGATCTAGTCTCGGTACTGGAGCCATCGAAGTACATGGTCCAGTAGTTCTTCTCCATGCAGGGCATGCCGATCTTGACCTCCAACTCCTCTTCTTGCCCCTGAGCCGGGTGGTGGGCCAAGAAATCGGCCAATGCCTGACCTTTGACCGACTTCTAAGCCACATACTGGAAGGTGAATTCGGACAATGCCATCGTCCACTTCCCGATCAAGCCGCGTATGATCGGCCGAGTGAGCATGTATTTGATGAGGTCGGTCTTGGAGATGATCTGAACGACCGAAGGAAGCATATAATGGCGCAACTTGGTGGCCACGAAATAAAGTGCCAAGCATAATTTCTCGATCGATGAATAGTTTAGCTCGGCCATGTTAAGGGTGCGGCTCAGATAGTGCACTGCTTGTTCTCGCTCAGACTCGTTCTGAGCCAGCAGACAACCGATAGAGCCATCTGAAGCCGAAATGCAAAGCCTCAAGGGTTTCCCTCTTTTCGGCAGCATAAGGACCGGTGGTTGAGATAAATATTGCTTGATGTCGTCGAGGGCCGCTTGATGTTTTGCCCCTCACACGAACCGTTCCGTGTCTTTCAGTTTGAGCAAAGGAGTCAACAGTCGGATTTTTCCTGCCAAATTGGATATGAACCGTCTTAAAAAGTTCACATTACCGAGGAAGGACTGGAGTTCCTTCTTGGTCCTTGGCGGAGGTGTTGCCATAATGGTCGTGGCTTTATTTTTATCTACCTCGATCCCTCGTTGGTGAACCAAGAAACCGAGAAAGTTCCCGGCGGTGACGCCGTGTGCCCGCATGCGATTGAAAGCCTGTCGGAGATGCCCCACGTGGTTGGCTTTGGATGGGGATTTTACAACAACGTCGTCGATGTAGACTTCAACGGTTCGGCCAATTAGGTCGTGGAAAATAAGGTTCATAGCTCGTTGGTACGTTGCGCCAGCGTTCTTCAGGCCGAATGGCATGACTACCTATTCATAAGTCCCGGTTGCGCCTGGACATCTGAACGTCGTTTTGTGGAAATCTTCCTCGGCTATGAAGATCTGGTTGTAACCAGCGTGGCCGTCCATGAAAGACAGGAGCTCTTGCTTTGCGGCTCCGTCCACCAGGAGGTCGGACATAGGCATGGGATACTCGTCCTTGGGGTTCACGAGGTTTAGATTTCTGTAGTCGGTGCAAACCCTCAAAGCCCCAGTCTTTTTCAAAACTGGTACAATGTTAGCCAACCACTCAACGTATCGAGCCGTGCGGATGAAGCCTGCTTTAAGGAGCCGTTCAATTTCCTCTTTGACCTTAAGCTGTACTTCGGTCGAGAATCGCCTCGGCGACTGTTGGAAAGGCCTAAACCCCTCCCTAATCTTTAGCTCGTGCTCGACCAAACTTCTTGGCAATCCAGGCATCTCATGATAATCCCAAGCAAAACAATCCTTATATTCATGGAGCAGGCCGATAATCTCGGCTACTAATTCAGGGTTCAAAAGCTGGCTTACAAAAAGAGGTCGTGGTTCGAGCTCGGTCCCTACATTTATTTCTAATAACGGGTCCTGGACCTCGGGGTAGTCATCCTCCATCTCGGTAGGCGCCGTTTCCAAGTCGTCAAAGGCTAAAGTGTCCTCCTCATCTGATTCGTGGAGGAATTCGATTAGGTTGATCGGCGAGTTTGGCTGTAAGGATTCCTTTGCCCAATGTTCCAGTAGTCTTTCCAGCAGGTCGGTCACGGCCGCCCCTCCCTCCTCTTTAGTGGCTTTGTCTGTCATCTAAAGGCCAGTGAGGTCGATCAATACTTCGCGCGCTGGATCCTATCGAACATTCTCGGCGCCTAACTCCAGTATTTTCTGGGCCGTTGTCCTGGTTGGTCGGCCACTTGCATCGTGGCCGGTGAGGACAACCCATCCAATGTTGTCGTCGTAAATCCGTGCTTGCACGGCATTGGTTTCGAAGGGTTTTTTGTCGGCCAGGTGTATGGATACCCTCTGGCCGTCCTAGAAGAACAACAGTTGGAAGAGGGAGGACGGTATGCATCCGGACTGATGGATCCAGTCACGACCGAGCAATATATTGTAGTCCATGCTGGATTCGACTACGTAGAAGGCCGCGACTCTTGTCTGGTCGGCCACAGTGATTTTTAACAGCAATACCCCGATGGTCTTAGATTTATCGCCGACAAAGCTGCTCATGACCACGTCTCTGGGGATGAGGTCCTCCTTTGACTTATCCAGCTTCTTCATCAGGGAATAGGGAAGGATGTTGACCGTCGCCCCACAGTCAACGAAGACTTTGGACACGGGCACACCCTCTACATAAGCCGAGATGTACAACGGCTTGAGGTGTCGGTATTTGTTTGGCTCGTCTCTGGGTATTACCTCGTTAAAAGCCACGGCCAACAACTCTTCCTTTGTTTTTGGCCTTTGATGAAGCTGCTCCTCGACCACGTCATTATCCAGGCCGTTGGTCTGGCGTCTTGGGGTTGAAAACTCGGACGGTAGCACCAAGACCATGTTCATGCTGGTTTCCCCCACCAGCTTCCTTGTTGACCTCACAACCGCCACTGGCGAGGGTTTTTTCCTCATATTCCTCATTGGAGATTCCCAACGTGGAGTCGTCCTCAGCCTCGTGTCTAGAGAAAAGGTCGCCGGGGCCCTCGACCATAGGCCTTGCAGTCCTAGGGGTATCGTCTGTGGACACTTTGATCTTAGGGGGGTCCGAGGCCTCGGCCTCCTCCTTGAGGGCTTGTCTAGTCTTAGCCAACGCATCCCTGGCCGTTAAGTAGTCATCCAGACGGCTTACCCGGGCCCTTTCCTCAGTCGTCAGACCAAAGACAATGTCGGCCGGAGTCACAGTAAAATATCGACGGAGGTATTCTAAATCGCTTATGCTAAAAGGGGCCTTGGCCTCCAATCTTCCTTGCTCGGGTCGGTAACCTGGCGTCCCTCTTGCCCTGGCCTCTCAGTTTGCCTGGTATACGGCCTTAATGGCCTAGTCAGATCCGCCAGTAATGAGGAGCCTCTTTGCCTCAGCGTTTTTAAGAGCCAACTCCACAATTTCACGATTCTCAGGGGTTATGCCGTATAGGTCGATGGCCGAGTGGTCCTTATGAAATTCCATGAGAAAGGACAAACTGTTGGCCGAAAAAGGGGGGTCCCTTCTATGGTAGACGTCGATGATACCCTCATCCGTTTTGTCCAGGGCCGCGGCCTTTGGCTCCACCGAAACGGCCGTCATTCCGCGGGGATAACTGTCCTGCCTAGGGCGCCACGTCCTTGGAGGCTTGATGCTGGCAGCCTTCGCTGTAGGGGGAACGATTGGCACGGATGGTGGCTTGTCTGCAGTCGCCATCTTATTTTGGCGTTTTAATCCCTCGACTTGGGCCGTCTGTATCCTGGCCTGCTGAACTTGTCTCTGCATCCCTCTCAGCTGGGTTTTTGTCAACGGTTCGGTGCTGCCCCCAGGTTGTGCATGATACCAACGGTCATCCCATACGACCGGTGGTTTGAAAGTCTTCACCGGCCTAGGAGCGGCTTCGTCTTTGTGGCCCGCCGAGGTACTAGGGCTTTGTGCCCCTAGTCGGTCGAAAACAACTCTTCTTGTTGGCCGACGATTGTACTGGCCGTCGAATTCTTCATAGTCGGTTGAGATGGCTCGGCGGCCTTCCTTTTGTTCTTTGGCAGTCTGAGCTGACCGATCTCATACTTGCACCGACTGCACAGTACCAGCTCTGGTTCGGCCAATGGCTCCTTTCCTTTTGCAGGCCGACGAACTTCCCTATATTCGGCCCAGAGTTGAGCGTTGACCATATTGATGACAGGTGGAGGGAATGGCTTGGAGTCGACCTGCATGGCCGTCTTTTCTGGGAATTGGAGCTTCTTTTCGTCTATCAACTTATGGATGACGTCTCGTAGAACAACGCAGTTGTTGGTGTTGTGAGACCAAGAACTGTGGTATTTGCAAAACGTCTTTCCTTTGAGCTCTTCGGGTTTCGGAATTTTATGGCCAAAGGACAATTTGACCTTTTTCTTGGTCAACAGTAAGTCAAAGATAGCTTCGGCCCTGGTCAAATCAAAAGTGTAGGCCTTCGTTTCTCGAGTCGCGAACTTGGCGTCGGGAATCTTTGTGCGATTATTGTCGGCCTTGACAAGTCCTTTGCAGACGAATGGCTTGTCTATGCTGACTTCGATACAGCTCATCTCAACTTTGTCACTCTCGGCCTCAGTGGGGCCGTCTGCTTCGGCATAGCTGACAACGGGATTCCGATAGTAAGTCCCTTTTGAAGCCGTTCTCTTTTTCACCTCTTCTTTCAACAAGGATGCATATCGGTCCACCTTGTTGATCAAGTCATGCATGTCCTGGAATTCAATTCCCTTGAATTTCTTCCGGTATTCGAATTCCAATCCTTCTTCGGCCATCTTGACAAATTCCCTCTCCGGTAGGTTCGTGTGGCACCAGTTCCTGCACGTTTTGAACCGCTGCAGGTAGTCGCGAGGTGATTCGTCTGACGCCTGGCTCATCCTTGCCAGCTCGGCGATCGTTATTTCTCGATTGGTCTGATAGAAATGTTCGTGGAATATCCTTTCCATGTCAGACCAATCCGTCACCGAATTCGGTGGAAGGTTTATAAACCACGAGAACGCCGCGCCGGTCAGAGAGTGAACGAATAAACGGAGCCTCTGGGCGTCCGAATCGGCCTCTTCACACTGGGCCGTGAAGCGGCCTATGTGTTCAATGGAGGAGGTCTGCCCATCCCCGGAGAATAGAATGAATTCTGGAAACCAATAGTTCCGAGGAAGAGGGGTTCGGTCAATTTCTGGCGAGTACGGTTTGGTATACTTTGGCCCTTCCGAGCTCCTCTGATGATTCCTCTAGTTTGCCTGTGCCCTAGTTTCCACCATGAGTTTTTGACAAGCCTCCAGATGATTCCTCTAGTTTGCCCCCGGTCTATTTCTGTCATTGTTGGCAAAAGGGTTGATTCCCCCTTTGCCTCTTCTGCCTCTTGTTGGTGGAGGGAATCCATTGGGATCCATCCTTCTAGGTCTGTAAGACAACACAGCTGGTGCGTCAGGCAGAAGTGCCAGATGCTGATCACGTAGGGCCATAGGTTGTGGAATAGGTGGAGGTTCTGGCTGATTTTGTTGGGCCTGAATTGGTGCAGGGCCATTTGGCCGAATTGGACCCTCCTGCTTTTGGATGGGAAGGGCTCCTCCCCTTTGTCCAGCTTGGATCTCTCCATGCCTTGGTATTCCAGCTATTTGCGCAATGAGGGGATTCTCCTAATATGGCCATGCCAATCCTGGTGGAGAACCATAAGGGAGGTCTAGCTGCTGGACCACAACATTCGGGTTTGGAATTCTGGCCATAGCAGCTTCACAGTCCTTTCTGAACTGCCTGTTAACTTGCCATTGCATCATGCCTGTCATGTTATTCAAAGTGTCCTGACTCCTTTGTGCTGCAGCCTCCTGTCGAAACACAACTTCCTGTAATTGGTTTAACCACCAGGAGCCCGCACTAGAGCGTCTGTTGGCTGTCTAAATCTCACGGCCTGGTGCTCCGGGCCGAGGGGATGTGCGTCAACACGTGATGTCCTTCTTTTGGATGCGGTGCAGTTGTGCGCGAGCGTGCTAGCACGGTCTACCGTGCGTCGAGATGGTGATGAGGTTCGGGTAGAAGATGGTTAAGTGATGCGCCTGTTTTGCGTTCGACTCCAAATCAAACGATTGTGGCCAAGAGAGGAACTGATCTCGGCCGTCAGGTTCACGGCCTGAGCTACAAGGCCGTTTTAGTGGTGGTGTTGGTGGTGGGTTTTAGGCGATGCTCCGGCGCGTTGCTCAGAGAGCGACGATCGTATGATATATGGGGTAAGTGAGATGATAACAGAGATGGTGCTCCGGCGCCTTAAAAATCAAGGGTCGTATGATATATTGATGAATGGATTTTCCTTACAATCTACCACTACTCCTAGGAAAGCAAATAAAGGTATTGAAAGTGCATTACAGGAAAATATAATTTGCTCCGTGGGAGGCTTTTGGTTTGGTGTTTGAACCCTTTGAATGTAGTCTTGAGCTTAGTATTTATAGAAGGAGTCTTGGAGGGACAATTGAGGCTGAAAAGACCTGCGTGGTGGAGCCAGATCGGGGCAAGTGGGTAGTCAAATCGGCATTTGGGATCGTGAAGGATGGTGGTTTGGGATCGTGAAGCATGGTGGTGTGACCCCCATAAATCTCGGTAAATCTCGGCCACCGCCCTGATCGTGGGTTTTGCCCCCTTGGCCGGGGGAACGAATTTAATGCCCTGGTCTGGTGGTTGGTGATCTGACCTCAAGTTGTAAGATTACTTGTGAGAATGTCTGCGCCTAACCACTCTGATTTCCATCACCAAATCCTGACTTCAGTCACTTCCCTTCTTCCCTTGTGCATTAAATTGTTCTTGCAACTAGTGGGTTTGCTGCGATAGTCAGAGGCATTACTTCATTAAATGGGGCATGGGACCTTGAGGCCACATGGCGATTTAACCATAGTATTTTCGGCCGTGTCTTTTACGGCCTTCGGCTTCGGCCTACAATACTGCGGTCGCAAGGCCGAGAGGATTCTGCCTTTGCAGCTTTTCTTTTGTTTTCCGGAAGGCGAAATGCCTAACGAAACGGTAGGTGCCAGGACCAAGAGGAAGTCCCTTCAATCAGTTTATGACCGTGATTTACTAGGCACAAACAACATCTACTTCCGGTACTGCCATGGGCTGATTAACTAGCATCACTTTCTTCTGACTCCAATCCTTCTCGATGAGCTGCTTGATCTCTTTCCATTGCATAGTGTGGGTTCTGGCTAGAACTTCCAATATTCATAAACTTTTAGAAAATTTCTTCAGGAGTATTATACTCAGAGGTCCCACTGGGCGTGCCAAATTGTTCACCTGTTTTGTGTATGTTCCTGTGATGGTAGGGTAAAGTTCCCCATTGCCTTGAAAACCATTGACTGGTCAACAAGTCAACTTTCTTTAGTGCGTGAGCGTGCCACTGCTAGCAACGAAAATCCTAGCAGACTTCTTAAAAATATATATAACTTGCGCTCCAAGTTACTAATTTCTAATCAAACAATTGTGAATTTGGGTGAGGAATATGTCTGAAGTGAGGACTTCACAATTTATCTCAGTAAAAGATTGGTAATTCTGGCCATAATGAATGATAATAAAGTGGATTGTTTTAGACAGAACTGCCTTTTACAAAACTTAGGAAGAAAAAATCAACTCTAGAAAAGTAAAAAGAGGGTCGGAACTCCATTTCTGCCTGGATAGAAGCTTCTGATCCAGGCTGGACTGAGTATGTCCGTGCTAGACTGAACTGTCAACAACCTCAACTGTTAAGCTTCAGTTGTAAATCGATACCAAAGCTTGATTTTGGCAGATCTTTAATCTATTTCAAGCCCTAGAAGACTTTTTGAACGGGCAGAACTGCAACTTCTTTAGTCTGAACGGGGCAGAAGTGGCTAGACTTGAGGATTATTGAGCCGAAACTGTGCTACGGTACCTGTTCTGCTTGGTCAGGGCTCTCCATGAATTTGTTGAGGTTTTCATATTTGTGAAAACTCAAACTCTACTTGTCTTTGCTTTTGCTGAACCAAATTTGTAACGAGAGAAGTCTCGTTTTGAACGACTTATTTCTCTAAGTCTGAACTTGGAACTTCTTATCTATAGCTAGCTTCTTTTGTGGCTCAAATGAGCTTTTGGTTGCTCTAGTTTGTTTTGAAGGTTCTCAGTGATCAAGTGATTATTTTGAGTTTTTGCCTTTGGTTGGTTTTTGATTGTTTGATTGATTGATTGAGTGTCTTTTGCCCTATTCACCCTCTCCTATATTTATAAGAAGTGTTTTTGGAGTAGGGTTTCTTTCTTTTAATAATGGGCGGCAAAATTTCTTAAAAGATCTTTCATTTTTAAAATGTAAAGAAGAAGGGGTTCTATCAATTCTGGCAGATAAGCTCTCAATAGTCAATTCATATGTCAATCACTTCCCTGTTTTTTGAAAGAGCACCTAACCCTTCTTTAATTCCAACTGCTCCTTGTGAGAGCTCAAACCGTGATGGTTAGTTTGATTTTTCAGTTTTGATCAACTCCCTGTCCTTCTGCTTATCTTTGTTTGAGAACATAGCCTGCTTATCTCTTTGGAAGAACCACCCTCTTTAGAGTAAAAACATTATTTCCAAATATATAAAAGGGATTGGATCTTCTGGTGGCAGAGATTCAGAGAAGTCTTCTCCTAGCCGCCTGCTTTTGTTAACCCCAGTTGAAAATATTGACTTTTTTAAGTCAGAAACATCATGTGGGTCTGTTCCTGTTTTGGGTTTCTTCTTTTTAATCATGGCAAGCCCAAATTCGAGTTTGGACCATGGGCTGATTTCTTTTTTTCTTCATTTTTCCGAGGCCCAAGTTTTATTATTTATGTTTTAGACAGATCTTGGGCTGGGCCTCCTTTGGATTTGGGCTTTTGTTCCTATTCGCAAAGTCTGGATGTGGGCCTTGTGCCCTTTTTCTTTTTAGTGTTGGGCTGGGTGCGCAAGAGTTTTGGCCCAAACACAACCATTGTGCTCGATGGAGATGGTTCCATGGAGAAAGACAGAGAGGTGCACATGACGGTCGTGGAACCTGATCCCAAGAAGCGAAGGGTGGATAGTGGTGACATACATCAGCACCTGGCTAACCCTTCAGGCCTGAGGATCCACTCGGCATTCACCTCCTTCTTCAGGACATGTCAGCTTGGGAAGATAGATATGGCCTTGCAAGCCATGCTAGAGGTAACACTTGTTCTGATATGGCCCTTCTTGAATTAATGCTCGCTCACCTCACCATTTCTCATTTTTCTTATATATATGTACTTTTAGGCTACTTGGCTCCAATATCATGCTCAGCTCAAGGTACGTGGCCTTCTCCAAAAACAAAGTGATGAGATCAAGGAACTAGGGAAGAAAAATGAAGATAGTGACCTTCTAACCGCCAAGCTAAAGTCAGTGGTTGTGTTTGTGCCTAATAAATCACGGTCATAAACTGATTGAAGGGACTTTCTCTCGGTCTTGGCGCCTACCATTTCGTTAAGCATCTCGCCGTCTTGAAAACAAAAGAAAAGCTGCAAAGGCAGAATCCTCCCGGCCTCGCGACCGCAGTATTGAAGGCCGAAGCCGAAGGCTGTAAAAGACACGGCCGAAGAAATTGTGGTTAAATCGCCACGTAGCCTTAGGGTCCCACGCCCCATTTAATGAAGTAATGCCTCTTACTGTTGCAGCAAACCCACTCGTCGCAAGAAGCATTTAATGCACAAGGGAAGAAGGGAAATGCCTGAAGTCAGGATTTGGTAATGGAAATCAGGGTGGTTAGGCGCATACATTCTCACAAGTAATCTTACGACTTGAGGTCAGATCACCAACCACCATACCAGGGCATTAAATGCGTTCCCACGGCCAAGGGGGCAGAACCCACGATTAGGGCGGTGGCCGAGATTTACCGGGATTTATGGGAGTCACACTACCATGCTTCACGATCCCAAACCACCATGCTTCACAATCCCGAATGCCGATTTGACTACCCACTTGCCCCAATCAGGCTCCACCACGCAGGTCTTTTCAACCTCGATTGTCCCTCCAGGACTCCTCCTATAAATACTAAACTCAGGACTACATTCAAAGGGTTCAAACACCAAACCAAAAGCCTCCCACGGAGCAAATTACATTTTCCTGTAATGCACTTTCAATACCTTTATTTGCTTTCCTAGGAGTAGTGGTAGATTGTAAGGAAAATCCATTCATTAATATATCATACGACCCCTGATTTTCAAGGCGCCGGATCACCATCTCTGTTATCATCTCATTCACCCCATATATCATACGACCGTCGCTCTCTGAGCAACGCGCCGGAGCACCGCCAGCCACCAACACCACCACTAAAACGGCCTTGTAGCTCAGGCCATGAACCTGACGGCCGAGATCAGTTCCTCTCTAGGCCACAATCGTTTGATTAGAAGTCGAACGCAAAACAGGCACATCATTTAACCATCTTCTACCCAAACCTCAGCACCATATCGACGCACGGTAGACCGTGCTGGCACGCCCGCACACAACCGCATCGCACTCAAAAGAAGGACGTCACGTGTTGACGCACATCCCCTCGGCCCGAAGCACCAGGCCGCGAGATTCGCAACAGCCAACAGGTTGACCTCGAGAAGAAGAAAGTCAATGATGCTAAGTCCGACTTGAAGAGCATGGCCGAGAAGCATGCTAAAGATCTTGGTGTCATCCAAGAGCAAGTGGCCAAGCTTACTAGTGAGGTGGTAGAGCTAAGATCAACCAAGGATAAGGTGATCATAGAATTCAAGTCTTCTGATGAGTTTGAGGGGCTCAAATCGACTTGGTTAGATGAGGGCTTTCAATCTTGCATGAAAGCCATGAGGAGGTGCTATCCTACCCTGGACTAGACCATCTTGGAGGGTGCCCTTGCTCGAGGCGAGCTCGACCTTAGTGATGATGTGGATGACGGTGCCCCTTCCTCGGACACGAGGGATCCAATGGTGGGTGAGGTAGAGATGGGCACCTTTGAGGTTGATGCGCATGATGAGACCGTGATGGGAGGTGCTCATGGGGATGACACTTCTTTGACCTGATCAGGCTAGATTGGCCTTTTTGTATACCCCACGTGGAGTGCTAGTGTGACGATCATCCATGGAGTTCAGGAGTTAGTACTCCTTTTGTTATGCCTTAATTATATCTGTTTTGAGACATTTGTGTTGTTTATTTTGCTGTCACTCTGTGATCATGGTGGTTGTTCGATGTATTTTGTTGGACTTTGATCTTCATTGTATTATCTATATATGCCTCTGCGTATGTTGTTGTAGGCCAAAAACTCGAAGGTGATTTGTGTTGAATCTTAGCAGATTTTCGGATAATATATACATATATACATATATCTTTACGGGTATGCTAGAGCTCGACGAATTGAGGTTGAACCCTTGCCAACCTAAGCCGAGCCCGGCACATCGAGGTTGGTTCTTTACCAACCCGACCAAGAGCTTGGCACGGCGATGTGGCCTTTTGCCAACTTGACAATGAGCCTGGTGAGTTGAGGTTGGTGCTTTCTCAACCTGACCATGAGCTTGGCATGGTGAGGTGGGTTCTCTGCCAACCTGTCCATGAGCTCGGCATGCTGAGGTAGAGGTCGGCTCTTTGCCGACCTGATCATGATCTTGGCACGGCAAGATGGGTTCTTCTCCAACCTGACCATGAGCTTGGCATGTTGAGGCAGAGGGTGGCTCCTTGTCAACCTGGCCATGAGCCTGGCATGACGAGGTGGGTTCTTGGCCAACCTAACAATGAGCTTGGTATGGCAAGGTAAAGGTCGGCTCCTTACCAACCTGGTCATGAGCTTGGTGAACTAAGGTTGGCTCTTTGCCAACCTGAGCACAAGCTCGGAAAAGGTTGAGCTCAGAGCTTTCGTCCATCAAAGCTTGATAAAAATATAGCCTAGACCTCTCGTCCATATGATCTTGGCCAAAAATGAGCTTAGACCTTTCATCTATATGAGCCTGATAGAAATATAGCTCAGACCTTTCGTCCACATGAGCTTGATAAAAATAGAGCTCAGACCTTTCGTCCATACGAGCTTGATAAAAAATATAGCTCAGACCTTTCGTCCATATGAGCTTGATAAAAAATATAGCTCGGACCTTTCGTCCACATGAGCTTGATAAAAATATAGCTTGGACCTTTCATCCATATGAGCTCGATAGAAATATAGCTCGGACCTTTCGTCCAAATGAGCTTGATAAAAATAGAGCTCGGACCTTTCGTCCATATGAGCTTGATAAAAAAAATATAGCTCGAACCTTTTGTCCATATGAGCTTGATAAAAAATTATAGCTCAGACCTTTCGTCCACATGAGCTTGATAAAAATATAGCCTAGACCTTTCATCCATATGAGCTTGGCCAAAATTGAGTTTAGACCTTTCGTCTATATGAGCTCGATAAAAATATAGCTCGGACCTTTTGTCCACATGAGCTTGGTCAAAATATAGCTCGGACCTTTCGTCCATATGAGCTTGGCAAAAAATGAGCTTAGACCTTTCGTCTATATGAGCTCGATAGAAATATAGCTCGGACCTTTCGTCCACATGAGCTTGATGAAAATATAGCTCGGACCTTTCGTCAACACGAGCTTGATAAAAAATATAGCTCGGACCTTTTGTCCACATGAGCTTCATAAAAATATAGCTTGGACCTTTCATCCACATGAGCTTGATAAAAATTATAGCTTGGACCTTTCGTCCACATGAGCTTGATAAAAAATATAGCTTGGACCTTTCGTCCACATGAGCTTGATAAAAATATAGCTCAGACCTTTCATCCATATAAGCTTGGCCAAAATTGAGCTTAGACCTTTCGTCTATATGAGCTCAATAAAAGTGTAGCTCGGACCTTTCGTCCATCTAAGCTTGATAAAAAAATATAGCTCGGACCCTTTGTCCATATGAGCTTGGCCAAAATTGAGCTCAGACCTCTTGTCTATATGAGCTCGATAAAAGTGTAGCTCGGACCTTTCATCCATCTGAGCTTGATAAAAATATAGCTCGGACCTTTCGTCCATATGAGCTTAGCCAAAATTGAGCTTAGACCTCTTGTCTATATGAGCTCGATAAAAGTGAAGCTCGGACCCTTCGTCCATCTGAGCTTGATAAAAAATATAGCTCGGACCCTTCGTCCATATAAGCTCGTCAAATCTTTAGAGCTTGATTTCATCCTGACTTGAATGTGGCCTTTTGAGTTACTTTGTTAAGGCTTGGAGAGACAATACGTTGGAAAAGGAATCCCAATTTTATTCACTAGTAAAAAATTGAAAACAAAACAAGAGCGAACTCGTACGCTAGCTGACTAAGTTGAAGAACTAAAAGCTACCTCATGAGCTATCATAACAAGATAGTCCCACACTGAATGAAAAGAAACAAAACGAAAAATCTGAATCTCGAACTGATGATCTAACTCTGAGAGCATGTAGACAAGGAGGAAGTCATTGGTAATACTTCCTTAAATGCTCAGCATTCCAAGGATGAGGCAGATTTGTTCCCTTGAGATCCCTTAGTCGATAGGTGCCCAGGCGTACAACTTTAATGACACGGTAAGGCCCTTCCCAGGTCGGTCCCAAGCTTCCATCTGAAGGTTTGCGAGTAGCAAGCATGACCTTGCGGAGTACCAGGTCACCAACCTGGAAAGCTCGGTGTTTGACACAGGAGTTGTAGTAGCGAGCTACACGTTGTTGGTATGAGGCATTGCTCAGCTGAGCATGGTCCCGTCGTTCATCTACTAAATCCAGGTTAAGATTCATCTGGTCATCATTTGCTTTAGCCTGAAACACTTCCACCCTGTGCGTAGCCATTCCAATCTCGACAGGCACTACAGCTTTGGCTCCAAAAGCAAGGGCATATGGGGTCTCTCCCGTGGATGTTCGATGTGAAGTTCTGTACGCCCAAAGGACTTGGCATGATAGTTCAGCTCATGTTCCTTTAGCCTTGTCCAACCTTGTTTTCAAGTTCTTTTTTTATCAACTTATTGATTGCTTTGACTTGGCCATTAGCTTGAGGATGAGTAAGAGATGCAAAGAAATGCTTGATGTTGAGCTTGGCACATAACTCACGAAGCTTGGCATTATCAAATTGCTTCCCATTATCGGTAACTATGGAGTATGGGATATCAAATCGGCATATGATGTTTTTCCAAAGGAACGCGGTGCAGTTCTTCTCGGTTATTTGTTTGGCCTAATAAATCACGGTCATGAACTGATTGAAGGGACTTCCCTTCGGCCCTAGCGCCTACTATTTCGTCAAGCATTTCGCCCTCCTAAGAGCAAAAGAAAAGCTGCAAAGGCAGAATCCCCTCGGCCTCACGACTGCAGTTTTGAAGGCCGAGGCTGAAGGCCGTAAAAGACACAGTCTGAAAAAGCTGTGGTTGAATCGCCACGTGGCCTCAGGGCCCCACGCTCCATTTAATGAAGTAATGCATCTCACTTCGCAGCAAAACCCACTAGTCACAAGAAACATTCAATGCACGAGGGAAGTGACTGAAGTCAGGATTTGGTGATGGGAATCAGGGTGGTTAGGCGCAGACATTCTCACAAGTAATCTTACGACTTAGGGTCAGATCACCAACCACCAGACCAGGGCATTAAATGCGTTCCCATGGCCAAGGAGGCAGAACCCACGATCAGGGCGGTGGCCGAGATTTGTCAAGATTTATGGGGGTCACACCACCATGCTTCTCAACCCCAAACCACCATGCTTCACGATCCCAAATGCCGATTTGACTACCCACTTGCCCCGGTCAGGCTCCACCACACAGGTCTTGTCAGCCTCGAATATCCCTCCAGGACTCCTATAAATACTAAGCTCATGACCACATTCAAAGGGTTCAAACACCAAAACCAAAAGCCTCCCATGGAGCAAATTATATTTTCTTGTAATGCACTTTCAATACCTTTATTTGCTTTCTTAGGAGTAGTGGTAGACTGTAAGGAAAATCCATTCATCAATATATCATACGACCCTTGATTTTCAAGGCGTCGGAGCACCATCTCTGTTATCGCCTCACTCACCCCATATTTCATACGACCGTTGCTCTCTGAGCAACGCGCCGGAGCACCGCCTAAAACCCACCACCAACACCACCACTAAACGGCCTTGTAGCTTTGGCTGTGAACCTGACGTCCGAGATTCGTTCCTCACTCGGCCACGATCGTTTGATTAGGAGTCGAACGCAAAACAGACGCAACATTTAAACCATCTTCTACCCGAACCTCATCATCATCTCGACGCACGGTAGACCGTGCTGGCACGCCCGCGCACAATCGCACCGCATCCAAAAGAAGGACGTCACGTGTTGACGCACATCCCCTCGGCCCGGAGCACCAGGCCGCGAGATTCGCGACAGACCAACATTATTGTAGCTAGGGGTTCAGCCTCAGCCCATTTGGTGAAATAGTCCACTACAGCAATTGCAAACTTGGTCTGACCTTTTCCCTTTGGCATAGGGCCAATTAGGTCAATTCCCCATTGAGCAAAGGGCCAAGGACTACTAATTGAAGTCAAATTCTCTGGTGGTTGATGGGGAACCACCGCATATTCTTGGCACTTAAGACAGGTTTGAGCAATCGTCTTAGCATCAGCTTGGAGTGTTAGCCAATAATATCCTTGTCTAAGGGCTTTGTGGGTAAGAGATCGAGTGCTTGAGTGATTTCCACAAACACCTTCGTGGATTTCACGAAGTGCATAGTTAGCCTCATCTGGTGTCAGGCATCGCAGGTATGGCAAAGAGAAACCTCTTTTATACAACTTGTTGTTGATGATCAGATATCGGGATGACCTATACCGTACACGTCAAGCTTCTGCTTTGTCCTCAGGTAGGACTCCATGCGTTAGATAATCACGTATTGGATCCATCCAAGTTGGCTCAGAACTAATAAGGAACACACCCACGCGATCTTCCTCTATGCTAGGTTTCTCCAAGAATTCCACCGGGATGGATCTCCCTAGGTCGATATCGAAAGAAGATGCCAATCGAGCAAGAGAGTCAGCTTTCGCATTCTCGAGCCAAGGAATTTGAATGATTTCATAACCAATGAAATCATCCAACAACTTCTTGGCCTTGGCCAGGTAGACACTCATGCTTCTATCTCGAGCTTGGTATTCTTTAGTGACATGATTTATACCAACTGGGAGTAGCTGAAAATGCGTAGCTATTAAACCCCAAGCTCGGAGGCTGGGCGAAGCCCTACAAGGAGTGCCTCATACTCAGCTTCATTATTCGAGGCCTTGAACCCAAACCGTAAGGCATACTAGGTCTCATTGTCTTCAGGTGAGGTTAATACCAACCCTGCCCCACTTCCTTGCTGATTTGAAGCACCATCAACATGTAGAATCCAAAGTGGAAGGTTAGGTCGTATCTTCTTCTCCATGCTCATCTCAAGCTGATCTGTTGGTAATGGTGGTGGTTGTACATCGGTGAACTCAGAAAGAAAATCGGCCACAGCTTGAGCCTTGATTGCTTCTCGTGAGCGGTATATGATATCAAATTCACCTAGTTCAATTGACCATTTGATGAGCCGACCTGACGTCTCAGGCTTTTGCAGGACTTGCCTCAATGGGTGGTTGGTCAGCACAATGATGGTATGACACTGGAAGTAAGGTCTCAACTTCCGAGCCGAAATAACAAGGGCGAGGGCCAACTTCTCGATCTCAGGGTACCTTGTTTCAGCATCTTAGAGAGCTCGGCTTACATAATGCACAGGGTGTTGAACCTTGCCTACCTCTCTAATGAGCACTGAGCTTACCGCTGTGGAGGACACAAATAGGTACAATAATAGATCTTCGCCATGTTCAGGCTTGGACAAAAGAGGGGGTTTACCCATGTATTCCTTTAACTCTTGAAAAGCTTGCTCACACTCAGAGGTCCAATCAATGAGTTTCGTCCTCCCCTTTATAGCTTGGAAGAATGGTTGACAACGATCTGTAGCTCGAGATATGAATCGATTTAGTGCAGCCACACGACCTATTAGGCTTTGCACTTCTTTTAAAGTCATGAGCGACGTCATGTTAAGCAGAGCTTGGGTCTTTTCTGGGTTTGCCTGGCGATGCCATGGTCAAGTAAGAGGACGACCCATTCACCTCAAAAGAAAAATCTCGCCTCTCAAGTAAGCCAAACGATTGACGTCAAAGAGAAGGACCACCCACCCAGCAAAGAGCGAGGTCTTTCAGCAATGAACTTCACAAAAAGAGTGGAAGGCGAGAGGGTTCAACGAATGAATGGGGCTATGATTGTACCCGAATAGAGATGACGGTCTTCCTCTGATGTCTCCAAGCCGGCCATAATAGAATAGATAGGCGAAGCAGCCAATAGCAGTCTGTTCTCGCCTATCGATAGATAGTAGGTTGCTTCCAAGCTCAAACCATTTGAAACTGACCATAAACCCTAGGAATTTTCCCGAGCTAACCTCGAAGGCGCACTTAGCAGGATTAAGCCTCATCTCATACCTCGTTAATACTTCAAAGGTTTCAACTAAGTCTTGAATGTGATGATCAACTGTGACATTCTTGACTAGCATGTCATCGACATACACCTCCATATTCTTCCCGATCTGGTTGGCAAACATTTGGTTAACAAGTCGCTGGTATGTCGCACCTGCGTTCTTGAGATCGAATGGCATGACCTTGTAGCAATAAAGACCTCGGTCTGTGATGAATGAGGTGTGCTCCTGATTTGGTGGGTACATCATAATTTGGTTATACCCCGAGTATGCATCCATGAAACTAAGTAGCTCGTGGCCCGCAGTTGAATCGATGAGCTGATCAATACGGGGTAACGAGAAGCTATCCTTGGGACATGCCTTATTTAGGTCAGTGAAGTCAACGCATATTCACCATTTTACAGGTGTCTTCCTCACCATGACCACGTTGGCCAACCAACCTGGATAGTTAACTTTACGAACGAAACCAATCTTCGTGAGCTTGTCCACCTCGTCGCATATCGTTCTGCATCGTAAGCTCGACATTTTTGGCATATTGGCTTGAAGGCGGGATCGATACTTAGACGGTGTGATATGATCTCAGGATCTATTCCCGGCATGTCCTCATACGACCATGCAAATACCTGAGCGTTCTCACATAGGAAGTTTGTTAGGTCATCACGAATTTGAGGTGGTAGTTGGGCACCAATCTTGGCGATCCGATTTGGGTGATCATCATTGATTTGCACTTTCTCTAGGTCCCCTCCTGGCATTGCATGTTGTTTATTGGTACCTTCTCGTGGGTCGAGCTCGACCTCGCGGTCTATCTCATCTCACTCGACAGCGTACATCTCCATCTTTTCCTTCCTTCACTGCTTGGATGTCATGACATAACACTCCCTAGCTTTTTATTGGTCACCCTTTACATATCCCACACCAGCTTTGGTTGGGAATTTCATCAAGAGCATGTGGCTGGCAATAAAGGCTCAAAGAGAGCATAAGGCCGGCCGACCTAAAATGACATTATAAGCATAAGGGCATTCAACTATTAGAAAAGTTGTGTAAATCGTTGTCCATTGGGGTGCTGTCCCCAGTGACAGAGGTAGTGTTACGCTTCCAATGGAGTTAATGCTGTCCTCAGTGAATCCGAGCAAGGGAGTGACCACTGGCTTAAGCTTTTCTCGTGATATCTCCATATGTATGTAAAGATGATATTAACCGAACTGCCTGTGTCAATGAAGACCCGTTTCACACAACAATTTGCGATCTCAGCCTGGATTATGAATGGGTCATCATGCGGATGAACTACACCTCTTTCCTCTTCCTCGTTAAAGGTGATCGCTGAGTACCCAAGCTTGGGTGACTTCGAAGTTCGGTAGCCTGTACCAACAGAGAGGGCCTCGAGTCCACCTTGGGTACGTCGCGCATACTCTTTTCGTGCTTTGTTGGAGTCCTTAGCTATAGTTGTTCCACCTGAGATAACATTGAAGTCTTTCGTAGCATGTGGTTGCTTATTTGGTGTGTTGTCATGTTGCTCTGGTTGCTTCTTCTCACCCACAAATCGGCTTAGACGACCTCGCCTAATTAATGCTTCGATCTCATCCTGGAGTTTGTAACATTGGTTCGTCGTATGACCATTCTCGCGGTAATATCTGCAATATCGATTTGGATCTTTTCAGCCCTCAGAAAACCTCGAAGGTTGGGGTTTCGGCAACTCAGCTTGGATGTGGAAGAAAACCTCATCTCGATTAGTATTCAATGGGGTGTAGTTGTCGAACCGTGGTCGAAATCTATTCTATGGCCGATCTCAGTCTCTCCCACCTCATCTAGAATTCTCAAATCTTCCTTTCTTGTAGTCTGGCTTCTCCCGCACATCATTCCAATCTTCTCTCCGTTTATCTCCTACACCAGGCTGCGACTGATCCTTTCCTTCTGGTGTGTCATATGTCATCTCCTCAGCTATGGCATGACAATACACCTCGGACACCAGGTCCTCATAACTCTTAGGTGGAAACTTGTTGACATGGAACAGGAAAGATCCTCTCCGAAACCCACCTAGAAGGGCAGTATAGGGCGTATCTTTGGAGCAACTAGGGATGCTAATTACTTCTCGATTGAAACGATTGATGTAGCCCCGCAACTTCTCCTTAGCGCCCTGCCTGATGCTGAGGAGGTAGTTAGGTGGGTATCTCTTCTTTGAGATAGATAGAAATTGGTTCACGAAGCTCTATTTGAGCAGGTCAAATAAGCTGATGGAGTCCGGCTTCAAGGACTTGAACCAATCCTTAGCTGATCCTTCTAAGAGTAGAGGAAAAGCCCAACATTTCATGGCATCTCCAACATCCTTCACGTTCATCCAGTAACCGAAGTCATTCAATAAGTCCACCGGGTCAGTGGTCCCATCATAGAGTTGCATCCTAGGCTGTTTGAAATCTTTTGGGAGCTTGAATTCAAGGATGTCCCTACTGAATGGTAGGATGTCAGTTGTCGTGACCAGGTCGAGAGGTCCTGGACCTCGTTCACGCTCAAGGGCTATTAGGCGGAGTTCCAGCTTCTGATCCATCTCATCTTGCATCCGCTTCATGGCCTCCAAAATTCTACTTTCTCCAGCTTGCTGATCTCTATTAGGGCGGACCTCAGACTGATCCACTTACAGATCACGATCGACCTCACGATCACGACCATGATTGACTTCACGATCACAATCGACTTCACGATCGCGATTATGAGGTCGAATGTACTGAGCTTTCTTTGCCTCAAGCAAATCCCTTAGGTCAAGGTATTCCCTCTGGCTTTCAGTTGGCATGCAAGAGAAACCAGAGAATGAGTTGCGAAGGCTAGGCTCGAAAGTTTGCAGCTTCTCATGGTCCATTCCATTAGGAGATCGGGGATGACTCTCACCCTCGTCATCGTCCCGTCCTTCACGTTGAAGTTTGCCTCGGCATTGGGGTCCGCCTTGTTGACTATCTCCATGTTCTTGGCGCCACTCTTCTAGCCTTCGCTGCCTTCCTGTGCAGGTCTTCTCAGCTCCTCCTCCGACCTCCTTGTTCTGGTCATGGAATTCATTAATGTCCTTCCTCATCTCCTTCATGTAGGTCTCGATGTTAGTTAGGCGATTGGACTTCTTCCTCCCCTTAATATGCGCAGCAGGGGTGACAGGTTTGTTGTGGCTGGACTCTTGACTCATGGTGTCAAGCAAGTGGTTGTTGTCTTAAAACTTAGATGGAAATCAACAAGATGTCGTTTCCCATAGACGGCGCCAAACTGTTGATGCCTAAAATTGGTTCAACAGAAGATGACCTTTTCGAGATCGAGGTCAGGCAATTCTTCCAGACTAGGTTAGCGTGACCAACCAAGTCGTCCTCCAGAACCTGTAAAACAAGATAGCGTCAGTGGGTGACACCGGTGTGGTGCCGGCCAAGGACCCTCTGATGCTTAAGTCAGTGGAGTGTTTGAGAGTAAAATCGCACAATAGGTTCTAGTGCTTAGAATTGCATGCCTTTTATGGAGGATGTCTTTAGTCTTTTATATCATCCCAGACGACCTAATCCTTCTCGGAGTGGGACTCTAGAGCAAACCAGCTCTCCTTGAACTAGGACTCCATAACAACCTAATCTTCCTCGAACTAGGACTCCATTTAGATTGGCGTCTTGGTGATCCCGAAACATCCCAACTTCTTTGGGATTAGAAGTCTTTTGAGTGAACACCACGTAAATCAAACTCATGTGCACCGAGGTTGAGCTCAAATGGGCCCCCAAGTCCACACGGGTCAAGGTAGAAAAATGTATGGCGACCAAGCTCCAGCCCAGCTCGACCAATAACACTGTGGTGTAGCCTAGCTCGGCCTAGAGGTATTTTACCTCACAAACAAGAGTGTACTAAGCTTCTTGGATGGAAAGAGAATAGTATTATAGCAATAGGGTGTAGAGGAGTTGTGTTTTTCTAAAACTAAATATGAAAAGTGGTGGGGGTGTGTATAGATGTACTAGGGTTAAGTATTAAGTTTGATGACCTTTTTTGTATTTTATAAGATGATAAAACTTAAGAGCTAAATTATTTAAATATTGGGATAAACAAATAAAAGCGTAGGATTTAAATAGAAAAATTCTAGGGAAATAGCCTTCTATGCCACCCTTTTGCTAATTTTAACTAAAAATACCACCCCTTCCCAATTTTTTTACAACTAACACCTTTAAATATAAAATTATTGCCCACTTATTGTACTCATATCATAGTTTCAGAAATTGGCTCTCTCTCTCACTGTCTTCGCTCTTTCTCTTCAGCCCATCTCTCTCCTGGTGTACCTCTCTCTCTTCGACGCAGTGCTCTTTCCCCGTCAACAGTGGCCATTCATCCAAGCGGAAATCCATCGTTGACATCGACGAGGTACTGTTCATAACCATTTTCTTTGAAATGTGGGGTTTTTGTGCACTGTTTGGTAGATGTTTGTGCACTGTTTGGTATTTTAAATTAGAATCAGTGGCTGTGGCTGATCTGAGAGGTTGTCTATAAGACCACAAAATCAATTATTAAATAAAACATGATTTGGGTTAGCCTTTTTCAGTCGTGGATGTTATTATGCTTATCTTTTTAGTTTCTAATTTTGGTATCTGCTCGATTTTAGAACTAATTTTTGTTATGCGCGCTTATTTCCTATTAATAAAGGCATGATGATTAAATGCAGTTGTAATCTGTTGCAGAATTTGAAGAGATATTAATAGTTTAAATAAATTGGTAAGCTTTGCTTATTCTTTCATTTTTTGGGGCATAAGAATCAATATAGTATGCTATAGGTATGCATATTGTTAGCAGTTTTAGGACATACCCTAATTTGATTCCTTTTGATGGTATTTCATTGTTCTGAAGCCGAGGCTGAGTTTGATTCTGTGGCTGGCTTAGCTGCAGATGGATGGGTGTTTGCAAATCATATCCATTAGTGATGGTATAGGGAGGTTGGGAACTTTTGTTTTCTTTATTCACACCCCTTGCTCCATAAACCTGAGATTAAAAACTTCTGTTTCAGCCTTTTCCAGAGGAGAAACCTTTACATTTGCTTATATTATAATTAACATAATGGCCTTATGTTTTGGCTTAGTGATATCTCTTTAGCTTCTCTCTCTTTCCTTCTACCTGTCACCTGTCTCCTCCCTTTAGTGAAGTATATATTTGTTAAATAGAAGAGTGGAGCTTAAGGGATATATTTTAGGGAATGACCCTCAGTGCCACCCCTTGAAGGTGAAAGAGAGGGTTGCTTCGTTAAATGCTCTCTCCCTTCAACAATCTCTCAATTCCCTCTCTTTTCATGTTTTCAATGGACGTCTTTCTCTTCTTCTCTGCTCTTTCAGGGCCTCAAAAAACCCAAATTCTTGGTTTCGGTTCTGACTTTTTTCACATACTTCCTCCTCATTCTCAATCCTCTCACAGACAGAATTCCAGCTTTTGTTTAGGTGTTTCTGCGATTTCCAATTCGGGTCTGTGTGCAAAACGAGTGATTCTAAGGTAGGTTTTGTATTTGTTATTGACTAGTTTGTCTTTTTGTACGGTTTTCATTTGAAAAGGATAATTTCACTAACCTGTGACTGATTTTGTGAAGTTTAGTAATTAGAGAGATTGCAAATTTCTGTATTTTAACTGTGAATTACTTCATGCTTGGATGAAACTTCTATTGGTCTGATTGATTTTCATGCTATGGATGACGAAGTGCCTCAAGTTGCTATTTGTCATGTAGGATTGGTTCGTTTGTGATGCGTGTTTTCAGTTTCATTTTATGATGCATATTTAGTGTGGGAATTTATTGTGGTTCATGTGCTGTAATTTGTGTTTAATTTTCACTTAATATCCTATAATAGGCCGTTGAATTGTGTATTGCTTGTTATTGTCCAGATTGCAACGGACTGAATTTTTCTTAATAATAATGCCGTGCAGGGAAACATGGTTTCGCCAATTAAGTTGATGATTGGAGAGGAAGAAAAGTTCCAAGGAAAAGCATTGGCGCTATCCCATACAAAGAGTGCAATAAGTACGATAAAAGAGAAATTCAGTGAGCAACAGCTACGAACCTTCGAACAGAGTTGTTTTGGGCATCTCCTACTCATCGAGGACCTGAAGTGGACGTCGCCAATTGTACACGGATTGTTGCTGAGGAAAGCTGATCCGAAGACTGTTTCCCAAGTGAACGGGATCAAATTCATTGTTGGCAATAAGGTGATCCAATTCACACCCCAGCAATTTTGCGTCGTCACAGGGCTAAGGTTTGGAAACCTTCCCTTTATTCCGATTCCCAGTAATGACAACTGCTCATTGAAAAGGAAGTATTTTGGCAACAATAAAACAGTGAGCCTGTTGGAATTAGAAAAAGCCTTCCGCGACTGCGCTGATGCGGATGATGCATTGAAGCTCGGCTTTGTATACTTCGCTGTGTTTGTGCTGTTGGGCAGTGAAAAACATGTCCACATTGACATGCGATATTTGAAGTTGGCGGAAGACCTTGAAGATTTTGGTAAATATCCATGGGGTGCTGTGTCTTATGCGAAGACAAATGCGTCACTGCTGAGGGCACTGTGTGCAGATTACCAGCGAGTGAAAGGGCCGAAAAAAGCTTCGAAAACAAAAAAATCTGAAAAGCAAGTAAAGACAACGGCAACCGGTAGACCAAGAGAGTACCACCTAAAGGGTTTTGCCTTTGCACTTCAGGTGAGCACATTTCGATTCCTGTTGAAGTTAAATATCATTTGTTTACAGTAATGGGTTCTAAACAGTAATGGGGGAGAGGAGAGAGAGAGAGAGAGAGAGAGAGAGAGGAGAGAGAGAGAGAGAGAGAATTGAGAGCTGCATTGGAGGAGCTAAAACATCATTTGTTCATGTTTATTTTCTGTAATTATTACTTATTTGGGGGATTGATTGGTTTAGTTGTTGAAGGATGAAGACGAATAAAAGGAACTCTGTCCACTGTTATTGTTTTTTGACAGATTCTTTTGACTAATGATATTGTGTTTGTGTGTGTGTGTTGATAGATATTTTGTGTGTGTGAGAGAGAGAGAGAGAGAGAGAGAGAGAGAGAGAGAGAGAGAGAGAGAGAGAGCAAATTGGGTGGCTGTTCTGGGCGGCTGTGGTATTTAAAAAAGAATTCTACAAAGAAATATAATAATTTGCAAAGTTAAAAAATTGATGGGGAAAGGGGAGAGAAACATTCAAGGGAGGGGGTCAGGGGTAGAAGGGAATTCAAGAATAGAAAATGGACAGAAGGTTTTATTTTATTTAATTAGTAATATTATTCTGTTTTTTGCTGAATATTATATCATTAATATTGATGATGAGCCCCGTGTTTTTCTATCAACAACCCTAAGTTAACACTAATGACCTCATTATAGAAATAAGTTGTCAGAAAAACAAGTTTACATTTTCACCCCTTTATGTAAGTGGGGGATATTGGATATTAGGAAATAATCTGTTTTTCCTGATTTGTGTTGAATGCTCTTAGACTAATGACTAATGTGGCCCGAACCACTTTTAGCCTCTATGCATCTCTAGATGGCTGTATTTCGTTTAACTTTTGTCAATCATAGGGCAAGGTTTAGACTGCAATTAATACATGCTAATTATTTCTCTTTATTGTATTCTTGGCTTTTCATGCCCTATTTAAGGTTATAGCATGTGATCTCTAAGGCTTTTCTTCCTGAAACCAGATTTGGGCTTATGAGGTATTTCCAGCGTTGGCTGCACTACATTTGGTGGTGCACGAACATAATGCCTACATCCCTCGTATACTACATTGGAGGAGCAACACTTTGCCGCGTTTTTATGAGCTCATGAGCCAAGTCTTCGAAAACCGTGAGGTTAGTTCAGTTTGTAATGATAATCTTAGGCATATGAAAATATAATTTTATAAGTTTACTGATATTTCTATTGTCTGCGTAAATTGCAGGTTGATGTGCAACTTATCCGGCCATCTGTAATTGACAAGCAGCAGGCGTATTGGACTTGGGGTGACAGTGTTGACAACACTGAAGAACTTGTTGAGTTGGTTGGCGATGACGCTGAACAAAAAACCAGCACGTCTGCCTCTGTAGAAGAAAAAGATGAGGACATTGAAGAAACTGCTAGCCTTCCGTCGTCTTCTAAGGCAAGCATTACCTATTTTCCAATATTCCAATATATATGTCATAATACAATAGGAAATGAACTGCTGTTTTGTTCCGATATATTTTGGAAATATTGTAACACTTGCATTATAACTGATTGCAGGGTAAAATGGCGTCCACTGAGTTACGCACTTTGAAGCGTGACTTTGAAAGGATGAAGGATGAATTCGCCAAAGTTGTCAGTTCAAATCCCGGGGAAAAAAAAAAAAAAAAAAAAAAAAAAAAAAAAAAAAAAAAAAAAAAAAAAAAAAAAAAAAAAAAAAAAAAAAAAAAAAAAAAAAAAAAAAAAAAAAAAAAAAAAAAAAAAAAAAAAAAAAAAAAAAAAAAAAAAAAAAAAAAAAAAAAAAAAAAAAAAAAAAAAAAAAAAAAAAAAAAAAAAAAAAAAAAAAAAAAAAAAAAAAAAAAAAAAAAAAAAAAAAAAAAAAAAAAAAAAAAAAAAAAAAAAAAAAAAAAAAAAAAAAAAAAAAAAAAAAAAAAAAAAAAAAAAAAAAAAAAAAAAAAAAAAAAAAAAAAAAAAAAAAAAAAAAAAAAAAAAAAAAAAAAAAAAAAAAAAAAAAAAAAAAAAAAAAAAAAAAAAAAAAAAAAGTGTTGATTCTATTCTTAACAACTAAAATGAGTTATTAAAAACAGCAACTTTAATTCTCGCAAGTGCACGAAACCGTTTATAGTATAGCTTATGTAAATACGAGGTCGATCCCACGGAGAATGGTAACTTGGTTCCAAGTTAAATTACTTAGAATGCTAGAAAAACATAGAACAAAGAAACTGACTAACTAGCTAAAGGCAAGGTCGAATTCAACAATGCCTCTTGCTAATTACTCAAGGTCTAGGACAGAATCCTAGCACCACACACGCACTCGAAATGGGGGGTTTTTGTTGTTGAAATGAAAAGAAGAAAGTGAAATGAAAGTGCTCGAAAGTAAACACTGGCTACAATTAACAGATTGTAAAACAATAATTGAGAGGTGTTAGAGCCTTGGAATCCACCACTAGTTTTCCTATCCAAGTTATGAATGCATAGAAATTGACTCAAGCTTCATCAACAATAGATTATCGCATACAAGCCTATGGTATCTAGGTGCAGGATGCATGATTCTCCTAAGGCATGTGATTGTGCATGGTATCTACACAACACTTGATCTCTAATATGCAACCTAAGCATGGTATCTACTTAGAATAAAGCATACAAGAGTCATTAAGCTCCTTGAGAATATGATAATCACACAAGTCCTAGAACATGGTATCTGTCCTAGTCAACCTATGGTTATTAACCCCTTGAATGATTCTTAGGCCATTCATATGTTGCTTGTGAAAGGAGAGTAGAATTGGTGAATCTAAACCCCTTCCCAACCTGTGCTAGATGCATAAAATCCTAGTTAGCTACTCCAAGAAGACATACATCAAGCACATAATAAACTGGAGATTAAAAACTTGATAATAAAAGCAAGGAAATCAATTAACTATAAAATCATCCATAACATTGAATATTCATGACTAGGGCTTCATCCTAAGCCCTAACTAAATGGATTAGTTAGACATAACTATGAATACAGAAAATAAGAAATACATAGATAGGATAAAGAAAGGAGAAGAACTAGATGATGGCAGAGAGGAATTCCCAGGACAGCTCCAAGCTCTCTTCTCTCTTTGTGGTGAATCTGAATGTGTGTATGAGAGTAATGGATGAAGTGAAAATGTGTATCTGACTCTCTATCTCTGCCTTGAATGAGTGTGCAGCTCTCTATTTATAGAGTGTAATTTCGTCCTCCCCTTTGGCTGGTGAAGCACACCTTTCTTAGCTGCTCCCAACTGCTCCAACTGCCCATACTTGCCAACTGCTCCAGCTGACATACTTGCCAACTGCTCCAGCTGCCAAATACATGCTTTGGTATGGTTTCTTTATGGAAAGCTTGACTTTTGTTCATCCTTCTGAGTTCCTGAGCTGATTTGACTCCCATGTATGGCTGCCCATGTGTAGCACATGGCTCTAGGGATGTAGCCACATTAAATGTGATGGCAGCCAACATGACATTTCTGTGAATTTCTGTGAACTTGGTTCAGTCTTTGACGTGCTGAGGGCTCCAGATTTATCCAATTGGGCTGAAATTTGGATATGTTATAATAGACACCCATTGGAACAACTTCTATCAAGGATGTCTCCTCATCCGACCTGTGTAAGTTTCTGAAATGAGGCCTGCAAGATGACCTATGAAACTGGACTGACAAGGAGTGTGGCTCAAATTGGTTTTGTCTTTAAGCTCATATTCCTCTTGTGCCACTCAGCCCTTAACATGCATGATTGTATCAAATGTCATCTCCTTGCTGTCTTAACCTACAAAACACACAAACATAGGTAAGAGACTCAAAATAAAGAGAAGCTAAACAAAATTACTAAGCAAAGAAGGCATGCATATGTGTGAAATTATGACCTTATCACTAGGAACGGAAGACAAACATCGACCAATCTACATTAGTGGCCTAATGAAGCCAGAGCTTTGGACCAAAATGGAAGAGCTTTTGAGAGATTTCAAGGATTGCTTTGCTTGGGATTACACAGAGAAGCCTGGATTGAGTCGTGACTTGGTTGAGCATCGCTTACCTTCAATGGAGGGTTTCAAGCCCTTCAAGCAGCCACCTTGCTGAATGTTAGTGAAAGTAGAATTACACGTCAAAGAAGAAATTGTAAGGCTTATTAAAGCCAAATTTATTTGGCCATCTAGGTATGTAAAATGGCTTTTAAATATTGTACATGTAAAGAAAAAGACAGGAGCAATAAGAATTTATGTTGATTTTTGTAATCTCAATCTTGCAACTCCCAAAGATGAATACTACCTATGGCTGACCTCTTAGTTGATAGGGCGGCCAAGCATGAGATTTTATCCTTCATGGATGGACACTCTGACTATAATCAAATTTTCATACCCAAGGAGGATGTCCACAAGACAGCCTTTAGATGTCCGGATTTTATTGGAACCTTTGAGTACGTGGTGATGCCATTCAGTGTTAAGAATGTCGGGGCCGCATATCAACAGGCGGTGAATGCCATCTTCCACGATATGATTGATCAAACCTTGGAAATTTACATCGACGATGTAGTTGTGAAGTCAGAGTCAAGGCCAGGTCAATTGATTTATCTTCAGTAAGCTTTTAAAAGAATGTGAAAACATCGGTTGAAGATGAATCCAAAGTAGTGTGCCTTTGGGTTTTCAGTTGGAAACTTCCTAGGATTTTTGCTGCACCAAAGGGGGACCGAGATAGACAAGAACAATGCTAAGGCCATAATTGATGTGCCACCCCTGAAAAATAAGAAAGGGTTGCAAAGCTTGCTAGGCCAAATAAATTAACTTATGAGGTTTATAGCCAATTCAACCGGGAAGGTCGAACCTTTGTTATATTTGCTAAAACTCAAAGATTAAGAGCAATTTAGGTGGGATGAAGTCCACCAAAAGGCTTTCAATCCTATCAAGGAATATCTGACCAAACCACTAGTGCTCATCCCACCAAAACGAGGTTGACCCTTGAAACTTTATATTTTAGCCTCAGAAAATTCCATTGAAAGTCTCTTAGCCCAAGGCAACGATGATAAGAAAGAGCAAGCAGTGTACTACCTTAGCCGGATCCTAACGACCACTGAAAGGAAGTATTCACCGATTGAAAAACTTTGCTTGACTTTATATTTCACCGCGATCAAATTGAAGCACTACATGTTGCCTTCCACAGTTCATATAATTGCCAAGACTGATCTGATAAAATACATGCTTACTCAGGCAATTATTAGAGGTCAGATAGGAAAATGGATAGTCTTGGCTGAGTTTACTTTTTGTTACGTACCACAACAAGCCGTCAAGGGGCAAGCTTTGATTGATTTCTTGGCCGCTCACTCTTGTGTCGAAATAGAAGACATGGACTTCTTTGTGGTCAACACGTTGAGTCTATTTCTGTGGTGTCTCTATTTCGACCAATCTCAAACGTCAAACATGGGTGGAGCATGCATCATCATATAATCACCACAAGGTTTATGAACTTGCTATTGATTCCAGTTGGACTTTGATTGTTCCAACAACCAGGCCAAATATGAGGCCTTGATCATTGGGTTGGAGATCATGAGATACCACAGAATAAACAATGTGTTCATTCTTGGCAATTCGATGTTGGTTTTGAAACAATTATTTGGTGTTTACAAGGTGACTAGCCAAGCCTTGCTCAACTATCATGCTTTGGCCAGCCAAATAATCGAGAATTTTGACGAGGATACTTACTCAGCTACCGAGGGAACATAATTCCCAGGCCAATGCCGAGGCCCAATTAGCATAAGAAGTTTAAATCTCCGAAGGGCTTTGAAGAATTTTTCAAGGCAGAGAAACAATCTCTTTCCTCCGTTTTGAAAAAGGGATTTCAACGGAAGTCATGGTGCTAACTGTAGTGCTAGATGATTGGAGGCAAGATATCATATCATATTTGAAAGCCCCAAATGAGCCACATAGCCAACAAGTTCGTCGAAGGGCTTGACATTACATGATGTGGGATGAGATACTCTTCCGTATAGGCTTTGACGACTTGCTCATGAAGTGTTTGGGCAAGAAAGAACAACTTATAGCCATGACTAAAGTTCATGAAGGCATATCCGGAGCTCATCAAGCCAGCATCAAGATGAGATGGCATTTGAAGAGACATGGTTATTATTGGCCAACTATCCTTAAAGATTGCATTGAATATGCCAAAGGGTGCCAAGATTGTCAAAAGCAGGGTCCAGTTCAATATGTTCTGGCTGGACTTACAAACCCCATTGTGAAGGCTTGACCTTTCAAAGGTCAGGCGATAAATGTGATCGATCAAATTCACCTGAAGTCGTCCAAAGGCCACAAGTACATCTTGGTGGCCACCAACTTCTTTACAAAATGGGTGGAGATCGTTCCACTAAAGAAAGTGACCCAAGTCGAGGTGTTACAATTCATCGAGAAGACTATCATCCACCGATTCGATGTACCCGAGTCCATCATGACTGATCGAGGAACAACTTTCATGGGGGAGGCTATCCATGCAACCGCAAGAAATTAGGGAGTTAGAATGGTTCAATCCACTCCATACAATCCTCAATCGAATGGCCAAGCTGAGGCTAGCAATAAAGTTATAAAAGGGATCTTGGTAAAAATTATTAAGGGTAACCCCAAAGAATGGCATTCCCTCCTCTCTAATACTCTATGGGCATATAGGATCTCAAAAAGGTCTAGTAATGGAACGACACCATTCGCACTCACATATGGCCATGATGCCGTCCTTCCCCTTGAGATATCAGTGAGATCATTGAGGGTGTCTAGTCATGACGAGTGGAGTAAGGATGAGTACAACCAAGCCATGGCGCAAGAGTTGGATGCCTTGGACAAGCTCAAGGCACAAAAGGAGACAGTGGCCTGAGCATATGACAAGAGAACTAAGGCAAAAAGTTTCAGAGTTGGGGATTTGGTGTGGAAGATCATTCTCCCGATTGGGTCTAAGGATCCCAGATTTGGCAAGTGGTCTTCGACTTGGGAAGGCCCATTCCTCATCAACCAAGTTTTAGGGAAATGAGCTTATAAGTTGAGTGACTGAAATAGGCGAGTCCATGATGCACCGATCAATGGCCGATTTTTGAAGAAATAATACCCTATGACTTCAGATATGGTGGAGAAGGAACCTACTAGAACATTCAATTATGGTGGAAGTCTGAAGTTAGTTTGTTATATGGGTAAGCCTTTTGAAGTAAAGTGAAGAGAATAACCCGAGCAACATTGTATATATGGATATGTCAGTTAAGCTCTCTACAAAATAAGCCAAGCAATGGCCAAAACATCCATAAAATTGAACAAAAGCTAGCTCTATCATATATGACAATAACAAAAGGCAAGTCTAGCTGAATATAAAAAGGGCCAACTAATGGCCTAATACAGATCTAAACATCCTAAAACAGGCTTCTCTCCAACGGATAGGGCAAATATGATGGGTAGCTTCTGCACCTTAAATGACTTCAGTGCAACTGAGTCTTGGCAAAGCTGAGCCTCAAGAAGCCTATATCTCCAAATATCCTCAGAGACCTTGGCGAGAATGACAGCCCTCCTTTCCTGAAGTTGCCTGATCTATTCATTAATATTTCCAACCTCATGCCTCTTCTTACGGCCAAGCTCGACCTTCTCCCTAATGATGACATTCATCAAAGTAATTTGCTACTCTAAGGCCTCACCTACCCTTAGTTCCACTCAAAGGAAAGGATGGCGGGGAATCAATCTCGCCACCTCTCCAAAGAGATGCATGATCATACGTATCATAGTCTGGTCAGGATTAAAAGTCGGAGTTCACCAATGCCTCAATAACGGCCTTAACCCTGTCTGTCTCATCTTGGTCAGCCAATGATATGCAATCTCGATCTGTATAGGACCAAAGTATGGCCTCAGCTACAGGATCTAGAAGCACCCTGGCCATGGTTGAGGAAGTGGCATGACGAGTAGAAGCTTCCGCAGTAGTGGTCGAAGCATCCCATTGATCGAGATATGGAAAGATGTCACAAGGGGCCTGCCAGTTAGATTATATGAATATCAAAAGTTTCAAAGTATGAAAAAAAAAAACAATGAATCGAAGAGATTGGCAAATGATACTTACATGGTCCAAAAGTGACTGAATAAGGTAATCTTGGTTTGCCGATGGTGGTCCCTTGCCACCATTCTCAACCAAAGCCCTAGCTATGCATACTCGAACGGAAGAGGGATCAGGCATAATAGGCTCTCCAACCTAGCATGAGATCGAATGAGTTGGGATAATATTTAAACATTGAAAAACAAGATGTCAAGACATACCTCATGTTGATGATCTGTCAAAATAGGTGTGAACACATCTGATGTTGGCTGAGGGGTAAGCTCGATCTGTGATGCATGCTCATCGCTCAATGTGACTGGGATGGCTGGAAGTACGTCACTGACATTGGTCGTCTAATCGGCCGAAATGGTATGATGATCCATAACATTCACCAAAGCGAGAAAATATAAGTTTTCAAAAGGTTCTAGAATATGTGAAAATAAAGAAATGTGTGGGATTACCTGAAGAGTCTGACCATTTGTGGAATGGTCGGTTAGGTCTTGGGGATCTGAGGTGTGATTTAGTAAAATTTGAACTTCCTCTCTTCTGACATGCAAAATTTACGGTTGTGCCACTGTACTTTCGTAGATTAAAACTTCTTCGTTTTAACTCCGAATTGAACTCACTATGTGTTCACGAACTCATGAGAGCGAGCTCTATGCAACGATGCCACTCAATTCCCCAAAATCCTACCAAAACAAAAGTGACTAAAGTGCCCTTACTCTATAGGGTAAAAATGCAATTGCGCAAATAAAATAAATTGAATAAGACAATTAAACTGGGTCGGGGTGTTACAAAATTATTCATTCAAATGGTCCACCAACTCTTTATTAATCAGTGTTTTGGTCATACCGTTACATTTTCTGTTAAATTTAGTCATGTGAGCAGCACATGCTACATTTGTGGGGGTAAATAAGACTTTTGGCAACTAAAAAATAAATAAATATTATTAAAAATCAATTAATAGGGTTAATCGTTTTATTAGTCCCTGAACTTAGACCCAATTTGCATTTGAGTCTCTTAATTTCCAAAATCATTCTCGTGGTCCTTCAACTTCAATTTCATTAGGACAAATGATCCTGCGGCTAATTTGGTTAACTTTTCTATTAAATGCAAGGGCAAAATGGTATTTTTGTATTCAATTGATTAAAATATGAAAAAAAAAATTAAACTCTCTCTCTCTCTGTCTATCTTGATTTCTGCTCCCTCCAAACTTTATTTATTTTTTTGGTTGGTTCTTTATTTGATTTTCTTTTATTGTTATTTTAAAGATATGATTTTTTGTTAATTTTTTTTTGTTTTAATATAAAAATACAATTTTGCCTCTGCATTTAATAGAAAAAGTTAACAAAATTGACGGCATGACAATTTGTTCTAATGAAAGTGAAGTTAAAGGACAACAGGAATGATTTTCAAAATTTAAGGACTCAAATGCAAATCGGGTCTAAGTTTAGGGACTAATAAAATGATTAACCCTAATTAATACAAATTTTTTTTAAAAGAATTAAATTTAAAAACTATAAAAGAATAAAAAAACAACAAAAAGTAACCAAAAATAAAACCAACGAACCACCCCAAACCCCTCTCTCTCTCTCTCTCTCTCTCTCTCTCTCTCTCTCTCTCTCATATGTGCTCTCCCTATCCCTCTATATTTTCTTCTCCTCAACGACCACCCCAGCCTTAGCCGCAACCCACCCCTAATCCTTACTCGGGACCCAACCCCCCCCGACCTTCTCATGTGCTCTCCCTTTTCCCTCTATATTTTCTTCTCCCAACAACCATCTTAGCCTCAGGCACAACCCACCAATGACCCAACCCATGCGACCTTCTCATATGCTCTCCCTCTCCCTCTGTATTTTCTTCTCCCCAACGACCATCCCAGCCTCAATCCCAACCCACTCTCGATCCTTACCTGCGACCACTTCTTGAACACAATCGCTGGAGCAGATTTCTTGACCTCCATGCCCTGATGATGATGTTGCAGAGGAGGAGGAGGGGACATGGAGGGAAAGGAAGATATGGTGGGTTGTGGGGAAGAGAAGATAGGGCCCTGGGGCAATGGGGTTATTGGGCTCGAGGTTGGGAGTTGGGAAATTGGTTTTTTTTTCTTCTGATTTTTAGTTTTTAATTTTTCTACTATTTTATTTAACTGGACAATTTTACCCATGTATTTGATGGCAACATTGACAGAATGTAACAATATGACCAAAACGAATTAATAAAGAGTTGGTGGACCATTTCAATGAATAATTTAGTTTATGGAGCAAAATGTAAATCGAGTATAAATTTGAGGACCATTTGATTAAGTACTGAAAAATAATAAATAAATAAATAAAGACTTAAGTGCTACAGTGCCCCTGAAACATTGGTCAATTCCCACTAAATCTCCTTAAAGTTAAAGTGACTCACTTTGCCCCCTTAACTGATGTTTTGTGTTTTACTTTGCCTCTCATTGTCAAATCTGTTTAAAATTCCATTAAAAATGCTGATGTAGCACCAATGGGACCCACTATTTTGCTAAATTAAGTGCCATGTGGTGAAAATAATAAATAAATAAAAAATTGTCTTTTAAAAAACTTAATTTAACTATTAAAAATAAAAATAATACTTTAAAACCAAAAAATCCCCAATTTCCCTCCAACCCCATTATCCCTTCCCTCTCCTCTCTCTTCCTCTCTCGCAGACCCAAAGGAAGCAAACACCAGTCGAAACCCAGGCAACTTGGAACCAAAACCAGTTGAATGATTAGCATAATGCACATATAATGATATAAACATTACAAGATTAGCATGCTAATAATCAGGAATTAGACAAAGATTGTTTTATCAGCTGCTACAAAGCAGAAACATAAACTTCATTCCTTATTCCCAACAAACAAACAAACAACGACCCCAAAAACATAATCTTTAATTAATTTTTTACACGTAAAAAAACTAAAACCCACCCACCCAAACACCGCCTTCCTTCTCCTCCCACACAACAAAGATTGTTTCATCACTCAGACTAATTAGCCAACCTCTCCCCCTTCTTGTCCTTCAAATTCAACCCAACCATGGCCTCGCCCAACCCGCAACTCACCTCAGCTAGCACATCCGGGTTCCTGTAATGGGTCACAGCCTGCACAATCGCCCTCCCCCGCTTCACCAGGTCACCGCCCTTGCACACGCCGGGCCCGACAAACACCCTGTCGCAACCCAGCTGCATCATCAGCGCCGCATTCTCCGGCGTCGTCACCCGTCCCGCGACGAAGTGTACCACAGATAGCCTCCCTAGCTACTTAGTCACCAGATCGTACGGCACGGCGATCTTCTTCGCGAAAGTAAACACCTCGTCGTCGTCCATGTTTTGCAAAACCCTAATGTCCCCCATCACGGACCACACATGCCTCACCGCTTCGATGATGTTCCTCGTGCCGGCGTCGCCCTTGGTCTGAATCATAGCCGCTCCTTCTCGGACTCGGCGGAGCGCCTCGCCAAGATTCCGGCACCCAGAAATTGTGCTTGTTGATGTGGTGCTCTTAATCGGCGAGGGTCAGGACCTCGCTCTCATCGACTATACGAAGTGGCCAATTCGGGCCTTGGCCATGACGGGAATGGTGACGGCCTGCTTGACTTCTTTGATGAGTTGTGGGTTTTGGCTAGTGTTTGCTTCTTTGCTCACCACTAATATCAGGGATGAGTGTTTGGGCCGTTTGGGCTTCATTCTTTCCAAAGTTTGGGATTTTTTTCTTCGTTTGGGTCGAGGTTTGAGAAGGGGCTCTAGTTGCTAGTGGGAGCTTCTATAATGAGGAGTTAAAGTGAGGAGGTTATTTGAGGAGACCGATTCGACCGTCAAAACATTTAAAATAATTAAGTCCCATGATTTCTTTGCATTTGTTGATGGTGAGATTTGACCTCCTCAAATAACCTCCTCACTTTAAGCCCTCATTATAGTCTTTCCGCTAGTTACTACGGAGACGACTGAGGGTTGGGGAATGGTGATGATGATTTGGGTTAGGAGGCTGTGGTTTTGGCGAAGAGAGAGGAGTGGGAAGGGATTGGGGATTTTTGGTTTTAAAGTATTATTTTATTTTTAATAATTAAATTAAGGTTTTTAAAAGACAATTTTTAATTTTTAATTTTTTTTCTTCAATATGGCATTTAGTTTAGCAAAATAGTTGGTCTTAGCATTTTGACAGAGTTTTTAACAGTGAGAGATAAATTGAGACACAAAACATCGGTCAAGAGTCCGGTCAAATGTGTATTCTAATATAATATATTTTAATTATTTTAATTAAAAAAAATACTAAAAGAGAGTTAGCAAAGTTAAACTCCTTTTAAGTTGTGTGCCACATGTCACAAAACTAAGGGGAAAACATGGGGGCATAGGAACTTGGGTAACAGGAAAATCGGACTCGTCGATCCCTTTAACTTTGAGGGGATTTAGTAGGAATTGACCAAATGTTTTAGGGCGATTGTAGCACTTAAGCCATAAATAAATAAAAACGAGCGGCAATCTGTTCGACGACAGCGAAAAGGGTCCCTTTCAAATGAGGAAGGGACAACCTAAAGAACAATTTCTGCTATTCGCTTGGATTGGATTGTATCTATTGGGAATTAGATTCTTTGGAATACTTAAACCCACATTCTATTTTCCTCCTCATTTCCTTTTCATATTTTCCTTTCTCAAAAACTCACACCCACTCTCGCTCGCAGCCACTCTTCACAAAAATCAAACTCTTCATTTTGTCACATAAAGTTTCGGCTTCGTTCACCTCTGTCTGGGTAAGTCCCAACTATCTTTAGTTTTTGATGAGATTTTAAGCTCTGGGCTCTGTGATTTCTACAAGAATTAATTCCACAATATTCTGATCTTACTTGTTCAAATCAAAGCAAGGGAAGGGACGTTGTTTTTGGATGGGTAATTGTCAAAAACGACTTGTGGAATCTGCATGCTTATAATCAAATTTTGCAGACTGTCAATGTTCCACAGTCCACAGTTGACACCGAGAATGCCTCAGTCACTACTGCCATCACTCTCCATCTCTCAGTAGCTTGTTTCTTCATAAGACAAATCATTATCTCAAGCTCTTTTCAGAATTCTGTCATCTGGTCAGTTGATTCAGTTCGCTTTTGAAAATTTAGGTGAAGTTTTAGACATAGTTGTTGCTCTAATTTTTCCTTTTGAATTATTGGTTAAAGTTTTTTATTTTATTTATAATTTTGGAATTGATGAGATATCTGATCTAGAGTATTTTAGTTCCATGGTCAATAATTTTCTACAATAAGTTCTGAAATAGATTAGATGTAATGATTCTGCAGACACTCAAATAAACAAGAATTGAACGTTCTGTTTTTCATTGGATCATGGCCTAGTGCTGTTTTTCATTTTGAAACAAGCATATTCATATCATAATTATATCCATTAAATCTGTTTTTCAGGTTAGAGTAATACATAGGTACGTATTCATTTATAATCTGTTTTTTTATGTTAGAGTCACACATAGGATTGAATTTCAATTATATTGCTCCAATTATATCCATTGAATCTGTTCCTGAATTCCAGTGAACACGTAGGCTTCAACTTGGTGATTATAGAAGTTCGTTCACAAAGTCATACTATTAACACACCTCTCTCACCACTCCAAGTCCGAGTCCTACACCCATGTCTATTAATGCACCACCAATTGTTGATGAGGGAGCAGCTGCAATCCCCACACTTCCTCCCTCTTCAGGAAAGGGACAACCCTCCGATGGGTAAAGATACCCGTAGGACCATTCCGGCTGTTTTTCAAGCCTCCCCTCACGCCTTTGGCGCCTCTGATGCATCTGATCGAGACAGAGCTCGAAACGTCTGGGCTTCGGATTGATCTTAATCACATTGGGATGGTACGGGGGAACAAGATGGACTCGGTTAGGGAAGCATAAGTGGTGTGGAAACATTTTACTAGGGAAAAAGTTGAACTGGAGAGTGATTGCCCTAGGGCTTATTGCAACTGTTTGTCAAGCGGATTATGCATGTGATCCCATGAGAAATGGAACATTTGAGAGAAAAATGTACGGTGGGTTCTCCACTGAGAGAGGAAAACAAACAAAAACTCTTGTATTTGAGAAGGAGTCCTAGTTGCACATGCATATAACAAGAAGAGTAGACTAGCTTGTTTGGAAATGATAATACTTGACGAGCTTCCTTTTTGGCATGTGGAAGGGATAGGGTCTGGGTGGTTTATGAGAGAGGTCCAACCTAAATTTGATCCACCATCTCGTAGGACCATTATAGAGATGTGTGGAATTCCTTTCAAGATCAGAAGGCAAAAATCAAGACTGTGTTTTCTCTAAATTCGCAAAAAATGTCTCTTACTACTGACACTTGGACTTGGCATACTAGCCTCTTGGCATGCTCTTTCTAAGTGCTCAAGGCTTTTTCTATTGCTCATACATTTTATTTTAACAATAAAAATTTAATTTTACAGGATTCAACTGTTTTGATTTTAAAATTGAAGCAGAAGTCATACAAATTATCTTATTTGTTATAACTGATGCTAAACACTCTTTAAATGGAAAGTCGCAGATTATGTGGCTATGGAATATAAGATTCTGATCCCATTACATAAAATATGATTTGTATGACTTTTGCCTTAAGTTGAAAAACAAAACAATTGAATCCTGTAAAATTCAATTTCTATTGTTAGAATAAAATGTATGTGCAATAGAAAAAGCCTTGAGCATGAAGAAGGGCATGCCAAGAGGCTAGTATGAAGAATGGTATAAATGAATTTAGTTGGTACTTAATTTGATATCTTCAATAGTTATGAGCAGTAAGGTCTGTTTTAACATAGAGCATTGACAAATGGAGTTGTGTGTGTTTGGTTAAGATAAGGTGGGAAAAGGTCAATTATTGTTATGAATAATTCATTGATCAATTTCTGTTTGACTTTGAGATTTTGGTAAATTGATTTGTAACAGTTATTAAATTTCATTCATTGGATTGATAAATCTGTCTTTGTTTCCGATACATTTTACCAGTGGGAGTGTAATTCTGAACTGTGAGATTTATGCATGATTAAGAAGATGTCAACTGCACAACCTTTGAAGAAAATAGTGTCCTGTGTTATCCTCGATTTGGATGGTACACTACTTAACACAGGTCTGCACTCTGAGTAGCATTTTCAATTTTGCTTTTAACTTCATGTTATTTGATTTTTGACAAGGGCTGATGCTTCCTTTTTTCTTCCAAAGTTGGATGTGACTTTTATTCTTAGAAGTAGCTTTTGCTTTCTACTGGTGTTAGTGACTCCTTTTCTTTATTATTTTAATTAATTACAGATGGCATTGTAAGTGATGTTTTAAGAGTTTATTTGGGCAAGTATGGAATGCAGTGGGATGGACGGGAAGTTCAAAAAATAGTTGGAAAAACACCACTTGAAGCTGCAAGTGCTGTTGTTGAAGCTTATGGGCTATCTTGCACAACAAGTGAATTACTTTCAGAGATTACCCCTATGTTCTCCAATCAGTAATTAACTACTGTACTTGCTTTTGTGTCTGTTAAAAAATCATTTTGATACTAGCACCAAATGTTTGTTTTGGCTGTTTATTACTATTGGCTTTTAGGAGAGGAATATATAATGGATGTTAAGGTCAATATATAAAAGAATTTTGCTAAATGTGTCTCTTTTCTGCTTTTCTAAATGTTAGTCATTTTGGAGGTTGGATCGTTTTCTTTTTGGGCTAAATGGAGCTTGTTTTAGATCATATGTTTTTAAGCATGCTTCCATATGATAATGAGAACAAATCATTCACTCACTGTTATGTGTTCAGGCAGTACTTTAGTGGAAAACTGTTAATTGGCTATTGGCAATTGTCATTCTAGGTGGTGCAACATCAAAGCACTTCCAGGTGCCAATCGATTAATTAAACATTTGAGTGGTCATAGAGTGTCAATGGCAATGGCTTCGAACTCTCCAAGGGAAAACATAGAAACCAAAATTTCTTTTCATCAGGGTATACTTCTCCAGAAGCATATTTGCTTACATCGTACATGGAAAGTTATCTAGTATCGCGTGCATTCAGGATATATTATGGGTCGTTCTTATCATACAAACAAGAACTTATTTGCTTATTGTATTTCATATGCAGGCTGGAAGGAATCCTTTTCTGTCATCATTGGTGGTGATGAAGTAAGATTGGGGAAGCCTTCTCCAGAAATGTGAGATGCGTAAACGTGTTTTTTGAGCTTCAATTTGAGTGTGTTTTTTTATTTGAATTTTTATATGAAGGATTAGATATATATGGTATTCTAAAACCTGAAATATGATTTTGCATTGTAGATTCCTTGAAGTTGCTAAAAGGCTTAATGTTGACCCTTCCAGCTGCCTTGTCATTGAAGATTCTCTGTAAGTATCTTACTCGGATTCTTTACAGGTTGGAATTTGTTCTTCTATTAAAGTAGCCAGAGCAAAAACTGTTGCAGGGAACATTCTTGTGTAATGGTTTTCGTTTATGTTCTCTTCAACTACCCTTGTTTACATTACATCTAAAACTTCTTCAATAAAAGAATGAACCTGATTGAAAACCTTGAGTTTTGCTACAGATACTATCCTCAAACAAGTTAGATTCAGACTAACTTTGATAAGGTTGGCACATGCTGTATTGGAATATAAGTCATATTACATTTTTGGCCAAAAAAAAAATTAGTTATGACTCTCTCACACTGAACAAGTTTAGTATTAAATAACTAAAGTTAATAAATCAATTATACCTACTTAATACCCACTATTTTCTCTCCCACATTCTAAATTTTATTTCCTTAATGTACCTTCCATCACCAACACACATGCATTGCATGTGTGTGATGCTTCTAGTTAAGATTAGTAATTTCATTTTAGATGGCAAATAGCAGCAAACGAATAATTGATGTGCCCTTCTTCACGAAAATTCTTCCTTCGATAATTTGATGCTGTGTTTCTTCCTTATGATGTGTATATGGTGAAGTCATGTCACTTTTCTTTACATTTCTTCCTTGGAACATTTCTGTATTGGTTTTGTCAGACCAGGTGTTACAGCTGGAAAGGCTGCTGGTATGGAGGTGGTTGCTGTACCCTCCATCCCAAAGCAGTCCCATCTTTATACTTCAGCGGATGAGGTGATCAACTCACTACTTGATTTGCAACCTGAAAAGTGGGGCCTACCTCCTTTCCAAGATTGTATACCTCAGTACCTGTGTCCGTGTTACAACTACGTTTGAAGAGTTTCTTCTGCATAAGCCCTTTTCATTAGCACCATTGATTTGTTGTTGCAGGGATAAAAGATACTTTACCACTAGAACCTTGGCACATTGGTGGTCCTGTCGTTAAGGGATTTGGTCGGGGCTCAAAAGTACTTGGGATCCCTACAGGTGTGTTGCTGTCGGCCTATCCAGTTAGAGTCTTCATTCAACTGTACATGTCTTTGGATGAAACAATAATTGACTGCTGTTCTTAGTTTAGATAATATATATACAGGTTAGTTTTATCTCATATGTAGGCGATTTTTTGAATGCACCTGATATTGGCAATATACAAGTTACGTTCCTTAGGTCCGACTTTGCTTGACTGAGCTTGAAATTATTGGGTTGTTGCTTGTGTTTTGTTGTTTCTCTCCCTCTCATGCTCAATTAATTTGTTTAATTTCCTCATTTCTTTATACTTATAAGTGCACTACATCTTTTCTACAGCTAATTTATCCACAGAAGGATATGGATCTCTTCTTTCAGAACATCCCTCGGGAGTATATTTTGGTTGGGCTGGATTATCTAAACAAGGTGTCTTTAAAATGGTCATGAGTGTTGGTTGGAATCCTTATTTCAACAACACTGAAAAGACTATAGTGAGTTTTTCAAGACACATTAGGTAGCATTTGCAAGTATTTTTCTTCTCTGTTGAATTTAATTTGTAATGCAGGAGCCATGGTTGCTTCATGACTTTGATGAGGATTTCTATGGGGAGGAACTGCGTCTTATTATAGTCGGCTACATACGGCCAGAGGTATTAGTCAAAACTAATCAATCTCTTCTGGAAAATACCAATTGCTCCTCCTCCCTGCCCTTCTATCTATGTTTCCTAATGTTCGTTTATGAAATAAACAGGCCAATTTCTCATCCCTCCAGAGCTTGATAGAGAAGATTCATCATGACAGAAAAGTTGCAGAGGAAGCTCTTGATCTTCCATTGTTCTCCAAATACAAGGACGACCCATATATTAAAAGTTCTACATAAGGGTGGCCCAGCAATTTCTTGGAGGCTAGTTGTCATCGGCTAAAACAATAAATCAAATTGTACACAATTTTGATATTCATTCATTTTGAAGTGACTCCATGTCACTCTCATGAATGTAACGGATATAAAGTGCCTTAAATCACAAATCAAATTTACTGTTTCCTAAATTATCATGATGAAGTTGTGGTTAAAGGTAGACATCAGTTACAATTTATAAATCAGAAAAAAATGAGCGGAGAAGATCTCCAGGCCTTAGCACTAGTACAGTTGTGCAAGCTCTTGTTTGCAGATGGTTTGTTTTAGATTGCATGTTATTGGGGAAAACCACTCCCCACAACCATGTTGCTTCTTGTTGACGCAGAAAAATTGTTCGGCACTTTCCCGCGCAACTTAGAGATGTTGGGCCTTCGGTATGCTTTGGACCTCGGTAGGGCGTTCGATCTGCAAGATAGCAAACGCTCGGTAATACCTAGGGCACCGGTGTGGTACCGGCCGAAGGTTCTCCGATGCTTAAGTAAGTACGGATTTGGTAAGATTGAACTACAGATCAATAGGCAGTATGTCGTAAGTTTTGATTTATTACCTCCAAGCTGTGATAGTTGTCCTCTTTTATAGGCCTTGGGAGGTGTGCAATTTGTTTAGAGTTTCGATGTGGGACTGTGGACTTCAATTGTGGGACTGTCACGTGTCCCTAGGGGTGAAGTTGCCCTAATCGGGTGATCGGTAGGAACGGTACTGAAGCTAGGTGCCGAAGGCTTCCATAGCTTTAGTTTGGTCCACGTGTCCGATGCTCATTGGCTGTTCATTTTGGTATAAACACTTCTGTCTCCAGGTCTCCAACCAGGGAGGTGCCTACGCCACAAATAAGCACTTACAACCCAAACCCGGTTAGTCGAATTTGAAAGCCGACAAGGGAGGGAGGTGGGGAAGCACTCCAAATCCGACAATCTTAGGCAGAATGACCGATGCAAGAACATCTGCAACGAAGTTTGCTTTCCTTAGAACATGATGAAACCTGACTTTCAAAGAAATCAGCAATAATGAATGTCTCAAAGAATAGACCGAATCTGAAGTATCATGCAGCAGACAACCAATATCAATAACGAGAGTACCCATCAGCCAAGATTTTGGTCCATAAGATTGAAGCTTCATGATAATCATAACTATTTCCTTCACATTCATAATACAACACAGAAAATTTGACCCCCCCCAAAAAAAAACACATAATGTAGAGTTTTCGTTCAAAAAATAACTAAGGAGTTCCATACATGTTAGAAAGATAAATTCGTTGTCAAATTACACTTATCCAAATGGAAATAGAACATTGGTATATGTAGAGAATAATTACAATTATCCAACTGGAAATAGGATATTTTCTATGAAATTGCACGCAGAACAAGCACGCTCCAAAAGCATATTATAGCATGTTAATTGTTGATGCTCATTTTTGGAGAGGGTCAACTTAGAAAAAAAGGGGTTTGTCTTCAGCAGGGGAAAGGCCTCGACCTTCAATAAGGGGCTAGCCTGCAGAAGACCAAAATAGGAGAAGCAGTCGTTAAGCTTCAGACACCGGTGTAGTGCCGGCTGAAGGCTTTCCGATGCTTAAGTCAGCTAAGAGTAGTAACTTTAGCAAAGTAACAGTAAAAGGTAAGAAAGTAGTTACCCTTTTTACTAGGGTACTGTTCCTTATTTATAGGGAAGTGAAAGTGGGAGGTTTGTGTAGATTTTCGATGTGGGACTTTGTGCAAGTCGCTGTGGTGGTGACACGTGTCATGGAGAGTAGTTTTGGCAATTTGGGAGCTTCGGCAGGTGCTTGGCACCTCAGAAGAGTGTCTTCCTTGGGCATGAGAGAAGGCATGTCTGCCTTTGGTGTTAGTCGCTTTGAGGCTGGATATGCTCGGTTGATTATGGTGTAAACAGTAGTCCCCCAAATTCGCGGTCAAGAAGTAACTTTTGGGTTGGGAACTTGTGAGTTTTTGTGTAATCATGATCGAGCATTCCAGGCTCAATGGGAGTCGTAGGGCAATCCCTAGTCCCCCAAGTTGGCAAGCTAGAAGTTGCGTTAATACTTGGAATGTATGATAAAAGCTGTGTTAGTCCCTGGGACTGTTGGTTGCTGGGTACCTTGTGTGGTCTTTTGTGCTTCTGGCAAGTCCTTGGAGCCGGGCCCTTGGGTTTTGGGAGCTAGGCTTGGACACGGGAAGGATTGGGTGAACCCATTCTGTGTGTAGACCTAGGCCGTTAGGCCATTAATGTGTTTTTTTTTTTTTTTTTTTTTTTTTTTTTAAGACACGTGGGCTGGGCTTGTAATACCTTCAGTAGGGGAGTATTGCGTGAGCTTTCCTTTAGTTTCAATGCTCCTTGCCGTTTGGCAAGGAGGCCAAGCCATTCTCCCTCTGTTGCTTTTTTTATTTATATATATATATATATGGCCTTGGGCCTTTGGAAGAATTTGTGAGCGCTTTACAAGAGCTGGGCCCTAGGTGGGCTTCGGCAAGGGGTTATAATTGGGGCTGGTTAGACCATCTCCAACCATGCGAGGTCAAACCTAAAATTTGAGATTTTTAGCCCAAAACCTTCTCCAACCCATGTATTTGGAGGGGGGGTAATTTGAGTGGACTGAAAAATGGGGTGGAATTTTGCCTAAGATTCCAGTCCAGGCAGAATTTTTGTGGGGCCCATTTCGCAAAAAGACAAGAGACACGTGAGGCCACATTTGAAGCAAATGATGGGATGTTGCCCACTACCCCAAGTTGCTGGCCACTTGTCAAAGCCTAGGCAACTTAAAAATTGGACTTCTATGGCTGCATTTAAAATGGGCTTCTTCCAATTTTTTTTTCAAACCTAAAGGCTAGAAATCAACGGCTGATATTAAATTTTGGCTGGATCAAAGGGAAAAAAATTAATCCAACAGATAAGATTTAAATCCAAAGGTCAAAATAAGTAAATATATTATTATAAGTTGGATGCAACCTCAAAACATATCCTAAACTCTATAAATACCCATCAATTTGTTAGTAAAATTATGTTTGTGAAATTTCAAAAAATTTATATCAAAATGTTCAAAAAAATAAATCACGAAGTAATATGCAAAATTAATTTTAAAAAAATTAACCACAAAAACAAAATAACATTATATTATTCTTTAATAATTTAATAAAGTTGCGGACTCAAATTATGAGTCCGCAAGATTGGAGGAAAAAACAATTTGAGTCTTAAAAATACATAAATAGTTGTATTTTGGAGGGTGAAAATTTGAGTTTGGCCTTAACATGGTTGGAGATGGTCTTACCCAAGTTTTAGGCAGAGGGTTAAGATGAGGGAAAATGGCTAAGGCCTTTCAGGCAGCTCATGGTTCGGCAGTACCGAAATTTGAGCTGGGCCTTCGGCAGAGTAAATGACAAGGCTAGGGTTTATAAGAGGAGCTGAGAAAAAAAAGAGAGAGTCGGGTGGTTTGTGTTCCGTTGCCTTTTCCAGAGCCGCATATGTTTTTGGTAAGTTTCCTTCGGCAAGCTTGGATTCGGCAAGGGTGAGTCATTGCAATAGCAGGGAGCAGGTCTGGCCTCCAGTGAGCTTGTTTCGGCAAGGTGCCCTAGGGCCATGACGCTGTAAGTGTTCCCCAAAATTTTTTATGAGCCTTGCCGTTCGGCAAGGCCAGCCCCCCTCCTGTTGTTTTTTGTTTTGTTTTGTTTTTTTTGTTGCTATTTCGTGCTCACCAGTTTGGCTTATACAGGACCTGCCGTTCGGCAAGGTGACCTGGAGGAGACTTGACGTGGCTGGAAGGTTGAGAGAACTTCCTGATTTCTACCGTTTTGGCAGGGTCTTCTCCGAGTCAGCAAGGGCCTGGGGTTGAAGCACCGAACCTTAGGAGCTGGGTCTCGGGTCTGGGTATTTCAGCAAGTGTTTGGGTAAGTTCTTGTCGAACCCACCTTTTGATTAGCTCAACCCTTGCCGTCGGCAAGGGTGGGGTGAGGATTTTACTCTGTCGCGCTTTGGTTTGCGCTTGATCTTTCTGAAATTTTCTGCGGTTGTTTCGGCAAGGGTGGTCTAGGTGTTTTGATTTTCAGCGGGCTCTAGAAGAAGAGTTGGAGCCGGGGAGCTTGGCTCTTTGATTTCCATCGAGAACTTCGACAAGAGAGGGTCGGGGATTGAACCTAGGTTCGGCACCATCCACCTGGGACAAGGATTTTTTTGTGAGCTGGTTCTGCAACATCCATTCGGTAGGTTGATTGGTGTCTTCGTAAGCCCCCTTTTTGAATTTCATGGGCCTTGCCCAAGTTGTTTGAATTGATGATCAGGATTTTTTGGTTGTTTGTTCCTTTGGCAGGTGAGTTGAGGAGCTGGGTATTTTGGTGGGTGCCTAGAGAAAATTTTGAATTTTCTGAAGTGTTATTGTGAGCTGTGACTTGGGTACGTGTTGGCAGATTCGGGATCTTTGAAGCTGGGCCCCCTCATGGTGCCCTTAGTGTTTTGGCTCAAGTGTATTTGGAGCTGAAGCTGTTTTCGTTGTGAACTTATTACAAGTGGGACTTGGGCTTGCCGATTTAGCGACTTGAAACCGTGATTTTGGTGAGTCCCCTTTTGGTTTGAATGGTGCTTGCCGTTCAGCAAGCTAGAGCAGGTGTACCCATTTCCTTTGGCGGGGTGGGGTTAAAGCTCTTGGGCTTGGCCTTTGGTGAGCTTAGGAATATGGCGCAACCCACAGCTTTTCGGAGCTGGGCCTTTAGTGAACCCAAGAATATTGGGCTTGGCTCAAGTCTTGCCGAAGCCAAAAGAGGAGCTGGGCGTAGAGTTGAGTTAAGGAGAGTCGGGCCTAGGATTTGGCAAATAGCTCGGGTTTGGGGCTGGTAGGAGCCCATTTTCTTCACACACGGGCCTTGCCGTTCGGCAAGGCCTATTTGTTCAATTGACAGGGCCTAGGTCCGTTCGGCAATTGAGCTGGGCTGTGGTAGACCGTGAGTCGGGCCTGATCAATGCTTTGGGTGTCTTGAGAAAACTGTGGTAGCATAGACCTTTGGTTGAGTTGGGCTGCTTTTCGAAGGAGGCTTCAACATATTGTCGGTTTGGGCTCCTTAATTGGTAGTTAGGCTCAAATATAGCCGGAGTCTGGGGTTTGGCAAGGTTCTGAATTTTGTGGCCTCTCGTTACTTTTGCACAGGCCTTGCCGTTCGGCAAGGTCCCTTCAACTTCCCCTTTCGTGTTTTTTTTTTTGAATAACTTGAAATTTGAATTTCAAATTGTTGCAGGTACAAGGATTTTGAGAGGGAAGGTGTAAGGGTGCCAGGGTTTCTTGTGTAACCTTAGGACTTTATAAATAGGAGCTTGGGGTTACGAAGGCATCATACTTGGAGAATTTGAGAGAAATTTCCACAAAGTGAGAAGGAGAAAAAGAGATTTCCGGCTAAATACCTCGCGGTGGTGCTATGGCCAAGGTGATTTCCGACGACTTTCCGTGGTGGTGCAAACAAAGTTAGACCTCATTTCCCTTGAATTTTTGAATTGAAATTCTAGTTTTGGTATGAACATGTTGAAGATTAGGATGAACACCTTGAACATTGGTATGAACCTGTTGAATGTATGCTTCTAGGTCAAAAAGCATGTAGGTGTGTCTTTCTTTTTGTGTTGTGTTTTCGATCCTTCTTGCATGTGCATTAGTTTCTTTTCCTTGTTTCTACAAATTGTAGATGTCTGAAAGTTCTGATAAAGAAAGTCCTGACCCCCTTGCCATTGGTGGGGATGATACCGAGAGTGAAGAGGCTAGTGAATATGTTTGTTATGAAGATGAGAGTTTCCAGACAGAGGGTCTGGTAAAAGGTATCATAGAAAGTAGGATGATAGTCCATAATGGTGAGATGGCTGGGCCATCAGTAGATTCTGGGTCAGAGGCATATAAGGAGATGTAGAAAAATTACAAAGTGTTAGAGGCTATAGCTGATCGGGTTCTAGCCTTGCCTCATACACCGGAGGTGGACTCGAGTAACCAAGCGTCACCATCAGGGTCTCTGGGTTTAGCCGTTGCTTCAGCTTCAGAGGGAGTAGATATACGGGTTGGTATCTCTTTGGCTAGGCGAAATGCACTTATTGAGGTAAAATTGGCCGAGCTTCGTACAGGTTATTGTGTTCCACCCTACGTGAGCTTGAGGTTACCCAGTGCTGCGGATGTAGTGAGATATCCTCTGGAGGGTTCAGTTATGATTTTCACGGATATGCACCAGCATGGCCTCAGACTACCCTTTCATCCTTGGATACAGATGATGTTGGCCAAGCTGGGGTATGCGCCAGGGCAATATAATCCCAACTTTTGGCTTCTTCTGCATGGAGTTTATATTGCTTGGTGGTTGGTTGGGTTGGGGGAGCCAACATTTGAGTAGTTTATTTATCTGTACTCGATCTTCAAGCAACATGGAACCTTTGGCTGGGTACAAGTCAATTGCCGAAAGGCAAAAGAGGGGTTATATTATTGGGCATAAGCCCAGTACGCAGAAGTCTTGGAGGAACAGATGGTGCTTAGCCTATGGTGATTGGGAGTGTCCTCCAGGGAAGACCATCTCCAGACGCATTCCAACCCACTTTTAATCTATAGGTCCTTAGCCCCATCCCTTAAGATTGATTGTTGTTTTGTAGTGTTTTTACTTGTGCTTTGACTCTTGAGTTTTCATTTTTGCTTGTGCAAGTGCAAATGACTGAGTTGTATCTAACCTTTGGTGCACGTTCGGTGAAGTAGGGACTGATATCCAAGGAGCGAGAAGACGAGGTTGAGAGGGTGAGGTCACTGTTGTCAGAGACCCAGCGCCAGTGCAAAAACCTAGTCACCCAGAAGAACTTGTACGAGTCTGGACTATTGCAAGGGAGTAAGTACTTGGGTCATTGTTGTTTGGCTTATGATTCCTTTCTGAAGTTGTGACTAGCTTAGCTTTTGATGTGCAGTGGTAAGTATCATAATGTGAAACACGAAGGTGGCTATGGATTTGGATGATCCCGAGATGCAAAAACGGCTGAGGGAGTCTTGGGCCAAAAAGGTGGAGAAAGGAGGTGCTCAGAAGGCCTGGTTGCTGATGTGCTGGGAAAGAAGAGAGCATTGGAGGAAGCTCACTGGAGTGTGATGGGGCAGGGCCGAGGCTTCCTTTGACCCGCAGGCGCCATCGAAGCTACCCTTCGAAAGCCTCGGCCCTGTTCCCATCACACTCCGGTGAGCTTCCTCCAGCGCTCTCTTTTTTCCCAGCACATCGGCAACCAGGCCTTCATCATCTTTATGACGCTTACCAATCGCTTGCTAAGCACCTCCTTTCTCCATCTTCTTGGCCCGAGACTCCCTCAGCCGTTTTTGCATCTCGGGATCATCCAGATCCATAGCCACCTTCGTGTTTCCCTTTATGATACCTACCACTGCATATCAAAAGCTAAGTTAGTCACAACTTCAGAAAGGAATCATAAGACAAACAATAGTGACCCAAGTACTTACTCCCTTGCAAGAGTCCGGACTCGTACAAGTTCTTCTGGGTGACTAGGTTTTTGCACTCGCGCTGGGTCTCAGACAATAGTGACCTCACCCTCTCAACCTTGTCTTCTAGCTCCTTGGAGATCGGTCCCCACTTCACCGAACCTGCACCAAAGGTTAGATACAACTCAGCCATTTACACTTGCACAAGCAAAAATGAAGACCTAAGAGTCAAAGCACCAGTAAAAACACTACAAAACAACAATCAGTCTTAAGGGATGGGGATAAGGACCTATAGACTGGAAGTGAGTTGGAATGTGTCTGGAGACGGTCTTCCCTGGAGGACACTCCCAATCATCATAGGCTAAGCACCATCTGTTCCTCCAAGACTTCTGCGTACTGGGCTTATGCCCAATAAAATACTCTTTTGCCTTTCGGCAATTGGCTTGTACCCAGCCAAAGGTTTCATGTTGCTTGGAGATCAAGTATAGATACATAAACTGCTCAAATGTTGGCTTCTCCAACCCAACCAACCGCCAAGCAATATAAACTCCATGCAGAAGAAGCCAAAAGTTGGGATTATATTGCCCCAGCGCATACCCCAGCTTGGCCAACATCATCTGTACCCAAGGATGAAAGGGTAGTCTGAGGCCATGCTGGTGCATATCCGTGAAAATTATAACTGATCCTTCCGGAGGATATCTAACTACATCCGCAACACTAGGTAACCTCAAGCCCACGTAGGGTGGAACACAATAACCTGTCCAAAGCTCGGCCAATTTTACCTCAGTAAGTGTATTCCGCCTAGCCAAAGGGATACCAACCCGTATATCTACTCCTTTTGAAGCTGAAGTAACGGCTAAACCCAGCGCCCCTGATGGTGATGATTGGTTGCTCGAGCCCACCTCCGGTGTATGAGGCAAGGCTAGAACCTTATCAGCTATAGCCTTCAACACTTTGTAATTTTTCTACATCTCCTTATGTGCCTCTGACCCAGAATCTACTGATGGCCCAGCCATCTCACCATCATGGACTATCATCCTACTTTCTATGATACCTTCTACCAGACCCTCTGTCTGGGAACTCTCATCTTCATAACAAACATATTCACTGGCCTCTTCACTTTCGGTATCATCCCCACCAAAGGCAAGGGGGTCAGGACTTTCTTTATCAGAACTTTCAAACATTTACAATTTGTAGAAACAAGGAAAAGAAACTAATGCACATGCAAGAAGGATCGAAAACACAAGAACACAAAAAGAAAGACACACCTACATGCTTTTTGACCTAGAAGCATACATTCAACAGGTTCATACCAATGTTCAAGGTGTTCATCCTAATCTTCAACATGTTCATACCAAAAGTAGAATTTCAATTCAAAAATTCAAGGGAAATAAGGTCTAACTTTGTTTGCACCACCACGGAAAGTCGTCGGAAATCACCTTGGCCACAGCACCACCGCGAGGTATTTAGTTGGAAATCTCTTTTTCTCCTTCTCACTTTCTGAAAATTTCTCTCAAATTCTCACTACATCCGCAATATGGAGGACGTTTAGGACGAGGGGATGGAGAAGGTGGACTTCTCCAGGCTGCGTCGGCAGAAGGAGGTGAATCTGGTCGTCCATCGGCAGGAGGTTCCCTTGTTCAATGTCTTTCTAGAAGGCGCGAAGTGTGACCCTGAGGTTCTAGCGAGGACCCTGGCCACTTCCTATGCAGATCGGGCCCAGAAGACCTTCCTTACTCATGCCTATGTAAGTTGTCTTGCTTTATGAATTTGTTCTTGGCATTCCAGTTTGCCTTTGACTAATGATGTTTTGTGTTGTAGGCCTATGACGAGATGTACGTAAATATGGCCAAGGCAGATAAAGAGATCCAGAGGTTGAAGAGGCGTAAGGAGATGACCAAGGACAAGATAGTGGAGGCGCATGAGGCCATCCAAGAGAAGAACACCCTGGTGCTGCAGAAAGCGGCGATGGCCAAGGAGATGGAAGAGCTGAAGCAATCGAGGGCCGAGGAGATAGCTGCTACCCAAGCCGAAGCGATCGAGTCGTTTCGGAGTTCAGAGGAGCTGAGGAGCTACTTCATGGATCAGATGGTGGCGATGCAGCTGAGTTGGGAAGAGAGGTTGGCGAGGTTCAACCCGTCGGTCGAGATTAACTTTGATACGAGTGGCGAGCCTCCTTCACCTAGTCCTACCACCGATGCCGCTCCAGAGCCAGAGGCAGAGTCGGCTACCACGGATGCTCCATCTACCGAGTCTTGAAGGCGTACCTTCTTTATGTATTCTAGCTATTTAGTTGAAACACTTGATGTTTATTTATGTTTATGTATGAACATTTTGCCATGCTTGGGGCAAGACTATTTTGATTTGCTATAATATTAGACTTGTTGTCATTTGATATCAATTGTGCTAGCGAAATGATAACCATGTGATTGATGAGAATGAGCCAGAGTCGGGTGTTTCATTAAATATGTGCCGAAAGGCAAAAAGTACAAGAGTTGGTTTAATCAAGGCTCGAGATCAAAGTCTAAGAAAACATAATGTCCTAGGGTCTAGGTATGTTTACTTATAGTAGTACTTGAGGTGATCAGCATTCCAAGAATGAGGCAAGGTCTTGCCCTTGGGATCACGAAGCTGATAAGTGTCGGGGCGGCAGACTTTAGTAACCTCATAAGGACCTTCCCATGTTGGGCCCAAGGTACCTTTAGTAGGACTCTTGGTGGCCAAGGAAACCTTGCGCATAATCCAGTCCCTAATCTTGAAAGCACGGAGTTTGACCCGGGAGTCATAGTACTTAGCGATGCACTGTTTGTACGTGACATTGCGCATGTTGGATTGGTCACGAAGCTCATCAATGAAGTCGAGGTTCAGGGCTAACTGCTCGATATTGGCTTCGGCCTCATAAGTGGAGGTTCGATATGTGGGCTGGCCAATCTCCACTAGTGCCACGGCTTCAGTACTAAAGGAAAGAGAGAAAGGTGTTTCTCCCGTTGAGGTACGGAAGGTGGTGCAGTAGGATCAAAGAACCTTTGGGAGTAGCTCTAGCCAGCAACCCTTAGTTTTGTCAAGCTTGGTCTTTAGAGTTTTCTTGATGATCTTGTTCACGGCTTCGACTTGGCCATTGGACTGAGGATGGGCTGGGGAGGCGAAGCAAAGCTTTATCTTGAGGTTGGAACAAAATTGTTTGAACTTTGCATTGTCAAATTGCCGACCATTGTCTGTGACAATGGTGTTGGGGATGCCGAAGCGACATACGATATTTTGCCAAACAAAAGTTTCAATGTAGGCTGAAGTGATGGTGGCTAAGGCTTCGGCCTCATCCCACTTGGTGAAGTAGTCCACAGCTACAACTGCATACTTGACTTGGCCTTTGCCCTCAGGCATAGGTCCAATGAGGTCAAGTCCCCATTGGGCAAGTGGCCAAGGGCTAACCATGGCTGTCAATGGCTCAGCTGGAAGTTGTGGTATGTTGGCAAATTGCTGACACTTATCGCACTTCTGGGTGAAGGTCTGGGCATCAGTGTGAAGTGAGAGCCAGAAGTATCCTTGCCTAATGGTTTTATGTGCTAGTGACCGAGTGCCTGAATGATTGCCACAGATGCATTCATGGATTTCCCGGAGGACATAGTGACCTTCCTCTTGGGTCAGGCACCGAAGGTAGGGGAGGCTGAAGCCACGCTTGTATAGAGCGCTATTGATGATTAGGTATCGAGCAGAGCGATAGCGAACACGCCGTGCTTCAGCAGGATCAGCAGATAGTGTCTGGTTCTGCAAAAACTGAAGGATGAGGTCCATCCATGTGGGGCTGTGATCGATGGCGTAGATGTGTGATGCCCGTGTGCTGGTTGATCCAAGATTTCCATGTGGATATTGCAGCCGATGCCTTGCTCTATGGCCGAGGCTAACCTAGCTAGAGCATCGGCATGGCTGTTCTCAGAGCATGGCACCTGGCTTATGAGGTAAGCATCGAAAGTTGTAAGCAAATGGCGGGTATGTTGGAGGTAGGCTATCATGGAGACGTCCTTGGCAGTGAAGTCTCTTGGTGGACAACGAGCTGTGAGTCGCTGAATATTTGAATTTGCTTGGCGCCCATCTCCTTGGCTAGCCAAAGGCCAGCTAAGAGTGCTTCGTATTCGGCCTCATTGTTGGAGGCATGGAATTTGAAGCGGATGGCGTACTCAAGGACAATCTTGTCTGGGGAGATGAGAACGAGGTCAGCTCCACATCCCTGGCATTGGAAGAGCCATCCACATATAAGGTCCATAAGGGCTGAGTCAAGTCTAGGGTGCCGTTGCTGGCAACGTGGACTTGGCTCGAGGTAGGAGTAGGCTTGATTGTAATCTGTGGACTGGTCAAAGCATGAGGTTCGGTGAATTCGGATATGAAGTTAGCCACGGCTTGGCCCTTTGTGGCTGGGCGGGGTTTGTAGTGGATATCAAACTCACCAAGTTCAATGACCCACTTAACTAACCTCCCAGAAGTCTCCGGCTTCTGCAACATTTGCCTAAGTGGTTGGTTGGTTAAGACATAAATGGTATGAGCTTGAAAGTACGGTATGAGGCGCCTAGCCGAAACCACCAGGGCGAATGCCAATTTCTCAATGTCTGGGTACCGAACCTCGGCATCTTGTAATGCTTTGTTGACATAATGCACTGGGTGCTCAGTACTCTCCTTTGGCTGGATGAACACAGAACTAACCGCTGTAGCCGAGACGGAGAGATAAATCATGAGGGTGTCTCTAGGCTCAGGTATTGACAATAAAGGGGCTCGGCTCATATACTCCTTTAGCTCGCTGGAAGCCTTGTCACACTCAGCGGTCCAGGTAATGCTTCGCTTCCTACCCTTAAGTGCCTTGAAGAATGGGGCGCATCGATCAGTAGCCTTAGAGATGAATCTGGTCAGGGCTGCGACACGCCCGGTAAGGCTCTGAATGTCCTTGACCGTCTTGGGTATCGTCATGTCTAAGATGGCTTGGATCTTCTCTGGATTGGCCTCAATACCTCTCTGGCTGATCATGAAGCCAAGGAATTGGCCTGAAGTCACCTCGAATGCATACTTTGTGGGGTTGAGCCTCATTCTATACTTCTTTAAGATGGTGAACATGGCAGACAGGTTAGGGATGTGCTAGTCAGCAGTGTGACTCTTGACCAGCATGTCATCAACATAAACCTCCATGGTGTTTCCAATTAGTGGGGCGAAGAGACTATTCACCAGGCGTTGATAAGTAGCCCCAGCATTCTTGAGCCCAAAGGGCATCACTTTGTAGCAGTATAGACCACGATCTATAATGAAGGAGGTATGGGCTTGGTCATTAGGGTGCATGAAGATTGGTTGTACCCAGAGTAAGCATCCATGAAGCTCAGGAGAGCGTGGCCAGCTATGGCGTCAACAAGCTGGTCGATGCGGGGTAAGGGGAAGCTATCTTTTGGGCAGGCCCGATTAAGATTGGTGTAGTCTACACACATGCGCTAGCCCTTTTTGTTCTTGCGGACCATCACCACATTAGCCAGCCAGGTGGGATAGTCCACCTCTTTGATAAATCCAATGGTACTTAGCTTATCCACCTCTGCCCTTATGGCCTCATACCGCTCCGAGTCATAAGCACGACGCTTCTGCCGAACGGGTTGGACGGTAGGGTTAATGCTTATCGGATGGGAGATGATATCTGGTGATATGCCAGGCATGTTATTGTATGACCAAGCGAAGACCTCAGAGTTAAGGCGGAGGAAGGCGACAAGATCAGAGCGAAGCTCTTGTGAGAGGGAGGTGCCGATCCTAACCTGCCGATCCGGGATGTCCTCATTAAGAGTAACCAATTCAAGGTCTTCCATAGGTTCGGCTTGTTGGGTGACAGACTCCTCCCTAGGGTCTTCTGGTCGCTTGGTGCCAGCTCGAGGTGGGGCTGGGGCCTGGGTTACTACGAGGGCCTCACCCCTATGTTGGCGATTGCTGGACTTCACTGCTGAAGCATAGCAGCTTCGAGCGCCAAGTTGGTCGCTGCGCACTGTGCCTGTGCCATAGGGCGTAGGGAATTTCAGCAGCAACATATGTGTGGAAATGAAAACCTTCATTTGGGCCATGGCAGGGCGCCCAAGGATGACGTTGTAGGCTGTGGGGCAGTCAATAATTAGGAAGGGAGTGGTGATTGTCCTCCGCTATGGTGCTGCTCCAATAGAGATAGGGAGATGAATGCTTCCAATGGGTTGGACCATCTCACCAGAGAAGCTCACAAGGGGTGTATTGCTTCGGTCGAGTAAGTAAGATGGGACCTGGAGCTCATTGAAAGAATTAGCAAACATCACACTGACCGAGCTGCCAGTGTCCACCAAGATACGCTCAACATCGAAGTTAGAAATGTCGGCACGGATAATGATTGGGTCATCATGAGGGAGAATAACACCATGCTCCTCCTCCTCGCAGAAGGTAATGGGAGCCCAGCCTGATTTATGTGTCTTCGACAGGCGTCCTTTCTCAGCGCTGAAGACCTGGTGCGCATAGGTGGAGCGAACATAATGCTTGATAGAGTTGTTGGAGGTTCCAGCCATGGTAGGACCACCACTGATGGTTGAGATCATGTTGATCTGCCGTTGGTGAGGGTTAGGTGGGGGTGGAAGGTTGTGCACGTATTTATCCAGCTTCCCCTTACGAATAAGTCCTTCAATGATGTTGCGTAAGGCAACATAAGATTCGGTATCGTGGCCACTGAACTGATGAAAGCGACAGAAGACACCTGTGTTGGGCATAGGCTTGCTGCTTGGTCTCTGGGGGGAGGCTTGGGTATGATAGGTGCCTCGTGCACCAGGACATTCTCGAAGGTAGTGTTCAGGGTGGTGAAGACCTCGAACCTAGGCTTGGGTGAGAAGGGGAGTGGAGCCCGATCACCTGTCCTGTGTGGGTTGCTTCCGCTGGACAGGTGGTGGTTGCCATGTTTGCCCCGCTTGTTATTGCTGAAGGTATGCTAGTAGCTATCCTTCCGCTTGGGGTGCTGGGCACCTTGGGTACTTGGGGCGGGAGTAGAATGTTGAGGTGGGGCTGGGGTGGGTACTAAAGCAGGTGGAGGATCAGCAAAAGGATTATGCGCTGGGGTGGCTGGGCCACGCTTGGAGTTGAGGTACTCAACCTTGGCATGAACTGCTGCCTGCTTCATTAGTTTAGCATATGTGTTCCAAGGGTTGTTGTGCACCAGGTACCGAAAGTTGGACTCTCGGAGGCCACTCTTAAAAGCACCGAAGGCATCGCGGTCATTAGTCTCCGGGCAGAGAGAATATTCGTGGCTGAACCGGGCTGCAAACTCCCTAAGTGGCTCGTCCTCACCCTGCCGAAGCATGTACAGGTCGTCCGCGGAGTATAGGCGATCAGTCTTGATCATTAAATGGTTTAGGAAGGCCTGCTTTAGATTGTCAAATGTGTTGATGGTGCAGGGGTTCAGCCTGTAGAACCAATTCAGGGCCGCATCACTGAGGGTGGATGGGAAGAGGAGGCACATGCCTTCGTCCGTTAAGCCCTTGCACCCCAGGGCAGACTGGAAATAATGTATGTGGGTGAGAGGATCCTCTGTGCTAGTGTAGAAGGCGAAGTAGAGGGGCTGGATTTCTTTCTCTGGTGGTAATTAAGGATACGTTCGGTAAAGGGCCAGGTCGTGGCTTCGTCCAGAGGGGTTGGTGGTTATGCTGTTGCTCGCTCTCCAAGCGCCGGACCTTCTCAAAGAGAAGCCTTATGGCTGGGTAAGCGTGAGGGAGGGTCCCGGGTGCTGAAGGTCTGAGGTGTGGGTGGCTAGGGGCTGGATAAGGTTCAGGTTCATCGAGCGCCTCGGTGTGATAAGACTCGTAGTCTTCTGAGTAATCCTGCCCCCCGTTCTCTGAGTCCCCTATACCTTCTCCAGCGGGTAGGTGGGTAGGTTTCGGTGGGGGGCCCAGGTGCGTCACCTTTGGGTCTTGGAGATTAATGGGGATAGGAATGGGTTCCGTCTGACGGTCCAAGATACGGTCCCTGCAATCCTTGTAGACCTTTGTTGGTTCATGGGGCCAGTTCCTCGGCGGGGAGATGCGGAGGAGCCGCGACTTGGTTGTCTCCGGATGGAGGGGACCCTTACCCTTGCTAGGCCTAGGCTGGATTGGGACACTATGGTGGGAGTGCTCCGGTTAGTTTGCCTGGGTACGCTCAGGTTCCTGGGTAAGGCTACGTTGGGAGCCCTGAGCCTGATTCATCTCCCAGTTACGCTTCAACGTGCGGTAGTCATGTTCCAGCTCAACGTTCTTGGCATGAAGATGGTCATACTTCTCGGACATCTTGGTGACACTGGCTCGGAGGAGCTCCACCTCGGCCTGGAGATTGACCTTTGCTGAAGGTCTCCTCTAGGAGGTACCCCCATGGGGGGTATGGTGCTGAGTATCGTGGCTATCCTCGGTAGGCATAGCTGAGTGTGGAGTGAAGAAGAGGTGATGGGGCCGGATAGGAGAAGGAGCCAGCTGGGCTGGTAGAGAAAAATGGGATTCAAGTATCGTTTCCCACAGAAGGCGCCAAACTCTTGATGCTCTTTTTCGGAGAGGGTCAACTTAGAAAAAAGGGGGTTTGTCTTCAACAGGAGAAGGGCCTGGACCTTCAATAAGAGGCTAGCCTGCAGAAGACCAAAATAGGAGAAGCAGTCGTTAAGCTTCTTACACCGGTGTGGTGCTGGCTGAAGGCTCTCCGATGCTTAAGTCAGCTAAGAGTAGTAACTTTAGCAGAGTAACAGTAAAAGGTAAGAAAGTAGTTACCCTTTTTACTAAGGTAAGAAAGTGGGAGTTTTGTGTAGATTTCCAATGTGGGACTTTGTGCAAGTCGCTGTGGTGGTGACACGTGTCATGGAAAGTAGTTTTGGCAATTTGGGAGTGTTGAGGCCCAAAAATCCAAGGGGCTAAACCCAAATTAATCCTTGGCCCAACACAGGTGATTGAATGCAAAATAGGCTCAATCGGGACAAAAGAGAATTCATGGGACTCGCCAATGCAAGCTATAAGCCATGTATCATGCCAAGCAAGCACGTGCAAAGGGGCCAAGAGCATGCCAACATCGCAAAATCACGCTTACATATCCCTACGATGCTACTTGGCCCAATTATAGCCCATCGCGGCATAATAAAATCCAAGCATAAGCATAGGCCTCACACAAGAAAAAGCCTTATTCTAATACCAAGTCGTGCCACGAGCATAAGTGGACCCAAGCCACAAGATCAACCGAGGCTTACTGAGAAGGTTGTGGTATGGAAGGAAACGAGCAATCACAGGGTCCATTGAGGGTTCAGGGGACGTAAGTTTTTAAGCCACTTGGGGGCTTTAAAACTCAAGCCTGTTCCTAGAACCCAAGCACATGGGTTAGCATGAGAGAGAAGAGAAAATTGCCCATGCTATAGGAAGACACCAAGTAACCTACCAAAATATTTAGCCCAACCCACATCAATAGAGTGCCCCAAAGAAATTAGCAAAAGCCCTTTCCAGCAGTTTGACGAAAATCCATTAGAAATAATAGGCAAGCAACCAAACGTTATGCACAAGCCCAGTCCAGCAGCTTGTGGAAAAGCTATTGTTGTGTTCCACCTCTGATAAGACTCCAAACAAGTCAGACAAAGGGCCAAGGCAAGAACCAGTAGAAATTCATGGGTAAAGGGCAAATATCCATCGGACAAAAGGCTCCATCCATCTCTTTCCCCATTACAAGCTCTGTTTTGAAAACGTTGAGGAAAAGCAAAGTGGCACCTCACCCTTGTGGGGAGGTCCAGCTGCATCGAAGTCGTTGGAACCACAATGGTTCTTTTCCCATATGTCTTGATAGGAGAATTGCACCAAAATAGGACTAAGTAGGGAGCTGCCAAGGGAAAAGGAAGAGGAAGACCAGACAAAATTAGGGTTCTTCATGCCTATAAAAGGAGGCTTTTTGCTACCCAGAAAAACCAACCATTTCAGAGGCCTGACCAAGCTTTGTCAAAGCATCTGAGAATTCACTCAAGACACCCAATCTCCTCTTTTGTTCGTTTCTTCTCCCTCTTAGGATAGGAATCGTTCTAATCTTGCTCGGTTCACTTTAGGCTCTGGTTCTCCATAAGAAATTCATGTCTCTCTCTCTCTCTCTCTCAAATTGCTAAACTTATGAAAGCTTAGCTCCTCAGGCTAAGCCATTAGTGAAATTTTCATGCTTATTTGGGTGTTAGTAAAGTAATCCCAAGGGTGTTCTTTTAAAATCTCATTAGATTTTCTAAAAACTCTTTTGGGAGCTTGTTTTCGAACTCAGGCATTTGGGGGATTTTGTTCGTCGTCTTCTTACAGCAGCCCAAGCCCATTCGTCAGGCTGCTGGAACAAAAAACCCCCTACAGGGAGCTTTGGCAGGTGCTTGGCACCTCGAAGAGTGTCTTCCTTCGGCATGAGAGAAGGCGTGTCTGCCTTTGGTGTTAGTCGCTTTGAGGCTGGATAGGCTCGGTTGATTATGGTGTAAACATTAATATCAATGAGTCTGGTTACAGTTGCTAGTGCTTGCCAGGCAACTAAGGGAATTAAAATTTCATGTAAAATTCAGTGACGTATTTAACCCAGTTACTCAACCCCGCAAAATATCATGTAATTCGACATACACATCATAGTGAAGTTCAAAATACAAGTCAATACTTTATGCACCAAATAAAAAATAAAAAATTCAGCAAAAACATTATTATATCAGAATACCAAGTTTTAATAGAGAATTCTAGACTTATAATACAAATTATACAATATCAAAGGGGAAAAAGAAAGTTAGCCAAGTCAGAGATAGAAAGATAAAGGATGCAAGTTTCATGTAATTATTTGCAACCTTTTGCAACATTGACGCTTTAGCCTGTACCATATGATTAAGTTTGTAATGTTTGGAAGTAATTAAATGTAATTTTTTATTTATGTCGAAGTCTCTTCTAGGAATTTAAAAGGTATGCTTCCGGCATAGAGTTTCAGCACGATTTCTTTTAGTGATCACATTTTTATTATATAAAATACCATCAGCTAGTGAATTTTTGGCTAATAATCTAAATAAAATATCCACATTTCCTATATAATTAATCTCGGAAGAGATATAGTGTTATAAGAAGACATAAGTCCATTAGAAAACAATGAAAGTCCTTGAAGAGGCATGGATACCCAGTGACTATGAAATGTCTATATCTTCTGCATACATAAAGGGAAATGTGGGTGTACAAATTGACGATCATCAATTATATTGTTTATAGTATGTACTAAAGTTATCAAGGGCTATGATGATATTGATCCACGTTTTATTATGATTGTCGACAATGTAAAGAAAGATTGGCCAAACTAGAAGAGGCAATCGTAAAATTGAATATTTTTGGAGAATTGGTACAAACAGAAACGAAATGAACCAAAAAAAATGATTGAGACAAATCAAAGACTATTGCAAAAAAAAAATATAAAAAAATAACATGCATGCAAGGAGAAACAAACCACTGAAAAAAACAAGGGTTCTTTTTTATTTTAAAAATAAATTCTTTTTATTTGTTTATTATTTTATTTTATCCATTTCAGGCAAGGAAACATAACTTATCTCTTCAACAAGTTGTCTTCTTGTTTTAACTCTAGCAGAAAGATTGCCAATGATGAGAACACTAGGATGATTCTTACTGACCTAAGGAGCAAGGGTAGGTTCCACAGGTTTTGTGTGAACAACCTCATGAGTGATAAGCTCAATAGATTTAGGTGGAGGTGGTTCAGTGACAACTGACATAGGGTTTTCCTTTCCCACATCATACAGGATGATGCCGAGACATCAGACCACCAACCAAAGAAGCTGTATGAGCATTGACAGTTGGGTGCATATCCAACCATTTCCAAGGTTGGCACCAGCCTTAACATCTTCCCAGAAGTTTTGGTTATATCCAGGCTAATCTTGGGAGGTTATGAAGGAGCTCTCTAAATTCAAACTAGTGTAGAGATACTTTGGTATCACATGTTGACAACCCAACTGCCTCCCACATAAATGAGGGTTGTATGCCTCCACTCCATAGACATACTGATGATATCTACTGCCACCATATGGCAAGTCTTTTGGGAGCAGGCATGCAAATGCCTTAGCAGCAAACTCTTCCTTGGCTTTGCCTGCTTGAGGAGGGGTCTCACAAATCAGCCTATTATTAAACCAAGGATACCTCCTCTGGACACTAGCCAACCATTGAATCTCTGTTCTCTAAGTATTGTGCCTAAAGATAGCCAAGCAGAAGGCTGTAGTTGGCTCATAGAGTGCGCTCTCAATTAGGGTTTGCATAGGCACAACTTCATCCTTAAATCTTACCCCAGACATTCTCAATTTTGGGAAATACCACTGTAGTCACATCTGGACCGTTCAAATTGGTCCATTGATGTTCATATTGATAGGGTCCACTGTCACATCATGCAGACATCTGTAGATGGAGGCCAACACCCACTGATCGGTGGCTACATTCGAGTGGGTATGCAATGCCTCTGCCGAATGTCGCCACTCCACTTGAACACAGTTGGAGGCACTTGGGAAAATAAACCAATTAATCCAATATAATAAGAATGTCATGTGTTCTTGTTCTATATCCTTGTTGTACTTAGCCTGAAGTGCTCTATGATTTTCGAGAAGGTTGAGTGGTCAGTTATTTCTTTGTTTGAAGTTGAACATTCCATCTTCAACTTCTCTCCCTGGCTAAGATGCCTAGTCACCAATACAGTTAGGGACTGTTCCATGAAGTCTAAAGCCAAACATGGCTGCCATATCTAAGAGAGTTAGCGTCATGGACCAACTCCAAAATCAAAGGTGTTGGAGGAGCTATTTCAGAACATCAAGGTAGAGGCTAGAAGGGATGACTCTGGTTTCAAGTCCTGAAGGCTAAACAGAATGGCGTCATAAATGCCATTAGCCTTCCAGTAAGAGCCAAACTGAGGTTTCATGTCTAGCACCCAATCTTGCCAAGGACTACCATGTCTCATTGGCTCCCTATGAGGATACAACTACCTAATTTGGCATCCCAATTCTCCCAGCATGGAGTATAAGAGCGCCTAAACAGGATATTGGCAACTGGTTTGCTAGTTACATACTTAAGCCCTAACACCATATTTCTATCAAGGAGGGATATGAAGTTCCAACATATTACCCCTCCTTGTCTGGTCTCAGCCAGGGCCTCCAACCGTGCTTTGTTTTGCTACCGTTCGAGAAGAACCCCATCTCCAATAAGAAAGGGGGCCGCTTGAATAATTTTTTCTTCCTCAGTTTCCTTCCTCTTCAGCATCTTCCTTGGTGCCATTTTTGTCCGATGAGTGTGGAAACTTGAGCAAAAAATGTCTGAATTTCTTTGTAAATTGAGGGTCTGTTTGAAAAACATAGAATTGGAAGCGTTCGGAGAAAATGGGGCTATTGATGATGTTTATACCAAAATGAACAGCCAATGAGCATCGGACACGTGGACCGATCTAGAACTATGGGAGCCTTCGGCACCTAGCTTTAGTGCCGCGCCTACCGATCGCACGATTAGGGCAACCTCAACCCCAGGGACACGTGGCAGTCCCACATTTGATGTCCACAGTCCCACATCGAAACTTTAAATAAATTGCACACCTCCCAAGGCTTATAAAAGAGGACAACTATCCTAGCTTAGAGGTAATCAATCAGAACTTACGGCACACTGCATATTAGTCAGGGTCGTGTAATTAATACTTGGGCTGATATTATTAACCGCGCTAACCTTGGTATGGAAGTTATGCATGAACGTAATGCTCATAATTTCCCTCTAGATCTAGCTGCTGTTGAAGTTCCATCTATAAATGGATAAGACTTTGGTCTTAGTATATACGAGTTCTTGAAAGTAAAGGAGCAATAATAAATTACTTAAGCATCGGAGAGCCTTCGGCCGGTACCACACCGATGCCCTAGGTCTTACTGAGAGTTCGCTATATTGCAGATCGAACGCCCTACCGAGGCCCAGAGCATACCAAAGGCCCAATATCCCTAAGTTGCGCGGAAAAGTGCCGAACCATTTTTCTGCGTCAACAGTTTGGCGCCGTCTGTGGGAAACGATAATAATCAACCTACAATTCCTAAAAAACACATGGGAACCACTTCAGGACCATCGTTCTTACTCGAGGACGGACTACCATACCGCATGCCAAGCGGGGCAAGCCCCGTGCTGCACCCTAGCACTCCCTTCAGTAATCCTCCGGTAATTCAGACTACGGTGGAAGCAGAGCTCTTGGCTCAAATGATTTCCCTTCAGAAGGAAATGGCCAAGCTCCAAGAATATAACAACCTCCTCTCATCCAAAGTAGACGAAACTCAGCGGCTGCTTAATCAGCAGGAAATGCAGAATATCTAATCTACAGAACCTTCCCAAAGTCTGCAGACCCCCTGTCGGTAGAAGAAAGGGAAGAAGGGGGCAAAGGCAACGCCTGTGCCTTCCAAACAGCTGGTAGTCCCAGCCCCTCGGGACCAGCCCCATATACCAAAGAAAGTCTAAGCCGACTGTTGCCATCGGCTCAAAGACATGGATGCCGAACGGCAGAGGTCCCCAGCCAAGATCAACGCACACTTACGGGACTCACGAATGAGGGTCCTTGGAGACAAATTGCCCCTCAGAAAGGTCCAAGGTTTGGGGTCAGAGGCAGAATCTAATGACGAGTATGCCCCCTCCAAGGGCACCGAGTCACAATACCGTTCGGAAACTCCCACGGAGTATTCGAAGGCAAGAGAACCAAGTCCGAGGAAAACCTCCGAAGACTATATTTCTGAGGAGATCCCAAGCCAAGACCCTGCAATCCGTCTGCTCTTCCAGAGAATCCAGAAGATGGAGGACGACCGAACCCGGTCTCAGGAGCCTGATTGGGGGAAACTTCGGTCAGGACCCTTTACCGAACGCATCAAGAAGTCCAGACCGGACAGGGAGGTACAACCGTTGCGAATACCGTTTTACACTGGCGTGGAAGACCCCTTACCACACCTTCACTCCTTCCAATCGGCAGTAGGATGCAAGGGCCTCGGCGATGAGGGACAATGCCTGCTATTCCCATCCTCCCTTACCGGAGCAGCTCTGAACTGGTTCTACCATCTTGAACCAGGAACGGTAGACTCATTCGACGAGCTAAAGCAGATTTTTCTAAATCATTTCATGATCCAGACGGACCGTCTGTACTCTGCCGACGACCTGTACACGGTTCGACAGAGAGAAGACGAACCCCTACGGGAATATGCCACACGCTTCAATCATGAGTACTCGAGGTGTCCGGAGACGGACGATAGGGCAGCCTACGACGCCTTCAAGAGTGGCCTTCGGTCCTCTCACTTTCGGTACCTAGTACACAGTAGCAACTGGTGCACTTATGACGAGCTGATGAAGCAGGCGGCGGCCCACGCCAAGGCCGAATACTTCAACTCCAAGCCCGGGCCTTCAGCTCGGTAGGAGGGATCGACAACGAAGAGCTATCCCGGGCGGACTAACGATTCTTCGACAGGCCACAAGCAGAAGGATGATCGTGATCATCGACAGGGTAACTCAAAGAAGGGGCGTGGGAAATACAGTCGCAACGACCACCGAGTGCCGCTGCCGAATCACGACGGCGCTTAGGAAGTCTTCACCCTGCTGAACACGACATATAAGGCCATCTTGATGAACGAGCATGACCAAATCCCGAAGCCAAACCACCGAAAGCCTAATCGGCAGGATAATCGGGATATCGGCAAATTCTATCGGTACCACCAGCAAAACAGCCACAACACTGAAGACTGCATTAGTTTGAGGAAGATCGTTGAACGGCTGATTCGGGAGGGAAAACTAAACCAATACATCGCCAGGCCGCAGCAGGCGCTCGCCCCCAAACGCCAATCGGCAAATCAACATGATCAGCACGATCAGCGGAGGCCCCACTCTAGCGGGACCCTACAATCGGTCAACAAAACAATATGTGCGTGCCGCTCACTACCCCCAAGTCTTCGGCATTGAAGACAATTGGTGCCGCAAGGTCCCGAAGGTGGGATGGGAGCCCATCACATTTTGCGAAGAAGAGGAAGAATGGATCATTTACCCCCACGATGACCCAATGATCATTCGGGCCGAAATGGCCGATTACGATGTAGGTCGGGTGCTGATTGACACTGGGAGTTCGGTGAATGTGATTTTTGCCGATGCATTCAAAGGTCCAGCCAGTCGGCAAATAACGCCTCTCCTCAGTTTTTCTGAGGATCTGGCCCAGCCAGTCGGCAGTATCAGTCTGCCCATCGCCTTCGGCGTCGCCCCCAGGAAAACGATGAACTACGACCAATTCCTCATCGTCGACTGCCCAACGGCATACAACATCATCATAGGGCGAACGGCACTCACCAGAGTCAAAGCCCACATGTCCCCCCACATGTTGCTGATGAAATTCCCTATCCACAATGGTACTGGCGTTATCCAGGGTGACCAGCTCAGCGCACGGACGTGCTATGCCACTGCTCTCAAATCAGTAGCTTGCAAGCCGCCAATGGAAGCCATGTCTGTGCAAGGACTACCGAACGGTAGCGGGCCCATAGACGTCCCAAGAGAGGAAACGCCAATGCCGGTGGCGCAGCCTGCCGAAGAGCTCGAAACAGTGATCCTGAACGAGGATTTTCCCGATTGGCGGGTAAAAATTGGCACCAACCTAGGTCCCGACCTACGGAGGCAGTTCATTGACTTCTTGCGGCAACAGGCGAAGGTCTTCGCCTGGTCTTAGGACGATATGCCCGGCATATCACCTGACGTCATCAGCCACAAGCTCAGCATCTCCCCTGCTCATAAACCAGTTAGACAAAAGCGTCGTTCGTATGATGCCGAACGGTACGAGGCTATGCGTACCGAAGTTGACAAGCTCAAAGCCATCGGCTTTATCAGGGAAGCTACGTACCCTGTCTGGCTTGCCAACTCAGTAATAGTTCGAAAGGCCAAGGGAGGATGGTGAATGTGTCAGGACTATACCGACCTGAATAAGGCATGTCCGAAGGACAGTTTCCCATTGCCGAGAATCGACCAGCTCGTTGACGCAACTGCTGGACACGAGCTGCTCAGCTTCATGGACGCCTATTCAGGGTACAACCAGATCTTCATGGACCCTGCCGATAGCGAGCATACGGCTTTCATCACCGACAGCGGGTTGTACTGTTACAATGTCATGCCTTTCGGCCTGAAGAACGCGGGGGCAACGTACCAACGGCTCGTCAACCGGATGTTTGCTAAGCACATCGACGACATTATGGAAGTATATTTCGACGACATGTTGGTAAAAAGCCGAGCGGCAGGGGGGCATCTGGAAAACCTAACCAACAAAGTGTGCCTTCGGTGTATCTTCGGGTAAATTTCTCGGATTCATGATCAGCCAAAAAGGAATCGAGGCCAATCCCAAGAAAATCAAAGCCATAATCGACATGGAGACGCCGAAGATGCAGAAGGACATTCAAAGCCTTGCCGGACGTGTCGCTGCCTTGACGCGCTTCATCTCCAAGGCTACTGATAAGTGCGTACCGTTATTCAAAGCCTTGAAAGGGGGCAAACATCATATTGCATGGACTCTCGAATGCGACCAGGCATTTTAAGACTTGAAGAACTACATGAGCAGGGCACCATTGTTGTCAAAACCGCTTCCCGGGGAAGTTCTCCTCCTCTACCTTTGGGTATCAAGCACTGCCATTAGCTCGGTATTGATACGGAAGCCGGAGAAGGTAGAGCTACCAATTTTTTATGTCAGCAAGGCTCTTCAAAGCGCGGAGCTTCGGTACCATCCCTTGGAATAGCTAGCACTTGCCCTTGTTGTCTCGGCGCGAAGGCTCCGCCCATACTTCCAAGCACACGAGATCACGGTATTGACCATTCAGCCCCTTCGGCAGGTACTTCAAAAGCCAGAAACGTCCGGCAGGTTGGTCAAATGGGCGATCGAGTAGTTCAAGCCAAGGCCTGCGAAGAAAGGTCAAGCCGTCGCCGACTACATCTCCAAGCTCACACCTGCGCCGTTGGAAGCACCCTATCCAGACGATGTTATTATGGAACCAGGAAACATGGTGAATCAAATAACGGCAGACTTCGCAGCGAAGGATGCCTCTATGTCCGCCTACCTATCGGCAGCCCACCAACTCCTACAAAGGTTCTAGGCTTACAAGATTCAACAGATCCCAAGGTCAAAGAACAGCCACACCGATGTGCTCTCGTGTTTGGCTTCGGCAATCAATGACAAGATCGGAAGGAAGGTGCCGGTGGAGATATTATCCCAGCCAAGCACGAAAACGGCGAAGGTGTGTACCGTACGGTACGAGGACACATGGATGTCTCCAATTTACGCATTCCTGATGAATGGAACCCTACCCACCGATAGTCCCAAGCTCGGAAGCTCCGTTACCGATCGGCAAGATACACAGTCATCGACGATGTTTTGTACAAGCGAGGCTACACCACGTTGTATCTGAAATGCCTCACTAAGGAGCAGGGGGACTACGTCCTCTGGGAAGTTCACAGTGGGGTCTGCGGTGACCACTCAGGGTCCAGATCGCTAGCGCACAAAGTCTTCCGGCAGGGGTATTTCTGGCCGACCCTACACCAAGATGCGAATGTCTTAGTCAAGAAGTGAGACAAATGCCAACGGTTCGGTAGTGTCCCTCACATCCCTGCCGAGCCTCTCTCACCGATCGTAAGTCCGTGGCCTTTCGCCCAATGGGGACTGGACTTGATTGGCCCGATGCCGCAAGGTAAGGGCTAGGTCAAATATGCTGTTGTTGCCGTAGATTACTTCACCAAATGGGTAGAGGCCGAACCCTTGGCTACGATAACGGCAACCAAAATGGAAGATTTCATTTGGATGAACATTTGCTGCCGATTCAGAATCCCCTACGCAATCATCAGCGATAACTGAAGCGATGAACAAAATTGTCAAGAAGCTATTGAAACGGCAGCTTGACAAAGCCAAAGGAGCCTGGCCTGAGAAGCTTCCAGAGGCGTTATGGGCCATCCGGACATCCTACCGAACGGCAACCAGGGAAACACCGTTCTCCTTGGCTTTTGGCTTAGAAGCGATAGTCCTAGTGGAAATCGAAGAGCCCTCCTACCAAACAGAAGCTTTCGCACCAAATGCGAATGAGGAGGCGCTCGCCTTGAGCCTCGACCTGATCGAAGAACGCCGAGCACAAGCCAACCTTCGGAACGAAGCTTACAAGCAGCGCATCTCTCGGTACTATGACTCCAGGGTCAGATCCCGCTCGTTCCGAGTCGGAGATTGGGTCATGCGAAAAGTCTCTCTAGCAACTAAGGATCCCAGGGAAGGAACCCTCGGACCTTCCTGGGAAGGACCTTACGAGATCATTGGCATCCAGCGATCGGGGACTTATCGACTGAGGGACTCCAACGGAAAGACCCTCGGGCATCCTTGGAACATAGAGCATTTGAAATACTACTTTAAATGAAGTCACCTAGCTTACGGCAGGAAGAAAACATTGTTAAAGCCTTCGGCTTATTCTTACTCATAGCCTACGGCAGGTTTGCAATTGTAAAACAAACTCCAAATCTATCTTTGCCATCGGCAATTATTAATGAAAAGGCCTTCGGCACTTATATTAACAACCTTCGGTGTTTTCATTTTAAAGATGCGGTGGAGACCATCGGTCGCAGTATACTACAATTTTAAACCCTTTTATTAGCCTTCGGCAATTAAGGTACCGCGGTAGTCTTTCCTACTGACAAAAGTTTAACTTGTTTTTTACTAAGGTTGTTCACTTCAGAGTTACTGTTACTAGCCCTCGGCAGTAAAGTTTTAAGCCCTAAGTTGCTTACCGATCCAAGGATCACTTGAAATTTGAACTTATACAAGCCTACGGCAGTTAAGTCAATCATCCTGCCTTCAGCAGTTACAATGATTAATTTTCAACTTCGGAAGTTAGCTTGTACTAGCCTACGACAGTTAAGTCAATCATACCAAAAGTAAAGCTACTTGACACTCAACTATGAAAATTAAAGCTGTTTAAATTAAAAGATGCCCTCGGCATCAAGGTGTTCAGAATACATTGCCTCATGACAGATTACATTTAATAAAAACTTAAACAAAGCTCAAGCGGCAGTATCCTCCTCGGCATCAGGGGCAACGGGCTCTTCCAAGGCGTCCTCCACTTCGTACTCTTCTATCATCTCCAAGAGCTCAACCAGCTTTAGTTGACAATGAGAAGAAGCTTTTGGAGAAGATTATCCATGGCCTCAGTCTCGGCAGCGACCCCATCGCCTTTAGCAGTATCCTCCTCGGCATCGGCATGAGCCTCTTCTGGCTCCCCCTCGTAGTCCTTGATCATTTCTTCGGTTATGCCTTCAGGAAGAGGGGGAGGATCGGCAATGAAGTTGAGGTTGAGCTTTTTTCCAGGGTTGTACCGCTTGAAACGGTAGAGCAGATCCGCCATTTCCGAGCCCACTTCCTTGTCAAGCAAGGTAGTGAACTCTGAAGACTAACGGTACCCCCGTATTGCCTCATAGACGGCAGCCTCGATCTTCGAAGCCCTGACCCGCTCCGACTCCTCAAAGGCCACCTGGATCGCCTCCTTCGACTTCAGAGCCTCTTTTGCAGCTAGCTGCGCCGACTCCAGGGCTGCCGACATTTCACCGAGCTTGGCTTGATAAACTTTAACCTGCCGTTCGGCAGCCTGCATGTCCTTCGCCAAGTTCGCCTGAGCTTGGATAGCCTTGCCAGCCTCGGCAACCTTAGCCCTGCCGTCCTCATAGGCCTACTTCACCTTTTCGGCGGCATTAATGGCTTGCTTGATGCACAGCCACATGTCCATTGAAGCTTGAAGAGCAAAGGAAAATGTCATACAAGGATGGAAACAAATGGTAGGAAAAGCTGAGAATGGTTAGGCACTTACCGAAGCTTGAAGACGGAAAGGAGGGTCTTCGGCAGGTCCTCGATCTCGGACAGCTCCATTTGTGAACCGAGGATCATGTGGTTCACAAACTGGACCGTTTTCGAAGGACAGGCCAGAGTTACAGCTTCGGCAGGCGCCTCGTCATCCTCAGCCGCGAAGATGGCCCGGGCAGGCTCGGCCTGTCGCCCGCGCTTTGGAGCGGGATCGGCCTCCAAATCGACTGTGAATGGCCTTTTACCGGCAGCTTTGGAGGAGGTACCCTCGGTAGGCATACCTCGACTGGGAGACGGACGGGCAGCCGCCGCTTCGGCATGCGCTGATTCAGTGTTCATCTGACGACGACGCTCGTTGAGGGTTAGGTCCTTGGGGTCGACCCCTCCCGATGTTGCCGGTACCGTTTCCGGCCGCCGGCCCTTTTTCTTCTTCCCCTGCATGCCGAGAATCAGGCGCCGCTTGGAGGACTCGTTCATCCTCTTTGCCTCGGCAGTCCTCCTCTCTTCGGTCACTACAAAGCGAAGATCAGTCAGATTTCTCATTATGACTTTAAACTGTGTGAAAATGAACAAGTACACTTACTCTCGGCAGGGTTGACAAGTTGAGCTTTAATAAGATTGGTGGTGAAAAGGAACTTCGGGTAAATTCTCTCCACGGCAGGGACCTTCAGCCTCACCCTCTCGATTTGCTGGATCTCCGCCTGGGTAGCGCTCGACCGATTCAATTTGCCTGCACAAAAAAGAAATGGAACTAAATTTTCTAAAGGACGATACACTAGGAGGCCTACCGAACGGTACGATGGCCTACCGACAATTTGGAAGGTAGTGGGAATGTGGAAACGGATGGGATGTCCCGAAGGCGACTCCCAATCACCGGACAGAAGCACCCGCCATTTCCTCCACGTCTTTTGGGAGGTTGGCACGGCACTGACAAAATGGCCGCGCTCGGTAGCCTTCAGGCAGTTAGCCTGAACCCAACCCCCGTGGTCAGCAGACTTCGACTTCGTAACACTGTACAGATGGGAGAACTGTTCGTACGAAGGCTCTCCCTCGCCAGCCATGCCTAAGGGTATGACCACACCCATTAGTGCTACCCAGAAGTTGGGGTTGAACTGGCCGGGAGCATAGCCTATCTGCGCCAGGATTCTCTGAACGGTGGGTTGCGGAGGAAGCCTCACTCCTTGCAGAAGTACGTCCGTGCAAAAGACGACTTCGCCATCCTTCAGCTTGCTTAGAGATTCAGTAGGCTTTGGAATCCTCATCCCTACCGAATCTGGTATGAAATACTCGGTAATCCTGTTGGGCTCCAAATAATCTACGCCAAAAACGAGATCCTTCAGAACCCCCATCGGCACCCTAGGATTGTCGGGATAGACTACTGAAACCCTCTGCCGAGGAGATGGTTCGGCAGTAGACTCTCCACGGCCGGAAGTGGAGGCCTCTGACTGGCGACTAGCGCTCGCCTCCCTAGGTAGGGCTTGACTAACGTGGCGACCGTCGCTATAGACAATAGCCAACGGTACCGGTGCAGTCATTAGCCCCTTCCCGATGCCGTGTGTAGGAACGGAGCTGGGCCCTTCACCGAGTATCTCAACATCGGTATCACTTCCGTCCCCGGCATCGGGGACTGACGCTTCACTGTCAGAGTCAAAGAGACCTTCTGATGACTCCTCACCGAACGCGTTGGGCTCGCGCTGCCGGATGCTATCCTACCGATCCCTACATCGCTCCCTATGGCAACTAGACTACCGAATGGAACCCTATGGTCAGTCTAGTTCAAACCAAGGAAGGAAGTAATAATTGTTAAGGGTGAGAGTAAAATTGGAAGAGAAACACGAACTGCGCTTCAGATCGTCTGAACGGAAATCGCTTTTCTTGCCGTTCGCACTGCCGGAAATCGCCTGATTACCATTAGCCCTTGTCTGAAATCGCCTTGAATACCGGAAGCTCTCGTCGAAAATCGCCTCAACAGAGCTCTCGCTTCTCACAAAATACAAAGTGATTTCGCCTCCAGGGTCATCCCTATTTATAGGGAGAGGGGTCGCAACGGTATACCTCGAAAAACCAAACGGAGCATTAATGCGCCGCGCACCATGATTACTCTCGCCACGTGTCGCTCATCCTATGGGGGACTGACGGCACGCGAGGCACGGAGGACGAAGCGCCCAAATGTCCCTTCGCACGTCCACTCGACGCGACCTTCTGACTTCCTCGACGTCAGCCTGTGAATGGACAAGAACGAAAAGGCCAAAGTTGAGCCCCTCCACCAACTGGTTTTCCAAACGGTAGGACAACGTCTCCTCCCGAAGACAACTTCAAGTCCTCTTTCGAGAACTCTTGCAAGAGAACTTGGGGGACTCCTATTTATACCAAAATGAACAGCCAATGAGCATCGGACACGTGGACTGATCTAGAACTATGGGAGCCTTCGGCACCTAGCTTCAGTACCGCGCCTACCGATCGCACGATTAGGGCAACCTCACCCCCACGGACACGTGGTAGTCCCACATTTGATGTCCACAGTCCCACATCGAAACTTTAAAAAAATTGCATACCTCCCAAGGCCTATAAAAGAGGACAACTATCCCAGCTTAGAGGTAATCAATCAGAACTTACGGCATACTGCCTATTGATCTGTAGTTCAAACATACTAAATCCGTACTTACTTAAGCATCGGAGAGCCTTCGGCTGGTACCACACCGGTGCCCTAGGTCTTACCGAGCGTTTGCTATATTGCAGATCGAACGCCCTACCGAGGCCCAGAGCGTACCGAAGGCCTAATATCCCTAAGTTGTGCGGGAAAGTGCCAAACCATTTTTCTGTGTCAACAGATGAATTTAGGTTTCGATTTTCCTTTTTCTACTAAGTGCAGAAGGTAGGAGAAGAGGAATATCGTTCAGCCGTTTTTGAAAGAAAAAGAAACAATTACAAATTCAAAGGCATGGCGCATACATTCAATACCTAGAGATTTATCATGCAAGTAGGTGCCAACGCGTGGCCAATCACGAAGCATCACTTGAAAGGACATGGTTGTTAATTTTAACTGGTTTTATACAAACTGATTAAAATTAGGGGGCAAATGTTCGGACCAAAATTAACACAGGTTAATTCCTACAGTTAAAAAGCCAGTTATATGGTTCACAAACTGGGGCCCAAACCGCCAAGAGTTTATTTAGCATACGTGATGGCCCAATGACTAACACGGCCTAAAAGCCCTTTGGAAAAAGCCGGCCTCAAACATTTACCAGTGCATGATCAACCAGCGCTTCCGACACAAGTGTCAGAAGCTACAGTCCCACTTCGGACACTTGTGTCCAAAGCTACAATTCCATTTCGGACAGAAAATGTATGAGGTTACAATAAAATCCAATTAAAGTGTATTAACAACCGATCTAAGTGGTTTTTAATTACAGTTCATTTAAACAATCAATATGAGCTAATTAAATAGCAGTTTGCACTTGGGTAGAAAACAATTCAAACAGTTTGCACTTATTTTTTGAATTCTTTATGGCTTAAAGCAACAAAGCCCATCAATAGCCAACCTTTTTTCTGAGGACCTTGAAGCCTATAAATAGAGGAAGAAAGCTCAATATGAAAGGATCCAATAGTGAATCAATCAAACTTATTTTGAACAGCCTTCAAAATACGCTTACTCTCGACAACCTCGAAGTAACCCAGACTCAAACTCTTGCAAAGCGTCTCACTGCAGACCAAAGATGTGCCTTGAATCGAATCCTCTCCCTTTCACTGAGTTCCTAGTTGACAACTCCTTATTAGAATTCTATTCTTTTCCCAAACACATACTTTGTCTAGTTCCTAGTTGACAACTTCTGATTGGAATTGCATTGCTATTGTCTGTAATCTGTATGCTCTGCCAACATCGCTGGGTATGATTTGATAGTTGGTCTTCATTTTAACTCATTTAAATCAAAACTCCTATCTGTTGTTTGGAGAAGTTCTTATTGCAAATACACCTGACAAACTCTCATCAGACATACCTTCTGCACTGTCTCAAGTAGACTGGAGTTTCTATCTGATAGAATTTGTTTATGTCCAATAAGGCTTTTTAAGTTTTGTTGGACCCAACTTTACTTTTATTTGCATTCATCGTTAAGTCTCTCTCACTTCACCAACAAGCCACCGTTAGCTGCCAACGTACAACCTGCTAGCGGCCAGGGGCATCGCAGTGTTCAAAACCTGATGAACAAAATCATACTAAATGGTGGTGCGGCATGGCGGTGGTGGGAGATTAGTGGGATGTCATTTGACACATGGGATGTGTCATTTGACACATCATTCGAGATTCAAATTTAGTGCTCCTAACATTAGTGTTTACCAATTATATTGTTACTAATAATTTATCATGAGTGCTGATCGCTTTCACGCGTGTAAGAATTGGGAACAACTGAACTGGCTACATTAGATTGTATAGTAGAAATTTGATCTTCTGTTTAGTTGGTGGACCAAAATAAAAGTTGTGCAACCATTTCGGTCAAAAAACCTACTTTATTTATATTTTAATTCATATGGATGGTTTTACCCCTCAATTTAATCAGTAAATTGACACACTTTGACGGTATGACCAATTTGATACTAAATGGAGAGTTGAAGGACTATTGAAATGAAAATTTTAGATGATGGACCAAACCAAAATGAAACTCGAGCAAACGTTGGGGGACCATTTCCGTTAAAAACCCATAATTACTTAGTACAATCATAGATCTCACAATACATTCCATCAATGGTAATACATAATTAATAATTCAAACGTGTTGAACTCGGACATTTACCTTATTCCATGTTTCCAACAGTACAATATATTAAGCTAGAAGATAATCTAGATATCAAAAGCTACCCTACCATTTTATTGATAACACAAGATGAAGGCCGTGGCAGAGAACAGTACTAATGGCTAGCCCTCTTATCTGTACTCAGTAAGGAACCCTAGGATTCCGAGAAGCATATGCAAGCAGTTCCTCGTTGCTTTCAAATAAGGCCATCTTTTCTAGGCTCAGATTCACCCATGTTTCTATTCCATTGCCATCTCTTGTGTCCATGAGAACAGGTATATTGTTAACTGCAACAGAAACGTAGGACACCAGCTTGAGCAGACATACTTGTCTATGTTATCATTTTTCATTAGGTTGATGCACTGTTTCTGTTTTTCCCTTGCTTTGCTGGAATCGAATATCACTTCTGTAGCACAATGCTCCTTTACTTCTACAAGCGCTCCCCTGATTTTTGCCACCACGCCCTTCAAATCTATCACACTAGTACTCTGTCCAGAGTGAGAGTAGTGTGCTGTTGAAACATCCACTAGATTCCCAACCAAGTCTTCTGGCAAGGGCAGCACTGCGATTTTACGCATGTTCATAGCGTGAGAGAAGAATGATGGCATTAGTAGACTAGTCTGGGTCCCCAATATGTTTGATGATGATGACTTAGATGAAGCTTCATTTTGGCATTTCCAAATGACGGCGGAAATTGCTTCTACTCTTGTTGGTTTGGGCACAACTGAACTTGCAACTTTCGACTGGAGAGCAACAATCTTTTAGGCATCAAACACAAACCTCCTTGTCATCCATTTTTCTTTAGTGGCTTCCGTGGGTTGGAATGGCGGTGGCCCTGAGTTAGGCAAATATAGTTATGAAAACAGAGACGCTGCACCAAATTTGGGAAACATTTAACTTATTTGACTGATCATGGATAGTTGCAGTCCAACAATTGATGAAAGTGCTCAGTGTGTCGGTATCAGCAAACTTATGCAAAATGCTAAACCCAATTGCCATTCCACCACACTCGAACGAGTTGACTTGAACAAGAAGCAATGGGCCTGTGACCGATTCTCTGGACTCGAATTCAATAGGAAGGAACCGTCTTAACATCTCGGTATCTGGGTGTTCCAAAATCTCCAATAAGGAGCACGACTCGGGCTTTCACAAGTTCAGCTCCATCATCGTTACATTCGATCATGGCGTGACCTTTGATCCTTCCTGCTAAAGGGTAGAAGTGAGTGAGAGTTTTAGTTAAGGATTGCATTAGATGCTGATATCTTTCATTGGTGGCCATGACATTATTAGTAATAGCATCAGCAGGAGCATTGGGATAGAAGAGAAGGAGTGGGATGTAGATTTGAAGAGCCGTCTGATCAAAGTGAGAGAGCTTGTAATTTCTAAGGTGATCAGGAGTTGGGGAGGATGGTTTAATTGTTTGCCTCTCGATAATTTCAACCTTGATTTGTGTGGCCATTTTGCTCAAGTGATGCAAGTAGAAATGTGAGTTGGATCGATGCACTTCAAGAAAATTGGGTATTTACAAAGTGCATTGCGTGCCATAAATGACAATTCACGGCGTGCAGCTGCGTGCCACGAAAAGCCAAGCCGTAAAAAGCCTTTTCTTTTATGGCGTGCATTCGCTTGCCACAAGCGTTAATAAGGCACGCCAACGCCATGATTGAGTTCTTGTATCTGGTTTGGACAACTATTTACGGCGCATTTTACACGCCTTAGTTGGTATACATTACACGGCTTTTTTGGTGCGCCATAAAAGCTTTAATTTCATACTTACTAACGGCGCATTTTGCACGCCTTGATTCTATACTGAATAGAATATAACTTGTACTATTTATAAGCACAAGCCCTAATGCTGGCTGCCTCTCAAACATTTCAACCTTGATGAATTTGTTGATTAGTGGCTCAAACAGTAGTCAAAAGTGGAAATCACTTTCAGTGATTTTTATTTTTTATTTTTTATCGTGATTACTGGCTTGTCTTTGCATGGTAAGTGGGCTTCTATCAGAATTGTTGTTTTGTTTCTTTTATCTGTTGTAAGTTGTGTAACATGTGGAAAACAATATCATGCATGGCCGTCCTTGAACAACCACGTTTTGAATGGGAAAGATAATGAAATGTCAATTTCACCAGCTCTTCTTCTTGTCACAATAAATTATGTAGGGTGCGCTTTTACTTCAGAAGGAAAGATAATGAAATATTAATTTCACCAGCTCTTCTTCCAGTCAAAATAAATGCGGGGCCCGTCTGGTATCTGTTCTTCATAGGAACACACATAATATTGTGTAATTTGGTGAAAGCTAACATCTAGGTATCTGAAAAGCATGCAAATTGGGATGATGTTTCAGTAAAACAATATGGGTAGAATATTTTTCAAGTTATATTTCATTCTCCAAAAGAAAGTATTTATAGTACAAGGAGTAACCCTAGTAGGATTAAATTAGGAAACAAAATAAAAACCTAATTACACAATATTTGTACAAAAAAGGAAAGAAATATAATCCTAATAAACTAGGAAATAAATATCCTAATTAAGCTAGGATCTCGCTAACACTCCCCCTCAAGTTGGAGCAAAGATGTCACGCATGCCTAACTTGTCAAGCGGGTTGAGAAAGACCGTAGTAGACACAGCTTTCATAAGAACATCTGCCAGTTGATACTCGGATGATATAAATGGAAAAGAAATAATTTCAGCATCCAACTTCTCTTTAAAAAAATGTCGATCAACCTCCACGTGCTTTTGTACGATCATGTTGCACAGGGTTATGCACAATTGCAATTGCAGCTTTATTATCACAATACAAATCCATGGGTTTTCGAGGTCCAAACCCAAGATCTCTCAACAATCTTCTCAACCATAGTAACTCACACACACCTTGAGCCATTCCACGGTCCTTGGCCTCGGCACTAGACCTAGACACCACTTTTTGCTTTTTACTCCTCCAAGTAACAAGATTACCACCAACAAATGTGAAATACCTAGATGTAGAACGTCTATCAGTGACCGAACCAGCCCAATCAGCATCCGTATACCCTTCCACATCTGTATGACCATACTTGCAAAACATTAACCTCTTTCTAGGAGTTACTTTCAAATACCTCAAAATGCACATCACAGGACCCATATGATCTTCACTAGGAGAATGCATAAACTGACTCACTACATTTACCACATATGCAATATCAGGACGTGTATGAGATAAATAAATCAATTTCCCCACAAGTCGTTGATAACGCTCTTTATCTGTAGGGACTTGATCAGGATACAACCCCAACTTATGATTCTGTTCACTAGGAGTATCAATTGGTTTACAATCTAACATTCCAGTCTTTTGCAAGTAAATCCAAAATATACTTTCTTTGAGACAGAAAGATACCATGTTTAGATCTAGCAACTTCAATCCCAAGAAAGTACTTCAAATCACCCAATGACTTCATTTCAAACGCGGAAGCCAGATACTTCTGAAGATTTTGCATTTCTGCTTGATCATCTCCAGTCACAATCATATCATCAACATAAATAATTAAAGCTATCAATTTACCTTTATGTCGCTTTAGAAACAAAGTATGGTCTGAGTTACTCTTCACATACCCAAATTTCTTCATAGATGTTGCAAATCTCCCAAACCACGCTATTGGAGACTGCTTCAATCCATATAAAGACTTCCGCAGCTTACACACAACACCTTCCTGAAAGGTTACAGAAATACCAGTAGGGAGATCCATGTAAATCTCCTCTTTGAGGTCACCATGTAGAAACGCATTTTTGACATCGAACTGTGATAAGGGCCAATCATGGTTAGTAGCCAAGGACAATAGTACACGCAAAGTATTGAGCTTTGCCACTGGAGCAAAAGTCTCCAAATAATCCACTCCATAGGTCTGAGTATAACCCTTTGCTACCAATCTAGCCTTGTAACGGTCAATGGAACCATCAGCTTTATGCTTCAATGTAAACACCCATATGCATCCAACAGCTTTCTTCCCTTGTGGCAAAGGAACTAAATCCCATGTTTTATTCTTGTTCAAGGCATCCATTTCAACATTCATGGCATCCATCCATTTGGGGTTAGATAAAGCATCCTGCAGCTTAGTTGGCACACATACACTAAATAATTGACACAAATATGATGCATATGACTTAGACAAATGATGAGTTGACACATAATGGCTGATGGAATATTTAGACTTGGCATGTATATCAGGAGAATATTGTACTTTAGGTTTCCCACGAGTGGTTCGTGGGGGTAACTGATAAGTTGACATAGATAGATCATTAGAAATTACCTCACTTGATTCACTATAATGAGTAGATTGGGGCACTGGCAGGGCAGAGGGGGGGTATTGCATCAAACTCATCCATACAAGAATCACTGTCATTATTTTCAGATATATGCGACTGGTCACTTGCTTCAGTGTGACTGGTCGTTTCGACACCGAGAGCACCTGCTTCATCTCTAGATATGGGCGACCGTTCGAGTTCCAAAGATGCTGTTTTATCTGTTGCATATTTGATCACAAGTTCCATCTTCATATATGGGCAGCCGGTCACTTGGTTCAGTGCGATAGGTCGTTTTCTTCCTGAGAGCAGTATCTTCAAACACATCATTCTCCAATCCAAGACTCTCTAATTCACTCCCCATCTCCCCCTGAATTGGAGAGGAAGGAGAGACATAATAGGGCACTTCTTCATGGAAAGTCACGTCCAAAATAACATGCACCTTCTGGGTAGGTGGATGATAGCACTTATAACCTTTCTGAGTAGAAGAGTAACCCATAAAGACACATCGCAGAGCACAAGGATCAAGTTTACTCCGCTGATGAGAGTAGACATGAACATAGGCAACACACCCAAAAACTTTAGGGGGCAACTTGGAGACTGAGACAGAGGAAACATGGTCACCAAACACATCATGTGGAGTCTTGAAATCAAGAACCCGGCTATGAGTACGATTAATCAAATATGCAATAGATAAAACAGCATGCCCCCAAAGATGATGGGGAACAGACATATCCAACATAAGGGAGCGGGCAACTTCAAGTAACTGACGATTCTTGCTTTCAGACACACCATTCTGCTGAGGAAGAAAGATGCCAAAGTGTCATTCACATATTCACCTCCGTTATCAGTCCAGAATACTTTGACTTGAGCATGAAACTGAGTAGACACCATAGTACAGAACTCTGGAAGGATGGAAGCAACATCATGTTTATTTTTCAACAAGAAAACCGAAGTGAGTCGGGTACAATCATCAATAAATGTGACGAACCAACGAAACCCGTTTGAAGTAACGCGAGCCGGACCCCACACATCATAATGCACTAAATCAAAAGGCTTTGCAGCTTTACTGTCACTCAAAGGAAACACAGTGCGATGACTCTTGGCCAAAATACATGTCTCACACTTAAAACTAGACTCATCACAAGAGTGGAATAAAGATGGAAACAGACGCTTAAGGTAGCCAAATGACGGGTGTCCCAAGCGACGATGCCATAACCAAATTTGTTGTTTTTCTTTGATACTGCAACTTTGAAAAGTATTAACGACACGATCATGAACTGGTGCAGAAGGCAATGTCAAATAATATAACCCCCTATCCGTTTACCATACCTAATCATCTCGTGAGTCTTGAGATCCTGAACAGAGCAATGCGTAGGATAGAAAGTAGCAGAGGCATTAAGTGTATCAAGTAATCGAAAAATAGATAACAAGTTACAATGGATATTGGGAACTAGTAACAACAATGGAGTTATTACCCATGATTGCAGCAAAAACTCAACAGATTATGGCAAAGTATACAACGGAACACAGCAGAGGCACAAATACGACAGATGCAAGAAGACAAACACGAACACAGCAGAGTACACAGCGGAACACAGCAAAGGCACAAATACAGCAAATGCATGAACACAGGAATGGCACGAACACAGTAGAGGCACGACCACTACAACACAACACACAAACCCAAGAGGGCACACACAACATAGGTAGAGAAAAAAAAATGGGGATAGAACACGGGTGGGCACAATACACAGGTCACTAGAAAAGTTGGCTCTGATGCCAAGTCAAACAATATGGGTAGAATATTTTTCAGGTTATATTTCATTCTCCAAAAGAAAGTATTTATAGTACAAGGATGTAACCCTAGTGGGTCAAACTAGGAAACAAGATAAAAACCTAATTACACAATATCTGTACAAAAAAGGAAAGAAATATAATCCTAATAAACTAGGAAATAAATATCTTAATTAAGCTAGGATCTCGCTAATAGTTTGACCGACAAAGCTAGAAGCCCTTCAAAGTTCAAACTGCTGAATCTAAGACATCACAGTCAAACCTATAACAATCTACAACTGTTTCACTGGAAACCCTATTATGCAAATGTGGTTTCAAGTGGCTGTGAAAATCATTTCAAAATTGTAGCCCATCCAACTTCAATCGGATATTGTTGAGAATTAAGCTGCCTTAATTCAAGCTGCAAATGACAATCCTGCAGATTGATAATGAAGAGAATGAAGAAATCGAAGAACTTGGGAACCTCCTATTTTTAGTATTAGCTGTTAGCTTAGCTGTCTAATGACTAGTTTTATTTCCTTTTTGGGAAAATTCCTACAGCTGTAATTTCTATCTTTTTCAGCTATACCTTGATAACCAATTCTAGACTAGGTGTAAGGATCATAGCCTCCAATGATTATGTATGGCTGGAGATGAGTCCTTGCTACCTAAAATTTAGGCTCTGAGCTATTTTGGCAGTATGTGTCATGTATTTGAATGTGTGTTTGTGCTCATTTGCATCAAGAGAAATATACTGAACATTCTTCATTCTCTCTGCTCTTTCTCTTCTCTATATATAGTTTTTTCAAAAACGATTCTTTCCTTGCTCATATAACAAAAACTAAAATCCTCAAACATTAGTCACAGATTCAACATGGTATCAGAGCTCCTGGTCTGATTCCATAGAGAGGCGTGAGCTGTGAGAAAGAGGGCTTTCCTGAAATTCCTAAAAAGGATAAAGGTTCACTAAGACTCACATAAAAATGGTGGGATCAGGTTCTTCAGGTGGAGATTTACGAACTCCACAGTTTGATGGTGCAAACTACGATTTTGGGCAGTCGAAATGGAAACTATTCTCATAGCATATGATCTATGGGATGTAGTAGAGGTTGGAGTACAACCACAACCGATTCTTGAGGAGGAAGAAGGCTCTAGAGATAAAGAAAGTGAGGCTGAGCAAGTTCCAGTGGAAGCACCTACTATCTCTAGAGAAGATAAGATAAAAAAAAATGCCAAGGCATTGAGTCTTATTCAAGGAGTACTAACAGATGAGCTCTTTCCTCTCATCAGAAATGAGAAGACTGCAAAAGGAGCTTGGGATATTCTGAGAAGAGAGTTCAGATGAGATAAAAAGGTAAGAGTTGTAAAATTTCAGGCAATTAGAGCAGATTTTGAATATATGAGAATGACAGATGGTGAAAGTCTATATGCTTATTTGGCTAGGTTTTTTGGAACTGTGAATAATCTGAAATCACTTGGTGAAGATGTGACTAAAAACAGAATTGTGCAAAAGATTTTAATGAGTCTAGGTAGAAGACACAAGTCCATTGTGGCTATTATTGAAGAAACTAGAGACTTGAATGCTATTAGAGTTGAAGAAGTATTGCATCTGTCAAGGTCTATGATAAAAGAGAAGACTTGCATGATGAAATGGATAAATTGAGGAACTGAGAAAGCTTTTAGCAGTCTCAGGGTTGGGAATAACCAAGCCATTGGTACTAATAAAAGTTCACAGAGTAGACCAAATCAAAAATGGCAGGGACAAAATAAAAAGGGCTCAAATTGGTCTCAAGGTGGAAACTTTAACAACAACAATGGCTCAAACTGGAGTAATGGCTCTGGGGGGAACTGGAACAACAGTTTCAATTCACAAAACAAGCAAGGAAGTAGTAGTCAAGGTGGTGTGACACCACAGTGCCAAGTGTGCCAGAAATACCACTTTGGTGTGTGCAGATACAAAAGGAAACCTAAGTGTGGAAAATGTAATCGTTTTGGTCATACTGCAAAAGATTGTGAAGGTAACAAGCAAGTGGCCAACTGTGCAAAGGAGGAAGAGGTAACCACAGGCACCATGTTCTATGCTTGTCACTCTGAAAGTGTGAAAAACAGAAGTGTTTGGTTTGTGGACAATGCCTGCAGCAATCACATGACTTCTCAAGAGTCTGCATTGATAAATATAGACAGAACTGTGACTTGTAAAGTTAAAATGGGCACTGGAGATCTTGTGCAAGCAATTGGGAAAGACACTCTTGTAGTTGAAACTAAATGTGGGAAAAGATACATAAATGAAGTATTGCTAGTGCCAGGCATGGATGAGAATTTATTGAGTGTAGGTCAGATGATGGAGCATGGTTATTATGTTCCTTTTGGAGAAAACAAAGCAGTGGTATTTGATGATAGCAGTCTTAACAATGTGGTAGCAAAAATGCTTATGGCAGGAAATAGATGTTTTCCCCTTTAATTAGAGTCAATGACCCCTGCAGCAAGAAAGGCATATGTTTTTTAAGACTCTTGGGTCTGGCATAGAAGACTTGGGCATTTGAACTTTGCTAGTATGAAAAAGATGCAGCAGAAGGAAATGGTGGTTGGACTACCTGAGCTAACAGAAATAAGAGATGTGTGTGAAGGCTGTGTCTCAGGGAAGCAGCATAGAGAAAAATTTGACAAAGAGGGAGCATGGAGAGCAAGCTGTCCATTAGAGTTGGTGCACACAGACCTATGCAGACCAATGCAAAATGAGTCAATTGGTGGAAACAGGTACTTCATCACATTTATTGATGATTTCTCAAGGATGTGTTGGGTATATTTCCTCATAAATAAGTCTGACACCTTCAATGTGTTCAAGAAATTCAAAGCGTTTGTTGAACTGCAAAGTGGTTATAGTTTGAAAAGACTAAGGAGTGATAAAGGTGGTGAATACACCTCACATGAGTTCCTAGATTATTGTGCAAGCATGGGAATGGAGAGGCAACTAACCATTGCCTACTCTCCTTAGCAAAATGGAGTTGTGAGAGAAGAAATAGAACAATTGGAGAAATGGCAAGATCCATGATGACTGAGAAAGGTATCCCTGTGATTTTTTGGGCAAAAGCTGTAAGTACAGCAGTATATCTCCAAAATAGATGTTTTACAACGTCTGTGTCAAGCAAAACACCATTTGAAGCATTCACAGGAAGAAAGCCAGGAATCAAGCATCTGAAAGTGTTTGGTTGCATCTGTTATACACATGTTCCATCACCTTTGAGGCAGAAATTTGATGACAAGGCTAGAAAGGGAGTGTTTATGGGGTATGGAAGCTGTGAAAAGGGTTATAGGGTGTATGACATGCAATCTAAGAAGATTGTACTCTAAAGGAGTGTAATTTTCAGTGAGGACAAGTCATGGAATTGGAAGAGTGATCAAGAGGAATCTGTTCCAATACCTTTCAATCTTGAAGGAGATGAAATTGAAGATGAAAACAATGAAATACAACCTGATGGAACTCAGTTTGATGATGGTGGAAGTTCTCATCTAAACTCCACAGTTGGTGATTTAGTTGAGAATGTTAGTGGTAATGGCAGTCCAAACTCCACACCTAGTTCCACTCCAGTCAAATTAAAAACTCTGGAAGATATATATGCAAGGTGTCACATGTGCATCATAGAACCAGAGAATTATCAAGAAGTAGCTGGTGATTTAGCTTGGCAAAAAGCCATGAATGCAGAGTTGGAGATGATATAGAAGAATAATACAATTGGTTGAGAGACCGGCTGATAAACCTGTTATAGGTGTGAAATGGGTGTTTAAGACTAAGCTGAACTTGGATGGAACTGTTCAAAAACACAAAGCTAGGCTTGTAGCAAAAAGGTATGCACAGAAACCCGAGATTGACTACAATGAAACCTTTGCACCAGTGGCAAGGTTAGATACAATTCGAACTCTTATTGCACTTGCAGCACAAAAGGGTTGGAAACTATTTTAGCTGGACGTCAAGTCAGCATTTCTAAATGGTGTGCTCTAAAAATGCAGAACAGCCTGAAGGTTTTGAACTGAAAAATGCAGGTCTCAAGGTTTACAAGTTGAGAAAAGCCTTGTATACAGTGAGATTGATGCATATTTATCTATGTGCAAGTTCAAAAGAAGCATTAGTGAAGCTACTTTGTACACTAGATCTGATAATGAAGGAGGTTTAATCATTGTCTCAATCTATGTTGATGACATTGTTTATACTGGAAACAGTGAGAGGATGCTTGCTGAGTTTAAAAGGGAGATGATGCAGAGATATGAAATGTCAGATCTTGGACTCCTTCATCACTTCTTGGGCATGGGAATACTACAAACTAATCAAGGGGTTTCATTCATCAAAGCAAGTATGCCAAATCCTTGCTTGTGAAGTTTGGGCTTGAAGACTGCAAACCAGTATCCATTCCATTGCCTACTGGTGAGAGACTCAAGAAAGTGGATGGGAGTGAGTTAGCTGATGAAGGACTCTACAGGAAAATAGTGGGAAGTCTACTATACTTAACAACTAGACATGATCTAATGTATGCTGCCAGTTTGCTATCAAGGTTTATGACTAGTCCTACAAAGAAGCATATGGGAGTTGCAAGAAGGGTTCTAAGATATGTGCAAGGAACTCTTAATTATGGCATTGAGTATGTAAAGGATAAGTTTGCAATTCTCATTGGATTCTATGATGCAGATTGGGCAGGCAGTGAGGATGATAGCAGAAGCACTTATGGCTATGCATTTAGCTTTGGAAGTGGAGCATTCTCTTGGGCCTTTGTGAAACAAAATACAGTGGCACTATCAACAGCTGAAGCTGAGTATGTCTCAACATCTGAGGCAACAGCACAGGCTATTTGGTTAAGGTTTGTTCTTGATGACTTTGGTGAAATGCAAACTGAGGCAACACCCCTATTCTGTGACAATATGTCAACAATTTCTACGGCTAAGAATCCAGTTTTTCATCAAAGGACTAGACATATAAATAGAAGGTATCATTTCATAAGGGAGGCTCTACAAGAAGGGGTGGTTGACATGAAATTCTACAGAAGTGAAGAACAACTTGCAGATATTTTTACAAAAGCATTGCCTAAAGTCAGATTTAATCAACTAAGGTTGAAGCTTGGAGTTAAGCCAGTAAGCAGCTTAGGAGAGGCTGTTGGGAATTAAGCTACATACTAAGCTTAATTCAAGCTGCAAATGACAATCTTGCAGATTGATAATGAAGAGAATGAAGAAATCAAAGAACTTGGGAACTTCCTATTTTTAGTATTAGCTGTTAGCTTAGCTGTCTAACGACTAGTTTTATTTCCTTTTTGGGAAAATTCCTACAGCTGTAATTCCTATCTTTTTCAGCTGTACCTTGATAACCAATTCTAGCCTAGGTGTAAGGATCGTAGCATCCAATGATTATGTATGCCTGGAGATGAGTCCTTGCTACCTAAAATTTAGGCTCTCAGCTATTTTGGCAGTATGTGTCATGTATTTGAGTGTGTGTTTATGCTCATTTGCATCAAGAGAAATATACTGAACATTCTTCATTCTCTCTGCTCTTTCTCTTCTCTATATACAGTTTTTTCAAAAACGATTCTATCCTTGCTCATATAAAAAAAACTAAAATCCTCAAACATTAGTCACAGATTCAACAGATACGAGTTCCCAAATCATGCAACACCATCAAGGCCACTCTGCCACTTACAAAGGGAGCTGGTCCTGACAAAGGAACTGTGCTTATTTACTGAAAAGGTAAATAACAAGGATGACTACCTTTCAATTGAAAAATACATGCTCTCTCCAGAATTCATTACATGGAACGAATGAGTCATAGAGAGTCAACAAGAATGTCTCATTTGTCAAATTTATTAGACTAATTACCTACAAAGGGTTAAGTCATTAACATATTTTGTTAAGTGAACTCTAGAATTATGGTGAAAGAAAAAGTCATACTCTACCCAACCACACTTTTCTACACCTATCTAAGTAAGTCTACCAACAAGCAGAGTTTCATCTTCTTCATCATCCTCACCTTAATATATTATTTATCTCAAAACTTTCATATGTTTTCACTTTTTATGCTATTGTCGCTTCTCCCAATTAGGTCAAATAATCCCCAAATGGAAGGAAATATTTCACCTAGGGTTTTTATTTAATTTGGTTACCACAGCATTTTTCTCATATTATACATGTGTTTGCAAACTCAGGTCACGTTATATTTGTTGGTGGAAGGTCTTGGCTATTTATATTGTTTTTGACTTATGGTGTGTATTAATTGGTCATGTGAAAACTGGTGTTATGCCACCTATCTAACTAGTTAAATGTGGTTTGGGTGAAAAACTTAGTTGCAATAGGGATAACACTGGTTTGCTATATCTAGCCAATAAGGTAATGCCACATGGAAGTATTTTTATCACACGTATTATAACATTTTTGACCAAAAATAGCAAAATAATATTATTTGCATTTCATGAAACCCTTTCTCCTTTCTCCTGTCTTAGGACAAGAGATCATTATCTAATTGAACGACCTGTATATTGGATGACATTCTTATTAGTGACAAGTGATATGCCACGATTCTCGCTGTGGTGCATCAGCTGTACCGGTACAGCCGATCACGTGACTTTTTTTCAAAAACAAGGGAAACCTGCTGACCTGGTCAACAAGTAAATGATTTCACGAGCTGCTACTAAGGTCAACAGGTAAACGATTTCATGCCCACACTCAGTCAACGTTCTTCTTCCTCAAAGTGGTATGGTTCAACTTCAAACTGATAATCTTCATGGTCTTCAAAGTCATCTTCTTCAACTCCTCTTCTGTAGAAAGTTTCTTCCTCCTCTCTGCAACCTTTCTCTCTTCTTTGTCATCATTGTCAACAACCCCCTATTCTAGGGTTTGGATTTTGGGGATAATTTTAGGGGTTAGCATTTTGGGTTGATAATATGAATTGGAATTCAGTTTTTCTAGTCACTGGTGGGTTGTTGGCACTCCTCTTGTCTGCAATTGAGCCATTGTAAAAGCATTTGGTATTAGTTCCTTGTGAAGGTAAGTTAACACTATGTTTTATGTTATTGTTAATTGAAATTCTATAGTGATGACTTGGGGCAAGAGGGGAAGTAGGTTTCTCACATTCATGAGATGAAGTGGGTTTCTCATTCTGAAAGTGTCGTGAGGTGAAGTGGCTATCTCACATTCATGGTTGTAATGTTCATGCAATTGCATATGTCTATATGCAATTACTAATCACCTGTATGCAAATCCAAGTCACTGAATGCAATTACAGTATATAGTTTTGTTTTTGAATTATGCAAGTGAGGTGATTTTGTGGTAGGTAGGTAGGTTTGACTGTGTTTTTGAATATTTTGTTATGGAGCGTAAAGTGTTCCGAATGTGTAATGTTAAGATTGGTTAAGATTTGGATTGGGATTTGAAAGGATTGAGAATCCCAACCCAAGAGAGAAATGCATGGGTGGGTTGTGAGCATTATTTGTGCAATGTTATAATGGAGGGTTGATGCACTTGCAAGTAGTGTCGTGCAATTGCATATCAGTATATGCAATTACTGAGCGATTGCAAGTAGTGTCGTGCAATTGCATATCGGTATATGCAATTATAGAGCGACTGTGTGCAAATCCTGGTCACCGTATTTTTGTAATTAAGCAATGTGATGTTGTGGTGTTTAAGGGGTTTAGGGTGTATTAGGCTTTGGATTAGTATTTAGATTCTCATTGCTAGAGACAATTGCATGATAGTGTTGTGTACTTGATTTTTGCAAGTTATGGAAGCTCAAAAAAGAGGTGAAGCGAAAGGAAAGCACAAGGCCGAGAGTAATGTACAACAAGCAAGAGTTGGCCGGGATGCATTTTTTAATTTCATGTAAGTTACACGTACATTTAAAAATTGGAAATGTGGTTGCTTCATATTATGATGGTTTTTTGATTAAAAATAAATGATTGACAGGAAAAATAAATGGGGAAAGTGGCCAATGCAAATGGCAATGGAATGGATCAGTTTATTAATTAGTTTATTAAAAAGGCTCTTTTTGAACTGTCGTTCGTCCTACTCCTCTGTATTGTGGAGTTGTATAGTCTCGACGGCTCAAATCGGTGGCAGAGGACGGGTCAGACTCACTTGAATCGTCTCAGAGCTGCGTCGAGCTTTCGTACCTGCAATCGTTGTGTCGTCGTGGGAAGATGTGTTAGAGTTGTTGGGTGGTGCTGCGTTCATGGCAACAGCGGTTGCAGCGCTGATATTCGGTGTTTGTACAGAACATCATCTACTCAACAAGATTGCCATCTTCTCCAATTCCTATTTCCCGTATGTTATTATCTCTCTATTGCTTGTTCATTTTGGCTTTTGTGATAAAGTTAAGGTATTGGGATTGGAAATTCATAAAGCAATCAAATTGGAATTTTAGAATTGTGAGTTGGTCAATTTGATAATTATGAGAAATATTTAGAGTGTTCATGTTGAGGAAAATATGAATCCATCATCTCAAATGGGACCTTTTTACTAATTTATTGATTACTTTTCATTTTCATGGATTTATTGCATTGTTTTCTAATTATGGGAAATGAATTGGTGCGTTTCATCTACTAAATCTTCAGCTTTCTGTTATTGAAATAGTTTGCAAGTTGAGTAGAAATGTTTAGAAAAAGAACTCTGTGGATTCTTCTTTGAGGGTCTCTTGCTTGGTGAGAATTGTAGAGTCATGGAAAGGGGAAGTGGGTAGACATAGCCAAACTCTCACCCAGAAGCAGCTCCTCATCACTTTCATGTGGTACAACAAAATTTCAGGCCAAAGCTTCACCATCAATGTTGGGGACAAAGACAATACCTCTTCACCATTCAAATTCAACTTCAATTCACATGCATCTGGCTGGGAGATTTTAGTTCCCACGCATCTGGCTTCTCTTGGTTGTTGTTTCTTTGTTTTTTCTCTCTTATTTTTTAATTTATTTAGAGCAACAAGTTTGGGTTTGGTGAATTTTTCTTCCTTCAAGCGTGATGATTTCAGTTTCTCTATGTTATGTAAATTCTGATATTTTGTTTCTTTGAGTAGCTAACTTGGAAGCATGTATTGGAATTAAATTGTTGTAGAACATAGGTCAATTGCCATATCGAATGTGTTCTTGTAAATGCCATACACTTAACAGAGAATCATACAACTCGAGTCAAATGCCATGATCTTGTTGTGAGTGTCGTCAACATATGCTTGCTAGAATTGGTTATCTATTTTTGTTTATGGATTGATTGATTGTTTGGAGGTGGATAGTAAGTCCTAGCTATTGTTCTTTATTACTTTTAAACCAATTTCTCTTAAACTCTAATTTAAATTCTATTTTTTTTTCTTTTCCTTATTTTGTTTTATTCACAAAATCAAATCAAAACCCCCCTTGGTGTTGGCATGTGTGTGGAAGTCCTTGTGGTTTCAGCAGTTTTTTGCTCAATTTCTAGTGGAGTCATATTCTTATCAGTACGAGTCAATGGAATGGGCCCCTGACCTTTGATTTCCATATAAAGGACACGACGAGCATAAATACCTTCTTTAATTTCTATTCTGATGGATTGAATGTCTTTCATAAGGAATCGGAGGAATATGCGACGATTTTTTCTAGGAAATCCCCAACGAAAAATACACACTACGCCCTCTTTTAAATCGAATTGATCATAACCACTACCTACATTCCACGAAATTGTGCACCACAAATAAGAGCTAATAAAAAGACTTGCGATCCCATAGAAAGACATCACGATCCCTTGTGAAAAAAAATATTATTTGCTAAGAAGGAAATAAAGATATAAAATTCCTACCAAAATAACTGGACGTTCCAACCAATAAAAACCCTAATGACCCTAAAAAGAAGAATAAAGGCCCAGCAGAAATTACTTGTTTTTCGAGACCTAGCTATAAGTTCTATCCATATACGTTCTCATCGCCAACTCATACTTTAACTAGACCTAGTTGCATTTTATTGGAATTGGGAGAATAACAAAAATAAATTTTATTTTACTTTTTTTTGTTTCCGAAGTAACTCTCATCAACCAGCACTATTATTATGTGGACGTTTAGGGGTAATTCATCGAATTTCTTTGATCCAAACTAAAATAGTAACATCCCTTTCACATGATTTCTGAATACATATAGATATATTGACTTTACATTCCAGAAATTCTCCCCGATCCTGATCTATTTGAAAATAGTTATAATTTATTTACCTTTAATATCATGTTTATACATACATAAGAGCTTATGCCTGAAGGAAGCCACATGTTATACCATATTCTACTAAATAGATATCTATGTTGTGATCCGAGTAACGCAACCCCTACTTAGTTGAACTAGCATCAACAAGCTGAGCGTATTTCCTAAACATCTCAAGGCCGATCTCAACGAACGCAACCTCTACTTTCACATGAATAAATAGCCCGTTTGTTTGAAAAAGTTGGTTGGGTTTATTTTTCCGAGGAATGGGCAACTTTACTCAACGAACGCACCCCTTGCATTCGCTTGAACAAATAGTCCGTTTGTTTGAAAAAGTAAGTTGGTTGGGTCCATTTTTCCAGGGAACGAGCAACTTTATTGAACGAACCACACCTGCCGTACGCTTGAACAAATAGCCCGTTTGTTTGAGAAAGTAAGTTGGTTGGGTCCATTTTTCCGAGGAACGGACAACTTTACACAACAAACACAATCCTTGCGTTAGCGTGAAAAAATAGTATGTTTGTTTGAAACAGTAAGGTTGTTGGGTCAATTTTTCTGGGGAACGGGCAACTTTATTGAACGAACGCACCCTTTGCGCTTGCTTGAACAAACATCCCGTTTGTTTGAAAAAGTAAGTTGGTTAGGTTAAGTTTTATGGGGAACAAGCAACTTTACTCAACAAACGCAACCCTTGCGTTTGTGTGAACAAATAGCCCGTTTTTTTAAAAAAGAAAGTTAGATGGGCTCTTTTTTCAGGAAAACGAGAAACTTTACTGAACGAACGCACCCCTTACATTCGCTTGCAAAAATAGCCCGTTGGTTTGAAAAAGTAAATTGGTTAGGTCTATTTTTCCGGGGAACGGGCAACTTTATACAACGAACGCAACCCCCAAGTTATGTGAAAAAATAGGCCGTTTGTTTGAAAAAGTATGTTGGTTGGGTCTATTTTTCCAGGGAACGGGCAACTTTATTGAATGAATGCACTTTTTGTGCTTCCTTGAACAAACAGCCCGTTTGTTTGAAAAAGTAAGTTGGTTGGGTTGATTTTTATGGGGAACAGATAACTTTACTCAACGAACGCAACCTTTGCATTCACGTCAACAAATAGCCCGTTTGTTTAAAAAAGAAAGTTAGCTAGGCCATTTTTCCGGGGAACGGGCAACATTACTGAACGAACACACCTTTTACGTTCATTTGAACAAATAGCTCGTTTGTTTGAAAAAGTAAGTTGGTTGGGTCCATTTTTCCAGGGAACGAGGAACTTTACTGAACGAACGCAACCCCTGCCATTCGCTTGAACAAATAGCCCGTTTGTTTGAAAAAGTAAGTTGGTTGGGTTAATTTTTATGGGGAACATGCAACTTTACTCAACGAATGCAACCCATGCGTTTGCGTGAACAAATAGTCTGTTTGTTTAAAAAAGATAGATAAATCGGCTCTTTTTTTCGGGAACAGGAAACTTTATTGAATGAACGCACCCCTTACGTTCGTTTGCACAAATAGCTTGTTGGTTTGAAAAAATAAGTTAGTTGGGTTCTTTTTTTTTGTGGAACGGGAAAATTTATTGAACGAATGCAACCCCTACGTTTGCTTGAACAACTAGCTCATTTGGTTGAAAACGTTCGTTATTTGGGTTCTTTTTTCCATGAAACAGACAACTTTACTCTATGACACATTTGAATACAAGTACGGCTCAATCATTGGCGGAGGCAGGTCCACCGGATGAGAAGGTGGCGAACCATTTTCCTTTAGAGGACATAATCGTACCATGATTTTGGGCACAGAACCCACCACGGGAAGCGAATCCTTCAATTATTCACGTGCAGAGGCTTGGTTCGCACCACTAAACGAACCACGTGTAGTGATTTTCACATTACTGGGTACATCACCCCTATAACTTTTTTTTGGCTTATTATCACAAAACGTCCCTATGGTTTACGAAACTATCAAATTGCATCCTTAATAATTTTTTTTTGTCATTCATGTTCATCAAGGCTAGTATGCATGATCACAAATGGTTCCTGCCGTTATGTTCCGTAAAAAACTCCGTTAATTTGTTGACGTGGCATATATATATCACAAAACATCCTTGAGGTTTACACACCTATCACAAATGGTCCTTATGAAATTTTTTAAATTTAAAATTCATAACATTTTGTTTCTTTTTAAAATTTTATGAATTTAAATTATTGTAAAATATATATTATATTTTAAATACATGTGACACTATATTATTGTAGATGTGGGCTACATATTTATGCCACATCAACAAACTAATGGAGTTTTTAAAAAATAATTTAAAATTCATAAAATTTAAAAATGAAAAAGAAAACCAAAATTTTATGAATTTTAAATTAAAAAATTAAAAATTTCGTATGGACCATTTGTGATAGGTGTGTGAGCCTCATAAATGTTTTTTGATATATATGTATGCCACGTTAGCAAACTAACGGAGTTTTTGACGGAACCTAACGGCAGGGACCATTTGTGATTGCACATACTAACCTTGAGGACCATGAGTGACACAAAAAAACTTTAAGGATGCAATCTGATAGTTTCGTAAACCTTAAGAACGTTTTGTGATAATAAGCCCCTTTTTTTCCATGATTTTGATGAAGATAGATAAGATGGAGTGTTGTATGATAAAATGATCTAAATTTTTGTGGACATGACAGGTTGTTTTATAGAAACATGTAGGGGTAAAATCGTCCATTCTGAATAAATTGCCCCTTCCCGTTTGTGATACTATGTATTTTGGATAATTGCGCCCAGTGATTGAAAGTACAAAATATTTCTACTAATGCTAGCTAGTACAATAATATGATCCATTATTTTTATTTCGGTTTGCGCACAGTTACTCTTGTATTGCATCGCCGTAGTGCAATTGCATGTGTGTTATGCAAACGCTACCCGCCTGTGAGCAAACTCCACATAGCTTAAAAACGCAAAGCTAATGAATGTATGGTGTGAAGACAAAGAAAAGCAAGTAACTACTTCATTATGACCTTATGGCTATTATTAAATATTAGGGCTAACCACATTATGGTTTACGAAATTGAGGATATTTTTTAATGTGATTCGTACTACATGACAATTTCTATTACTAGGTATTTTCGAATAATTGGTCCCTTTTGTAATATAATATGTTCGGATTATTGCCCCTTACCGTTTGTCATGCTCTGTATTTCGGATAATTGCCCCTTTCGATTTATAGTAAAAAATATGTCTAATTATGCCTGTACAATAAAATATAATCCATTTTTCTTATTTTCGTTTGCGCACAGTCACTCTTGCATTGCATCACCATCATGCAATTGCATGTTTGCAATGCAAATGTTGCCCGACTGTTGGCAAACTCTTCGGAGCATAAACACGAAGCTAAAAACATGCAATTCCATGAACTCCTTACCCAAAGTACATTCAACTCCTAAACTGCATGAACTCATTACCCAAAATACATTAACTCCTAAACCAGAAAAAGAAGGTTGTTTGAACTCTTACTTCATGTTTCCAAACTTTCAACGCATCCTCCTTACACTTCCTTTCTCCTCCAACTCAATTATCGTCATTCACACAATTCCAACAAATCAAACTAAATACCTCTCAATTTGGTGACATTACATCATGGAGGCTGGACCCATCATCAATTTTGCAACGATTACCTTTCTGCAAATCAATTTTGGGCAAGCAGAGAGAAGAGTTGAGGACCTTGCTTAGGCAAAGTCGCCAGCTTTGTCTTTGGTTTTCTTGGGGACGACCTCGATTCGGTGAGCATTAGCTTCCTGTAGATGCGTTTTGCCCAAACACAAACAAGAATTGGAGGCGCTCAGGATGGATTTGGGCAAGTAGAGAGAGGGTTTCGTGGGCAAGCAGAGTGAGGATTTGGAGGCGCTTAGGATTGGATTTAGGCAAGCAGAGAAAAAAGCTGGAGACTCTTACGATCGGATTTGGAGAGAAGACTTGGAGCGAGCGTCATCTTCCACCTTCACAGCATGCGTCTAGTTCTGTTACCCCTTGTAAGAGTCACATGTGACTCACATGCTCAATAACAAAGGGCTGAATAGGTTATCCTGTCATTCAATCTCAGCCACCCATTTTTTAAATGCAAACTCTGCCCTTGGATAAGTGGCTGTACCGGTATAGCTGAGGCACCACAGAATTTTCGTCTTTTATGAGCATTTGAGTTGAAGATAACCTTGTTGGGCTTATCGTCACCTTTTTCTACTTTAGGGCTTTATAAGGCGTATAGGCCCAATCACTTGGTTGACGTTCTCAAACTAATAAATGATATACCAGCTAATAATAAAGCAGGATCCATGAACCAATCTGAACTGGAACCACAAAAAGAGCCAGTTAAAATAATAATTGCTTCAACAGACTAATAATTAACTAAATCAAAACACCCACAAAACATTTACATTACAAACCACTTCACTCAGGAACAACTCAAACACAACATTTAATCCATATTTTACAATGCTCCATCCAATGTACTTTTTGGCATCAGGGCTTAACCTGCATCAGTCTTCCAATCCTGTGTAAACACCAAAAGAAATGAGACCATTAAGGCAGCTTTTAGTTTGTTTGAAATGAAAGTAAACGACAACGGGGGATCGAGGAGAAAGTTGATAAACACTAGTCTTACAAAATCAGATAAATTTATAAGGACGTAGCTTTACCTGATTTATCATACTGCCAATTTTGGGTCCACTGTTCCTGCTGCATTGCCTTCTCCTGTAAGAATTTGGTCTGGATCCTGGAAAAGAAATTTACTTGCTGGTTAAATTGAAAAGCATAAGGGGGGTAAAATTAGGCAAGTATGATAATTACCTCCATTCCCCATTTGATGTAATCTGGGGACTCACAGGCCTTATATTCCTCAACCAAACTCTCAAGTATCTCTGTTGATTCGTCAAATTCCGAAAGGTCATTCTCCTGTCCAAGTTTTATGTCGTACTTATATGAGACACAGAAATTTCAAACATCCCATAAAGTTGGAACTTGGAACACTCGAAAAGGTTCCATCACCAATGATGCTAACTGATTAACATGAAAGAAGGGAAAAACAAAAGGCAAAAAGGAAGTCATGCTTCTTCGCTCACTAATTAGTTAATTATATGGAATATGCATATGACATATATACGGAAGCATATCAATTTGAACTCATTAAGTCAAAAAATTCTTGCTCAGCATTTTAATTGTTAAAAGCTCGTTTTTTATTTTTATTTAAAATATAAAAAAATCCAAGAGTATTGGTAGCATCAAGAAATTGAGAAAACACATCTGAAGCAATGCTAACAGTTATTGGGATGGTAACTTACAGCAAACATTGGGAACTTCCGATAGTTGTCAAGAAAGGCTTGCTTCTTTCTTAACATCAAATACTGGCTCAAACACTTACTGAAAAGGTGGCGAATACTCGTATGGCTTGCCAGCATAAGACCACTGACCTAAAAAGAAGCAACATACACAGAATCATTATTATAAAATAGGGCGTTATTTTAAATAAACATCAATCCGAAATTTTGCTCAAATTAACTTTGAAGTGCAAGTATAAAAACGAAAGAGAGTTTCTACACTTGATTATTATAGAAATCTGACAAAACAGAGAATCTCAAATAAGAATTAGATACCTACCCTGTGGGCCGTTTGCACATATGGAGACTTTCTAGACAAAGCAACCTACACAGAAAAGCAGAAAATAAAATATAAAATATCCCGATAGTGAAAAGAAAAAAAAAAAAAAAAAAAAAAAATTGATCTCAAATTTACTTTCTTTAAATGTGTTAAAACACCTGAATGCTTGCAGGGCCCCACTCAATAAAGTTCACAAGCTTTCTTTCACGTATCCTCTGCAAACTTTCATGAACCTGATTACATAGAAAAAGGCACAATAAACCACTGTAAAAAAATTTATAGTTGAAGGGGAACTGAGGTGCTTAACATTCTACAACAACCAAGAAATTTTGGGCTACAATTCCACAAATATTCAAGGCGTTACTAAGATAATAAGAGAATCTGGCCAACACAGGTATATATGATAATTGACACAATTTCATTTCAAGTTTCTAATGGTAAAATATGATCGTGAAATGAATAATGAACATGTTCATCAATATAGATTTTACTGGCACTACTACAAAAACTGCTAAAGACGACCAGAAAAAAACGACGGTCTAAGTGAAAACCGTCTCTGTTTTTTAAAAGACGACGGTTCTATAAAACCGTCGTGTAATAACACTTTAGACATTTCCTCAAAAAAAAAAAAAAAAAAAAAAAAAAAAAAAAAAAAAAAAAAAAAAAAAAAAAAAAAAAAAAAAAAAAAAAAAAAAAAAAAAAAAAAAAAAAAAAAAAAAAAAAAAAAAAAAAAAAAAAAAAAAAAAAAAAAAAAAAAAAAAAAAAAAAAAAAAAAAAAAAAAAAAAAAAAAAAAAAAAAAAAAAAAAAAAAAAAAAAAAAAAAAAAAAAAAAAAAAAAAAAAAAAAAAAAAAAAAAAAAAAAAAAAAAAAAAAAAAAAAAAAAAAAAAAAAAAAAAAAAAAAAAAAAAAAAAAAAAAAAAAAAAAAAAAAAAAAAAAAAAAAAAAAAAAAAAAAAAAAAAAAAAAAAAAAAAAAAAAAAAAAAAAAAAAAAAAAAAAAAAAAAAAAATTGGGCTCAACAGTTATAAATTACCAATAAAGATGAGCTTATGAATAAAATTCAAGAAAGTAAATATTTTAGTAAGTTTGATTGTAAATCAGGATTTTGGCAAATTAGATTAGCAGAAGAATCAATCCATTGGACAGCATTTACCTGTCCAGAAGAACATTTTGAATGGCTTGTAATGCCATTTGGATTAAAAAATGCACCATCAATCTTTCAAAGAAAGATGGATCAATCTTTAAGAATTATGATAATTTTTGTAGTGTATATGTAGATGATATATTAGTTCATAGTAAAAATAAAAATGAACATAGAAAACACTTAGAAATTATTTTAAAGGAATTTATTAATAATGGTATTATTATAAGTAGAAATAAAGTAAAGCTTGAAAAACAAGATATAGAATTCTTAGGTATGTATATTAAGTCAGGAACTATACAATTACAGGAGCACATAGCTAAAAAAGTGTTAGAATTTCCAGATAAGTTAGAGGATAAAAAGCAATTACAAGCATTCTTAGGTTTATTAAATTATGCTAGAAGTTTTATCCCTGATTTAGGAAGAAAAATTGCAGCTTTACATAGCAAAACTAATAAAACATGACAGAAATATTTTAATAGTGAAGATATTAAGTTAGTTCAAAGCATAAAACAAGATATAACTCAACTTAAACCGTTAGCATTACCATTAGATAATAATTACAAAATAGTTGAAACAGACGCATCATCAATAGGATGGGCAGGAATTTTATATCAAAAGAAACATAAAGAAGAACCAAAATCAGAAGAAAAAGTTTGTAGATATGCATCAGGAAAATTTAATGATATACAGGCTAGACTTCCAGCCACTGACTTAGAAATTTTAGGAGTCATTAATTCTCTTGAAGCATTTTCATTATTTTTACATAATGAAATATTTACTATTAGAACATATTGTCAAAATATTGTTTCTCATTACAATAAAATTACTACTAATAAACAAGCAGCCCGAAGATGGGTGAATTTTGTTGATTCTATTACAGGAAATGGATTTAGACCGATATTTGAGCATATTAAGGTATGGATAATACTTAGCAGATATCTTATCTCGTATTATTCATTAACAGGTATGCAGTATTTGGACCATCATCATCTGGCAGCAAAAATAATGGTATACCATCACCTGGTGGTAATCCATTAAGCATAAGTAATCAAGCACGATCAGTAGTAAATACTTATTTTTATAATGGAATATCAGTACAAGAAGTTAGAAATCCTTCTTTAAAGTATCGTACTCAAGCATCATTTGTAGAAAACAAAAAGTTCTTTTAGATAACTTTTGGAATATTAGAACTAATACTGAAAGCATGAGAAGAGGGCATGAAAAGCTTATTAGAGCCCTTGAGCAAGAGTTTTTAGCATATAATTATGATTATAAAATAGCAAAACAACACCTTTCTTTTTGCAGGAAAAATATACAGAGCAAAAGGGGGAATATGATACAATAGTTAGGCATTTTAGAACTATTAATTTAAGATGTCAAATTCTACAAGAAGAGGCTAATAAGCCCACCGTAATTGAGCATAATTTACAGGAAAAGAGGCTAATAAGCCCAACTTACTTGAGCATAATAGTGAATTTTTACTTGAGCAAAAATCTAAAAATCCCTATTTTCTTCAAACTCTAGCTAGAGAAAGGTATAAGTTTTTACCAGTAGATGTTAAGAGTCACATAATTGAATTAGAATATGAGCAAAATACATCTCTTCAACTGTACATTCAATCTTTTCTTTTCAATTTAAAAAGTAATCCACATCCTGGCATCACCATTATTACCAAAAACTGTTCCCATTACACTATTTACTTAGCAAGGATTAACATGATTGAATATAGAGAATTGCATTTAGAGCATAAACAAAAAACAATCATAGTTACTCCAGCATTTTTAGCAAAATTTGGTTATCTAGATCAACTTTATGTTGAAAGTAGTAAGCATTTAGATTCATTCCCCGAAAAATTTAGAGAAATTATAAGTTTTTATCTGCCTCTCTGGAAAAATGTAAAATTAGATTTCACTAGTATACCCCCAGAGTGGTTTAAAGATAGCATTTACCCAGATTTAGCACAACATAAGATTATTATTTCTTTTGATGAATTACTTAGTCTGGGAGAATCAGCACAAACAGGAATGCCTACTAAGAAAGACATCCAACAATACAGAGGAGCAATAATAGCCGAGCAACAGTTATTTAATGATGATCGTCTGACCCTCCTGTACCAGTCTAAATTTATCAAGGTGTATTCAGAATCCACATCCAGGAGACCAGATGATATATATGAATACAGGATCAGCACTATAGGAGCAAAAGTTTTTGATGAAATCTACAATCAGATAGCAGAACAGATTACAGCAGAAGATAATGACAACTCATATTGGAATAGCTTAGGAGAAGAAGAGCTACACAACATAGATAACATGATGGATGCATGAAGACCACGTGAAGAATCCATCCAGCAGAATAGTCGCCAAACTGTTTGGCTCCATACGGCCAGTACAAAGCAACATATGAAAAGAAGAAACATTTTGGTTTCATCCGGCTAGCAGAAAGCAGAAGGATTCCCTAGGAAATCTAGATATGAATAAGGGCATTATTGTCCAACCACTTTAATTTTGTCCTTCTTTATAAATACTGTACCCATTTTGGGTTTATTTATAAGTCTCCCAAAAAAAAACCAAATTTATTTTTTTACAAAATAAAAAAAAACGTAATATTAAATTTAATAATATGTATAAATTTTGCGCGACGAATGTTTCTCGTCGCGCAAACTCACTTAAAAAAACCGTGAAAATAATAATTTATACACTTTAATTTATGCTTGCGCGACGAATTTTTTCGTCGAGCAAAATATGTATGCGCGACAGATGCTTTTTTGTCGCGCAATACTTTCGTCGCACAAGGGTTGCACGACGAAGAGTCCTTCGTTGCGCCAATTTAGCGTGACAAAGTACTTTCGTCGAGCAAAATAGTGCTACACTAATCTTGTGCGACAACTTTTCCGTCGCTCAGTGTTTGCACGGTGAAAAGACTTTTGTCTCGCAAGAATTCGTGCGTCGAACCGTCGTTTCGTCCCTACAACTTTTCTGCAACGAAGGTGCTACGTCGCACCGTTTTGCGCGATGAAGTCAATTATTTGGTCGTGCAAAGTCTTTCTTCAATCTTTGCACGACGGAATGTGCGCGACGAATCTTCTGTCGCGCATACTTATGTGCGACGAAATGTTACTTTGCACGACGAAGTCCCTTTGTCGTGCAAAGTGTAAAATGTAGTAGTGCTACCTACTAGATATACTAGCCTCTCTTTCAGTTGTATGCAGTCATTTACTCAAAGCATCCCTTTTGGCAGATTAACACATAATTGACGAAAGGACCAAAGCATCTCAACAATCATATGCTTTGGCTAAATCACTACAGCATTTCTTTCACTTCCATAACTACGACTTACATTTTTATCTAGAAGGGCCTGCCAGATTATTCATCTCATATAACACAAATGAACTCACGGGAGACAAAATTCGTTTACATGCAAATTCTTGAAGGGTAAAAGACAAATTTTCTATATAGCTAAGTGAACGGGAACGCAATTGGTAGTACCTGATTAAGCACAAATCCCTTTGATGTAGTGCCTCATCGCAATTGAATCATCATATTACCGAACTCAATAATTTTCCAAGCCTATATGAACTAACCTTTGATGTAGGCTCAAAGTGAATTGACGATAATAAATCATAGCACTTTGGATAGGGCTCAAGAGTTAAGTCAGCAAAACCAGAATTTAAATTTTATAAATATAGATGAAGAAGAAATTGACGAAGAACCAAGGAAGCAAAACCATAATTGAAATTTTATAAATATAGATGAAGAATAACAAAGAACCAAGGAAGAACTGCACTCACCGTTTCACTATGACAGCAATACGTCTGCGAACAAACTCTACGTACAAAGATTCCCAATCTAATAGGGTTTTCTTTTTTAGGTTTATGTGGGTTTTAAATTTGAGGGCATTTGTGTCTATTTGGTGAGTTTTCTGCTATATTTGAAATTTTTTACAAAAACTGACACTTTTGAAATTAGGGGTCAAGTTTTGGCTATTTTTGATAAATTCTCGAACCAAAGAGAGGCTGTGGGGTTTTACTTATTCTGGGCTTCATATGAAATGAGATACTAGTTCAACTTGGGGATTCGTTTAGCCCATTCAAGTCAGGGCCGCTCAACTAAATCCTCATGGCCCAAAACTGGGATCAATGTCTGGTTGTGATGTCAATTGATGTACATGCCTCCATAAATAATCGAGTGTGTTACGCGCGATGGAAACTAACATAAAATTGTAACATAATTGACTCTTAAAGTGACATGGCATGCAAATGACCCACTAGTGTGGTGGTTTGGAGTATTTATTCTCTCAGTAAGGTCCTGGGTTCGAGTCCTAGCATTCGTGTAGTGTGTGTGAGTTTAGTATGCTATCGCCCCTCTCAATAGGAAAGGCCCAAAAAAAAAAAAAAAACATTGGCATGAGGTGAAAGCTCTTAGAAACCGAAGAGAGCTAACGCTAAATAAAATTCAAAGTTTATGGACATTGCTAAATTTTTCCCGATAAATTAATAACAAGTTTAGTATTTTGTTAAGCAAACTCTAAGAACTAAGTTTTTTTTTCACCACAAAAAAAAAAAAAAAAACAAACAACTCTATTCAATCACACTTTTCTACATGCATGTAGGCCCAATCACATTGACGTACTTTTATTTCCAGTAGATGTGTGCTCCTCTACTTGTGATCAAATGATGTTGCGCGCCTCTAATCAATACATGATTAGATTTGTTCTTGTTTGAGATTTTTTGCATCAGTTTGGTATCAGAGCTTAGTTAGCATATCCTGGTGGAGATCAGCACATCAGCTGTGTTTTCCATTTTCGCCAATTAATTATTCAGATACGGTTGAAATAGTTAGTGTTTTTTGTTCATTTGATCATTTACTAAATCTAGATCTTCCTCATATATTTTATCCATGTTTGGGTGGTTCTTGTGAAATTTGTTGTGCTATGTCTTTTGGGGTTGCAAACTGTTTTGCCTACGATTTTGATATAAAATCGAAATTTATAGAGTGCATTGGACGAGTTGCAGAAACTTTTGTCACCTCTCTTGTTCCAATTGTCGATAATTCCCATGCTTTATTCAATTCTCATGACCATATTAGTACATTAGAGTTATGAATATATTGATTTCACCGGGGTTGACAATTTCAATTTTTGTATTGCAAAGATTTGATTATTGATGCTATAATCAGATGAAGACTAGCCCAGGAGAATGTCTGGGTTGAGAGATTGGTTAAGAAGAATTTTTACGTTAGCTAAAGGACTTAAGTGCACTTAAGTGTTTTGACTCGAGCATGTGTTATGGATAGAAAATTCCTTTAGCTAAAGGAGATTTGAAGAAGAAGCATTGCTCAAGAATAAAGAAGAAGAAGAAGCTAAGATAAGGAACAACCCCTATATACTTCTCTAGTTGGAAACATTATGTACTCAAAAGTGTGTATAAGGCCAGACCTAGCCTTGTGCATTAGTAAGATGGAGAGATTTAAGTATAATCTGGGAATGCAACATTGGATAGCTGGAAAGAAGATTTTCAGGTACCTACAAAAACAAGGGCTTAATGTTGATGTACACATGCACATAGAATTTAGAGCTTGTTGGTTATGCTGATGTGAATCTTGGAAAAACAGAGGATGATTACATCTCTACTTGTGGTTTCTTTTCAAGATGGCATAAGCAGTTGTTGCTTGGAAGAGTGCTAAACAAACTGGTGTTTCGAGTTCAACTATGTTTTCAGAATACATAGCTTGCTATGAAGCCACTTCTCATGCAATATGGCTAAGGAATTTTATCAAAGAAATTAAGGTGGTGGACTAAATTTCAAGACCAATGCAGATATACAATGACAACATAGCGATGTTTTTCACTGCATGAACAACAAGAAGTCGTCTGTACTTCAGCACATTGACAAAACATATTTAATAGTGAGGGAGAAGGTAGCAGACAACTAGTCATGTTTGATCATATCAGAACTCAAGATATGATTGCAGATCCGTTTACAAAGTTTCTGCCATCAAAAGCTTTCCTAAGACATATTGAGAGCATGAGATTATTTCGTAGCTTTGATGTTGCAATCCAGTCGGAGTCTTTTTCCATTCTAATAGATTACTAATATGTTTATTTTGTTGTTTAAACTTATGATGCATTTTGTTTTATGTATGTAAGTTTATGGTCTCTATTGAGAGGTATTGTTTTAATAACATTGTGGATTGACTCTTGCTAAGTCGTAAGAGGTATATGTACAGAAAAACATAAAGATTCACATTACGGATCAATACATGTTAAGGTTCACGTTTGTAGGCGCTTCATGTGATTTGAGATTGCATTATGTGATTATAAATGACATATTTTGATAAAGTAGAGCAGTGGTTGTCTACAGTTCGTTTTGTCTAATCCCTTTCACTATAGCTTAAAGGGAATAACTTAACTGTTTTAAACTCATGGCCAACAAGATTATCAAACTTTTCCAATACAGAAGCTTAGTGTTTTAATGCTTGATCTAGTGGGAGAATGTTATATTCCTATTCAGATCAGTGCACTAGATACTAAAGTTATATTTTGATGAGTCATTGACTTTTTAAGGTTTGATAAGAGTTTAAATTAGGTTATATATTTGAGGCCCAAAATCTTGTGAATTAAGGAAAGTTTTGAAGCCAATAGGGGTCCTATTTATTTCATTTTGCATGAACCGTTGCTTCATGGGCCTAGAGTGTTAGTCAAGTCGGCTCTTGGTGATGAGTAGAGATCACTTGACCTAGCCTTACATAAGCTTAAGACCATGATCAATCAGACACATTCTTTAACCTAATCTCATCATAAAGAGAGAGTTGAAACAGTTTATGAGAGATAGCAGAAGCCTTAAGCCGTTCGTGCCTTTGCTCGTGTTGCACTACATTGAATGAGTTCAGAGGTCTTTACCAGAAAGAGCTCCTGTATATCTTCCCTGTATTCGATTGTTTGAAAAATCAATGGACCACATATAGATTCTATACCAGGTTGGTGTTTTAACTTACTAGCCAAATACTTGATACACTTGGTGAAGAGTTTAAATTTATTTGTTTTATAGTATTGAAACAACCACCCCACTTTGGTTCTTTGTTTATTTTAAAAAAAAAAAAAAAAAAAAAAAAAAAAATTTTTATCAAATAGAAACTTCATTAGATAACTTCAACGATACAATCAAAGACATCAATAAGACATCTAAAATACCAATCCCAAGAGGCAACAAACTAACATGCTAAAAGCAAATTATGTAGACAAAACTGCACTAAAACTACTCGCTCACATCACCACAATTAGCCATAAGTCCAACAAAGCCCACAACTCAACATAACCAAAACTCTAAATCAACCCATGAGCCTAAATGAACCATACCACCACTACTTGAAGGAGCCCGTATCGGCCCACCCCCACCGCATCTGTAACAAATCTGGGGCAATATAATTCTAGGAAAGCGTACTTCATCCGTCCTCTATAGTTTTTATAGCTTAGTTCCAATTTACAAATTATGAACTAATAATGAAATTTCCATAAAGTTATATCACATATTGAGCTTTATGACATATTTCTAACAGTCTGTTCAAAGCCCCTGTACATGTACAACCGAATAGCACATCAATAGTTTGTAGTGAAACCATTCCCGAAAATAACATGAAAATACCAACTCAATCCCTCTATGACCTAAACAAAGAAGTGGCAGTCTTATGACCATGGAAGTTGAAACCATGAACACGAATACTATATATCCCACCTTCCCCTCCTCCTCTCCTTCTCACACTTGGCAAGATCACCAACTGAAGGCAAGCCACTCCGAAAATCATCTTACTTTCATTTCTGCTGGCCCCAATTTGTGGTCTCACATTGGAAGATTAGAAAACATTTACGTCTTGAATTGAATTTTTATTTGTATTGTTTTATTTTTAAAAGAAATGATTGTCATACGATTGTCATACGAAAATGAAAACAGTAATACGATTATGTATATAGAATAAAAATTCAAGTGAACGTACGAACGCAAACGATTTCCTCATTTACGCAAATTACTAAATTCAGTTTCTTAGCAAAAGAATAGAAAATATATAGGAAATTACCAAAATCCAGAGAGAGACTACTTAAAGCATAAATATACCAGGGCACAAGAATTATGGATCAACTTCAACCCATACCAATAAAAAGAGAGAGAACAAAAAAAGAAGAAGAACGAAGACAACTGCAACTATATATGATGCTTACGCATGGATACAGTACTTTGCTATGCCATTAAAGGCTGGCAATATAGTTAAACAGCATTCGATTCCTATTATACAAACCTGCTGAGATTAAGGGAAAAAGGAAAACGAAATATTAAAAAACAAAAACAAAAACAAAACAAAAAAGAGTTGATCAACTCCACATTATATACTAGGTAGCTAGCTGGGCCAAAGAAAATCAATGAAACCCAGCAACTATAGGTCTTGCATTTTTATTATACGGCAATCACCGGCGGAGATGGAACATAGAGAGAGCCAATACTCCACTTGCTACAGCTGCTACGGCTCCCGCAATAAACGCTGGTAAATTCCGCCTCCGAACAATCATCCCAAGGTCCACTATTACTGACACGAACATCTGCAAATTCAATAATTAAGTTTTAGGGTTTACGATTTAGGTTTGTGCGTAAATAACTATGCTAGTTTTTGCTACCAAGCTTAATCACAAGTGATCATGAAACATGCATTACCTGTGGTATGACATTGCAAGGTTTAAGACTCCCAAAGAAAGCCCTGTGAATAAATTCAAATACCCAAATGTTAATAGACGATTCAGAAGAAAATATATTCTACTCAAGAATCTGCATAATTAATTAGTCAATTAGGGAGAAGCTGCTTTACCTTGGCCTGCACCAGAAGTGCTAGAAAATATGGATGCCAGAGCAAAGGGATACTGAAGGTCACCTGTAAGTAAGATAATAATGGAAGTCATTAAACAAAACCATGATTTCAGAGGTAATTCCTATTTTAATATATTATCAAACATATTCAATTTAAATAAATATTCTTGAAATTAATTTCCAAATATGTACTTAATATATACTATGGATGGATACATTTAATCTGTGTAATGCCATCTGGCAATGTTTAATTTAACAAATATAGTGATAAAAGGATAGAATAGCATGGGGTGTGGACCCCCCCCAAAAAAATAATATAAGAAGAAAAAGAGAAAAGCAAGTGCTGGTCCGGAATTAAATTAGCTGAACCAAGCAGAGGCAACCAGGGAAAATGGGGGGTTAAATCTGTGATGCACCAAATTATAAAATTAATAAATTAATTTGTTGTTGAAACCGCAATTCAATTTTGGTCCAGGACAAACGGACTTGATGCAATTAAATGGCACTGATAACTCTCTCTCATCCTAGTAAATGTTCCTAGTAATGTGTCTGGTAAGATGTGTCTCTTGTGAGTAAAACCTTATCTGCATGCACTAATGACCATGGGATAAAACAAAACAAACACACATGCATATAATGGATAAGCTTGATTCCCCCGTACGGTGCGGAGCTAGAATTGTAAATTTAGGGGTCGAAGTAGAAAATACAAGAATATAAAACTTCGAAGTATTCAATAATTACATATTTAGAATTAAATATTTTTAATTGAATCATATCTAATTTGTTTTTAGAGAAATTTTAACTTAAATTCTAAGCTATTTATTACAAACTTTATATATTATATATAATAATAGAGAAATGATAAAAATATGGGGGGCCAGGCCACTAGGAGTGGCCTCTGCCATACCCCTATAGGATTTCCGAGAGAGATATCAATGTAAAACGTTAAATGTGATAGAAAAATCCTTAAAATTTGTAAATCAATTTTCTAACAGTTAATAATTTTGTACCAATTTAGAAAAAAAATTATGCACAGAATTATTTTGTACTAATCTACCATATCTAATACATTATCCACCAATATCAATCCACATATTTGGTAATAATATCTTCATATTGCGATAAACTTACCAAAATTAGATTTATAGAGTAATTAACAGTGACTTACCGCCTGAGGAATACCCCAGCACCGCAAACAGCGTCAGTGCACCGGCCTTGACAACCGGCAGTTGGCGGCGGGGCTCAGCTCCGCCATGCCCTGCAGCGATAGCAGCGTGCCGACTCGCTGGCCAATTTAGTGATCAAAACATCATTTCCAAACAGATAGCCAGCAGGAATGCCAATGCCCCCAATCGGCTTTGACCCCACCACCACCCACCGGCCCAGGCTCAATGCCAACTACTGAACCCCAAAACGACGGGTTTAGCATCAGCCCAAGCGCACCCCCACACCCCCACAATCAACACCGCCCCTTTCCTCACTTGGGCCTTCTCTTACACCCTCCCCCCCCTCCAATCATGTCGAACAGCAAGAACGAACCACGCAATCCACTTGAGCACGTCACCAGAAGCAACACGAGCATTGCGCTCTCAGCTCCCTGAACTCAGCACATCATTTGACCGAAAACGGCACGGACTTAGCTGTCGTCGACTGGGGCTCGATCTCCGCCCTCCGCGACGACGCCATCATTCGCGTCGTTTCCTTCACCGACGAATAAAAAAAAAAAAAAAAAAAAAAAAAAAAAAAAAAAAAAAAAAAAAAAAAAAAAAAAAAAAAAAAAAAAAAAAAAAAAAAAAAAAAAAAAAAAAAAAAAAAAAAAAAAAAAAAAAAAAAAAAAAAAAAAAAAAAAAAAAAAAAAAAAAAAAAAAAAAAAAAAAAAAAAAAAAAAAAAAAAAAAAAAAAAAAAAAAAAAAAAAAAAAAAAAAAAAAAAAAAAAAAAAAAAAAAAAAAAAAAAAAAAAAAAAAAAAAAAAAAAAAAAAAAAAAAAAAAAAAAAAAAAAAAAAAAAAAAAAAAAAAAAAAAAAAAAAAAAAAAAAAAAAAAAAAAAAAAAAAAAAAAAAAAAAAAAAAAAAAAAAAAAAAAAAAAAAAAAAAAAAAAAAAAAAAAATTCAAATGGCTGTTCCTAAAACACGACGTACCTAATTAAAAAACCGACGTCTTATTGAAATAGGATTTCGAGTAGTAAAATCAAAGCCGACAAAGAACGGCAGAAGTTATGAACCGACCGACGTAGAAAGTAAAGACGACGATTTCAAAAAAAACCGCCGTTTTTACACAGAAATTAACACGACCAAGTTTTCGTATAAGGCGCCGTATAATTACAAATAAATCCACGGCGGTAAAATACAAAATACCGCCGTATTAAATTAATGTACAACTACGGCAAAGATAAATATAACGACGTCTTTCTCGTATAGTTCTACGACGGTATCTTTAAATCTCACCACGTTGGGGTTTTCATTTAACGACGTATTATAAAATTTAACGACGTATTTATTCACTTTATACGTCATACATTATATTTAAACCATCGTCTTAATAAGAATTTTTTTTAACAATTTATTTCTTGGATTTTGTTATCCTACGTTGGTAGATCTACTTAATGACAAGAATTGAAATAACCATGACGGTTTATATAGAAAACCGCCGACATAATCAGATTTTTCTGAGATCACAAGGGTTACAAAATCTTACCAGATGGAACTCTGTTCCTCATCATAATCTTACCAGAAAGACAATATTTTAGAGGTTAATGATGTATGTGTATTTGTGTCTTTGAGATACACAAACGCACATACACATTAACATCCAAAAAATTGCCTCTGAAATTTGACGACGGCAGCCTCAGATTTGCAATCAGAGAGACAATTGTTTGGAAGTTGATGATATGTGTGCGTTTGTGTATCTACACAAACGCACACACACATCAACATCAAAACAATTGCCTCCTAAAATTTCAAGACGGCAGCCACAGATTTGCAATTAGAGAGACAATTTTTTGAAAATTGGTGATGTGTGTATGTTTGTGAATCAGATACACAAACATACACACACACACCAACATTCAAACAATTGCCTCCTAAGAGATGAGGTGAGACAGAGAAAGGGGCAAGAAGATGTTGAAACCCTAATCGAATACTAAAACTGAAAGAACCCGTGAACAAAAACCCTATTTATAATTAAAAAACCAAATCCACGTCGGTTATATTACACCTAACGACGTTTAACAAAAGAATCCACGTCGGAACAAATACATTACGTCGTCTTAGTCTTACTTAAGACGACAAAAAAGACGACGGTATAACAAAAAACAGTCGTTGTTTTTATATTCGTATTTGATTTAAATCAGTCACCCAAAAAAGAAACTTTACAAATTCTAGAACATTAATTTCCTTCATTTTAAATTTCCTCGGGAAAAAAAACTCTATTTATAACGCACTATTTTGAAAAATAAATTGAAAGAACAAGGGAAAAAAAATGGGAGTTTCACTAAAACACCCAAAATGGGGGTTGAAATTATAAAAAAACCCAAGCACTATTTAAACATATAAACACACCCAAAACCCATCATTACACACACTCAAAACCCATTTATAAACATACCCAAAAAGTTGACTTTGGGGTTGATTTGGGGTGTGTTTCTATGTTTAAATAGTGCTTGGGTTTTTTTATAAATACATGTCTAGGATTGGGTTTATTTATAAATTTGTATAAAAAATTCTATTTATAATTATAAAAATAAAATCCACGTCGGTTATATTACACCTAACGACGATTTAAAAACGAATCCACGTCGCGAAAAAAATATTGCGTCGTCTTAGTTAAAAAAGACAACGGTAGAACAGAAAACCGTCGTTGTTTCAATTTCTTTAACCGTTTTCTTTCTGCAGGACTTGGATAGTTCAAAGCATTGACAGCTGAAGCCATCTGATTCGATTGCTCAGGCTTTAGAGGCCATCTGAAGCCATTTCTATTCTTTATCGCATTCTTGAAAACCCATCTTCCTCTTCAGAAGCTCTACGGATAAAGGAACAGGCTATCACAAATCTGACGGATCTTCTTAGCCAAGAAAATCGAGCAGAGGAGCACATTTGATCTTCAGGTTTCCCTGAGAAGCGAACTTTCCTTCGACAGCGAGTGGAGGCCAGGCTTGCATCTCTTTTGATGGAAAGCAAGGAGTATTCAGAAGCACTAAGTCTCCTATCAGGCTTGACAAGCTTCCTCTTGTGGACATAGATTTGTTGGAGAGTAAGCTCCATTTCTCTTTGAGAAAGACATCCAAATTATTGTCTTTGAGATGTGAGAGAGAGTGTCTGTGAGAGAGGAAGAACTTGGAAACCTAAATGAAAACTGAAACTGAAAGAAAGCGACAAATTTATACAATAAATTTTTAAAACCCACGGCGGTCCTTACACACAAACCGCCGTTTAATTCTAAAATCCACGTCGGTATATTAAAAAAAACGACGTATATTATAAAAATCAACGTCGGTATCTTACAACAAAACGACGTGTTAAATACTTCTACCATGATGTGAGATATTAATTTATCGACTTTTATTTTGGAGTTTACTACGACAGTACCTACAACACTACTGTCGTATTTATTTACCACGTCCTAAGTTCAAATTATCGTCATAATTTGTTTATTTATATGTCGTCGTTCTATGTAAATCGCCGTCTTATTTTTATGAAACGGTTTGTATATATATACAACTTTTCGTCTACCTGACTTACACATGCACTGTTTCCAAACCCGAGAAAAATTTCAATCTCCCAGAGAAAACTTTTCGTCTTTTTTCCTTGTCAAAGCACTGTCAGAGTATCTCATCGTCTTCCTCTCGTCTTCGTCGTCGTCTCTGAACTTAAACACCAAACTCCGAGAGAAAGCTTTCATTGCACGCAAAAGGTAAGCTTTCATTTCTCACTATTTTTGTTGCTATTTTGCATGCTCATACGGTTTTTGTTTTGAAAATCTTTTTACCTTTTTTCTGGCCAAAATCATTTTAATTCTTTCCAAGTTTGATAAAATATACAGACAAAGAGGGAAAGTTTCCAACTTTGAACACAACTGCTTCAACTAAATAAGACAACGGTAGCTTCTTATTTACGTGGTTAAATATGTAGACCACGACAGTTCGTCAATCGTCCTAGCGTCGTTTGAAAATTGATCTAAGTTGTTTTTAAAATGACCGTCGTTTTTTTATTTGCTTGTTTAATTGCAAGTTTGATTTCTCTGAACCATGGTTTTTGTTTTTTCCTAATTTTATAAAATACAAAGACAAAGAAAGTAGGGTTTGGTATCTTATATAGACGATGGTATCTTATTATTGACGCCGTGTGAATGTTATACCATGACGTTATACTAAGATACCGTCGTCTATATAAGATGTCAAACCTTTCTTTCTTTTTCTTTGTATTTTATCAAATTAGGAAAAACAAAAACCATGTTTCAGAGAAATTAAACCTGTAATCAAACATTCACAGAGAAAGAAAAAGGTTTTTAGATTCTTATACAGACAACGGTATCTTATTATTTACGTCGTGTGAATGTCCATACCACGACGTTATATTAATATTAACGTCGTGTGAATTTAAATATCACGACGTCGTGTAAATATCGCCGTAATAAGTTCTTATTACGTCTTCTTTTATATTGTTTCGTCGTTGTTTAAGTACTCTCGTTTTGAACATTTATTACGTCTGATGTTATGTTATTGCCTCGTGTAAAATCTTATCATACGTCGTGTTTTATAAATAACCGTCGTTTGTGTTCTTAATTTTTTCCTGAAATATTTTTACTTGCAGGTTTGTTTTTTCTGTAACCATGGTTTCTCAAGACCAAAGTAAGGACTCTGGCTCCAAAAAAAATGGAGGTAAGGAGCTTGGAATGGTAACTCCTCAAGACAAGCCCTTGAAGAAGATGAAGTTTGTTTCATCTGCTGAGACAGAACCAACCAGCACGACAACAATTTCTGAGGATTCAAAGTCAGGTCGAGGTATGAGCACAATGCCTCGTGTTGTGAAGAGAAAATTGCAGAAAATCAAGCCAGTTGTTGAGTACAATAAAAGGGGGAAAGGATGTGGCCATGCACATACTGAGATGCAGTCCTACATTGGTGTGTTGGCACGCTCCAGAGTCCCACTTGTGGACAAGAAATGGGCTGAAATCCCCAAGGATATAAAGGAGCAGATTTGGGAAGCCGTTGACATGGCTTTTGTGGTAGGTCAAGGGGGCAAGAACTCGGTGTTATCTTCTGCTGCCAAGAAATGGAAGGATTTTAAGTCTACACTAACGAGGCATTATATCCTTCCATACATCAAGGAGAGGGAGAAATTAAGCCAACCCCCTGAAATATATAAATTCATAGAGAAAGCAGAATGAGATGCCTTTGTAGCTTCAAGGTTATCCAAAGAATTTGAGTCTGTGCATTCTCAACATTCACAGATTAGGGAGAAACTTGAGTACAATCATCGATTGTCTCGAAAAGGATATGCTGGTTTGGAGGATCAATTGGAGGAAACCATGCCTGGGGTAGAAATTGATCGATCTACCTTATGGAAGAAAGCTAGACAGGACAAACATGGTAACATCCCGGATCCAAAGGTGGCAGAGAAAGCAAAATTAATTGTAAGCCTACACACTCTATTTTAAATTTTTATTAAACTGTGTATAATTCTTATTACATCTTATGTTATATTTTTCTGTCGTGTGAATGACATTACTACGTCGCAATGTTTTAAAAAAGTCGTTAAAGGTCAATTCTGTTTTATTAAACTGTGTATAATTCTTATTACGTCATATGTTATTTTGGCGTCGTGTGAATGATATTCCGACGTCGAAATTTTTTTAAAAACGTCGTGAAAGGTCTAAATCTGGAATCACTACTCTGTTTTCTGTAATTATAGCATAAGACATCGGTGGTTAATTTTTGCGTCATGTGAATGATATTACTACGTCGAAATGTTTTAAAAAACATCGTTAAAGGTCTGAATATGGAATCACTGCTATGTTTTCTGTAATTATAGCATAAGACGTCGGTGGTTTATTTATTGTGTCGTTTGAAACGAATAACCACGTCGTTACTAACTACCATCGTTATAAAATTATAATAACGTCGACTTCTATGTTATTGCGTCGTGTGAAATTTTATAACACGTCGTTTGTTTATAAATAATCGTCGTGTGTTTTCTTGTGCTTACTTTTTTATATATCCTTGTTTTAGGATGAATTGCAAAAACGAGTCTCGGAAGGCAGTCTCAGTGTATCTGGCAGCAATGATGTGTTGACCATGGCTTTGGGTCCCGAGCATCCAAGGAGAGTGAGAGGGGTAGGTGCTGGGATTTCCCCTAGGCAGTACTTCAATTTACCCAAACAACAGAGGATTAAGTTTGCCGATCATTTAAAGGAAAGTGTCAGAATTGTCCTTCCAGAAGAGACTAAGAAGATGGAAGCTAGGTCAAGGGAAGAGACTTTAAGGATGGAGGCTAGAACCACGCAATTGGTAGAGGCTGAGAGGGAAAATTTACTGAGTCAGCTTTCCCAACTCATCCCCAATTTTGATCCAAGCATGCTTAAATCGAAAACTAGCCCTTGTCAAAACCAAAGTCCCAAAATCCAATGTTTGACAAAGCAAGCTACTCTGGGGCTGATGTGAGATGCCTACATTTTGAGGATGATACTGCCAAAAATGGGGAACAGCAGGAAGAAACGATAACATATCTGAACTTTGAATCTCGGTTTTTTTAAAAACTATTAGACGTAGTTATTATGAAGAAAACCGTCATTTGAAAATCATACCACGACGATTTTATAAATAAACAGTCGTTTGTATTTCAATACCACGTCGTATTTAGTTTACTTGTTTTACACGCCATTAGACGTCGTACCTTTGTGGTTTTTAGATGACAGTTTTAGTCCTTACCGACGTAATAGACAAATCCCACGACGTTTATTATTTACCATCGTTTAATAATTTTAAGACGTCCATAATTCTTACACACCGTCTTATGTTATGCCTTACCACGACATTTTGATTTAATTTTTCTACTTTCTGTACAATCTGTCTTATATATATATATTTCTTTATTACTTAAAACAGAAATCTGGGGATTTAGAAAATCAAGATGAAGAGAAGAAAGAAGAAAAAAAAGATGAAGAGAAGAAGGAAGAAAAAAAAGAAGAAAAAAAGATGAAGAGAAAAAGGAAGAAAAAAATGATGAAGAGAAGAAAGAAGAAAAACAAGATGAAGAAAAGCATGACGAAGAGGTATATTCTCATAACTTTGCCTTTTTTATTTGTTTTTCAAATTTCAGACGTCGATATTTTTCTTTAAACCGTCGTTTGTTTTCAAATTAGACGTCGGAATTTGTTTCCTATGACGTAATAAATTATTCAACACGACGGTTTTTTATTACCGTCGTTTAAATTATTATCAGACGACGTTGTTTTCTTTAAACTGTCGTTTTTATTGAATTACCACGTCATTTTATTTTGCTTTATTTCTTTAAACAGGGTACTAAAGTAGTTGATTATTCAAATGTGGAGGTGCCATCTTCCTTACAATCCCTTTGTCGTTATGTGGAAACGACACTAAAGCCTCAGGAGAAGATCATGACCTTCACAATTGAGAAGGAGGTGTTTGGTGCAGATCGCAATACCTTTGTCTTGCATGAAGATATTACACAGTTAGCAGGCATGGAAGAAATTGGGGCTACTGTGGTTGCAGTATATATGAGGTTTGTCCTTATCAAATATTTATTTCACACTCAAATTTGTGTTTGAAAAAAAAAAACATTATAGCATAAGACGTCGGTGGTTTATTTATTGCGTCGTTTGAAACCACTAACCACGTCGTTCTTTTTTTACCGTCGAGATAAATTAGTTATAACGTCTGTTTCTATTTCAGTTCGTCGTGTGAAATTGTATAATACGTCGTTTGTTTATAAATAACCGTCGTGTGTTTTTTTGTGCTGACCTTTTTATATATCTTTGTTTTATATATTTAGGTGCTTATATGATCGTTTGAGAGAAGCAAATATGTGTAGCATGGTTGGCTTTATCGACCCTGCTCAAGTTAGTGCCAACGCTGGGTCACTAACTGACAGATCACGAATTGTAGCCAATCGACTTCAAAAGACAGATGGTGAACAGATTTTCATGATGCCTTACAATCCAGGGTTAGTCTCCTTAAAAGGATTTTGTTTGTATGATTTTCACTAACTGACTGCGTATAAAACTGTTTAACTAATTTTGTGCCGTTTGAAACATCTAACCACGTCGGTTCTTTATTTATTGAATCGTTTGAAACAACTAACCACGTCGTTAGTTAATTACCGCCGTGATAAATTTATAATGACGTCGATTGCTGCGTTATTTCGTCGTGTGAAACTGTATTATACGTCGTTTTTTTATTAATAACCGTTGTTTGTTTTCTTGTGCTAACTTTTTATATTAACCGTCGTTTTTTATGTTAATTTTGTGCAGCCGTCATTGGGTCTTGCTGATTGTGAGAGCAAAGAGGGAAACCGTCTATTTTCTGGATCCTCTGCCCGGAAATCGTGTGGTTGATGAGGAGGGCAAAAACATCGTGAACAGTGCTTTAAAAATTTATAATTCCCACAAAGGCAGACCAGGCCGTAAAGCACCAATTTGGAAAACTTTGCCAGGCACACCAAAGCAACCCAGCAGTGTCGAATGCGGGTATTATGTGATGCGCTTCATGAGGGACATCATCATGGATCCTTCCTTGGAGTTTGAGAAGAAGGTAAGAAGAAAATTTTCAGAAACATTTTATGTGGTTTTTTGTATTATCAACGACGGTCCTTTAAAATTACCGTCGTTGAATCGATATACTACGTCGGTTATGAAAAATAGCGTCATCTGTGATTGAATTTCTTTTTATTTTGTAAAGCTTAATAATCATTGTTTATGTATTGCAGTTTGCCAAGGGAAAAGAGCAAGCGCCATACCCCCAAGCAGCCATTGATGAAGTCCAGAATGAATGGGTAGAGTTTGTTTGCCTTCATATGGAGTAGAGGATTTTTGGAACACTTGATATTTTTATATAATGTACAAATTTTGTCTATAATATATAATGTACAAATTTTGTCTATAATATATAATGTACAAATTTTGTCTATAATATACATTCTTTTTTTCCCTGAAAATTTGTTGAGGTTTTCATAATTTAAAAGAAAAAACAAATTGCGTAACCGACGTGTAATAACTTTCCAATGACATAATTATGTCAAAAACCGACGTAAAAGGATATTTAGACGACAGATATGACGTGGTAATTAAATTACACGGCGACACCTTTTTTGTTTAAGTCATGATATACCGTTTGTACATCCATGGGACGTCGTTTTAGTGAAAATTTCACCATGGTTTCGCTTTTAAACGTCGTCCTTTGAACAAGTAAGTCGTTTATTATATTTACAACGTCGTTACTTTCTTAAAGTCGACGTGGTTTGTTGTGTTTGTAGGAATATTTTATTCTATTTCATTCAAAATATTCATAATAAATTTAAAATAGATCAAAAAATAGCAACGTCAACTCCTATAAAGTCATTGATATATTTTCTTCCCCCTAAACCTTAAAAAAATTCAGTTTGAGTAATACAATTTTAAAATGACCAAAATTGTTTTGATGAGTCATAACATCACTTATAGTTTGAGGTTTAGGGTTTAGGGTTTAGGGCTTAGGGTTGTTATTTATTAGGGTTTAGGGTTAAAGGATAATTTTTGGGGTTTACGGTTTATGTTTGTTATATATTAGGGTGTAAAACCATAAACAATTTTATAAAATTATATTTAAAAAATATATAATTTAGAGTTTAGGGTTTAGGTTATTACTTTTTAACGACGGTGATTGAGTCGTGGAATATTGAGTTTACGTCGGATGGTGAAACATCCGCCATGGTTTCTCTTTTAAACGATGTCCTTTTTACAAGTGAGTCGTTTATTATTATTTACAACGTCGTTAATTACTTAACCCCGACGTGGTTTGTTGTTGATATAAGAATATTTTATTATTTTTAATTCAAAATATTCAAAATAAATTTAAAATAAATCCAAAAAATGCAACGTCAACTCCTATGAAGTCATTGATATATTTTCTTTCCCCTAAACCTAAAAAAAATGCAGTTTGAGTAATAAAAGTTTAAAATGACCACCCAAAATAAAATTGTTTTGATGAGTCATAACATCACTTATAGTTTGATGGTTTAGGGTTTAGGGTTAAAGTATAATTTTTGGGGTTTAGGGTTTATGTTTGTTATATATTAGGCTGTAAAACCATAAACAATTTTATAAAAATTATATTTTAAAAATATATAATTTAGGGTTTAGGGTTTAGGGTATTACTTTTAACGACGGTGATTGAGTCGTGGAATATAGAGTTTACGTCGGATGGTGAAACATCCGCCATGGTTTCTCATTTAAACGACGTCCTTTACAAGTGAGTCGTTTATTACAATTTACAACGTCTTTAATTTATTAACCCCGACGTGATTTGTTGTTCATATAAGAATATTTTATTATTTTTAATTCAAAATATTCAAAATAAATTTAAAATAAATCCAAAAAATGCAACGTCAACTCCTATTGGTTCAATAGACAACGTGGTTTTTTCAAAATAAATAGCATTATGTTCAGCGTTTGAGTCGTGGAATACTATATTTACGTCGGTTTTGGTAGAACTTTCGCCATGGTTTTTCTTAGTTTTGACGACTTCTGTTTGATTTTGCGTCGTACATAGTTTTACCACGACGTCTTTAATGTAATAAGCGTCATGTTTAAAGTGAACTTTTAACGACGGTTGTTTTTTCCGTCAATGTTTTAAAGAGCGCGCTTTCTAAAAATATTCGCGCGATCTAAAATTTTCAGATTTGGCTCTTTAGTTTTATACTTCTAACCCTGAACCCTAAAATTTTCAAATTTCGCGCAATATAACATTTCGCTCTCTCACTTCATCTCTAATTCAAAGTTAGGCTCTCCAGGCTCTATCGAATCCAAGTGGGCCATAATCTATGAGCTCTGCCAACCTGTAAGTACAAACCCTCTCTTCCCCTTGTAAATTCATTGAATGATATTAGGTTGTTTTGTTAAAGGGTTTTAGATATATGTTTTGCAATCTGTTAATAATGTTGTTGGAGGTATGGGTTCATGGATTTTTGTTTAATGTTTTCTTGATCACTCTCTGTTCTGTTGAATAGGGAATGGATTTAATTTTGTCGGATCTGTTAATCACTCTCTGTTATGTTGAATTGGGAATGGATTTATTGTTTTCATGCTTAGTATATGTTGGTTTCATGCTTGGTTTCATGTATATGTTGGTTTCATGCTTGGTTTCATGTATATGTTGGTTTCATGCTTGGTGTCATGTATATGTTGTGTTCTTAATAGAGTTTTGGGATCTTGAAAATAAACTGGGATATCGACGCGTTTTTAGGCGTACGACAACGGTTTTTTCATAAACCGTCATTTGTATTACTTATACACGACGGTGTTCTTTAACTACCGTCGTGGTTCTAATTAGACGACGTTTGTTGAAAATCCGTCGTCTATATATGTCAAATACGTCTGTTTTTGTTTAAAAACCGTCGTCCGTGTTGTATATTACTTGCTATTAGAACTTTATATAATATGCTATAGTGATGGTCATTGCTTGTCTTTTTACTTTATTATATATAATAAGGTATAGTGTCGGAGATTGATAAGTCATGGATGCACTCGGATAGAAGATCGAAGGCATATGAGTTAGGGGTGGAAGCATTTTTGAACTTTTCTGTAGAAAATCTTCTAACTACAACACATATCCGTTGTCCATGTGTTAAATGTGTTAATTTGAAATTGTTTGGGGTTGGAATTATAAGGGATCACTTATACTTTAATGGAGTTGACCAAAGCTATAAGAATTGGACATTTCACGGAGAACCTTGGGAAGCAACTACTAATGCTAGTAGAAATGTTGAAGAAGATGATGACCATAGTAGGTACAGTTTTGTGTCTAAAGAAATAGAGATGGATGATAATGATTTTGGTGATTTTGGTGATGATCCTTATGAGTTTGCCATTGTGATTGGGGATGGAGATCAACCATTGTACCCTGGTTGTAGAAAGTACACCAAGTTATCGGCATTAGTGAAGTTGTATAATTTGAAGGCAAAACATTGGATGGGTGATGTCTGTTTTACAGAATTATTGATACTTCAAGGTGATTTGCTTCCAGAAGGAAATACAGTATTGGCCTTTATGTAGGAGGCAAAAAAGACTTTGTGTGCATTGGGGCTGAGTTATGAGAAAATGCACGCATGCCCCAATAATTGCATCTTGTATAGGAAGGAGTATGAGGATTCAACTAATTGTCCTACTTGTGGTATCTCAAGGTGGAAGGAAGGCAAAGATTCAATCTTGAAAGAAGGTGTGCCAGCGAAGGTGGTGTGGTATTTTCCTCCAATTCCAAGGTTTAAAAGGATGTTTCGATCACATGAGACAGCTAAGAGTTTGACTTGGCATGCTGCTAGAAAATCAATTGACGGTCAGATGTCTCATCCGGCGGATTCCCCGTCTTGGAAACTTCTTGATGATAAATGGCCCGAGTTTGGTAATGAGCCGAGAAACTTGAGATTGGCTCTTTCATCTAATGGATTCAATCCCCACAGTTCTCTAAGTAGCAGATATAGTTGCTGGCCAGTTATTTTAGTTACATATAATCTCCTCCAAAGTTGTGCATGAAACGAAAGTTCATGATGTTGACCTTATTGATTTCCGGTCCTAAACAACCCAGAAATGATATAGACGTCTACTTGGAGCCTTTGATTGATGATTTTAAATCTTTGTGGGATGGGATTAGAGGAGTGTATGATGCACATAATGGAGAATACTTTACACTCAGAGCTGCATTAATGTGGACAATTAATGATTTCCCCGCATATGGAAACTTATCTGGTTGTGTTGTTAAAGGATATAAAGCTTGTCCAATATGCGGCGATTATACACCTAGTCACAGGTTGAAAAATGGCCACAAAATTTGTTACATTGGGCATAGAAAATGGTTACCAATCAATCATCCATATAGGAGGCAACGTGCAGCTTTTAATGGGAAACCTGAATATGACACCCCTCCCGAGCCATTAACCGGAGAAGAATTGCTTCATATGGTTGAAGATGGTGACAGAGTTTGTTGGAAGAAGAAATCAATATTTTTTTATCTCGAGTATTGGAAATACCTTCCTGTGAGGCATGTCCTAGATGTTATGCACATTGAGAAGAATGTTTGCTATAGTATCATTGGTATGTTGTTGGAAATCCCTGAAAAAAATAAAGATGGGATTGTTGCTCGATTAGATTTATTGAACATAGGGGTCAAAACTGATTTGCAACCCGAGTATGGAGAAAGACGTACTCGTTTGCCTCCCGGGCCTTGGAATTTGTCAAGAGCAGAGAAGAGAGAGGTTTGCAATTCTTTCTGTGGTATGAAGGTCCCTGAAGGTTATTCTTCAAATATAAAAAAATCTTGTATCTTTACAAGATTCAAGACTTCTTAGCCTTAAATCACATGATTGTCATACCATAATGCAACAATTTCTCCCTGTGGCAATTCGTTCTGTTTTGGAGAAGCCTGCAAGGTATGCAATAACTCGTTTGTGCTTCTTCTTCAATGCTATATGTGCAAAGACTGTTGATGTTTTCAAGCTAGATAAGTTGGAAGAAGATATGTAGTAGTTACTTTGTGTTTGCTTGAGAAGTACTTTCCCTCTTCATTCTTTGATATCATGGTTCATCTAGTAGTACATCTTGTCAAAGAAGTTCGTCTATGTGGGCCAGTATATTTTAGATGGATGTATTCGTTTGAAAGATATATGAAAGTGCTAAAGGGGTATGTTCAGAATCGTACTCGTCCCGAAGGTTGCATTGCTGAGCGGTATATAGCTGAAGAAGCTATAGAGTTTTGTACCGAGCATTTATCTGATGTTAGTACAGTTGGAGTGCCTTCAAGCCAAAAGATGGGAGTTTCAAAGCCATTATCAGGTTGCACAGTGAGCGTAGTTGATCGGGACCTGTTGAACCAAGCACATCTATATGTCTTGGAGAATACGGAGGAAGTCCTACCTTATATCGAGTACATATGAGTTTTATTCTTTAAGTTTCCATTTTATATTATTTCTTATGTTTATCTTATATGTTTGGGACCGTAATGCTTGAATTTTTCGTGTCATGTAGGCAACATATGACCACATCAAGACCGCTTATCCAAAATTTAGAAAGAGAACAAAGTTGCTGCAGGATAAGCACAATAGCACTTTCATTCAATGGCTACACTTCAAGGTATATGTTATTGAATAACATATTGGACTTTTAATTTTCTTCTTTCTATGTTAGATTGAATTAAGTTATGATTAATTTGCAGGTTCAAAGTGAACTTAATGAGGAAGACAATCATGGCGTATCAGAAAATTTAAGGTGGCTAGCAGCTGGTCCAAACATGGCAGTGCCATTATATAGGAGCTATCTTATTAAAGGTATTAAATTCAATATCAAGGCACAAGATGATGTGCGGACAACTCAAAATAGTGGAGTTTATTTACTTGCACATACCATTTAAGTTGCTAGTGCCAAGGATAAAAACCCAATTCTCTCAAATATGGGTTTCTAGGGTGTCATTCAAGAAATTTGGGACCTTGACTACCAAAAGTTTACAATCCCAATCTTTAGGTGTGATTGGATAGATAGTACTTCTGGTCTTGTAGTGGACGAACTTGGATTTACCCTTGTAGATTTGAGTAAAATTGGACATAGGAATGACCAATTTGTTTTGGCTTCTCAAGTCAAACAAGTATTTTTTGTTGACGACCCAATGCATCGTGGTTGGTCGGTAGTGTTATCAATGCCTAATAGAGAATATAATGATGTTATTGGTGATGATGTCTTAGGTGATGTGAGAATTGAGTGTGAGCCATTTACTAGAGGGATGCCAAATGTTGACACATTTGATGAAGTGGTGGGTGAGTTAGGGAGTCAAAATATTCAAGATGGGTGTGAAGATATATGGATTGAATGATGCTTTATGTAATTGGCAGTGTATGACATTAATTTTGTAATATATTGTAATGTGATTTCTTCACTTTCATTATACAGGTTTTGGCCACAAAACAATCAGTACAAAAATTACTGGTTCCAGATTACAAACACGACGGTCTTGATAAAAATGTGAAAAACAAACGTCTGTTCTAATAAAAAACGACGTTTTGGAGCATTCAACGACCGCAATATATTTACCGACGTCTTAAAGCAACGTAACAATGAAGAACCACGACACTATTGTGAAACAGTTATTCAGGATAACACGTCGGAGAAGCATCAAGAACCGCCATGTATTTCAAAATAACACGACTCCAATCCCATAATACCGACGTCTAAAAGACGAGATATCTAACCTGAACGTTACAAAAGACGACGTCATCATAAGTTTACCACGTCGCATGTTCTTTCATAAACGAAGTGGAAAAGGATGAATTCACGACGGTATTTGAAGTCCATTGGTAAATTTGTCGATGTTAAGATATATTTGGACGTCGTTCCTTTAAAAAAACAACGTTATATTGATGTATCCACGTCTCTTTTTTTATGATAATGTCGTTAAAATTGCTTTAAACGGCGAATTTCGGATAAACAACGCCGTCTAATATGAATTAGATGACGTTAATTTTGTTAATGATGACATATAAATTATGAAACACGGCGGTCTTTTTCATGGTAACGACGTTGTATATAGATGACAACATCGTCTTTATAAATTAATGTATCGTAATTAATGACCCCAACATTTTTTCCACATCGTTTATTTTCAGATCGTGTCGTTAAAATTATTTTACACGGCGGTGGAATGAGAAACGATGCCGTTTCAGAGTCATTACACAACGATTATATTTTAAAATATGACGTATAAATTCTGTAATACGGCTCTCATTTATTTGGAATCGACGTTGTTTATGTATTTCAACGTCGCCTTTGTACATTCATGCGTCGTAAGTATGACCCTAACATCTATTTCCACGTCATCATTCATAGAAAAATTGAAGTGGAAAATTTATTTTACGACGGTTGTTGGAAATGTAGTGACGTAGTAGGTGTCAATAACGTCGTCTATTATGTATTTAAAGACGTCATATTTTTATTTGTCGTTAAAGGTTTATTTAACGGCGTTGAGTTTTAGTTCTCGTTGTTGTATGTGTATCTTGCGGCCATGTTCTATTAATATATGTCATATGTTTCCTTTTTAACGACGTTTTTTTGTTAGAGTTGGTCGTCTATTCTCATGTTCGACTGTTTTTTTATGTCTTTTTGCAGTACAAAGACGTTGGTTTTTATTTGTTGATGACGTTTTTTGTTTTAACAACGACGGGTATTTACTGTCGTGGTTTTGTTATGGAAAAGATGTCGGTGGATTCCACGACCATTTGAAAACTAAATACACGACGGTGAATTCCCGTCGTGTTTTTCCTTTTTTATAGTAGTGTGGTTTGCAAAAACCGTAGGATTGCAATGCAAGTTACAACACTATTATTGTTACAACCTGTGTAGGATCAACTTCTCCTTGAATGATGTTTAATATTGATATGTATTTCGCTTGACTAGCTTCTTTTGTTCGAGCATATGAGGAAACCATTATATTTTTTGTTTGCAAAATGAGAATAGTGTCAGGGAACCATTTAATTCTGCTTTGTCGAAGATAAAAAAAAAGGTAATCAAAGCTTCTTACCTGCAAAAGTCTTCTCATAACATCAAGTACAGTGGTTTTGCGAATCACATTAGCCTGCCAAGAGGAGATACACATGCATCAGAAAGCTAAAATTATATTTAGAAGCATAAACGAGCATTTAATGTTTGCAACAATATGAGATGCCAAATCAATTCCCCTCTATTTAGACACTTTCTCAAGTACATGCCTTCACACACATAAGTACATGGATGTATCCGTAAAGACACAAATAGACATATATACGGTTATAAACTGACATGCATAAGTGAAACATACCTGGCGCTCAACTGTGAGCGGTGTATACCCTGTCATTAGAAAATGGCATCTTGGTGTTGGAATTTGTTGACGCAGAAAAATGGTTCTGCACTTTCCCGCGCAACTTAGTGATTAAGTCTCTTCGGTATCTGATGTCCTCGGTAGGGTGTGCGATCTGTAAGATAGCAAACACACGGTAAATCCTAGGGCACCGGTGTGGTACCGGCCGAAGGCTCTCCGATGCTTAAGTAAGTACGGATTTAGTAAGTTTTAACTGCAGATCAATAGGCAGTATGCCATAAGTTCTGATTGATTACCTTCAAGCTGGGATGGGTGTCCTCTTTTATAGGCCTTGGGAGGTGTGCAATTTGTTTAGAGTTTCGATGTGGGACTCTGGGCGTCAGTTGTGGGGCTGCCACGTGTCAGAGTGGGCGAGGTTGCCCTAATGTTGCGATCGGTAGGATTTGTACCGAAGGTGAGTGCCGAAGGCACACGTAGCCCTGGTTTAGTCCACGTGCTTGATATTCATTGGGTGTTCATTTTGGTATAAACAGGAGTCCCCCAAGTCCCCTTGCGAGAGTCTTCGGAAGGGGATTTGAAGTCGTCCTCGGGAGGAAACACGGCCTTACCGTTCGGTAACCTCACCTGGGGGAGGGGCCAAACCTTGTCCCTTCCAGCATGACCAGTTCAGAGGCTGACGTTGGTGAAGTCAGAAGGTCGCGTCGATCTGACGGGCGAAGGGACGTCTGAGCGCTTCGACTTCCGCGCCTCGCGTGCCGTCAGTTCTCCATAGGGTGAGCGACACGTGGCGAAAGTAATGATGGCGCGCGGCGCATTAATGCGCCGTTTGGTTTTTCGAGGAATACCGTTGTCGAACTCCCCACTATAAATAGGGATGACCCCGGTGGCGAATTCACTTTGCATCTTGTGAGAAGTGAGAGCTCTATCCGAGGCGATTTCCGACGAGTACCAACGGTAGGAAAGGCGATTTCCGACGAGAGCTAACGGTAACCAGGCGATTTCCGGTGAGAGCTAACGGTAGGAAAGGCGATTTGTGTCCAGGCGATCTGAAGCAGTCCGCGTTCACTTCCAGAAACTAAACAAAGGTACCGTTCGGTAGCCCTACTTTTTCCCTCTTTACGTACCTTAAGAGTTTACGTCCTTCCTTGGTTTGAACTAGACTGGCCATAGGGTTCCATTCGGTAGTCTAGTCGCCATAGGTGGTGATGTAGGGATCGGTAGGATAGCATCCGGCATGAGCCTTAGTTTCCTTTTTTTCCCTGTTTTTGTAGATGTCTGATAGCGAGTCATTCTCCGAGCGCGAGACCAACGCGTTCGACGAGGAGTCATCGGACGGTCTCCTTGACTCCGACGTTGAAGCGGCAGGGCCTGATGCCGAGGAGGGGAGCGGTACCGTTGTCTATCGTATATAGCGACGGTCGCCACGTGGGGCTTGGCGCCCCTGGGGAGGCGAGCGGTAGCCACCAGCCAGAGGCTTCCACTTCCGGCCGTGGTGAGGCGGCTACCGAACCATCCAACCGGCCGAGGGTATCCGTAGTCTACCCCGGCAATCCTAGGGTGCCGATGGGGGTTCCGAAGGAGCTCGTCTTCGGGGTGGATTATCTGGAGCCCAATAGAGTCACCGAAAGGGAGATTGCGAAGTTCCGGGCGGAGTACTTCATTCCTGATTCGGTAGGTATGAGGATTCCTCTTCCTACCGAATCTCTAAGCAGTCCGAAGGACGGCGAAGTCGTCTTTTTCACGGACGTGCTTTTGCAGGGGGTGAGGCTTCCTCTGCAGCCTGCCGTTCAGAGGATCCTGGCGCAGATCGGCTACGCTCCCGGCCAGTTCAATCCGAACTTCTGGGTGGCGCTGATGGGGGTAGTCACAGCCTTCGGCATGGCTGGGGAGGGAGAACCTTCGTACGAGCAGTTCTCCCACCTTTATAGTATCACGAAGTCAAAGTGTGCCGATCACGGAGGCTGGGTCCAGGCCAATTGTCTGAAGGCTGCCGAGCGTGGTCACTTCGTCAATGCCGTCCTGACCTCACAGAAGACATGGAGGAAACGGCGGGTGCTTTTGTCCGGTGACTGGGAGTCACCCTCGGGACACCCCGTCCGTTTCCATATTCCAACGACGTTCCAAATCGCTGGTAGGCTATCCTACCGTTCGGTAGGGCTTGCAGGGTTTGCTCTCCTTATTTTAAAGCTGATACTGTTTGGTTTTGTGCAGGCAAGTTGAAGCAGCCGAGCGCCACACAAGCGGAGGTCCGGCAGATCGAAAGGGTTAGGATGAAGGTTCCTGCCGTTGAGAGGGTGTACCCGAAGTTTCTCTTCACCGCCAATCTTATCAAGGCCCGGCTTGTCAACCCTGCCGAGAGTCAGTATACTCCTCCATTTCGACAGTTCAAAATGTATATCGACGAATCTGACCGTCTCCTTCTTGCAGTGACCGAAGAGAGGAAGGCTGCCAAGGTGAAGAGGATGAACGAGTCCTCGAAGAGACGCCTCATGCTCGGCATGCAGGGGAAGAAAAAGGGGCGGCAGGCCTCAACGGTACCGGCGTCTTCGGGAGGCGTGGACCCCGACGATCTGACACTCAATGAGCGCCGTCGCCAGATGCCGGCCGATTCGGCGCGTGCTGAAGCTACCGAAGCCGGTCCGTCCCCCGGCCGAGTTCCGCCTACCGAAGGCACCTCCGCCAAAGCTGCAGGCAAGAGGCCGTTCACGGTGGACCTTGATGCCGACCCCGCTCCAAAACGCGGGCGACAAACTGAGCCTGCTCGGGCCGTCTTCTCTGCCGAGGACGATGAGGCGCCTTCCGAAGCTGTTACCCTGTCCTGTCCTTCGAAGACGGTACAGTTTGTGAACCATATGATCCTCAGTTCGCAGATGGAGCTGTCGGAGATCGAGGAACTGCCGAAGAAGCTGCTTCGGGAGGAGGCAGGCCTCGCATTCCGTCTCCAAGCCTCGGTAAATGCCTTTTGTTTATTAGTGTTTTCCTGCCGTTCGTTTCTCTTTCCACTTAACCTTATTGTTTGCTGTGCAGGCATCAATGGACATGTGGCTCTGCGTTAAGCGAGCCATCAATGCCGCTGAGAAGGCGAAGAAGGTGTACGAAGACGGCAGGGCGAAGGTTGCCGAAGCTTGTAAGCTTCGTTCCGAAGGTTGGCTTGTGCTCGGCGTTCTTCGAGTAAATCGAGGCTCAAAGCCAGTGCTTCCTCATTTGCCTTCGGTGCGAAGGTTTCCGTTCGGTAGGAGGGCTCTCTGATTTCTACTGGGACTACTGCCTCTGAACCGAAAGCCATGGAGAATGGTGTTTCCCCAGTTGCCGTTCGGTAGGATGTTCGTATGGCCCATAGCGCTTCCAGAAGCTTTTCCGGCCAGGCTCCTTTGGCTTTGTCAAGCTGCCGTTTCAACAGCTTCTTGACAATTTTGTTCATGGCTTCGACCTGTCCGTTCGATTGGGGGTGTGCTGGCGAAGCAAAGAACAGGTTGATCTTAAGTCGGGTGCAGAATTGCCTAAAGACTTCCGAATCAAACTGCCTGCCGTTATCCGTGACGATGGCGTAGGGGATGCTGAATCGGCAGCAAATATTCGTCCAGACGAAATCCTCGACCCTGGCTGCCGTTATTGTCGCTAGGGCTTTGGCTTCTACCCATTTGGTAAAGTAGTCTACGGCAACAACAGCGTATTTGACCTAACCCTTGCCCTCTGGCATCGGACCAATTAGATCTAGTCCCCATTGGGCGAACAGCCATGGGCTCACGATCGGTGACAGTGGCTCGGCAGGAATATGAGGGACACTACCGAACCGCTGGCATTTGTCGCACCTCTTGACTAGTGTGTTCGCATCCTGGTGTAGAGTCGGCCAGAAATAACCCTGCCGGAAGATCTTGTGTGCGAGCGATCGGGATCCAGAATGGTCACCGCAGATTCCGCTGTGGACCTCCCGAAGGATGTAGTCCCCCTGCTCCTTGGTCAGGCATTTTAAATATGGCGTCGTGTAGCCCCGTTTGTACAGGACATCGTTGATGACTGTGTACCTTGCCGATCGGTAGCGAAGTTTCCGAGCTTGGGACTTATCGGTAGGAAGGGTTCCGGCAGTCAGGTAGGCATAGATTGGAGACATCCATGTGTCCTCGTACCGAACGGTACATACCTCAGCGGCGGTCGTACTTGGTTGGGATAATATCTCCACCGGTACCTTCCTTCCGATCTTGTCGTTTATGGCCGAGGCCAATCGTGAGAGCGCGTCGGCGTGGCTATTTTCCGACCTGGGGATCTGCCGTATCTCATAGGCCTGGAATTTTTGTAGTAGTTGGTGGGCTGCCGATAGGTAGGCTGACATGGAGGCATCCCTTGCTGCAAAGTCTGCCGTTATCTGATTTACTATGAGCTGGGAGTCGCTGTGAATGCTGATCTGCCTCGCGCTCAGGCTCTGGGCTAGCCGAAGGCCGGCCAGGAGGGCCTCATATTCTGCCTCGTTATTGGAGGTTCGGAAGTTGAATCGGAGGGCATATTCGATTTTGCTACCATCTGGAGTGGTTAACACTAATCCGGCACCACAGCCTTGCTGGTTTGCCGAGTCGTCCACGTGCAGGATCCAGAGAGGAACAGAAGTGTCGAAACGTTCGGCATCCATTTTCTCTGGTGCGGTAGGGACGACGCTCGGTGATGACGGTTCTGATAAAGCAGGGGGTGTGAGTTCGGAGATGAAGTCGGCAACGGCCTGGCCTTTTTCTGCAGGCCTTGGTTTGAACTGTATGTCAAACTCTCCCAACTCGATTGCCCATTTGACCAATCGGCCAGATGTTTCCGGCTTCTGGAGTACCTGCCGAAGAGGCTGGTTCGTCAGAACTGTTATTTCGTGAGCCTGGAAGTAAGGGCGAAGTCTTCGTGCCGAGACGACCAAGGCCAGTGCTAGTTGCTCCAAGGGTGGGTACCGAAGCTCTGCGCTCTGGAGCGCCTTGCTGACATAAAAGATCGGTAGATCCGCCTTCTCCGGCTTCCTTATCAACACTGAGCTAACGGCAGTGTTGGATACCGAAAGGTATAGAAGTAGTACCTCGCCTGGCAGCGGTTTCGATAACAGTGGTGCCTGGCTCATATAGTTCTTCAAGTTTTGAAATGCCTGGTCGCATTCGGGAGTCCACGTTATATGATGTTTGCCCCCCTTCAAAGCTTTGAAGAACGGCACGCATTTATCGGTAGCCCTGGAGATGAAGCGTGTTAGGGCAGCGACACGTCCGGTAAGGCTCTGAATGTCCTTCTGTGTCTTCGGCGTCTCCATGTCGATTATGGCTTTTATTTTCTCGGGATTGGCCTCGATTCCCCTTTGGCTGATCATGAACCCGAGAAATTTACCGGAAGATACACCGAAGGCGCACTTCGCCGGGTTCAGCCGCATTCGGTAGTCCTTTAGAATACCGAACATGAGGGCCAAGTTTTCCAGGTGATCCCCTGCCGTTCGGCTTTTTACTAACATGTCGTCGACATATACCTCCATGATGCCGCCGATGTATTTAGCAAAAATCCGGTTGACGAGCCGTTGGTAAGTTGCCCCCGCGTTCTTCAGGCCGAAGGGCATGACATTGTAACAGTACAAACCGCGATCCGTGATGAATGCCGTATGTTCTCTATCGGCAGGGTCCATGAAGATCTGGTTGTACCCTGAATACGCGTCCATGAAGCTGAGCAGCTCGTGCCCGGCGGTGGCATCGACGAGCTGGTCGATCCTCGGTAATGGGAAACTGTCCTTCGGACAAGCCTTATTCAGGTCGGTATAGTCCTGACACATTCGCCATCCTCCCCTGGCCTTCCGAACCATGACTGAGTTGGCAAGCCAAACAGGGTACGTAGCTTCCCTGATAAAGCCGATGGCTTTGAGCTTGTCAACTTCGGCACGCATCGCCTCATACCGTTCGGCATCATACGATCGGCGTTTTTGCCTGACTGGTTTGTGGGCGGGGGAGATGCTGAGCTTGTGGCTGATGACATTGGGTGATATGCCGGGCATATCGTCATAAGACCAGGCGAAGACCTCCGCATGCTGCCGTAAGAAGTCGATGAACTGCCCTCGGAGGTCGGGGTTCAGATTGGTGCCGATCTTCACCCACCGATCGGGGAAATCCTTGTTCAGGATTATGGTCTCGAGCTCCTCGGCGGGCTGTGCCATCGGCGTTGGGTTTTCCTCCCGGGGGTCGTCAATGGGTTCGTTACCGTTCGGTAGTCCCTGCAAGGTCATGGCTTCCATTGGCGGTTTGCTGGCTACCAACTTAAGGGCCGTGGCATAGCACGTCCGTGCGCTGAGCTGATCGCCCCGGATGGCTCCGGTACCGTTGCGTGTCGGGAACTTCATCAGCAACATGTGTGTGGATAGGTGGGCTTTGATCCTGGTGAGTGCCGTTCGCCCTATGATGACGTTGTATGCCGTTGGGCAGTCAACAATGAGGAATTGGTCGTAGGTCATGGTCTTCCTGGGGGCCACGCCGAAGGCAATGGGCAAACTGATGCTACCGACCGGTTGTACCAGATCTCCAGAGAAACTGAGGAGAGGCGTGATTTGCCGATTGACCATGCTGTCCGCAATCCCCAGTCCCTTGAACGCATCGGCAAAGATTACGTTCACCGAGCTTCCGGTGTCAATCAGCACCCGACCCACGTCGTAATCGGCGATCTCGGCCCGAATGATCATTGGGTCGTCGTGGGGGTAGATGATCCCCTCCTCCTCTTCTTCACTGAACGTGATGGGCTCCCATCCCACCTTTGACAACTTTCGGCACCGATCCTCCGCTATGCCGAAGACTTGAGGGCAGTGGGCGGAGCGCACATACTGCTTCGCCGAGCGGTTAGAGGGTCCCGCCAGGGTGGGGCCACCGCTGATCGTGTTGATCATGTTGATCTGCCGATTCGCATTCGGTGCCGGGGCCTGTGGCGGCCAGCTTTCCTTCCCGAATCAGGCGCTCGACAATCTTCCTCAGACTGATGCAATCTTCGGTATTGTGGCTGTTCTGCTGATGATATCGGCAGAATTTGCCGGTGTCCCGATTATCCTGTCGATTGGGCTTCCGGTTGGTCGGCTTCGGGATCTGGTCATGTTCGTTCATTAGAACGGTTTCGTACGTTGTGTTCAGCAGGGTGAAAACTTCCTGAGCACGATCGTGATTCGGTAGGGGTGCCCGGTGGTCGTTACGACCGTACTTCCCACGTCCTTCTTTGAGTTTCCCTGCGGTTATCCCGGTCGTCCTTCCGTTTGTGCCCTGCCAACGGGTCGTCGGTTCGGCCTGGATAACTTTTGGTTGCCGATTCTTCCTTCCGAGCCGAAGGCCCGGGTTTGGAGTTGAAGTATTCGGCCTTCGCATGGACTGCCGCCTGCTTCATTAATTCGTTATACGTGCGCCAGTTGCTACTGTGCACGAGGTACCGGAAGTGAGAGGACCGTAGGCCACTCTTGAAGGCGCCGTAGGCTGCCCTATCGTCCGTTTCGGGACACCTCGAGTACTCGTGACTGAAGCGCGCTGCGTATTCCCGTAGGGGTTCGTCCTCCCTTTGCCGAATCGTGTACAGGTCGTCGGCAGAGTACAAACGGTCCGTCTGGATCATGAAGTGGTTGAGGAAAATCTGCTTCAGTTCGTCAAAGGAATGTACCGTCCCTGGCTCGAGACGGTAGAACCAGTTCAGCGCAGCTCCGGTAAGGGACGAGGGAAACAGCAGACATTGTCCCTCGTCGCTGAGGCCCTTACACCCAACTGCCGATTGGAAGGAGTGGAGGTGCGTCAGAGGGTCCTCCACACCGGTATAGAAGGGTATGCGCAGCGGCTGCACCTCCCTGTCCGGTCTGGACCTCTTGATGCGCTCGGTAAATGGCCCCGGTCGAAGTTTTCCCCAGTCAGGGACCTGGGATCGGGTTCGGTCTTCCTCCATCTTCTGGATTCTTTGGAAAAGTAATCGGATGGTGGGGTCTCGGCTGGGGACGTCCTCGGAACCAAAGTCTTCGGAAGCTTTCCTTGGACTTGGTGATCTCGCCTTCGAATACTCTGGGGGAGCTTCCGAACGGTAGCTCGATTCGGTGTCCCTGGTGGGGATGTACTCATCATCGGATTCCTGCGCCGAATCCAAACCCTGAGCCCTCCGAAGGGGCGATTTATCCCCCAAGACCCTCATCCGGGAGTCCCTCAAGTTGGCGTTTAGTCTGATTGGGGACCTATGCCGTTCGGCATCCTTCTTGTCGTTGATCCGATGACGACAATCGGTGTATACCTTCTTCGGTACGTGCGGTTGGTCCTGGGGTGCTGGGACCACCAGCTGCTTGGAAGGCGCAGGCGTTGCCTTTGCCCCCTGTTTTCCCTTCCTCTGCCGACCGGGGGTTTGCTGACTCTGGGAAGATTCGGTGGTCCGAACGTTTTGCGTTTCCTGTTGGTTAAGCAACCGTTGGGTTTCGTCCACTTTGGACGAAAGAAGATTGTTACGTTCTTGGAGTTTTGCCATCTCCTTTCGGAGGGAAGTCATCTGAGCCAGAAGCTCCGCTTCGACCGTGGTCTGAAGCGCAGGTGGATTACCGAAGGGAGTGCTAGGGTGCAGCGCGGGGCTTGTTCCACTTGGCATACCGTACGGTAATCCATCCTCTGATAGGAACTGTGGTCCTGAAGTGGTTCCCATTTGTTTTGTTTAGGAATTGTAGGTTGATTATATCGATTTCCCACAGACGGCGCCAAACTGTTGACGCAGAAAAATGGTTCTGCACTTTCCCGCGCAACTTAGTGATTAAGTCTCTTCGGTATCTGATGTCCTCGGTAGGGTGTGCGATCTGTAAGATAGCAAACACACGGTAAATCCTAGGGCACCGGTGTGGTACCGGCCGAAGGCTCTCCGATGCTTAAGTAAGTACGGATTTAGTAAGTTTTAACTGCAGATCAATAGGCAGTATGCCGTAAGTTCTGATTGATTACCTTCAAGCTGGGATGGGTGTCCTCTTTTATAGGCCTTGGGAGGTGTGCAATTTGTTTAGAGTTTCGATGTGGGACTCTGGGCGTCAGTTGTGGGGCTGCCACGTGTCAGAGTGGGCGAGGTTGCCCTAATGTTGCGATCGGTAGGATTTGTACCGAAGGTGTGTGCCGAAGGCACACGTAGCCCTGGTTTAGTCCACGTGCTTGATATTCATTGGGTGTTCATTTTGGTATAAACAGAATTAAAGATGCAAGAAGACCAACCAAGTCATTGTTCATGTATCCTGGATATCTCAGAGTGGTTGTGCTGGCAGACATTACAGTAGAAACCAAAGAATTTGTTTGAGCAAAGGTTGGATTTGTTAAATGAAGGCGCTCAACAGCAATTCTATTCAATGCAGTGTTATCAAGGACCACAACACAATCAGCATTAAGCGTTAGACGTTTAAGCGTCAACAGTGAGTTATAGGGCTGGACCACCACATCACTTGTTTCCATCTGGTTAAGAAGTCATAAAGAAGGACACTTGTGTTATACTACAAAGCACACCACATCCATTGAAGGTAGATTTTGCCAAAATTTTTCCATTGAAGTACACCACATCATATGTAGTAGCTAAATCCCTATATGAATGGTCACACTTCCAAATGAAGGTAGCTTAATATAGCACCGGCATAAATGATATGTTATCTAAAAATAAAAATACTGAAATGTTATATTTTACTTGTTTGACCCAGCATTGTAGTCAATAGGAAGTACTTTGACCAATCCAACCAAAAAAATAAAATTTGGACCAAATGCGTTATTTAAATCATGATTGAAAAAAATAAAAAGATAAACACTAAACAGAAGAAAAGAAACCTGAGCCTGTTCCTCCAGCAATTGAATGGCACAGAACAAATCCTTCAAGACTATCACTTCCATTAGCTTCTCTATCAATCATGTCCATTATAGCCTCTTCAACACCCTCTCCCTGAAGAGAATTTACAACAACCTCATTCCACTTACATGGAAGCTAAGCATAAAGCTTTTATATCATAAAATTACCATGGAAGGAACTGGAAACTATTAACAGAGATTGTCTCTAAACATTTGACTACTTTACAAACCTGATCATATCCACTGGCCCAATTATTTCCTGCGCCACCTCCATGATCTGAAACAAAGATGTTTTCATGATTGTAGAGATTTCGATATTCACTGTTTTGAATACCATTAATTACTCTTGGCTCCAGGTCAATCAGCAAAGCTCGCGGTATGTAGTGCTGATCATCAACTTGATAGAAAAACACATCTTTCCGATCTCCACCCTGCAGTATTTCAATCATAAGATAATTACACATCTATATCACGAGCGGGACTGAAGAATACATATTTTCAGATACAGTGCACTGCTCCTGATTGCTTTTCTTGTTGGCACATTTGATTACTTTAGCCAGTTGTTCAATTCTTGGTCTACCCTTGTACTAAGATGGAAATCAACACAGCATAGTCCGGACATGTATCATTCATCTATCTTGATATCTCTACTCTCAAACATAGGCATTCACCTCAAAGAGCTCAATAAGGAAAACCATTCGAAGAAAGGAAATTCTTTATCTATCAGTCGGCCATCACGAAAAAAATCTCAATTGAACTCAAATTTAACTGAGAAAACAAATATATTCCTCAACTGAGCCTCAAATGACGACTCATATAAGTTTAGAAAATTATAAATTCGATTTCCTTTCATACCTCAAAAGCTTACATTCACAAACACAGAATTTGGGCTGACTTTAAATTCACTAATTCATCAATTCATAAAAGGAAAAAATAAAAATAAAAAATCAGACTTCAACTAGGCCTAGCACGTTACTCGGCTCCATTTCCCCAACTTCAAATTCCATTTCCTTTTCCCAAGAAGAATTTTCTCAGCAACCAAACAGAGAGTAGTAGCTGTGTAAGATTATATATATATATATATATGTTGATGCTCTTTTTTGGAGAGGGTCAACTTAGAGAAAATGAGGTTTGCCATCAGTAGGGAAAGGGCCTGGACCTTCAATAAAGGCTAGCTTGCAGAAGACAAAAATAGGGGAAGCAGTCGTTAAGCTTCGGACACCGGTGTGGTGCCGGCCGAAGGCTCTCCGATGCTTAAGTCAGCTAAGAAGGGTAACTTTTGCATAGTAACAGTAAAAGGAAGAAAAGTAGTTACCCTTTTTACTAGGGTATTGTGCCCTCTTTATAGGGAAGTGAAAGTGGGAGGTTGGTGTAGATTTCCGATGTGGGACTTTGTGCAAGTCGCTGTGGTGGTGACACGTGTTATGGTGTTGATGCTCTTGGTGCTAGTTGCTTTGATGCCGGATATGCTCGGTTAATTATGGTGTAAATAGTAGTCCCCCAGGTTCGCGATCAAGAAGTAACTTCTGGATTGGGAACTTGTTAGATTTTGTGTAATCATGACCGAGCATTCCAAGTTTAGTGGGAGCCGTAGGGCATTCCCTAGTCCCCCAAGTTGGCAAGCTAGAAGTTGCGTAAACACTTAGAATGTATGGTACGAGCTGTGTGAGCCTCTAGAACCGTAGGTACCTGGGTACTTGGGTTTTTAGCAAAGATGTCGGGATTGGGCTCTGTGGAGCTGAGCTTCGATAGAGGCCAGGGCCTTGAAGCTTCGACAAGAGTTTGGTCTTGGGATTGTGCCAAGTGCACACTTGGTGTTCAGCAAAGAGGGCTTCTTTAGGAGAGAAAAGTAGGCTTGGGCCTTTCAAGCTTCGGCAAGGAGGTTTGTGGGCCCTTAGTTCTTACGACCCGGGTCCTGCCGTTTAACAGGGAGGCTGAGTTATGGCCTTGGCTCGTGCATCTTTGGTAACCAAGTTATGACTTTAGAAAGTAGGAATGTGATGCCAAGGGTGCTGAAGGGAAAAATGTAAGTGTGCATTTTTTATTATTATTTGAAGAAATAATAATAATAATATCTTTTTTCTTTTTCTTTTTCTTCTTCTTTCTTTTTTTTTGGTAGCAGCTTGAGGCCTCCATTTACTTTTGTATGGGGTTAAGCCCCTGGCCCTTTGGCATGGCGCCAATCCGGGCCTCCAAGCCTGCTTGTGGAGCTGAGCCGCAGGACCTTGTTTTTGGGCCAACGTGAGAAGCCTTCTTGGCTTGGAGCTGGGCTTCGGAATTTTTAGACAAGAAGCTGGAGTGTTTGGAGTGTTTGGAGCAGCGTAGGACCTTGGAATTTTTAGACAAGAAGCTGGGCTTTTGGTTGGCCAAGGTTTGACCTTGAAATGTCGGCACCAAGGCTAGGCCCTGGGGTTGGAGGGGGATGTGCGCATCTCCTTTTAATCAAAACCTGCCGTTCGGCAAGGTAAAATCAAAAGGGGCTAGGTACCTTGGCATGAGCTGAGGCTTGTTTTGCATACAAAGGTTTTGAAGCTGGGCCTTCCGCAAGGCCCTAGGTTTTGAGAAGCAAGGTACATTCGGCAAGATTTTTTGGTTTTGCCCCTACTTAGCTTAAGCTCGACCCTTACCGTTAGGCAAGGGTTCATTGGGATTTTTGAGAGACCTCCTGCTGTGTCTTCGGCAAGTGGGTGGTTGATTTCTAGTTCTTTTGGTTTAGATCCTTGGGCCTTTGGCAGGCTTGACTTGGAGTTGGAGCTAGCCGTGACCCGAGAATTGTCTGTGCCTCGGCAAGCTTTGGCTGTCTCGACTCATTCGGCAGGTGGGACTTGGCATTCTAGTTTCGGCAAGAGGGACCTGGAGTACCTCCTGCTTCGGCAAGGAGACTTGGCTGCTGGGTTTCGTGCATTCCAGTTTCAGCAAGGGGGCTGTAAATTCGCAAGGGTCCTTGGCAAAGAATTTTTTCGAACTGGGCTTTGGATTTTCTTCCGTTCTCCAGCATAAAAACTGCCGTTCGGCAGAGAGTTTGGAGAGGTTGCGTTGCGTTGCAGAGGCTTCTTCGGTAGCTTTTCGCCTAATTTCGCGAACTCCCCGGCTTGGTGTTTTTGGCAAGGTCATGAGGCCTGGTACATCATTCAAGATCTTGGCATCTCCGTAGCTTCGGTAAGCTTTGCAGAGTTCGGCAAGGGTCCTTGAGAAGTTTTTGACAATTGAACTAGCTGGGACCTGTTCTCGTTGGAGGTCGAAGACGCTTGGCCAGAGCTCGAAAGTGGCTGGTACTGTCCCACTTGGCATTGGTGTTCGTCGGCAAAATCTGGTTTGGCAGCAGTCATTGCCGAACGGCAGGTTTGGTAACAGCGCTTCGGGAAATATTTCTAAAGCTGGGTTCGGCAGACATAGCTTGTGCCAGCTCCGGGTCCGTTTTGGGTCATTCCTAGGTTCAGCAAGGTTTCTTGCCGATCGGCACGGACACGGGGAAGGGGTTTTTGTGAGCATCCACGCTGGTTTTGGAGGAGGTGGTCTGAAACCATGGTGGGCTTGAGGTAAGCCTTCGGCAAGTGTTGAGTTAGGCAATCTTGGAGATATCTTGAGGTCTTGGTTCGGCAAGCTTGGCTTTGGAGGAGCTGGCCGTGACGTTGTAAGATTTCCCCAGAAATCTTCATGGGCGGCAAGGCCAGCTCTCTCTTTCTTTTTTTTTTTTTTTTTTTTTTTTGTTGTGGCTGAGACCGTGAGTGTTTTGGAGTGCAGGCTCGGAATTTAACGTGCCTAGGATTTCGTCGTTACTGCTGAACCGCAGGGTTGGCCTGGGGTAAGTTTTGAAGCCTCCTTGCACCTCCTGAAATTCTAGAACACTAGGCTCAGCAACTCGAGTCCTGGGGTTGCTAGAGCAGACCTTGCCAGACCTTGTGAGCTGTCGTTGCGAATTTGGAGTTGGGTCTTTGGCAGGAAACAGCCGGGTGCTTGATCAAATTGTTGGGGCCCTGCATGTTGAGTAAATTGTGAGGGGTGGCTTGAGTAGTTAGCGTGGGAAGGGTCGGTAGAGCTGGGCTGCTGGTGGTACGGCTAGAGCAGCTTGTTTTGGTGAGCATCCCCCTTTCCTTCTGCATGGGCCTTGCCATTTGGCAAGGTCCTACCAAGTTCCTATCGGTTTTTTTGTTGTTGTTGTTGTTGTTGGGATAGCTTGAAGGCACCTGTGATATGAGGTTATTTCTGGCAGGTACTCACAATTACGTGAGCTGGGCCTCGGATCTGCTGGAGTTTTTAGCTTGGGCCCTTATAGAAAAACAAGGTGCTGGGTCCTTGGGTGTATTTGTGTTCCTGGCAAAGACCTGGGCCTTAATAGAGTTAGGCCCTTGGGTCGAAAAGGCTGGGCCATTATAGAGTTTTCCTCAGGATTATCCTTGGAGTTGGGCTCTCCGTAGGAGCCGGGCTCTTGGTAGGAGCTGGCTCATATTGGTTTCGGCAAGGTGAGAGCTGGGCCTCTGAATTGGAACTGGACTCATAGGTTGGAGCTAGGGTCTTTGATTCGTGAGCTTCGGTAAGCTTGGGCCTGCCAGGTTATGCTGGGGTGAGCTTGGGCCTACATGCTAGTCCTTCACTTGTTAAAAAGAACCTAACTTGCTTAGGCTTTGATAAGGCAGCAATATAGCTGCGGGTCTCTTTCGGCAAGAATATAATTTGGCTAGGAGCTAAACACCAGTTTGTGCATCAAGGGCAGATTCGGCAGGTTCTTCCAAGGTTTGGCTGGTTCTGAAAGAAGAAAGGTCCCAGGGACCTGGGCATTGTTCAGCCAAGCTGCCGATCGGCAGGGGTTGACTGAAATTTTTTGGACCCTGCGGTGGCTTCAGCTAGAGGAGTTTCAGAAGGGGGGGTCCCGATCAAGACTTTGATAGCTCACGGTGCTTGGGTCTGGTGAGTAGGCAATCTTGTAGTCCCCAATTTCCAGCTAGGCCCTTGCCGTTCGGCAAGGGTTATTTGGGAGTTTGAGAAGGTTCTCTGCGGTCGTGACTTGGGCAAGTTGTTGACGCAGAAAAATGGTTCGGCACTTTCCTGCGTAACTTAGTGATTTAGTTTTCCTTCGGTACGCTGTGGCCTCGGTAGGTCGTTATACCTGTAAGATAATGAACGCTCGGTAAGTCCTAAGGCACCAGTGTGGTACCAGCCGAAGGCTCTCCGATGCTTGACTAAGTACGGATTTAGTAAGTCTAAACTACAGATCAATAGGCAGTATGCCATGAGTTCTGATTGATTACCTCCAAGCTGGGATGGTTGTCCTCTTTTATAGGCCTTGGGAGGTGTGCAATTTGTTTAGAGTTTCGATGTGGGACTGTGGACATCAATTGTGGGACTGCCACGTGTCAAAGGGGATGAGGTTGCCCTAATGTTGCGACCGGTAGAGATGATACCGAATGTGGGTACCGAATGCACCCATAGCCCTGGTTTGGTCCATGTGTCTGATATTCATTGGCTGTTCATTTTGGTATAAACAGGAGTCCCCCAAGTCCTCTTGCGAGAGTTCTCGGAAGGGGATTTGGAGTCGTCATTGGAAGGAGAGCCGTCCTACCGTTCGGTAAACCGATTTAGTGGAAGGGCTCAATTTTGCCCCTTCCGTCCTTATTGGTTCAGAGGCTGGTGTTGGCGAAGTCAGAAGGTCGCGTCAAGTGGACGGATGAAGGGACATCTGAACGCTTCGACTTCCGCGCCTCGTGTGCCATCAGTCCCCCATAGGATGAGCGACACGTGGTGGAAGCAATGATGGTGCGCGGCACATTAATGTGCCGTTTGGTTTTCTCGAGGTGTATCGTTGCGAACCCTCGCCCTATAAATAGGGGTGACCCCGGGGGCGAAATCACTTTGTACTTAGTGAGAAGCGAGAGCTCTGTTGAGGCGATTTTCGAAGAGAGCTTCCGGTATTCCAGGCGATTTCCGACGAGTGCTAACGGCAACCAGGCGATTTCCGGTTTAGCAAACGGTAAGAAAGGCGATTTGAAGCGCAGTTCGCGTTTACTTTCTAGAGTGCAAACTAAGGTACCGTTCGGCACCTCCACTTTTCTCTCTTTGCATACCTTAAGAGTTACGTCCTTCCTTGGTTTGAACTAGACTGACCATAGGGTTCCATTCGGTAGTCTAGTCGCCATAGGTAGTGATGTAGGGATCGGTAGGATAGTATCCGGCATGAGCCTTAGTTTCCTTTCTTCCCTGTTTTTGTAGATGTCTGATAATGAGTCATTCTCCGAGCGTGAGCCCAATGCGTTCGATGAGGAGTCATCGGAAGGTCTCTTTGACTCCGATGGTGAAGCGGCAGGGCCCGATGTCGAGGATGGAAGTGAGACTGATGTTGAGATACTCGGTGAGGGGCCCAGCTCCGTCCCAATACATGGCATCGGAAAGGGGCTAATGACCGCTCCGGTGCCGTTGTCCATTGTCTATAGCGACGGCCGCCATGTGGGTCTAGGCGCCCCTGGGGAGGCGAGCGCTAGTCGCCAGTCAGAGGCCTCCACTTCCAGCCGTGGAGAGTCAGTTGCCGAACCATCTCCCAGCCGAGGGTTTTGGTAGTCTATCCCAGCAATCCTAGGGTGCCGATGGGGGTTCCGAAGGAGCTCGTCTTCGGCGTAGATTATTTGGAGCCTAACAGGATCACCGAGAGGGAGATTGCGAGGTTTCGTGCTGAGTACTTCATACCAATTCAGTAGGCATGAGGATCCCAAATCCTACCGAATCTCTAAGCAATCCGAATGATGGGGAAGTCATCTTTTTTACGGACGTACTTCTGCAAGGGGTGAGGCTCCCTCTGCAGCCCTCCGTTCAGAGGATCCTGGCGCAGATAGGCTATGCTCCCAGCCAGTTCAATCCCAACTTCTGGGTGGCGCTAATGGGTGTGGTCACAGCCTTCGGCATGGCTAGCGAGGGAGAGCCTTCGTACGAGCAGTTCTCCCATCTGTACAGCGTCACGAAGTCGAAGTCTGCCGATCACGGGGGCTGGGTTTAAGCTAACTGCCTGAAGGCTACCGAGCGTGGCCATTTTGTCAACGCAGTGCCAACCTCCCAGAAAACGTGGAGGAAACGACGGGTGCTTTTGTCTGGTGACTGGGAGTCGCCCGCGGGACATCCCGTCCGTTTCCACATTCCCACCACGTTTCAAATTGCCGGTAGGCCATTCTACCGTTCGGTAGGACTCCTAGATTGTGTCTTCCTTCGGTAATGTTAATTCCGTTTCCCTTTTGTGCAGGTTAGTTGAAGCAGCCGAGCGCTACACAAGCTGAGATCTGGCAGATCGAGAGGGTGAGGCTGAAGGTCCCTGCCGTGGAGAGGGTTTATCCGAAGTTTCTCTTCACCACCAATCTTGTCAAAGCTCAACTCGTCAGCCCTGCCGAGAGTAAGCATACTTGACCATTTCAATAGTTTATGACGTAAATGCGAAATCTGATCAATCTTTGCTCGCAGTGACCGAAGAGAGGAAAGACTGCCGAGGCGAAGAGGATGAACGAGTCCTCAAAGAGGCGCCTCATGCTCGGCATGCAGGGGAAGAAAAAAGGGTTGCAGGCCGGAACGGCACAGGCGTCTTCGGGAGGGGTTGACCCTGATGACTTAACTCTCAACGAGCGTCGTCGTCAGATGAACGCTGAATCGGCGCATGCCGAAGCGGCCGATGTTGGTCCGTCCCCCAGCCGAGGTATGACTGCCGAGGGTACCTCCTCCAAAGCTGCCGACAAAAGGCTGGTCACGGTTGATCTTGATGCCGATCCCCGCTCCAAAATGCGGGCGACAAGCCGAGCCTGTTTGGGCCATCTTCTCTGCCGAGGACGACGAGGCGCCTCCCGAAGCTGTCACCCTGGCCTGTCCTTCAAAGACGGTCCAGTTTGTGAACCACATGATCCTCGGTTCACAAATGGAGCTGTCCGAGATCGAGGACCTCCCGAAGAAGCTCCTTCGGGAGGAGGCTAGCCACGCCTTCCGTCTTCAAGCTTCGGTAAGTGCTTAACGATTTTTAGCATTTTCCTACCGTCTGTTTCCCTTTTCGTCTAACATTTTCCTTTGCTGTTCAGGCCTCAATGGACATGTGGTTGTGCGTCAAGCGAGCCATTAATGCTGCCGAAAAGGTGAAGAAGGCATATGAAGACGGCAGAGCGAAGGTTGCCGAGGCTGGTAAACCATCCAAGCTCAAGCGAACTTGGCGAAGGACATGCAGGCTGCAGAACGGCAGGTAAAAGTTTATCAAGCCAAGCTCGGTGAGATGTCGGCAGCCTTGGAGGCGGCACAGCTAACGGCAAAGGAGGCTCTGGAGTCGAAGGAGGCGATCCAGGTGGCCTTTGAGGAGTCCGAGCGGGTCAGGGCTTCCGAGATCGAGGCTGCCGTCCAGGAGGTGATACGGGGGTACCGTCGGTCTACCGAGTTTTCTACCTTGCTTGACAAGGAAGTAGGCTTGGAAATGGCGGATTTGCTCTACCGTTTCAAGTGGTACAACCCCGGGAAAAAGCTCAACCTCAACTTCATTGCCGATCCTCCCCCTCTTCCTGAAGGCATAACCGAAGAAATGATCGAGGAGTACGAGGGAGAGGATGCCGCAGAAGAGGCTCCTGCCGATCCCGAAGGGGCTACTGCCGAAGGTGATGGGGTTGCTGCCGAAGCCGATGAGGCTGCCGCCAGACAGAAAGCTTCTTCTCGTTTTCAACTAAAGCTAGTTGAGCTCTTGGAGATGATAAAGGATTACGAAGTGGAGGACGTCTCGGGAGAGCCCGTTGCCCCTGATACCGAGGAGAAGACTGCCGTTTGATCTTGTCTAAGTTTTTAAATGTAATCTGTAATGTAAACTTGATGCCGTGGGCATCTTTTGATGTAACCTCGATGCCGTGGGCATCTTTTTAATTGAAGCTATTTTTAATTTTTAACTTCAAACTTGATTGTATCTTAATTTTCAATCGGTAAGGCGTTTAGGAAAATTTCTCTTTAAATGCCGAGGGCAATGTAAAAAGGTCATTGGCCGTTGGCCAATAAAGTTATCTTCCAAGCAAAATTTCAACCGGTAGGGATTTGAGAACAACAAACGTACTTGCCGAAGGCTAAGTAACGGCTTTAAGTGCCAAAGGCTAATAAAAGCTCAAACCCTTGGTTCAGTGGGTAACTAAGGTGATCCCTTCAAGTTGTCCTTCAATCGGTAAGCTAATAGCGATGCCCAAATGCGTAGTTTACTGCGACCGATGGTCTCTACCATATCTTTTTTTTTATAGATGAGATGGGCTTAAAAGGTACACCAAAGGTTTTGAATATACGAGCCGAGGGCCCTTTCATTGATAAATTGCCGAAGGCAAAGATACATCTGGAGTGCGTTTTATAATTAAAACCTGCCGTAGGCTAGGGGACGCTATACTGCCGAAGGCTGTGAATATAAAATTCCGAGGACTTTCGGGACTCTATTGTAACCCTGCCGTAGGCTAGGTGACTTCATTTAAAATAATATTTCAAATGCTCTACATTCCAAGGATGACCGAGGGCCTTTCCGTTGGAGTCTCTGAGTCGATAAGTCCCCGATCGCTGGATACCGATGATTTCGTAGGGTCCCTCCCAGGAAGGTCCGAGGGTTCCTTCCGTAGGATTCTTGGTTGCCAGAGAGACTTTTCGCATGACCCAGTCTCCGATTCGGAAAGAGCGGGATCTGACCCTGGAGTCATAGTACCGAGAGACGCGTTGCTTGTAAGCTTCGTTCCGAAGGTTGGCTTGTGCTCGGGTCTTCGAATCGAGGCTCAAGCGCGCTCCTCATTCGCTTTCGGTCTGAAAGCTTTCCGTTCGGTAGGAAGGCTCTCCGATTTCTACTGGGACTACCGCTTCCGAGCCGAAAGCCATGGAGAACGGTGTTTCCCCAGTTGCCGTTCGGTAGGATGTCCGGATGGCCCATAACGCCTCTGGAAGCTTCTCCGCCAGGCTCCTTTGGCTTTGTCAAGCTGCCGTTTCAATAGCTTCTTGACAATTTTATTCATGCTTCGACCTGGCCGTTCGATTGGGGGTGAGCTGGCGAAGCAAAGAACAGGTTGATCTTGAGTCGGATGCAGAATTCTCTGAAGACTTCCGAATCAAACTGCCTGCCGTTATCCGTGACGATGGCGTAGGGGATGCCGAATCGGCAACAAATGTTCGTCCAGACGAAATCTTCGATTCTGGCTGCCGTTATTGTCGCCAAGGCTTTGGCTTCTACCCATTTGGTGAAGTAGTCCACGGCAACCCCAGCATATTTGACCTGACCCTTGCCCTCTGGCATCGGACCAATTAGATCTAACCCCATTGGGCGAATGGCCACGGGCTCACAATCGGTGAGAGTGGCTCGGCAGGAACATGAGGGACGCTACCGAACCGCTGGCATTTGTCACACTTCTTGACTAACATGTTCGCATCTTGGTGCAGAGTCGGCCAGAAATACCCTGTCGGAAGACCTTGTGTGCGAGCGATCGGGATCCCGAATGGTCACCGCAGACTCCGCTGTGGACCTCCCGAAGGATGTAGTCCCCCTGCTCCTTGGTTAGGCATTTTAGATACGGCGTCGTGTAGCCTCGCTTGTACAGAACATCGTGGATGACTGTGTATCTTGCCGATCGGTAACGGAGTTTCCGAGCCTGGGACTTATCGGTAGGAAGGGTTCCGGTTGTCAGGAAGGCATAGATTGGAGACATCCATGTGTCCCTCGTACCGAACGGTACACACCTCAGCGGCTGTCGTGCTTGGTTGGGATAATATCTCCACCGGTACCTTCCTTCCGATCTTGTCATTTATTGCCGAAGCCAAACGTGAGAGCGCATCGGCGTGGCTGTTTTCTGACCTGGGGATCTGCCGTATCTCGTAGGCCTGAAATTTTTGTAGTAGTTGGTGAGCTGCCGATAGGTAGGCTGACATAGAGGCATCCTTCGCTGCGAAGTCTGCCGTTATCTGATTCACTATGAGCTGGGAGTCACTGTGAATGCTGATCTGCCTCGCGCTCATGCTCTTGGCTAGCCGAAGGCCGGCCAAGAGAGCCTCATACTCTGCCTCGTTATTGGAGGTCCGGAAGTTGAATCGGAGGGCATACTCGACTTTGCTACCGTCCGGAGTGGTTAACACTAAGCCGGCACCACAGCCTTGCTGGTTTGCCGAGCCGTCCACGTGCAGAATCCAGAGAGGAACGGAAGTGTCGAAACGTTCGGTATCCATTTTCTCCGGTGCAGTAAGGATAGCGTTCGGTGATGATGGTTCCGATAGTGCAGGAGGTGTGAGCTCGGAGATGAAGTCGGCGACGGCCTGACCTTTTTCTGCAGGCCTCGGCTTGAACTGTATGTCAAATTCTCCCAACTCGATTGCCCATTTGACCAATCGGCCCGACGTTTCTGGCTTTTGGAGTACCTGCCGAAGGGCTGGTTTGTCAGAACAGTGATCTCGTGCGCCTGGAAGTATGGGCGAAGCCTTCGCGCCGAGACGACCAGGGCCAGTGCTAGCTGCTTTAAGGGTGGGTACCGAAGCTCTGCGCTCTGAAGTGCCTTGCTGACATAGAAAATCGGTAGCTCTGCTTCTCTGGCTTCCGTATCAACACTGAGCTGACGGCAGTGTTGGATACCAAGAGGTATAGGAGGAGGACTTCTCCTGGGAGCGGTTTTCGATAATAGCGGTGCCTGGCTCATGTAGTTCTTCAAGTTTGAAATGCCTGGTCGCATTCGGGAGTCCATGCGATATGATGTTTGCCCCCTTTCAAAGCTTTGAAGAACGGCACGCATTTGCCGGTAGCCTTGGAGATGAAGCGTGTCAGGGCAGCGACACGTCCGGTAAGGCTTTGGATGTCCTTCTGTGTCTTCGGTGTCTCCATTTCGATTATGGCTTTGATTTTCTCGGGATTAGCCTCGATACCCCTTTGGCTGATCATAAATCCGAGAAATTTACCGGAAGATACACCGAAGGCGCACTTCATGGGTTTAGCCTCATTCGGTAGTCTTTTAGTATACCGAACATGAGGGCTAGGTTTTCCAGATGCCCCCCTGTCGTTCGGCTTTTCACCAACATGTCGTCGACATATACTTCCATAATGCCGCCGATGTGCTTAGCAAAAATCCGGTTGACGAGCCGTTGATAAGTTGCTCCCGCGTTTTTAAGGCCGAAGGGCATGACGTTGTAACAGTACAAACCGCGATCGGTGATGAATGTCGTATGTTCTCTATCGGCAGGGTCCATAAAGATCTGGTTGTATCTTGAATAAGCATCCATGAAGCTGAGCAGCTCGTGTCCCAGCGGTAGCGTCGACGAGCTGGTCGATTCTCGGCAAAGGGGAAACTGTCCTTCGGACAAACCTTGTTCAGGTCGGTATAGTCCTAACACATCCGCCATCCTCCTTTGGCCTTCCGAACCATGACTGAGTTGGCAAGCCAGACAGGGTACGTAGCTTCCCTGATAAAGCCGATGGCTTTGAGCTTGTCAACTTCGGCACACATCGCCTCGTACCGTTCGGCATCGTACGAGCGGCGCTTCTGTCTGACCGGTTTGTGGGCCGTGGAGATGCTGAGCTTGTGGCTGATGACGTCAGGTGATATGTCGGGCATATCGTCATAAAACCAGGCGAAGACCTCCGCCTGTTGCCGTAAGAAGTCGATGAACTGTCTTCGAAGGTCGGGATCTAGGTTGGTGCCGATCTTTACCCACCGATCGGGGAAATCCTCGTTTAGGACCACGGTTTCGAGCTCTTCGGCAGGCTGCGCCACTGGTGTTGGCGTTTCCTCCCTGGGGTCATCAATGGGTCCGCTACCGTTCGGTAGTCCCTGCACGGTCATGGCTTCCATTGGCGGTTTGCAAGCAACATGTGGGGGGATAAGTGGGCTTTGACCCTGGTGAGTGTCGTGCGCCCAATGATGACGTTGTATGCCGTTGGGCAATCGACAATGAGGAATTGGTCGTAGGTCATTGTCTTCCTGGGGGCGACACCGAAGGCGACAGGTAGACTGATACTGCCGATGGGCTAGACCAGATCCCCAGAAAAACTGAGGAGGGGCATTATTTGCCGATTGACCATGCTGTCGGCAATTCCCAGTCCCTTGAATGCATTGGCAAAAATTACGTTCACCGAACTCCCGGTGTCGATCAGTACCCGACCCTACATCGTAGTCGGCAATCTCGGCCCGAATGACCATTAGGTCATCGTGGGGGTAAATGATCCCCTTCCTCTTCTTCTTCACAGAAATGTGATGGGCTCCCATCCCACCTTCGGCACCGATCGTCTTCTATGCCGAAGACCTGAGGGTAGTGGGCGGCACGCACATACTGTTTCACTGAACGATTAGAGGGTCTCGCCAGAGTGGGGCCACCGCTTATGGTGCTGATCATGTTGATCTGCCGATTCGCGTTCGGTGCCGGTGCCTGTGGTGGCCTAGCGATGTAATGATCCAGCTTTCCCTCCCGAATCAGACGCTCAACGATCTTCCTCAGACTGATGCAGTCTTCGGTGTTGTGGCTGTTCTGCTGGTGGTATCGGCAGAATTTACCAGTGTCCCGATTATCCTGCCGATTGGGCTTTCGGTTCGTTGGCTTCGGGATTTGGTCATGTTCGTTCATCAGAACGGTCTCGTATGTTGTGTTCAGCAGGTGAAGACTTCCTAGGCACGATCGTGATTCGGTAGCGGCGCACGGTGGTCGTTACGACCGTATCCCCCGCTTCTTCGAGTTTCCCTGATGACTATCACAGTCGTCCTTCCGTTTGTGTCCTGCCGAAGAATCATCAGTTCGCCCCGAATAACTCTTGGTCACTGACTCCTCCTTCCGAGCCGAAGGCCCGGGTTTGGAGTTGAAATATTCGGCTTTCGCATGAACTGCCGCCTGCTTCATCAACTCGTCGTATGTGCGCCAGTTACTACTGTGCACGAGGTACCGGAAGTGAGAGGACCGAAGGCCACTCTTGAAGGCACCGAAGGCTGCCCTGTCATCCGTTTCTGACACCTCGAGTATTCGTGACTGAAGCGCGCTGCATACTCTCGTAGGGGTTCGTCCTCTCTCTGCCGAATTGTGTACAGATCATCGGCAGAGTACAAGCGGTCTGTCTGGATAATGAAGTGATTGAGGAAAATCTGCTTCAGTTCGTCAAAGGAGGCTACCGTCCCCAGCTTAAGACGGTAGAACCAGTTCAGAACGGCTTCGGTAAGGGATGATGGGAACAGCAGGCATTGCCCCTCATCACTGAGGCCCTTGCATCCAACTGCCGATTGGAAGGAGTGAAGGTGCATCAAAGGGTCCTTCACGCCGGTATAGAACGATATGCGCAATGGCTGCACCTCCCTGTCCTGTCTGGACTTCTTGATGCACTCGGTAAATGGTCATGGCCGAAGTTTTCCCCAGTCAGGGACCTGGGACCGGGTTCGGTCATCCTCCATCTTCTGGATTCTCTGGAAAAGCAAGCGGATAGCGGGGTCTCGGCTTGGGACATCCTCGGAACTGAAGTCCTCGGAAGTTCTCCTTGGACTTGGTGGTCTTGCCTTCGAATACCCCGGGGGAGTTTCCGAACGGTAGTTTGATTCGGTGCCCTTTGTGGGGACGTACTCATCGTCAGATTCCAACCCCGAATCCAAACCCTGGACCTTCCTAAGGGGCGATTTATCTCCCAGGACCTACATCCAGGAGTCCCGCAGGCGGGCATTAACCCTGATTGGGGACCTATGCCGTTCGGCATCCTTCTTGTCGTTGATCCGATGACGACAATCGGTGTACACCTTCTTCGGCACGTGAGGTTGGTCCTGTGGAGCTGGGACCACCAACTGTTTGGAAGGCGCAGGCGTTGCCTTTGCCCCCCGCTTTCCCTTCTTCTACCGACCGGGGGTCTGCTGATTCTGGGAAGACTCGGTAGCCTGAATGCTCTGTGTTTCCTGCTGGTTAAGCGACCGCTGGGTTTCGTCTACTTTGGACGAGAGGAGATTGTTATGTTCTTGGAGTTTAGCCATCTCCCTCTGAAGGGAGGTCATCTGAGCTAGAAGCTCCGCTTCGACCGTGGTCTGAAGCACTGGAGGATTACCAAAGGGGGTGCTAGGGTGCAGCGCGGGGCTTGCTCCACTTGGCATACCATATGGTAATCCATCCCCCGATAGGAACTGTGGTCCTGAAGTGGTCCCCATATGTTTTTTAGGAATTATAGGTTGATTGTTATCGTTTCCCACAGACGGCGCCAAACTGTTGACGCAGAAAAATGGTTCGGCACTTTCCCGCATAACTTAGTGATTAGTTTTCCTTCGGTATGCTGTGGCCTCGGTAGGTCGTTATACTGTAAGATAATGAACGCTCGGTAAGTCCTAAGGGCACCGGTGTGGTACCGGCCGAAGGCTCTCCGATGCTTGAGTAAGTACGGATTTAGTAAGTTTGAACTACAGATCAATAGGCAGTATGCCGTGAGTTCTGATTGATTACCTCCAAGCTAGGATGGTTGTCCTCTTTTATAGGCCTTGGGAGGTGTGCAATTTGTTTAGAGTTTCGATGTGGGACTGTGGACATCAATTGTGGGACTGCCACGTGTCGAAGGGGGTGAGGTTGCCCTAATGTTGCGACCGGTAGGGATGATACCGAAGGTGGGTGCCGAATGCACCCATGGCCCTGGTTTGGTCCACGTGTCTGATATTCATTGGCTGTTCATTTTGGTATAAACACAAGTCTTGGATTTGTGGAGGAGCTGAGCTTTACGGTTCTTGGTGTCATGAATTTCCCAAGCTGTGCTGATCCGTGATCTGGGCCTACTACCGTGAGTGTATGTAGCTGGGTCCTTGCCGTTCGGTGAGAAAATTTGGAACTGGAACTAGCTTGCCACAAATGTTGGTTTGTGAGCACAGCTTCAGCACCGTTGGGCTTGGGCTTCAGATTCGGTAAGGGTGGCTGCAAGGACGCTTGTGCCACCATGGCTGCTGCATAATCCTTCGACAAGAGCACGGGTGGAGGTAAGCATTTGGTGAAGCCATTTTTCCTCTGATCAAGTCTTGTCTTTCGGCAAGGGTGGCTTGATCAATTTTGTTGATCTTTGTTTCCTTGTTTTTCCGTGCAGCATTTGGGCTTCTAGCGAGAACTTTGTTTCAGCAAGTGGAGCTGGGAGATGGGAGTCAACTTTGGTAGCTAACCCGTTACAAAGGTTGGCCCTTAAGTGTGATAAAATGATGATAACCCATTTTGTGGCTTGTTAAGGATTAGGTTTCAGAGCTGGATGCTATAGCTGGGCCTGCTTTGGAGCTAGGCTACCTGATTTAGCAACTTGGTGGGCTTGAGGTTGTTCCTTCTTTCGAGAGGCTGGGCCTTTTAGAGTAGGAATTGCAGCTAAGCCTTCGGTACCCCTTGATTTGGACCAAGACTTGGTGAGGGAGAGTTGAGCTTCGATAAGCTTGGGCCTGCCAGGTTGTGCTGGGTCTTGTCGTAGTTGTAATTTCAGCTTATAGGGCTTGGGCTTACACTCTTGTAAGAGGCTGGGCTATATTGGTTGGGCACAAGCAGAATCCCTTGAGCTAGGCCTTCCTCGTTGTTGCCAAGCATTGAAGAAAGTAGCTGGGCCTTCGTTTCGTTTGGGTACTGAAGGAGAGGACCAAGAATTGGAGTTGGGCCTTTGGTGGGCTAGTTTTTCCCGTGTCCCCTAATTCTTTTGCACGGGATGTGCTGTTACCTTAGAAGGAGGCGGGGCCTGTTTTGGCAAGTGGTTTTGAGCAAATTGTTTTTGGAAAGTTTGATACCTTTGCATTGATCTTGGGGTGGGTCTTTGGAGCTGTGATTTTGTTGAGCCTGGTGCGCACGGGCTGGGCCTTTCCGTGTTGGTAGTGGTGAAGCTGCTGGGCCTTGGGTGTGAGCAATTGACTTTGGAAAAGTTTGTGGGCTTTTCAGCCTTTGTGCATTCCGAAGGCACAAAGTTGCATGTCGCATGGTGGTGTGGCTGAGTACGAGGGTGCCGAAGGCACAAGAATTGCATGTCGCAAGGAAATGGGCCTAGGCATGAGGGTGCCGAAGGCATAAGAATTGCATGTCGCAAGGCAATGGGCCTAGGCACGAGGGTGCCGAAGGTGACACGCGATGTGGCTAGGTACGGGGGCGCTAAAGGAAACACTAAGCTTGCGTGTCACAGAGCGATGTAGCTAGGCACGATGGTGCCGAAGGCTACACAAAGCTTGAGTGTCGCAGAGCAATGTGGCTAGGCATGATGACGCCGAAGGCGACACAAGATGTGGCTAGGCACGGGGGCGCTAAAGGCAACACAAAGCTTGCGTGTCACAGAGCGATGTAGCTAGGCACGATGGTGCCGAAGGCTACACAAAGCTTGTGTGTCGCAAAGCGATATGGCTAGGCATGATGACGCCGAAGGCGACACAAGATGTGGCTAGGCACGAGGGCGTTGAAGGCAACACAAAGCTTGCGTGTCGCAATGCGATGTGGCTAAGCACGGGGGCGCCGAAGGCAACACAAAGCTTGCGTGTCGCAAGGCGATGTGGCTAGGCACAGGGGTGCCGAAGGCAACACAAAGCTTGCATGTTGCAGAGCGATGTGGCTAGGCATGATGACGCTGAAGGCGACACAAGATGTGGGTAGGCACGGAGGCATCGAAGGCAACACAAAGCGTGCGTGTCGCAAAGAGATGTGGCTAGGCACGGGGGCGCCGAAGGCAACACAAAGCTTGCATGTCGCAAGGCGATGTGGCTAGGCACGGGGGTGTTGAAGGCAACACAAAGCTTGCGTGTCGCAGAGCGATGTGGCTAGGCATGACGCCGAAGGCGACACAAGATGTGGCTAGGCACGGGGGCGTCGAAGGCAACACAAAGCTTGCGTGTCGCAAGGTGATATGGCTAGGCACGGGGGTGCCGAAGGCAATACAAAGCTTGCGTGTCACAGAGTGATGTGGGTAGGCACAAGGGGTGCCAAAGGCAACACAAAGCTTGCGTGTCGCAAGGCAATGTGGCTAGGCAAGAGGGTGCCGAAGGGCACTAGAGGAAGGGAAGAACAACAAAAAGCTTCTTGTGTCGTTTCCCACAGACGGCACCAAACTGTTGATGCCCTTTTTCGGAGAGGGTCAACTTAGAGAAAATGCGGTTTGCCTTTAGCAGGGAAAGGGCCTGGACCTTCAATAAAGGCTAGCCTACAAAAGACAAAAATAAGGGAAGCAGTCATTAAGCTTCAGACATCAGTGTGGTGCCGGCCGAAGGCTCTCCGATGCTTAAGTCAGCTAAGAAGGGTAACTTTTGCAGAGTAACAGTAAAAGGAAGAAAAGTAGTTACCCTTTTTACTAGGGTATTGTGCCCTCTTTATAGGGAAGTGAAAGTGGGAGGTTGGTGTAGATTTCCGATGTGGGACTTTGTGCAAGTCGCTGTGGTGGTGACACGTGTCATGGTGTTGATGCTCTTGGTGCTAGTTGCTTTGATGCTGGATATGCTCGGTTGATTATGGTGTAAACAATATATATATATATATATATATGTTGAGAAGTGAGCACATGAGTGGCAAAGTCCTCCAAAATTCCTTCTTTGCTGATTCCATGCTCCAGGCAGAGCTGCTTCCAGAACTCCATACCGATCTGGTTCCCGCATTGCCCGACCTGCAATGTGATGATCTCTCTCGGCATTTTCCCTCAGTTTCTCACTAATTGATGGCAAAAGAAAATCCAACGCTTCTTTCTAAAACTAAGAAGAGTTCAAAGCCTCACCTGGATAACAATTCGCAAGAATCGTTTGGGAAATATAATGGAAATTAAGATGAGAGGAAAAGAGTGGAGGGAGAGAAGAAGAAGACGAAGAAAAGCACGAACCAGAGAGGTTGTGGGGTTTACCAATTCTGGGCTTCATATGAAATGAGATACTAAATTCGTTTTAGCCCATTCAAGTCAGGGCCGCTCAATTAAATCCACAAGGCCCAAAATTGGGATTAATGTCTGGTTGTGATGTCAGTTGATGGTACATGCCTCCGGAAATTAATTGTGTGTTACACGTGATGGAAACTAACATAAAATTGTAACATAATTGACTCTTAAAGTGACATTGGCATGAAGTGAAATGTCTCGAAACCAAAGAGAGCTAACGCTAAATAAAGTTCAAAGTTTATGGACATCGCTAAATTTTTCCCAATAAATTAATAACAAGTTTAATATTTTGTTAAGTGAACTCTAAGAACTAAAGTTATTTTTTTCACCAACAAAAAAAACAAAGTCAACTCTATCCAATCACACTTTTCTACAACCATCTATGTCACTAATAAGCCTTAGAGTTTCATATTCCCCTCCCCATTAAATTATTCAACTAATAATTTTTATTATCTCTTTTTTTTTAAAAAAAAATTTATGTTATTGTCGTTTACACATATCCTTATCTTATATTCTACATGTATGTGTGTGGGATAAATTTTTTTTACAAACTATATGAAATGTCCTTCATGACCTGAAATAAAAGATAAAACAATTCAATTTTATGGACATTGGTGTGGTGTAAGCGAAAGAACTTTCGATGTTTAAGTTAGAGTTAGACATTGAAAAATAGGGGAACTTTAAAATAAACCCTAAATGGGTGTAGTATTTATAAAGAAGGACAAAATTAAAGTGTTTGGACAATAATGCCCTTACTCATTTTTATATTGCCTAAGGAGTCTTTCTATTTCTTCTTTTCAGAGGATGCCGTATGGAGCCAAAGAGTTTGGATTTTCTTTCTTTGGACTAATTCTGCATATTCTGCTGAGATGATCTCTTCATGTGAGATGATAATGCTTCTGGCTTCACATGGAGTTTATGCTTCCAAGATTTATCTATATTGTGTAGCTCTTCTTCTCCTAAGCTATTCCAGTATGGGTTGTCGTTGTCTTCTGCTTCAATTTGTGTTGCTATCTATCTATAGATTTCATCAAAAACTTTTGATCATGTTGTACTTATCCTGAATTCATATGTGTCATCTGGTCTCCTTGATGTAGACTCTGAATAAATCTTGATAAAATTAGATTGGTGAAGGAGGTTCAGACGATCATCATTGAACAATTGTTGCTTAACTATTATTGCTCCTCTATATTTTGAATGTCTTACTTGGTAGGGATCTCTGTCTTTGCTGATTTTGTCGAACTAAGCGAATCATTATAAGAAATCATAATACTATGTTGTTCTCTATCTGGGTAAATACTATCCTCAAACCATTCTGGGGGTATGCTTGTGAAATCTAATTTTATGCTCTTACAAAGAGAAATACAGAAACTTATGACTTCTCTTAATTTTGAGGAAAATGAATCTAAATGATCACTATTTTCAATATAAAGTTGACCTAAATAACCATATTCTGCTAAAAATGCTGGAGTAACTGTGAAGTTTTTTGTTTATGCTCTAAATGTAGTTCTCTATATTCAAACATGTTAATACTAGCTAAGTAAATAATATAATAAGAAAAGCTTTCAGTAATAATTTGTATACCAAGATGCGGATTATTTTTTAAATTGAAAAGAAAAGCTTGAATGTATAGTTGAAGAGATGTATTTTGCTCATACTCTAAATGTAACAATCCGATCCTTAATTAATTATTAATTACTATTTTATTCAAGGAAAGGACTAGAATACTCTAAGAATATTTTATTAGGTTTAAGTTGACTTTTTTATCGGGAAAGAATTTGGGAATTTCAAGTGTACCGTTGTGTAGAGCACGTCGGTACGAGTTCGTAGACACGTAGTGGGCTCGAATCGGAGTTATAACAAAGCAAATACGATCAAGATACAATGAGGGGCAAAATGTAATTTGCCAAGTCATATTTTAAAACCTCTCTCTCTCTCTCTCCTCCATGTGTCACACACACACACACACTCTCTCTCTCTCTCTCTCCCGGAGGCTCCTCCCGCGAAACCCAGACCCGACCACTATGTGGCCGGATAACTCCACCGTCCGACCACCTCGGACGACGGCGCTGGTCCCATTCGAACCAGCTCAAGCTGGCCGTCACGACCCGCTAGATTTCCTGGCTAGGAAGCCTGAAACCAGTCGCTGATATTGACTGGTTTTCTTCGGTTGTTCCCGACAACGCCATGGCAATTTCGGCAAGCTCCTCCGTCGAATCAAGTATGTTTTCGAACCCTCTCTACAAGCCCTAGTTGTTTGTTGGGTAGGATTTGAACGATTGTAGTGTTTTAGGAATTGATTTTGGAACCTAGGTTTTGGCCGGATTTCAAAGTGAAATTCTGGCTGGTTACCATCCAATTTTGACCTCGCCGTAGTTGAATAAAATGCTCCACTCGGCGAGTAGCATCTATAGCCAGAAGGGTGGCCCTTGATTTTGTAGTTTTCGGGCCACCGATATCGATTAGGACACCCACGCACTGCGGGTGCGTGTGGCAGTGCGTGGGCACTGTAGCGGAGGTGCATTGTGTTCCAACGTGATCTCCTAGTTGTCACGAGCGCGTAGGTATGCTCTGATATGAAATTGGATATCGGTTGATCGTCAATCGGATATCACATATTAGGCGATATCCTAGTTTGATAGGTTCGGGCCGTTGGATCGTTTTGGTTTTCATATATGTTGATCTAGGTAATCCCAGGATCGTATAGGATTTGACAGATCGTAAGACGGAGTCCTGGATACTCGAAAAATGCCAACCCTAGGGCTAGGTTTACAGTAACTGTCCAATCGTACGATCGTGGGTAATCCAACAGTCCGATCGAGACCAAACTCTCATTACATGCGTCCTAGGCATATGGGAACCTCTAGGAACTCTCGGATTGGAAATTTTGAGGTCATGGACCCCACGGGGTCCCGAGTCGACTTTTGGGACTTTTATCGCTTTTTGAGTCTCGAGGCACTTCTAGACCGTTCTAAAGATGAGAAAAGCTTTTGTGGGCAAAGTTGGGATAATTTTGGGAAGATGAGTTTCAAACCCATCGTAGGAGTACCCCATAGTGGCCTTGAAACAATTTGGTTATTTCTGATAACGCCCCACGAGTTACGAGGACGCCTGGACCGTGTGGTGCGAGGATTGCGGCTCAGGTTGACTTGGTGTCTCCGAGGCCTGCAAGGAATGCTGTTGATGCCTGCGAGGATTGCAGCTCGGATAGAAGTGGTATCTCTGAGGCCTGCAAGGATTGCGGCTCAAGTAAAATTGGTGCCTCTGAGGCCTGCAAGGATGGAGTTGATGGTATTAATGGAATTGACGGATCATGATTTGGGGTATGCCTAAGTGGAGAGAATTTCAATTTTGAGACGTTCTTAAACTAAAATTGAGGGAGTTCAGTGTATGGTACTATGATGAATGAATGAGATATTCAATACATTGTTTTAAAGGGAAAGAACTACGTGTGGCTTGATCCCTCAGTCAGGATACGTAGGCAGCTAAGGTTATAAAGTGCAGCCACGAGTTGGGGTGTTTGAGATTTCTATTGTACTATTGAGGTTCTGGAGGTTGAGATGAGTTTTATGAGCAGAATGATTTATTTGATTTTGTTCATGTCTGAGGCCAGAATGATATGATGCTTGATTGCTTGAATATAATTTAATGCATGCTAGCAGTTGGGTTATATAAACATATATGCTTGTTTTACAGGTGGAAATTTTTGGGAAATGTCCAATTTACAAGGGAGACTTTGCTGAATTTTCGGCAGAAGTTGCACTTGAATTTCATGGAATTTTGGCTAGAAGGGCTTTTTGGTCAATTGTGTCCGGCATTCGCCAGGTGTCGGACATGCACAGGGTTCGGCTCGAATTCCAAAGTGAAATTTGGGTCGGGTCCTGTCACTAAAGCTCTGATACCATTATTTTTTAGCGGTCTCAATCAAGGTTTCTATAGGCCAAAATAATAACCAGACACTATGCCTAGAACATAGAATTGCAAAGATACCAACTTAAAGGGCTATGGAGCAGAACTCAGAGGTTCCCTGACAAACATCCAATTATTATTAAAGCAAATATAAAACATGACTAAGTGCTCAAACAAAGTATTGATGTTAGTTTAGAAAGATAATAACATAATTAACAAAAGTGTTTCCCTGTTTTGGACAAGAAGTCTACTAAGAAAACCAAAAATAAAAGAGAAAAAGACTTACTTAATTGCTTTTGCTGTTGGAACTGTTATGGCCGGATATTAACGATAGTCGGCGGTATTAACAGTGGTCGAAATAAGAGAATAGCTATATTAACTGTGGTCGGAATAAGAGAGAGTATATGAACAAAGGGAGTTTATTGATTGAAAACTAAAGGAGGAAGTATTGAGATTTTTTCTTCTCTAGTGTTGTACTTCTCTCTTCGAAGCTACCAAACTATATACATTGTTTTCATGGACTCTACTAAGGATGGCTAAGGATGAGAGGATAAGCCTCTCTATCTGATACCATCTCTATCTCTTCCTAATTCTTTGAAGTTTCATACATACATCACATGCTAACTGATGGCAAACAAACAATTATTCTACCTTCTAAGACAAAATGCACTAAAAAATATGTACAAATAAACAAAAGCATAATATCTGGCACTGTCGTTGCATAATAATAACTGTTGGGCATATGCAAAGTGACAAAGTCTTCACATGGTCTAGTTGCTTGAAGAAAAAATTCTCACATGTAGGTCTGGTCTCTTCACATGCTAATGGTGGTTTTTGGTGGAAGAAAGAGCTTTAGGACTTGCATGTCTTTTTTCAGCATTTTCAAAAGTTTTTGGTGTGTTTTTGAGAGCTAGTTGTTTCTTTTTTATTTTTCACTAAATTCCTATGAAAAATAAGGATTGAACTTACTTCACGTTACATGGCGTGTATCAATTAGTTGATTTGATTTCTGCTATGCTGCCTATCTAGCTGGTTAAACATTTTCCTTGGGATCGATGATTGTTATCTGATTGAAAGACCAATATTTATTGGGTCACTAATTCTTACTGGTGAAAGTGATTATATCATGATTTTTGCTTTTCGTTATGAGAATTTGAGTTGATGATAACCTTGTTGCACTTATCATTTTTATTTTCCTTCTACTTTTGGCTTTTGCAATGCACGTAGGCCCAATCACATTGACGCACTTTTATTTCCAGTAGATGTGTGCTCCTCTACTTGTGATCAAATGATGTTGTGCGCCTCTAATCAATACATGATTAGATTTGTTCTTGTTCCGCTGCATCAGTTTGGTATCAGAGCTTAGTTAGCATATCCTGGTGGAGATCAGCACATCAACTATGTTTTTCATTTTCGCCACTTAATTATTCAGATACGGTAGAAATGGTTAGTGTTGATTGTTCATTTGTTCATTTACTAAATCTAGATCTTCCTCATTATTTGATCCATGTTTAGGTAGTTCTTGTGAAATTTGTCGTGCTATGTCTTTTGGGGTTAAGAATTGTTTTGCCAAGGATTTTGACATAAAACCAAAATTTATGGAGTGCATTGAAGAAGTTGCATAAACTTTTGTCACTCCTCTTGTTCCAATTGTCAATCATCCCCATGCTTTATTCAATTCCCATGACCATATTAGTACTTTGGGAGTTAATGAATATATTGATTTCAGGTTGATAATTTCAATTTTCGTATTGCAAAGATTTTGATTGATGCTATAAATCAGATGAAGACTAACAAGGAGAATATCTGGGTTGATAGATTGGTTAAGAAGAATTTTTACAATTGGAGAATTTTCAAATATTCAAAATATTTATTTCTTTGGAATCGGATATTCAATTTGAAGACCAACAATCAATCATGTGTTTATATGAGGAATTATCTTTCAGAGATTTTAACTCAAGAACTTTTAAATTTGTGGGCACATTTTCTCCAACATGGGGAGAATGATGCAGGTTCATTGGCTTCTACATTCATGGAACTTTGGGAGAAAAAGCATTCAATGGGTTAAGTCTACATTACATGAATGTGTCTACATTCATGGGTTTTTACACATGTGCTTCATTTGTGTTATTAATGATGGTTCTTTGAACTTAAGTATTATTTATGATGGTTCTTTGAAATTAGATGTATTAGATTTATTATTAGGGGCTTTCTCTGCCTATAAATAATTATAAATGATGTGGAAAACCAATGTCCCCCCAAAATAAAAACCTTCTTGTGGAGGGTGCTTCGGAACGCTATTGCCACATTTGTAAACCTCTTCAGAAGGAAATGCGCTCAGACTCCTCTCTGCCCTCTGTGTAATTGCTACCCGGAGACTCTGGAGCATATGCTTCTTCTCTGCCCATATGAGTCAAGCCGGTTTGGTTTGGCAGCCGATTAAGTCTTAGAATGGATAAATGCTCTATTTCTACTCTGGATGTCTGGCTATGCAGTATGTTTTCTACCATTGGCATGGAGCAGAATGATGTGGATAGGATCAAAATCATTATATGTTTTTTCTACTGGCACATATGGAAGGAGAGGTGCAAGGTAGTAATGGAGCAACGTTCTCCCTCCCATAGGGACACTATCCAAAGGTCTTCAAACAAAGCTAATGAGTTCCTTTCCTCCATGGAACGTCGCCAAGCAAACCGCAGTCCTAGGCCCCAAAACTTGGTGCATAATACGACATGGCTACGCCCCCTCAGCCGCTTGGTGAAACTAAACATGGACGCCGCTTGGGACCCAATCTCTAAGTCTGTAAGTATTGGAATGGTGGTGAGGGACCACAATGGACAGTTTTGGCTGGTAAATCTCTACTAGCTCAGGCGGACTTGGCTCTAATGGCTGAATGCTTAGCGTGCCTAGAAAGGTGTAGACTTGCTTTGGATAGGGGTGATCAGCTGGTGTCTTTCAAGTCTAACTGCCTTGAAGCCGTTAAAAGTATCAATAGTGACATCTCTCGGGGGAAGTGGGAGATTTACCCAATCCTAGTAATATAAGAGACTTTCTCTTGGTGATCAGGTCTTGTAGCTGAACTTGGATTCGCAGAACCGCAAATGAGGCGGCTAATCACTTGGCAGAGCTTGCTAAGTCCAGGATGTGCAACGAAGTTTAGGCCTATAGACCTCTATCCTCTCTCACATTCATCTTGAATAAGGATGGCCTTTCGTGTCCAACAAATTTTTAGTCTGATGTTGTCTAGGAGGCCTATGGATGCGGTGGATACTAGTGCTGCTGTGTCTTTCTTCTCCTCCTAGTCTGTCTATTGTATTGCATTTTGGTTTTGTTGTCCCCCTCTTTGGCTTGGACTTCCTTGTTTGTTGCTATTGTATTTCTTCCGGGTTTGGCTTCTTAGTTGCTCCCCTATAGAATGAAGGGAAATTGACTTACATAATCACTAAAGATAAACCTTAATCAGAAATAATCACTTTATAAAACTTAACCACAAATACTCATTTTCCAACTTGAAAGTACCAAATTACCCTCCATATAAATACTTCAATATTCACCCTCTCAAAATTTATTTCTGATCTGAACCCAACTCTCTAGCTCTTCTCTCCTTGCCGCACGTAGAGCATCTGAGACCAGCACCTTAATTCAAGAGGAGACCACGCCCACCCCTCAAAAGCCTACACAAAGAAGAAACATAAGGAATAGAAAAGGACGCATCAACAACAGCAACCCGCTAGACCCGTTGCCACCAGGTGCTCTCTTCTGATCCTTTGTCCTTTTGAGTTCTAAGCTAATTTTCCCCTTCTTTAATACCCAGGAATCATTTTGCAAAGTAACACAACAAATAAAAATCAAATCTTGATTTTCTTTAGCATAGAAATAGGTAAGTTAGGTCAGTTTTTGCTTCAATTTTGATTTTTAGGGGTTTGGCTTCTAATCCTGTTTGTTTGAAAGGAAAGGAAATAAGTTTTTGGAAAAAATTTCACGAGCAAATAATTTGCAATTTGAGAGTAAAAGGACTGTTTTTTATGTAATTCATTCTATTTTGAATTTTGAAATAGGTTTCATAGCTCACTTTATACACCATACAAGTTCACCAATTCTGCATTGGTTTCATTGCTTTTGGCTTTTTGAACACTCTCGAGAGTGCACTAGTAAGGGTGATGAAGAATTTTATAGGCTGCTTCAAGACCAATGCATGGCTTTGTTTTGTAATTGCCAATATATATGTATATATGCCAATAAATTTGATGGTATGCAACCCTTGTTTGTAATTTTGAGTTTTAAGATATTTGTCCCCTTCTTCAATACCCATAAAGCATTTTGCACAAAATAACACGAAACATAAAAATCAGATCTTAAGTTTGTCTAGCCTAGAAATAGGTTAGTGAGGTTAGTTTTTCCCTCAATTTAGATGCTTAAGTGTGAAATTTTAGGTCTTTGAATTGGATTTGACTGACATTCTGGGTTAGGTTAGTTTTGCTAAGAACTTAAGTTTTCTATTTTGATTTCTAATTTGGTAATGTAAAGAAATGAGTATACCTTATGATGGGGATGCAAATAGATTGATTTATTGATGTTATTTGCAGAAATGGAGACTGTTGGCATATTGGTATTCTACAATGGAAGCTGGGTTCACAAGGATAACATTGAGAGTTATGAAGGTGGCGAGGCTAAAGGCATAATAGTATCACGGAACGTAACCTTTTCTGAGCTTGTTGACCGCATTTATAAGATCACGAATGCAGATCTCAACAAATATAGTCTCACACTGAAGTATTCAGTTCCTCTATCATCATCTGCCTATAAGCACCTAAAGGTTGAAGACAATGATGACGTTCAATATTTTCTGAAGTACAGCACGGACGTTATGACCTCTAGAGTAACCCCTTTATTAGCAACCCTCAAAGTTATAGAAGGACATGGTATTCATGGCTGCAATGGCATTGTAAGCATTGGGAATAGCAATGCTCCCCTTGCAGTTGTTGTGAGAGATAGGAATGAGGTAATTGGGGATAGTGGAACTGAAAATGGTGTAACTGGTTTTAATTGGAAAGATTGGGTTGAAGATGTTAATTTTGAATGTGTTGAAAACATAGTCGCAGATTTTTGTGTACCTAGGAATGAAGAGGAAGCGTACTCTGCACCAAACGTGCATCCTCATCGAGAAAGCAATTTCCAAGCCTCCATGGTGCAGGTTACACAAGTGCAATATGAAAATCCGCAACAATCAAGTTGGACTCAAATGCATACAAGCCAGGTTCATTTGGTGCATGGTAAGAGTGTGGAAGATATTGATTATGGTGGAGGTCTTTCTTGCATAAATTGGGAAGCAAATTTTAAGGTTGGACGAGTTTTTCCAAATAAGATTGCCCTTATAAAAACCTTATGTTTAGCAGCAGTCAGAGGCCACTTTCGATTTAGAACAGTCCAATCTGGGAAACGTAGGTTGTGTGTTCGTTGTTGGCAACTTCCTTGCCCTTGGCGACTTTGGGCATATAAAGTTGGATTACATGAGTTTAGGGTTGTTAAATACGATCCATTTCATGAATGTGATCTAAGGTATCTTAGTAGTCACCATCCTCAAACTAGTACAGGATTGTTGTCTGACTCTGTGAAACGCAGATTCAAGGATTCTCGCACCATTTATACTGCAGGTGATATCATCAAAGATGTGCGACAAAATTTTGGTGTGACCATAAGCTACTCTAAAGCTTGGAGAAGCCGAGAGTTAGCTTTAAAGATAATTAGAGGGTCTGCAGAAGAATCATATGCTCTTCTCCCTTCCTATTGTTATGAATTGGAGCGTACAAATCCTGGAACTTTGACATACATTGAGACTGATGCAGCCAACCACTTTTTATATTTTTTTATGTCAATTGGTGCATGCATAAGAGGATTTAAGTGCTCAATGCGTCCTGTGATTGCTGTTGATGCTACCCATTTGAAGTGCAAGTACAAAGGTGTTTTGTTTGTTGCCACCGCATTTGACGGAAATCGTAATATATCCTCTTGCCTTTGGGATTGGAGATTTAGAGACGGATGCGGCTTGGGAGTGGTTTTTCACAAAACTACATTGTGCAATTGGTGATTGCTCGAATCTTGTTGTCATATCTGATCGAAATCTTAGCATAGAAAATGGGTTGAAAAGAGTTTTTCCTGAGGCAGCACATGGTGTTTGCTTTTATCACTTGAAGGGCAATATGAAAGCCTCATTTAAGTTGAAGAAGCGGGATCCGATATTGGGGTTTTTTGTGCGGGCGGCTAAGTCTTACCGTCTAGCAGAGTTCAATCGTTATTTCTCCATGATAAACAACGAGCGAGTGCAAACTTATCTAGTACGTGCAGGGCTCCATAAGTGGTCTCGAGCCCATTGTGATGGACGACGATATAATGTCATGACAACTAATATTGCAGAGTCCATTAATTCAGTTCTTCGTTTTGCAAGGATGCTTCCGGTGGTACACTTGATCGAGGAAATTAGGAATATGCTTCAGAATTGGTTTAGTCAACGTCGAGATTTGTCAATGAAATGTAAATCTATGTTGTGCCCTGATTTAGGTGAAAAAAAGTTGAGGAAGAGATTAGACGCTGCTTCGAGGATGAATGGTTAAAATCAATGATATGGAGTATAATGTGCTTGATGGTGATATGAACGGTCTCGTGCACTTGCAAAACTATAGTTGTACGTGTAGGAAGTTTGACTTAGAGCAACTCCCGTGCAAGCATGCTATTGCGGTATGTCGGCACTTGAAATTGAACCCATACTCATTTGCCTCTTTGTATTACACTCGAGCTACATGGGCAGCTGCATATGCTGAATCCATTTATCCTGTACCACCTCAAGGGACATGGGTTATTCCCGAAAATGTCCAAAATGTAAATCTCCTCCCTCCTATTTCAAAGGTTATGCCGGGCCGTCGTAAGACGCAAAGAATACCTTCTAAAGGAGAGGACTCGCAAGAAAGAAAATGCTCAAGGTGCGGTGTGAAGGGCCACTATCGAAGTACATGCAAAGAAGCTATTCCCGTCACTAACAAGAAGCAGATCATTTAGATATTACAATTGTTTAGTTTGTATGTCTTATTCCATTAAGTGGTGATATTTGCTACCTAACTTTATGTAAAATTTGTGTTCCTAACATGTCGCTATTTTTGTTTTTGGAAATAGGTATCCTTATAGGTACCCAATTGTATAGATCATGATGCAGCTATTTATAACATTTATTGAATGTGTATGTATGATGTTTATGTGCATGATTGGTGTAGACACGTAAAGCAGGTGGCTAGAAATTTAAATTGAACTGTGGTGCAATACAAGGGCAGTGAAATAAAGGGGCAATACAAAGAATTCATAGTCTAACTACAATTTGTTTGCCAAGACATACATTAAGAAAAAAAAAAGTGCTAAGACTGCAATAGAGCAACAATAGGAACACAATAAAAGGGCAATAAGAAGGCAATACGTAAACCTGGAAGTCCAACTTTAGCTCTATAATTGTAAAGACAGAGGTGAAAACAGAGTTAAAACAGCAATAGAGGTACAATAGGAAAGCAATATAAGGGCAATAAGAAGGCAATACTTAAACTTAATAGTCTTTCAACTTTGTAATTGCAAAGACAAATGTGAAAAACAATGTGCTAAAACAACAATAGAGGAGCAATAGGAACACAATAAAAGGGCAATAAGAAGGCAATACGTAAACCTGGAAGTCCAACTTCAGCTCTATAATTGTCAAGACAGAGGTGAAAAAAGAGTTAAGACAACAATAGAGGTACGATAGGAAAGCAATATAGGGGCAATAAGAAGGCAATACTTAAACTTGATAGTCTTTCAACTCTATAATTGCAAAGACAACAATAGAGGAGCAATAGAAACACAATAAAAGGGCAATAAGAAGGCAATACCTAAACCTGGAAGTCCAACTTCAGCTCTATAATTGTCAAGACAGAGGTGAAAAAAGAGTTAAGACAACAATAGAGGTACGATAGGAAAGCAATATAAGGGCAATAAGAAGGCAATACTTAAACTTGATAGTCTTTCAACTCTATAATTGCAAAGACAACAATAGAGGAGCAATAGGAACACAATAAAAGGGCAATAAGAAGGCAATACGTAAACCTAAGTCCAATTTTAACTCTATAATTGCAAAGAGAGGTGAAAAACAAAGTGCTAAGAAGGCAATACGTAAACCTCTTAGTCCAACTTTAGCTTTGTAATTGTCAAGACAGAGGTGAAAAAATAGTTAAGACAACAATAGAGGCATAATAAGAAAGCGCAATACATAAACTTGAGTTTACATTGCGAGGCTACTTATTAGCTAAACATATACAGATGCAGTTTCTCTATCCACTCTAGTTTCATGGTTACTAATTCATGAAACCACAACTAATAAATAAGGAATAGTTGATCACATCAAAGCACAACTAATATCCAATTCCACTCCTATTACAACAATGTTTATGTGGTGAAACAAAACTGGTGGCGCATCTTCATTTCTCAAGCCATCTTCTAACCGTGAAGAAACCAGTAGCTTTTGTCCAATCTCGAACCTCCAAGTGATGAGCTGTGTTATGAAGGTGATATTCTCTCGCATGTGTAGTTCCCCACTCCCCATTTCTGCAACATTCCCAATTGCTTTTTATTCACCAAAGTATGACAACAAAACTAAAGATTCAGAAAAGTGCAAGTATAAACATTAAGTTAAAGTATGTGACTCTCTCACATTTGTAATTGGAATCATTTAGTTTCTAACATTTGTTATTGTATTACCAAAGCTTCCTACATAAATTACAATTCTTCTCACAAGACATTCATGCCCTATTACATACGAAATTCCTAGACTAATTGGCAAGGAGCTTCCTAACCTAGAACACCAACAAGAGAAAATCGCAAAAAGTGGAACACATAAAGCACGAAGGGTGAACTTAATCAATATAACCAAACAGCATCCATAACAGTAATACACAGAACAATAATGGGGTAATGTGGAATTGTTTGACTCAAGAAGCTCCACATGTAATTTATAAGCTTCCTAAAGAAGGCAATAGTGAACAGAACAACCAAAATTTTCTGAAGCAGTATATATCAGGGGAGGTCTACTTAATGCTCTTGCAATACTTCAAATTTTGGTCAAGGATCTCATGAAGATACCTATTTTCAGCTTTCCCATGTTCTGATAAATAATAAAATCAATCGCAACAAGACCTATTTGCATCCATATCAGGTTTTGATAAGGCAAATGCAACAATTTCGAATTCAAAATTCATACACTTCATATAAGGAATTTCAGCAGAAAACATATCCGGAAGCATATTAAGAATCACTATATCAATACTCAATAGAAACCCACATGATACGAACTGAAAAATACAAAAGACTATCATACCTCAACCATTAGAGAAAACCACAATTTCACATCTCAAAACACTAGCATACCTCAACCATTAGCAACACTAAACAAACCTCAACAAAAACTCCAACAGCTCGTTAGTCAGAAAGAGAAAATTAACTCCCTTTCGCAAAGCCCAAAACACTATTAACGAAAATCATATTTTGTCAAACACTCAAAATCCTATATCAGCACCACTCAAATTCCCATATAGAAACACCACAATTAAGCAATTAAAGCATAACACTCCATACGCATGTATACATATATAAACACACATATATATATATATATATAGAGAGAGAGAGAGAGAGAGAGAGAGAGAGAGAGAGAGAGAGAGAGAGAGAGAGAGAGAGAGAGAGGGAGGGGGAGAGAGGACTGTAGCGAAAAATGGAGCCCATGAAAGCCCCACCAGCACAGGGCCATTGTAGGAGGCGGGGAGGGTTTGAAGAAGTAGGGTTAGGGTTAAGGTTTGGATTGGTAATGAGCTTAGTGTCGGTGTCCAGGTCAGACTTTGGAGAATCCACCGCGTCATCGCCAAGGCCGTTACTCTCTCTGTTTTCTATGAAGTCATGGCTGAGCAAGATTTGGGAGAGTGCGAGAGAGGAGAGGAGTTGGGTTTCAGAAAATGAATTTTTGAGGGGATAAAGGGTCAATACAAATGTATTTATATGGAGGGCAATTGGGTACTTTCATGTTACAAAGTGAGTATTTCTGATTGAAATTTATAAAGTGAATATATTTTATTATGGTTTATCTTTTGTGATTATCCAAGTCAATTTCCCTAGAATGAAAGCATTGTTTCTGACCACCAAAATAAAATAAAAATTGTAATATGTGGAGTAGCGAAATAGATTATGAGTTGTATGATTTGATTATTGAATGAAGTTGAGATTTTCTCTCTTTTTTCTTACTCTTTATCTACGCGTTCTTAGAATTCAGTAGATTAGAGTTTTAGTTCTTTCCTTTATTTCTAATTCCGGGTATTCTTAGAATCAACAAAGTTAAGATTGTTCAAAGTTATCTTTTTGTTCTTGTTCCGCTGCATATATATATATATATATCTCTCTCTCTCTCTCAAGAATGAGAAAGTCCATTAATTGCATCTCTCTTATTTTGCTTGCATCAAATATAGGATAGTACTAGCATTATCCTGCCACTTAGTCTAGACACACACCAAACATAGGATGTGACTAAGTCAAATCTAAGCCAATCCTTGAATCTTAGTCATGTCCAGTCCAATCAAGCATACCAAACGCCTCCTATATGTGATTCTTTATTTATGCAGAAGTCTCTTCTATGTAAGTATGCTTCCAACACAGAGTTTAAGCCACAATTTTTCTTTCAATAACCACATCTTTTATATAAAATATCATCAACTGGTGAGTTCTTTTTACTATTCGGAAAGGTATAATAAGTAAAAAACGGACACCGAAAATCCCTAAAACACAATTCACAACAATTTTTTAGGATTTTCTCTTAGACTATGTTCTGTGCTAGATAAGAACTTGTTTTGTTATGAGAATCAATAACTTTTTCATAACAAAACCAAACTTGAATACTCAAACTCTGAAGAAATAACCAGAATTGTATCATACCTAAATTACTTGATAAGTTTCTTCAACAAATAGAATCTATCATATAATCTATTTATGTTGGTACAAAATAACACGTAAGCTATTTGCTATTTGTAAGTTATAAGTAATCTCTTGCCATAAATGTGTAATACTTAATTAAGGAAGCTTGCAGCTATTACTTGTTAGTTTTGTGAATTAAAGCTAAACTAAAAAACTGTTTTCTCTTAACAAATTGAGAATCAATTTTCTTGGGAAGTAATTATACTTTCTTTTGCAAATCCTTCCCCAATCAATTTCTCGCAAATTGAACTCTCATTGAATCAAACTTCAAAACATGGAAGTTTGATATTGAAGGCATGAGTGATATTGATTATGCTCTCACTTATGACGAGCCAACCAGAACTGCTGTGAATTCCACCGTTGAAGTGAAAAGGGTGCATGAAGCTTGGAGGATGGCGAATAAGAAGTGTTTGTTGGTTATGAAGAAGACTATTTAGGAAGCTATCTATGGTGGGAGTTTAGGAAATAGAAAGTGCCAAGCAGTTTATGGAATCCATCGAAAGGAAGTTCAAGGAATCAGACAATGCTGAGACCAAGAACCTGATCTCTAGGCGTAAAAAATATCAAGAAAAGGCATAGTGAGAGAACATCTCATGGGACTCGTGGACATTGCTGCCAAACTGAACAAGCTGAAAGTGCCCATTGATTCGACTTATCTAGTGCATAATGCACTTGATTCTCTACCTTATGATTAGATGAAATCCACCTATAACACTCTGAAGGAGGATTGGACAATAGATGATATGCTTACAATCATTGTTCTTGAGGAGAATAGCACCAAAGCTTATAAGGGTGGTGGTGTGGTTAACATGGTCACTGTCAAGAAGCATGAGAATGAGGGTGCTACTAAATGGGAAGTAAAGAAGCAACATCAGTCTCCAAAGGACAACCATCTTGCTGTGACTCCTACTACTAAATTCAAGTGTTATTTTTGCAAGAAAGATTGTCATATAAAGAGGAACTGCAAGCGTTACAAGAAGTGGTTTGAGAATAATAAGGACAAAGCCTTTGATGTTGCAATCTAGTAGGAGTCTTTTTCCATTCTGATAGATTACTAATATGTTTATTTTGTTGTTTTCTGGATTGAGGGATTTACATTTTAGGATGTTAATTTGGTTGACTATTTTGATTATTAAATCAATTTTGTACCATTTTGACTATTTATTGTTTAAACTTATGATGCATTTTGTTTTATGTATGTAAGTTTATGGTTCCTATTAAGATACTATTGTTTTAATAACATTGTGGATTGACTCTTGCTAAGTTGTAAAAGAGTATATGTACTGAAAATATAAATATTCACATTACGGATCAGTACATGTTAAGGTTCATGTTTGTATGTGCTTCATGTCATTTGATATTGCATTATGTGATTATAAATGTCATATATTGATAAAGTAGAGCGGTCCTTGTCTATAGTTCATTTTGTCTAATCGTTTTTCACTATAGCTTGAAAGGAAGAACTTAACTGTTTTAATCTCATGGCCAATAAAGTTAACAAACTTCTGCACATAGAAGCTTAGTGCTCTAATGCTTAATCTAGTGGGAGAATATTATATTCCTATTTAGATCGGTGCACTAGATACTAAGTTATATTTTGACGAGTCATTGACTTATTAAGGTTTGATAAGAGTTTAAATTAGGTTATAAATTAAGGCCTAAAACCTTGTGAATTAAGAAAAGTTTTGAAGCCAATTAAAGGGGTCCTATTTATTTCCTTTTGCGTGAACTGTTTTTTGATGGGCGTAGAGTGTTAGTCAAGTCGACTGTTGGTGATTAGTAGAGACGACTTGACGTAGCCCTATATAAGCTTAAGACTCTGCTCTCATCAGACGCATCTTTAACCCTAATCTCATCATAAAGAGATAGCTGAAACAGTTTCTGAGAGATAACAGAAGCCTTATGGTTGCGTACTTCATCCGTCCTCTATAGGTTTTTATAGCTTAGTTCCAATTTACAAATTATGAACTAAGAGATGAAATTTCCATTAAGTTATATCACATATTGACCTTTATGACGTATTTCTAACACTCTGTTCAAAGCCACTGCACATATACAACCGAATAACAACGTACAATAGTTTGTAGTAAAAACCATTCCCGAAAATAACATGAAAATACCAACTCAATCCCTCTATGACCTAAACAAAGAAGGGGGCAGTCTTATGACCATGGAAGTTGAAACAATGAACAAGAATACTATATATCCCACCTTCCCCTCCTCCTTCTCCTCCTCCTTCTCACACTTGGCATAGAACACAACTGAAGGCAAGCCCATTCCGAAAAATCATCTTACTTTCATTTCTGTCTGCACCCAATTCGGTGGGGCCTTGCAGCTCTTCCTACGTACCCTTTATGTCCAGCAACTGAGGGTCCCCGACAAATGGGATGCCTTCATATGGCTAATATGCCATTTTCGGCTTGCCAGTCCCACCCATTGTATGCAACTACAGCAACCGCTGCACTTCTCGCTTTGGGCGTCGCCGCTCCTATTGGCTTTGGAAAGTAAGTTTGAGGTGAAATTTGTAGTCTCACATTGGAAGATTAGAAAACATTTATAGTCTTGAATTGAATTTGTATTTGTATTTGTATTTGTATTGTTTATTTTTAAAAGAAATGATTGTCATAACGATTGTCATACGAAAATGAAAACAGTAATACGAATATGTATAGAATAAAAATTCAAGTAAACGTAACGAAAGCAAATGATTTCCTCATTTACGCAAATTACCAAATTCAGTTTCTTAGCAAAAGAATAAAAATATGTAAGGAAATTACCAAAATCCAGAGAGAGAGAGTACCTAAAGCAGCAATATACGCACAGCTCAAGAATTATGGTACCAATAAAAAGAGAGAGATCAAAAAAAGAAGAACAACGAAGAACAAACTGCAACTATATATGATGCTTACGCATGGATACAGTAATTGCTATGCCATTAAAGGCTGGCAATATAGTTAAACAGCATTCGATTCCTATTATACAAAACCTGCTAAGATTAAGGGAAAAAGAAAAACGAAAATTTTAAAAAAAAACCAAAAACAAAAACAAACAAAAAAAGAGTTGATCAACTCCACATTATATAACTAGCTAGCTAGCTCGGCCAAAGAAAATCAATGAAACCCAGCAGCTATAGGTCTTGCATTTTTATTAGACGGCAGATCAGCCGGCGGAGATGGAAGCATAAAGAGAGCCAATACTCCACTTGCTACAGCTGCTACGGCTCCCGCAATAAACGCCGGTAAATTCCCGCCTCCGAACAAATCATCCCAAGGTCCACTAGTTACTGACACGAACATCTGCAAATTCAATAATTAAGTTTAGGGTTTACGATTTAGGGTTTGTGCGTAAATAACTATGCTAGTTTTTGCTACCAAGCTTAATCACAAGTGATCATGAAAACATGCATTACCTGTGGTATGACAATTGCAAGGTTTAAGACTCCCAAAGAAAGCCCTGTGAATAAATTCAAATACCCAAATGTTAATAGACGATTCAGAAGAAAATATATTCTACTCAAGAATCTGCATAATTAATTAGTCAATTAGGGAGAAGCTGCTTTACCTTGGCCTGCACCAGAAGTGCTAGAAAATATGGATGCCAGAGCAAAGGGAATACTGAAGGTCACCTGTAAAGTAAGATAATAATGGAAGTCATTAAACAAAACCATGATTTCAGAGGTAATTCCTATTTTAATATATTATCAAACAATATTCAAATTTAAATAAATATTCTTGAAATTAATTTCCAAATATGTACTTAATATATACTATATGGATGGATACATTTAATCTGTGTAATGCCATCTGGCAATGTTTAATTTAACAAAATATAGTGATAAAAGGATAGAATAGCATGGGGTGTGGACCCCCCCCAAAAAAAATAATATAAGAAGAAAAAGAGAAAAGCAAGTGCTGGTCCGGAATTAAATTAGCTGAACCAAGCAGAGGCAACCAGGGGAAAATGGGGGGTTAAATCTGTGATGCACCAAATTATAAAATTAATAAATTAATTTGTTGTTGAAACCGCAATTCAATTTTGGTCCAGGACAAACGGACTTGATGCAATTAAATGGCACTGATAACTCTCTCTCATCCTAGTAAATGTTCCTAGTAAATGTGTCTGGTAAGATGTGTCTCTTGTGAGTAAAACCTTATCTGCATGCACTAAATGACCATGGGATAAAACAAAACAAACACACATGCATATAATGGATAAGCTTGATTCCCCCCATACGGTGCGGAGCTAGAATTGTAAAAATTGAGGGGTCGAAGTAGAAAATACAAGAATATAAAACTTCGAAGTATTCAATAATTACATATTTAGAATTAAATATTTTTAATTGAGTCATATCTAATTTGTTTTAGAGAAAATTTTAACTTAAATTCTAAGCTATTTATTACAAACTTTATATATTATATATATATAATAGAGAAATGATAAAAATATGGGGGGCTAGGTCACTCGGAGTGGCTCTGCCATACCCCTATGAGGATTTTCGAGAGAGATATCAAATATAAAACGTTAAATTTGGTAGAAAAGTCCTTAAAATTTGTAAATCAATTTTCTAACAAGTTAATAATTTTGTACCAAATGTAGAAAAAAAAATTATGCACAGAATTATTTTGTACTAATCTACCTTATCTGATACATTATCCACCAAATATCAATCCAAATATTTGGTAATAAATATCTAATATTGCGATATACTTACCAAAATTAGATTTGTAGAGTAATTAACAGTGACTTACCGCCTGAGGAATACCCAGCACCGCAAACAGCGTCAGTGCACCGGCCTTGACACCCGCAGTTGGCGGCGGAGGCTCAGCTCCGCCATGCCCGGCAGCGATAGAAGCGTGCCGACTCGACTGGGCCAATTTGGTGATCAAAACAGTCATAGCCAAACAGATAGCCAGCAGGAAGTTGACAATGCCCCACAATCGCTTGACCCCACCAACCCACCGGCCCAGAGGCTCAATGGCAAGCGACATGAACCCCAAAACGACGGCGTTTAGCATCAGCCCAAGCGCACCTGCCCTCACCCCCAAATCGTACAACCGCCCCTTCCCAACTTGGCCTCCGTACACCTCCCGCCCCATCCAATCAGTGTCGAACAGCAAGAACGGGAACCACGCAATCCAATTGAGACACGTCACCAGAAGCAACACGAGCATTGGCCTCTGCAGCTCCCTGAACGCCGCAATCATTTGACCGAAAAAAGGCACGGACTTAGCTGTCGTCGACTGGGGCTCGATCTCCCCCTCCGCGACGACGCCATCATTTGGCGTCGTTTCCTTCACCGACGTCAAGGCCACGATGGTGAGGACGAGGAGGAGAGTGATGGAGAGGAAGAAGCAGCTCTTGAGGTTGGCGCAGTAGACGTCGCATGCTTTGGTTATGGTGAAGGGGAACATCTTGTGGAGGTGGGAGTAGGCGCCGGCCGCGTACCCCAAGACGTTGCCGACCGCCATGAAGAACGCAAACAGGGAGTTGGCGGTCCGCATTCTCCTCGGGTCGTCACCGGAGATGTCGGCGAGGAGAGCACGGCACGGGCCCTGCAGCATGTTGTTGGCGACGTCGAGGATCCAGAACCCGACGACGAAGACGGCGACGGCTCGGGGCTTGGTCGACTTCTCGAGGGAGTCACCGCTGAGGTGGCCGATGTCGGCGGCGTAGCCGATGAGGAAGACGGAGACGGCGACGAGGCCAGCGCCAGCGGCGATGAAGGGGCGGCGGCGGCCGAAGCGGGAGGTGCAGCGGTCGCTGTGGTAGCCGACGATGGGCTGGACGATCATCCCGGAGATGGGCCCGCAGAGCCAGACGAAGGCGGACCAGGTGTGGGGGACGCCGAGGAGCTGGATGTAGGGCGTGAGGAGGGAGAGCTGTAGGGCCCACCCGAACTGGACTCCGGCTGCAATTGAGGCTACTAATATGATTTTGGGCAGCGGGGCTGCTGCCTTCTGCGACGGCGACTTCGTGGTTTCAACTTCCATGACTACAATCAGTTTCTCTCTCTATGTCGCTCTGCTGGTGAAGAGGGGGAAATTTCTTGAGTGAGAGAAGATGTGGAAAGTGAAGAGAGTGAGATGTGGTCTGTGTGTGTTGGTTGCATGCAAATTTATTGAGGGAGGCGACTGAGGTTCGGTCTTATCCGTTTTGAAGTTGATGAATGGATTCAGAGGGTGAGTCGTGGAATACATTGAATTATTGTTGCCAAGTGTAGAAAACAGCCATGAATACCTCTTCTTCCTTTCCGGCTTAATTACGGTCTAATCCCTTTCTTTCGTCCTCGTCATTTCCATGACAAAGCTTTTACAAAGATACTTTCTCTTTATGGCATGATTGTTTGTTTTGTTCCCATATATGTTTGAAAAAGCATATAAATATTTTTATATAAACATTTATTCATAATTATTATTTATTCGTCTAAGAATTATTCATCCTTATAAGGAAAAGAATATTTGGAGTCACATGCCAATTTTTATAAGAAAAAGAAAACCAAAAGCGAAATGCTGGACATTTATCCCATTCTTTGTAGTTGTAGATTCGCAAACTGTAATCACCAACTCATATGACAGCCTTTCATTGTTATATGAATTCTCTACGACTCATCCCCTTTCTCAAAAGTTTTGGGTAAGGTTTTTTGGGGGTTTAGGGTGTTACATTTAAGCCAATAAATGGGGTCTAAAATACGAAGAAAAAAACCCAATTGACTTTTCAATGGACCCAAATATACCAAACAAGCCTTGAGAAGTTTGAAAATTACAACACTACCTGAGGCCTTTTTTCTACAAACAATATCGCAAAGATAGTAATGATATTCCACATATTTTTTGAATTACAAAAACAAAATACTAGTCATACTACAATTGTATACCATCTCTTTAATAGTGGTGGACCCTATTGTATTGATGGGCTCCACCTCTATTAGAGATGTGGTACACAATGTGGTATGCAAATGTGACATGTTTAACATTGCTATTAAAAAAATAAGACAGCTGGCCATTTCTCCTCCTATGGTGAACAAAAGGTTAATGTCAACACTTTTAAAGAAAAGCCCATATTTCTTAACTACTTTAAGAACCTTTTTTATGTAACCAACATATGTGCTATTGGCAACAATTAATTTTGACAAAAGTATGATTTTAAACACAATTTCAGCTTAAAATTTATGTTTCAAAGGTGGCTTTCTTTCTTGTTAAAAGATTGCAACTCTTTTTCTCAAAAAAGATTGCAACTCTTTTTGTTTTTGTTTTTGTTTTTGTTTTTTTGTTTTGATAAAGAGCAATAATATTTAATTGATAAGAGGAATAGAAACAAATACAAAGCTATTAAGGTGCCAAATATGAATAAATCTTCGCAACTGACTATACCTAACAACAAGTTGAATTCATATGGAGAGAATCACGTAGAACCCACAAACTGATTAAAATATCTTATTTAGCAACCAAAACCAATCATACTTAAACTTACAATACAATCGGTTGAGCAAATGACAAAAACGGCATATTCATATTGAAAATCAAAAACTAAAAAGAAATAAAACTAACAAATGACAGCAAACTCTTAAAGAGTTCGTTAAAATTATTAGACAAATAAACTAAGAAGCAAGATTACCCCTCCACATCCGCCCGAGCAAGCCGAAAAGAGCCACAGAGCCATACCATCTAAGCAGATAGTGTTGTCGTGGCTAAACCGAACCCAACGCAACCCGGCATTTTCCCGTCATTGCAACACCAAATGCATGTTGAATCCTGACAACTAGAGCCAAATCCGTGTGAACGTAGGCCCAAAGCAATGACTATCAAGATGACGACAACGTTTCACAGCGGCCGCTTCCATACCACAAAGCAAAATAACAAAGCAAGGAGAAAATTGAGGGAATGAGAGGGGAGGAGAGGAGAGAAGAGGGGGTAGGGAGGAAGGCCGAGCTAAAGTTTCTTTTCTTAGGGTTTTCTTATGGAGGTTTTCTTTTAGAACCACTAATGTTTTTATGTTTCATTCCCGCCTAAAGGAAACATATATCTCTGATGCAGCTATATACTCTACTTCAGTCGTGTAGTCCATAGTAGTGCTCTGCTTGCAACATCTCCAACTAATTGTTAATTATGGTTTCTTTAATTAATTATGATCACATTTCGGTGGGACATGGCCTTAGTCTATTTAAAATAGGACGGGCCTGACCCATTGTTGTCACAGTATAAGATAACTGGCAACTCAATGCTTGGAACCACGCCAAGTTCAATAATGAACTTTGTCATCCAAATAACTCTGCCTCTGAAGAGGCCATATACCCTGCTTCAATAATGGAGTCTGTAGTAGTGCTCTGCTTGCAACATCTCCAATTGATAGTTAATTATGGTTTCTTTACTTAATTGTTATTGCATTTAATTAAGGGTACTGATTTTCCCACTCCATTTTTATCCACTTACACTCCATTTTTTAAAAATTGTATGTTCTCACTCCTCTTTTGTTCACTTACACTCCCTTTTATCTTATAGTAAAAAGTATTTTTTTTTTAAACAAAAGGGAGTGTAGGTGGATAAAAGTGGAATGGAAAAATCACCACCCTTAATTAATTATGATTACATTCAGATGGGGCATGACCTTAGTCTATTTAAAATAGGACGGGCCCTATCCGGCCCATTCAAACCTTAGGGTTGAAAAAACCCATGATGGGTAGAGCTTGATCTAAACCCTCTTAGAGCATCTCCACCCCAAAGGGCTAAGGCAAGGCAAGGGCTGCCATTATTCACGTGAATAGTGGCAGCCTTGCCATTTGTGGTTCCACCCCAAAAGGCTAAGGCTAAGGCAATTACCATTCACTTAAATTTATTTTTTATTTTTTATACTTAAACCATTGATTTTGATAATCTTTTCAGATAAGATTTTCGATTCCCAAGTGTTCATATTTATCGTAAAATTCTCACCTAAAAATCAAGATAACATTTTCGGATAAAATTTGAAATTAAATTTGGTGTGGAAAGTGAATAATATTGGTAGGTATGTATAGAAAAAATTTCCATAATTTTTTGATTTTTTTTCTTAAATTTTTTGATTTTTTTTCAATTTTTTTAGCCAAAAATTGGGCAACCGTTGGATTGTGCAAGATTTTTTTATCGGAGGCTCCAGGAGAAGCCACATGGCTTATAACCATTGGGCAATGTGGGCTGGTGGGTCCAACAATAAAAAAATATTTGAAAATTAGCTGCTAACATCATGCTAACGTCAGCAGCCCGCGGGCAACAGCCCAGGCAGATTTTGCCCGTGGGCTAGCCTAGTCCGGCGGGACCCACCGTTTGCCCGGGCTCATTCTTGCACGTTGGAAGCCTGCTGGGCTCGCTTGGGCTGCCTTTTGCCCGGTTTTGGTGTAGCGATGGAGATGCTCTTAGGGCCAATCTGGCCCTACTAGACCCATTTTTCAGCCCATGATGGGTTACACAAAAAGCTTCTCTTCAAACTGATGGAAACACAAAAGCTCAAACCTTAATCTTTCCATTCTGCTCCTTTTCTCTCAAAACACCATTACAAGCCTAAACACCACCCAAATATTTCTACAAGTCACCATCTTAAGATTCAAGCATCAAAATTATCTTTCCCTGTTTCAAGAATGCATTTCAAGCTGCTAGAAGAAATTCCAAAGCTACCAGAAGATATAGTCGAGTTAAAGTTCCAAGCCTTTTCCTTTCCAAATCTATCTCTCTTTCAAGTAGCCTTTTGACACCATGTCCTGAGCTTCATCTACTATTTAAAACCACTATGAGAAACACCATTTAGATATTTTCCACAATACATTCTCTTAACCCAAGCATTAGAAATTATATCCTTTTATCTTATGATAAACTTATGGGTACTTAGCTCCCACACCACAAGTCTCTCATGTTAAGTTAAGCTATGTCTTATTCATTCCATCCATTAGAATACAGATATTATATTATCCACATCCTTAAAACAAGTTCGAACTCAAGTTACATTCTTCTAGCACCTGCTTTATTTCATATGTCCCTCTAGCTCATGCTCGAGTGTATCGTGAAACAACGTCCTTGCTGCAGCTTGCTGTATCCTTAATTATCATCAACACCTGCAGTGTATTGATGTTATGTGCCACTAATGTCCCTTGTCAAATTCCTAGGTAGAGATGGAATTCTCTACCCCATTAACTTCTCAAGGAGCCGTTGGAGATGACCAAATCACTCCCTAAGACTTCAACTCTTTTGGGGTTGTTTTGGGCCATGGTGCTGTAAACTCAAATACAAGGGTGAAAGTGAGTTCGATCCACCATGTAGCAGTCCAACAAGCCCATTGTAGCTCTTAACAAAAAGTCCCCCACAATAGTGAAAGGGAGATGAGTGTAGACTCCATCGGCATAGCAAGGGACATAGCCAACAACCATGACGATTGAGTAGAACGTGCTGGTAATGTTTTAGTGTCGAACCCAGAAAATCCCTTTCATAACGTATTGTTGGACACATTGAGGATCTAGAAGCCCATAATACCCTATTAAGTTGTTCGTGTTTCTAGAAAACCCTGTGGTCACGTTTGGTGCTAAAAAATGGATGTAGATAGAGTAAAAGATAATCCCAACATAATCATATTATGTGCATTTTTTAAGATAACTTGTCATACTACAATGGTGAGATACATAATCCTACTACTTCATCGACAATTTACTCTTGAAAAGAAACTTAGTATAAGTTCCAACTTTTTTTATAAAAAAAAATTTCTTGAAACACTAAATTAAGGTTAAAACATTCACACAACCTTCAACCACAATTTTACTCTCCGAAAGAAACTTCGTAAAAGTTATATATATATATATATATTTATTTATTTATTTTATAAATTTCTTCGAAGACAAAATTAAGGTTAAAACATTCACATAACCTTTAACCACAATTTGTCTCTTACTATTTTTTCAAAATAACATATTTAACCATAAAGACTAAATTATACACACCTCGAAGTTTATTCATAGTTTCACATAATGTCATCGGGTTTTATAGTAATTTCATATAACCCCTTAATAACTAAAAAAAGGGGCATCATGACAATATAATAATACATCAATATTTATTAAATTTAGTAATACAATTTTTTCCCTAAAACATCACACTCATAAAAAATGAAGCTTTTACCAATGGGGTGTTAGTTGGATTGATCTAGGCCTTTGGTGTGCTCCCAAGTGATCTTCGGTTGATGCCCCCAATAGTACGTGTGTGTGTGTGTGTGTGTGTGAGTTTCCCCCCTCCCAAGTGGTCTTGGGTTAAAAATCAACGTTTTTTTTTTCCTTCAAATTTTCACTCACTTTCCTCAACAACAAAACATTGACATAACCTACAACCACATTTTGCCCTCCGAAAGAAACTTCGTAAAAGTTTTTTTTTTCTTCAAAGATTAGCAATATTAAAAAAATTTGAAAATACGACCGTTTATTAGTATCTAGTATGGTGATATGATTGTAACTAAATAATAATATTTTTTTAGTACAATGATTGGGGGAGGGGGTTTATACAAATATCATTGGATGCCTGGAGGTTTCGAACCTCTCCTCAAATGGGTGGAGAAGAGCTCAACCAACTCAGCTATACCCCACTCGCCAAAATGATATTTTTAGTTTCCAGAGATTTAGTCAAAAGGTTAAATGAAAGAATGTGAAAACCTCTCAAGGTCATAATGTAATTTTTGAAATCTCAAGTGGTTATCTGAAAACACGATAAACTGGAGGGGATGTCCATATACTTAAACCTAAGAGTATATTTGTCATTTGGAGAATCTTGATGTTGATGTCAACAATTTTAAGATGACATTTTGACAGAATGGGTTATATGGAACGATTTAAAACGTTAGGAAATTTTAAGAAAACATGAAAAGTCTCAAAATGTGTGAGTATATCGAACCTAAATTTAGGTTTTCTTTAGCCAACAAGGTCTAACCTAGTGGAAAGAGTCTTGACTTGCAGACCAGTGATTTCAAGTAATAAACCCTCATGACACCTTGACAGTGTTTCTAAATTTTTTATATAAGCGATATTGGAGGAGGAGGTTTTTCTCACACAAACACTGTCAAGGTGTCATGGGGATTCGAATATGATATTATTGATCTGTAATTCAAGATATTTTTCCACTTGGCTAGACCTTGCGTTGTGCTTAAGTTGAACTTTTTCTACCTTCGGCAGCTGAAAATTTCTGTATCAATTTTGAATTTAGATTAAAATGGGAAACTAAACAATAAATTGAAAAGAAAAAATCTATTTCAATGCAAATGAAATTATGAATACATGACGTAATACACACAAATTATTATGACTTGGAAAGACCACATGCTTCAAAGCATAACTGCATATCAATTATCATACACTAGAGTCGTGATGTGTTTGTTTAAAATCGATCATACAGCTTCATCTTTTTGTCACATGCATGATAATTCTAGCAATTGTTTATAAGTTGTATATGCTGATTTTCCAAAACGACAAAGACCAATAATGCATGATGCTGCTGACCATTGTGGTCAATGCTGAAGAGGTGCAGTTGCTTGACGTTATCCTTTTTGAGCTTCCGATCCCAAGAAACTGCAAAGATTTCTATATTGACTCTGGATACAGCTTTACAATGTAAGAAATGACAGCAACCACTTGCTGTGTTGCCCTCATTGAGTCATCATTCTTCATTCAATTAACCATTTCTAGATTACTACTTTGGGAAATGGGCTTCTGCTTCCTTCGAGTTGTGATGTCTATTCCTTCCAAGATATTTTTCTTGTCAAGAAAGAAAAGAAATTTCTTAGAAATTTCTTTTTTCGGCTAAACGCTAAGGTATTTATAAAAATATTTTTATCATGGGTTGAAGCATGTTGTAAAGCTATACCACTATAATGATGCTAATTACGAGTAAGTTTCAAACTCATTACTAATATAAATAGTTATCGTATTCATAAATTAATGTCTACACTAAACGACTACTAGATTATAGGCTAGTTCAATTATTTTCAAACCTTTTGCACCCTTATAGTTAACATTATGAATATGTGTAGCAAAATGGCTTATAGCTTAAGTGGTTAAGAGCATTTATCAATGCATATGAGGTCTTAGGTTATAAGTTCGACTCCCCCTTTCCCCAATATTGCTTGTATAAAAAAAAATTGACCTTTGAAAAGTTTAGGGACCATTTGTGATAAAAACCCTAAGGGAAATGAATTTTTATCACAAATGGTCCTTAAACTTTTAAAAAGTATTCAATTTGGTTCCAAACTCTCAAATCAATAAATGTTGTCCATCTTTTATTTTCATATCAATTTGGTCCATACTATCACATTTCGACCAAACTTTTGTTAAATAAATAATGCCGAGTTTTCACTATATCTTAAGAAAAACTTAGGCAAATAATATACATGTGTATTTATTCTATGTCCCGTCTTCTACTTTGCTAATTATGAATGGAACATATAAATATCCCAGCATTACAAAATGGGCATATATGTAGTGTTTAGAAGTCTAGTATTATGTACATAAAGTGAAGGTACTAATATTTTCCTACAGGGTAAATTATTACCCTTGATTCCACATTTACAAAGGTAATTTGTATTACTCAGCATCTGCTTCAAACTCACATAGCATCATCTCCCTTGGCGCAAACTTAGAGCACCCATCAAGGCAAAGGCAAACGATGATACTATTACGCATACATGGAGGCTTCTTTTCAAGCACATGTTGATTTGCAATCACTAATTAGAACCTTTGGTTGTGTCAACTCCATCAATGACATCCAAGAGTTTGATCCGATCGTTATCAAAGTCTATCGGCCTAGATAGCAGACTCCATATAGGAAACGGATCTTTTCTAGTTTTACTTGATAGGCAGTCTCGGCTGCTCTTACTCAGCCTATGTTGTTTGCTTAACATGGCATTTCTTGAGGCATAATTCTGACTCTTACTCATCCTGAGCCTCAAGTTGCTCTTACTCACATCTTGAAGCATCTCTTGATCTTTATCTGTCAAAACGGGGAATGAACTGTTGGGTGTGTGTCTAGATAACAGATTTATCTTCTGGTTTAGGGTTTTAACAGGAGTTGACGGCATTCCACTATCACTAGACCCCGACTGGCTGATCAGATGCCCCAACTTCTTATGGTTCCTCCAAGAACTTTCCACAGGTTCATCATCTGCAGGGAGATGGGGAGACATAAAAAACTTTCACTACTACAAAAAAGGAAAAACACGACGGGAATTTACCGTCGTGTATTCAGTTTTCAAATGGTTGTGGAATCCACCGACATCTTTTCCATAACAAAACCACGACGGTAAATACCCGTCGTTGTTAAAACAAAAAACGTCATCAACAAATAAAAACCGACGTCTTTGTACTGCAAAAAGACATAAAAAAAACAGTCGAGGATGAGAATAGACGACCAACTCTAAAAAAAAACATCGTTAAAAAGGAAACATATGACATATATTAACAGAACATGGCCGCAAGATAAACATACAACGACGAGAACTAAAACTCAACGCCGTTAAATAAACCTTTAACGATAAATAGAAATATGACGTCTTTAAATACATAATAGATGACGTTATTGACACCTACTACGTCACAACATTTCCAACAACCGTTGTAAAATAAATTTTCCACTTCGATTTTTCTATGAATGATGACGTGGAAATAGATGTCAGGGTCATTACTTACGACGCATGTATGTACAGAGACGACGTTGAAATAAATAAACAACGTCGGTTCCAAATAAATGAGAGCCGTATTACAGAATTTATACGTCATATTTGAAATATAATCGTTGTGTAATGACTCTGAAATGGCATCGTTTCTCATTCCACTGCCGTGTAAAATAATTTTAACGACAGGATCTGAAAATAAACGACGTGGAAAAAATGATGGGGTCATTAATTACGACACATTATTTATAAAGACGATGTTGTCGTCTATATACAACGTCGTTACCATGAAAAAGACTGCCGTGTTTCATAATTTATACGTCTTCATTAAAAAAACTAACGTCGTCTAATTCATATATCTTAACGTTGACAAATTTACCAATGGACTTCAAATACCGTCGTGAATTCATCCTTTTCCACTTCGTTTATGAAAGAACATGCGACGTGGTAAATTCATGACGACGTCGTCTTTTGTAACGTTTAGGTTAAAGATCTCATCTTTTAGACGTCGGTATTATGGGATTGGAGTCATGTTATTTTGAATTACATGGCGGTTCTTTATGCTTGTCCGATGTGTTATTCTGGATAACCGTTTCACAATAGCGTCGTGGTTCTTCATTGTTACGTTGCTTTAAGACGTCGGTAAATATATTGCGGTCGTTGAATGCTCCAAAACGTCGTTTTTTATTAGAACAGACGTTTGTTTTTCACATTTTTATCAAGACCGTCGTGTTTGTAATCTGGAACCAGTAATTTTTGTACTGATTGTTTTGTGGCAAAAACCTGTATAATGAAAGTGAAGAAATCACATTACAATATATTACAAAATTAATGTCATACACTGCCAATTATATAAAGCATCATTCAATCCATATATCTTCACACCCATCTCGAATATTTTGACTCCCTAACTCACCCACCACTTCATCAAATGTGTCAACATTTGGCATCCCTCTAGTAAATGGCTCACACTCAATTCTCACATCACCTAAGACATCATCACCAATAACATCATTATATTCTCTATTAGGCATTGATAACACTACCGACCAACCACGATGCATCGGGTCGTCAACAAAAAATACTTGTTTGACTTGAGAAGCCAAAACAAATTGGTCATTCCTATGTCCAATTTTACTCAAATCTACAAGGGTAAATCCAAGTTCGTCCACTACAAGACCAGAAGTACTATCTATCCAATCACACCTAAAGATTGGGATTGTAAACTTTGGTAGTCAAGGTCCCAAATTTCTTGAATGACACCATAGAAACCCATATTTGAGAGAATTGGGTTTTTATCCTTGGCACTAGCAACTTGCATAGTATGTGCAAGTAAATAAACTCCACTATTTTGAGTTGTCCGCACATCATCTTGTGCCTTGATGTTGAATTTAATACCTTTAATAAGATAGCTCCTATATGATGGCACTGCCATGTTTGGACCAGCTGCTAGCCACCTTAAATTTTCTGATACGCCATGATTGTCTTCCTCATTAAGTTCACTTTGAACCTGCAAATTAATCATAACTTAATTCAATCTAACATAGAAAGAAGAAAATTAAAAGTCCAATATGTTATTCAATAACATATACCTTGAAGCGTAGCCATTGAATGAAAGTGCTATTGTGCTTATCCTGCAGCCACTTTGTTCTCTTTCTAAATTTTGGATAAGCGGTCTTGATGTGGATCATATGTTGCCTACATGACACGAAAAATTCAAGCATTACGGTCCCAAACATATAAGATAAACATAAGAAATAATTTAAAATGGAAACTTAAAGAATAAAACTCATACGTACTCGATATAAGGTAGGACTTCCTCCGTATTCTCCAAGACATATAGATGTGCTTGGTTCAACAGGTCCCGATCAACTACGCTCACTGTGCAACCTGATAATGGCTTTGAAACTCCCATCTTTTGGCTTGAAGGCACTCCAACTGTACTAACATCAGATAAATGCTCGGTACAAAACTCTACAGCTTCTTCAACTATATACCGCTCAGCAATGCAACCTTCGGGACGAGTACGATTCTGAACATACCCTTTTAGCACTTTCATATATCTTTCAAACGGATACATCCATCTAAAATATACTGGCCCACATAGACGAACTTCTCTGACAAGATGTACTACTAGATGAACCATGATATCAAAGAATGAAAGGGGAAAGTACTTCTCAAGCAAACACAAAGTAACTACTACATCTTCTTCCAACTTATCTAACTTGGAAACATCAACAGTCTTTGCACATATAGCATTGAAGAAGAAGCACAAACGAGTTATTGCATACCTTGCAGGCTTCTCCAAAACAGAACGAATTGCCACAGGGAGCAATTGTTGCATTAAGGTATGACAATCATGTTATTTAAGGCCAAGAAGTCTTGAATCTTGTAAAGATACAAGATTTTTTATATTTGAAGAATAACCTTCAGGGACCTTCATACCATAGAAAGAATTGCAAACCTCTCTCTTCTCTGCTCTTGACAAATTCCAAGGCCTGGGAGGCAAACAATTACGTCTTTCTCCATACTCGGGTTGCAAATCAGTTTTGACCCCCATGTTCAATAAATCTAATCGAGCAGCAATCCCATCTTTATTTTTTCCAGGGATCTCCAGCAATGTACCAATGATACTATTGCAAACATTCTTCTCAATGTGCATAACATCTAGGACATGCCTCACAGGAAGGTATTTCCAATACTCGGGATCAAAGAATATTGATTTCTTCTTCCAACAAACTCTGTCACCATCTTCAACCATATGCAACACTTCTTCTCCGGTTAATGGCTCGGAGGCGTGCCATATTCAGGTTTCCCATTAAAAGCTGCACGTTGCCTCCTATATGGATGATTGATTGGTAACCATTTTCTATGCCCAATGTAACAAATTTTGTGGCCATTTTTCAACATGTGACTAGGTGTATCATCGCCGCATATTGGACAAGCTTTATATCCTTTAACAACACAACCAGATAAGTTTCCATAGGCGGGGAAATCATTAATTGTCCACATTAATGCAGCTCTGAGTGTAAAGTATTCTCCATTATGTGCATCATACACTCCTCCAATCCCATCCCACAAAGATTTTAAATCATCAATCAAAGGCTCCAAGTAGACGTTTATATCATTTCCGGGCTGTTTAGGACCGGAAATCAATAAGGTCAACATCATGAACTTTCGTTTCATGCACAGCCATGGAGGGAGATTATATGTAACTAAGATAACTGGCCAGCAACTATATCTGCTACTTAGAGAACTGGGGGGATTGAATCCATCAGATGAAAGAGCCAATCTCAAGTTTCTCGGCTCATTACCAAACTCGGGCCATTTATCATCAAGAAGTTTCCAAGACGGGGAATCCGCCGGATGAGACATCTGACCGTCAATTGATTTTCTAGCAGCATGCCAAGTCAAACTCTTAGCTGTCTCATGTGATCGAAACATCCTTTTAAACCTTGGAATTGGAGGAAAATACCACACCACCTTCGCTGGCACACCCTCTTTCAAGATTGAATCTTTGCCTTCCTTCCACCTTGAGATACCACAAGTAGGACAATTAGTTGAATCCTCATACTCCTTCCTATACAAATGCAATCATTGGGGCATGCGTGCATTTTCTCATAACTCAGCCCCAATGCACACAAAGTCTTTTTTGCCTCATACATAAAGGCCGATATTGTATTTCCTTCTGGAAGCAAATCGCCTTGAAGTATCAATAATTCTGTAAAACAGACATCACTCATCCCATGTTTTGCCTTCAAATTATACAACTTCACTAATGCCGATAACTTCGTGTACTTTCTACAACCAGGGTACAATGGTTGATCTCCATCCCCAATCACATTGGCAAACTCATAAGGATCAGATCCAAAATCACCAAAATCATTATCATCCATCTCTATTTCTTCATACACAAAACTGTACCTACTATGGTCATCATCTTCTTCAACATTTCTACTAGCATTAGTAGTTGCTTCCCAAGGTTCTTCGTGAAATGTCCAATTCTTATAGCTTTGGTCAACTCCATTAAAGTATAAGTGATCCCTTATAATTCCAACCCCAAACAATTTCAAATTAACACATTTAACACATAGACAACGGATATGTGTTGTAGTTAGAAGATTTTCTACAGAAAAGTTAAAAAATGCTTCCACCCCTAACTCATATGCCTTCGATCTTCTATCTGAGTGCATCCATGACTTATCCATCTCCAATACTATACCCTATTATATATAATAAAGTGAAAAGACAAGCAATGACCATCACTATAGCAAATTATATAAAGTTCTAATAGCAAGTAATATACAACACAGACGATGGTTTTTAAACAAAAACAGACGTATTTGACATATATAGACGACGGATTTTCAACAAACGTCGTCTAATTATAACCACGACGGTAGTTAAAGAACACCGTCGTGTATAAGTAATACAAACGACGGTTTATGAAAAAACCGCCGTCGTATGCCTAAAACGCGTCGATATCCCAGTTTATTTTCAAGATCCCAAAACTCTATTAAGAACACAACATATACATGAAACCAAGCATGAAACCAACATATACTAAGCATGAAAACAATAAATCCATTCCCAATTCAATATAACAGAGAGTGATTAAAAGATCTGACAAAATTAAATCCATTCCCTATTCAACATAACAAAGAGTGATCAAGAAAACATTAAACATAAAATCCATGAACCCATACCTCCAACAACATTATTAACAGATCACAACTTGAATTAGAGATGAAGTGAGAGAGCGAAATGTTATGTTGCGCGAAATCTGAAAATTTTAGGGTTCAAGGTTAGAAGTATAAAACTAAGAGCCAAATCTGAAAATTTTAGGTCCCGCGAATATTTTTAGAAAGCGCGCTCTTTAAAACATCAACAGAAAAAACAACCGCTCTTATTACATTAAAGACGTCGTGGTAAAACTATGTACGACGCAAAATCAAACAGAAGTCGTCAAAACTATGAAAAACCATGGCGAAAGTTCTACCAAAAACCGACGTAAATATAGTATTCCACGACTCAAACACTGAACATAACGCCGTTTATTTTGAAGAAACCACGTCGTCTATTGAACCAATAGGAGTTGACGTTGCATTTTTTGGATTTATTTTAAATTTATTTTGAATATTTTGAATTAAAAATAATAAAATATTCTTATATCAACAACAAACCACGTCGGGGTTAATTAATTAACGACGTTGTAAATAATAATAAACGACTCACCTGTAAAAAGTACGTCGTTTAAAAGAGAAACCATGGCGGATGTTTCACCATCCGACGTAAACTCTATATTCCACGACTCAATCACCGTCGTTAAAAGTAATACCCTAAACTTTAAACCCTAAATTATATATTTTTAAATATAATTTTATAAAATTGTTTATGGTTTTACAGCCTAATATATAACAACCATAAACCCTAAACCCCAAAAATTATACTTTAACCCTAAACCCTAATAAATAACAACCCTAAAACCCAAACCCTAAACCATCAAACTATAAGTGATGTTATGACTCATCAAAACAATTTTATTTTGGGTTGTCATTTTAAACTTTTATTACTCAAACTGCATTTTTTGAGGTTTAGGGGAAGAAAATATATCAATGACTTCATAGGAGTTGACGTTGCATTTTTTGATTTATTTTAAATTTATTTGAATATTTGAATTAAAAATAATAAAATATTCTTATATCAACAACAAACCACGTCGGGGTTAAGTAATAACGACGTTGTAAATAATAATAAACGACTCACTTGTAAAAAGGACGTCGTTTTAAAAGAGAAACCATGGCGGATGTTTCACCATCCGACGTAAACTCAATATTCCACGATTCAATCACCGTCGTTAAAAAGTAATAACCTAAACCCTAAACTCTAAATATATATTTTTATAAAATTGTTTATGGCTAAACCCCAAAATTATACTTTAACCCTAAACCCTAAACCATCAAACTTTAAGTGATATTATGACTCATCAAAACAATTTTATTTGGGTGGTCATTTTAAACTTTTATTACTCAAACTGCATTTTTTTGAGGTTTATGGGGGAAGAAAATATATCAATGACTTCATAGGAGTTGACGTTGCATTTTTTGATTTATTTTAAATTTATTTTGAATATTTTGAATTAAAAAATAATAAAATATTCTTATATCAACAACAAACCACGTCGGGGTTAATTAATTAACGACGTTGTAAATAATAATAAACGACTCACTTGTAAAAAGGACGTCGTTTAAAAGAGAAACCATGGCGGATGTTTCACCATCCGACGTAAACTCAATATTCCACGACTCAATCACCGTCGTTAAAAAGTAATAACCTAAACCCTAAACTCTAAATTATATAATAAACGACTTACTTGTTCAAAGGACGTCGTTTAAAAGCAAAACCATGGCGAAATTTTCACTAAAACGACGTCCCATGGACGTACAAACGGTATATCACGACTTAAACAAAAAAGGTGTCGTCGTGTAATTTAATTACCACGTCATATCTTTCGTCTAAATATCCTTTATGTCGGTTTTTGACATAATTATGTCGTTGGAAAGTTATTACACGTCGGTTACGCAATTTGTTTTTTCTTTTAAATATGAAAACCTCAACAAATTTTCAGGGAAAAAAAGGATGTATATTAGACAAAATTTGTACATTATATATTATAGACAAAATTTGTACATATAAAAATATCAAGTGTTCCAAAAATCCTCTACTCCATATGAAGGCAAACAAGATCTGCCCATTCATTCCGAACTTCATCAATGGCTGCTTGGGGGTATGGCGCTTGCTCTTTTCCCTTGGCAAACTGCAATCCATAAACAAATGATTATTAAGCTTTACAAAATAAAAAGAAATTCAGTCACAGACGACGCTTTTTTTCATAACCGACGTAGTATATCGATTCAACGACGGTAATTTTAAAAGACCGTCGTTGATAATACAAAAAACCACATAAAATGTTTCTGAAAATTTCTTCTTACCTTCTTCTCAAACTCCAAGGAAGGATCCATGATGATGTCCCTCATGAAGCGCATCACATAATACCCGCATTCGACACTGCTGGGTTGCTTTGGTGTGCCTGGCAGAGTTTTCCAAATTGGTGCTTTACGGCCTGGTCTCCCTATGTGGGAATTATAAATTTTTAAAGCACTGTTCACGATGTTTTTGCCCTCCTCATCAACCACATGATTTCCAGGCAGCGGATCCAGAAAATAGACGATTTCCCTCTTTGCTCTCACTATCAGCAAGACCCAATTACGGCTGCACAAAATTAACATAAAAATGACGGTTAATATAAAAAGTCAGTACAAGAAAACAAACGACGGTTATTATAAAAACCGACGTATTATACAGTTTCACACGACGATATAACGTAGCAATCGACGTCATTATAAATTTATCACGACGGTAATTAACTAACGACGTGGTTAGATGTTTCAAACGACACAAAATTAGGTAAAACAGTTTTATACGCAGTCAGTTAGTGAAAATCATACAAACAAAATCCTTTTAAGGAGACTAACCTTGGATTGTAAGACATCATGAAAATCTGTTCATCATCTGTCATCTGAAGACGACTGGCTACAATTCGTGATCTGTCAGTTAGTGACCCAGTGTTGGCACTAACTTGAGCAGGGTCGATAAAGCCAACCATGCTGCACATATTTGCTTCTCTCAAACGATCATATAAGCACCTAAATATATAAACAAAGATATATAAAAAAGTCAGCACAAAAAACACACGACGGTTATTTATAAACAAACGACGTATTATACAATTTCACACGACGAACTGAAATAGAAATAGACGTTATAAACTAATTTATCACGACGGTAAAAAAAAGAACGACGTGGTTAGTGGTTTCAAAACGACGCAATAAATAAACCACCGACGTCTTATGCTATAATGTTTTTTTTCTCAAACAAATTTGAGTGTGAATTAAATATTTGATAAGGACAAACCTCATATATACTGCAACCACAGTAGCCCCAATTTCTTCCATGCCTGCAAACTGTGTAATATCTTCATGCAAGACGAAGGTACTGCGATCTGCACCAAACACCTCCTTCTCAATGTTGAAGGTCATGATCTTCTCCTGAGGCTTTAGTGTCGTTTCCAAATAACGACAAAGGGATTGTAAGGAAGATGGCACCTCCACATTTGAATAATCAACTACTTCATTACCCTGTTTAAAGAAATAAAGCAAAATAAAATGACGTGGTAATTCAATAAAAACGACGGTTTAAATAAAAAAACGTCGTCTGATAATAATTTAAACGACGGTAATAAAAAACCGTCGTGTTAATAATTATTACGTCATAGGAAACAAATTCCGACGTCTAATTTGAAAAACAAACGACGGTTTTAAAGAAAAATATCGACGTCTGAAATTTGAAAAACAAATAAAAAGGCAAAGTTATGAGAATATACCTCTCGTCATGCTTTTCTTCATCTTGTTTTTCTTCTTTCTTCTCTTCATCATTTTTTTCTTCCTTTTTCTCTTCATCTTTTTTTCTTTTTTTTCTTTTTTTTCTTCCTTCTTCTTCATCTTTTTTTCTTCTTTCTTCTCTTCATCTTGATTTCTAAAGCCCCAGATTTCTGTTTTAAGTAATAAAGAAATATATATATAAGACAGATTGTACAGAAAGTAAAAAAATTAAATCAAAACGTCGTGGTAAGGCATAACATAAGACGGTATGTAAGAATTATGGACGTCTTAAAATTATTAAACGATGGTAAATAATAAACGTCGTGGGATTTGTCTATTACGTCGGTAAGGACTAAAACCGTCGTCTAAAAACCACAAAGTACGACGTCTAATGGCGTGTAAAACAAGTAAACTAAATACGACGTGGTATTGAAATACAAACGACGGTTTATTTATAAAATCGTCGTGGTATGATTTCAAACGACGGTTTTCTTCATAATAACGACGTCTAATAGTTTTAAAAAAACAGAGAATTCAAAGTTCAGATATGTTACCGTTTCTTCCTGCTGTTCCCCATTTTTGGCAGTATCATCCTCTAAATGTAGGGATCTCACATCAGCCCAGAGTACGTGCTTTGTTAGACATTGGATTTTTGGGACTTTGCTCTAGACCTTGGTTTTGACAGGGCTAGTTTTCGGTTTAAGCATGCTTGGATCAAAATTGGGGATGAGTTGGGAAAGCTGACTTAGTAAATGTTCCCTCTCAGCCTCTACCAATTGCTTGGTTCTAGCCTCCATCCTTAAAGTCTCTTCCCTTGATCTAGCTTCCATCTTCTTAGTCTCTTCTTGAAGGACAATTCTTACACTTTCCTTCAATTGATCGGCAAACTTTACCCTCTGTTGTCTAGGTAAATTGAAGTATTGCCTAGGGGAAATCCCAGCACCTACCCCTCTTACTCTCCCTGGATGCTCGGGACCCAAAGCCAAGGTCAACACATCATTACTGCCAGATACACTAAGACTGCCTTCAGCCACTTGTTTTTGCAATTCATCCTAAAACAAAGACATATAAAAAAGTCAGCACAAGAAAACACACGACGGTTATTTATAAACAAACGACGATTATATAATTTCACACGACGCATAACATAGAAATCGACGTTATAATATATTTATAACGACGTTACTTAAATAACGACGTGGTTAGTTGTTTCAAACGACGCAATAAATAAACCACCGACGTCTTATGCTATAATTACAGAAAACATAGCAGTGATTCCAATTCAGACCTTTAACGACGTTTTTTAAAACATTTCGACGTAGTAATATCATTAACCGACGCAAAAATTAACCACCGACGTCTTATGCTATAATTACAGAAAACAGAGTTGTGATTCCAGATTTAGATCTTTCACGACGTTTTTTAAAACATTTCGACGTAGTAATATCATTCACACGACGGAAAAAATATAACATAAGACGTAATAAGAATTATACACAGTTTAATAAAAATTTAAAACAGAGTGTGTAGGCTTACAATTAATTTTGCTTTCTCTGCCACCTTTGGATCCGGGATGTTACCATGTTTGTCCTGTCTAGCTTTCTTCCATAAGGTAGATCGATCAATTTCTACCCCAGGCATGGTTTCCTCCAATTGATCCTCCAAACCAGCATATCCTTTTCGAGACACAATCGATGATTGTACTCAAGTTTCTCCCTAATCTGTGAATGTTGAGAATGCACAGACTCAAATTCTTTGGATAACCTTGAAGCTACAAAGGCATCCCATTCTGCTTTCTCTATGAATTTATATATTCAGGGGGTTGGCTTAATTTCTCCCTCTCCTTGATGTATGGAAGGATATAATGCCTCGTTAGTGTAGACTTGAAATCCTTCCATTTCTTGGCAGCAGAAGATAACACCGAGGTCTTGCCCCCTTGACCTACCACAAAAGCCATGTCAACGGCTTCCCAAATCTGCTCCTTTATATCCTTGGGGATTTCAGCCCATTTCTTGTCCACAAGTGGGACTCTGGAGCGTGCCAACACACCAATGTAGGACTGCATCTCAGTATGTGCAGGGCCACATCCTTTCCCCCTTTTATTGTACTCAACAAACTGGCTTGATTTTCTGCAATTTTCTCTTCACAACACGAGGCATTGTGCTCATACCTCGACCTGACTTTGAATCCTCAGAAATTGTTGTCGTGCTGGTTGGTTCTGTCTCAGCAGATGAAACAAACTTCATCTTCTTCAAGGGCTTGTCTTGAGGAGTTACCATTCCAAGCTCCTTACCTCCATTTTTTTTGGAGCCAGAGTCCTTACTTTGGTCTTGAGAAACCATGGTTACAGAAAAAACAAACCTGCAAGTGAAAATATTTCAGGAAAAATTAGAACACAAACGACGGTTATTTATAAAACACGACGTATGATAAGATTTTACACGACGCAATAACATAACATCAGACGTAATAAATGTTTAAAAGAGAGTACTTAAACAACGACGAAACAATATTAAAGAAGACGTAATAAGAACTTATTACGGCGATATTTACACGACGTCGTGATATTTAAATTCACACGACGTGAATATTAATATAACGTCGTGGTATGGACATTCACACGACGTAAATAATAAGATACCGTCGTCTGTATAAGAATCCAAAAAACCTTTTCTTTCTCTGTGAATGTTTGATTGCAGGTTTAATTTCTCTGAAACATGGTTTTTGTTTTTCCTTATTTGATAAAATACAAAGAAAAAGAAAGAAAGGTTTGGCATCTTATATAGACAACGGTATCTTAGTATAACGTCGTGGTATTAACATTCACAAGGCGTCAATAATAAGATACCGTCGTCTATATAAGATACCAAACCCTACTTTCTTTGTCTTTGTATTTTTATCAAATTAGGAAAAACGAAAACCATGGTTCAGAGAAATCAAACCCTGCAATTAAACAAGCAAATAAAAAATCGACGGTCATTTTAAAAACAACTTAGATCAATTTTAAGACGACGCTAGGACGACTGACGAACCGTCGTGGTCTACATATTTAACCACGTAAATAAGAAGCTACCGTCGTCTTATTTAGTTGAAGTAGTTGTGTTCAAAGTTGGAAACTTTCCCTCTTTGTCTGTGTATTTTATCAAACTTGGAAAGAATAAAATGATTTGGCCAGAAAAAAGGTAAAAAGATTTTCAAAACAAAAAACTGTATGAGCATGCAAAATAGCAACAAAAATAGTGAGAAATGAAAGCTTACCTTTTGCGTGCAATAAAAGCTTTCTCTCGGAGTTTGGTGTTTAAGTTCAGAGACGACGACGAAGACGAGAGGAAGACGATGAGAAACTCTGACAGTGCTCTGACAAGGAAAAAAGACGAAAAGTTTTCTCTGGGAGATTGAAATTTTTTCTCGGGTTTGGAAACAGTGCATGTGTAAGTCAGGTAGACGAAAAGTTGTATATATATACAAACCGTTTTATAATAAGACGGCGGTTTACATAGAACGACGACGTATAAATAAATAAACTACGACGATAATTTGAACTTAGGACGTGGTAAATAAATACGACAGTAATGTTGTAGGCACTGTCGTAGTAAACTCCTAAATAAAAGTCGATAAATCAATATCTCGCGTCATGGTAGAAGTATTTAACACGACTTTCTTTGTAATTTACCGACGTTGATTGTTATAATATACGTCGTGTTTTTGTAATATACCGACGTGGAATTTATAAATAAACGGCGGTTTGTGTGTAAGGACCGCCGTGGGTTTTAAAAATTTATTGTATAATTTGTCGCTTTCTTTCAGTTTCAGTTTTCATTTAGGTTTCCAAGTTCTTCCTCTCTCACAGACACTCTCTCTCACATCTCAAAGAGAAATGGAGCTTAGTCTCCAACAAATCTATGTCCACAAGAGGAAGCTTGTCAAGCCTGATAGGAGACTTAGTGCTTCTGAATACTCCTTGCTTTCCATCAAAAGAGATGCAAGCTGGCCTCCACTCGCTGTCGAAGGAAAGTTCGCTTCTCAGGGAAACCTGAAGATCAGATATGCTCCTCTGCTAGATTTTCTTGGCTAAGAAGATCCGTCAGATTTGTGATAGCCTGTTCCTTTATCTGTAGAGCTTTTGAAGAAGAAGATGGGTTTTCAAGAATGCGATAAAGAATAGAAATGGCTTCAGATGGCCTCTAAAGCCTGAGCAATCGAATCAGATGGCTTCAGCTGTTAATGCTTTGAAACTATCCAAGTCTTGCAGAAAGAGAACGATTAAATAAATTGAAACAACGACGGTTTTCTGTTCTACCGTCGTCTTTTTTTAAACTAAGACGACGCAATATTTTTTTTGCGACGTGGATTCGTTTTTAAAAGTCGTTATGTGTAATATAACCGACGTTGATTTATTTTTTTAATTATAAATAGAATTTTTTTTCCCTTGTTCTTTCAGTTTATTTTTAAAAAACAGTGCGTTATAAATAGAGTTTTTTTTCCCGAGGAAATTAATGTTCTAGAATTTGTAAAGTTTCTTTTTTGGGTGACTGATTTAAATCAAATAGAATATAAAAACAACGACTGTTTTTGTTATACCGTCGTCTTTTTTTGTCGTCGTAAGTAAGACTAAGACGACGTAATGTATTTGTTTCCCCGACGTGGATTCTTTTTGTTAAACGTGTTAGGTGTAATATAACCGACGTGGATTTGGTTTTTAATTATAAATAGGGTTTTTTTTCACGGGTTCTTTCAGTTTTAGTATTCGATTAGGGTTTCAACTTCTTCTTGCCCCTTTCTCTGTCTCACCTCATCTCTTAGGAGGCAATTGTTTGAATGTTGGTGTGTGTGTATGTTTGTGTATCTGATTCACAAACATACACACATCACCAATTTTCAAAAAATTGTCTCTCTGATTGCAAAAAAAAAAAAAAAAAAAAAAAAAAAAAAAAAAAAAAAAAAAAAAAAAAAAAAAAAAAAAAAAAAAAAAAAAAAAAAAAAAAAAAAAAAAAAAAAAAAAAAAAAAAAAAAAAAAAAAAAAAAAAAAAAAAAAAAAAAAAAAAAAAAAAAAAAAAAAAAAAAAAAAAAAAAAAAAAAAAAAAAAAAAAAAAAAAAAAAAAAAAAAAAAAAAAAAAAAAAAAAAAAAAAAAAAAAAAAAAAAAAAAAAAAAAAAAAAAAAAAAAAAAAAAAAAAAAAAAAAAAAAAAAAAAAAAAAAAAAAAAAAAAAAAAAAAAAAAAAAAAAAAAAAAAAAAAAAAAAAAAAAAAAAAAAAAAAAAAAAAAAAAAAAAAAAAAAAAAAAAAAAAAAAAAAAAGGCCACAAATTGGCATGCCCAGCCCAGCAAAAATTAGGCCCAGAATAAAGCTGCAAAAAATCAAAGAGAGATGGAAGCCCAAAAGCCAGAGGGGACCAGCCCAAGACTCATCAAAGTAAACAAGGCTAATCTGGGCCTCACGGGCCCAATATAAAGGGGAAGCCCAGAAATAGGGACAATCCCACGTGATATCTCTGAAAAAAGAAAAGTCAGCAATGGCAACTGTCATAGGAGAAGTGATTGAAGGGTTCATAGCATCAAGATCGATTCTGGAAAAAAACTGAAGATCAAATCCCTCTTACACATATATATATATATTCAGAGATTTTTTCTGTCTTTTCAGAGAAGGTAATTCTCCCAAGGAGATAAGCAAGTTACAATCTCAGAGAGGGATAAGCAGGAAAGCAGGAAGTTGTCCAGAAAAGAATCAAACTAACCATCACGGGCAAAATATCGCAAGGGGCAGTTGAAATTAGGCAAGAGATTTCAAGAAAAAACAGGGAAGTGATTGCCTATCTGTTGAGAACCTATCTACCAAAAACTGATGAAATCCCCTTTTTTCCTCTTTTCCATTTTTTAAGAAAGATCTTTTGAAAGGATTTGCCGCCCATTATTAAAAGAATTACCCTACTCCAGAAGACATTTCTTATAAATATGAGAAGGAGTGAACAGGGCAAGGACAATCAAATCTTACAACAAAAATTTCATCACTCAATCAAACAAAGATCCTACATAGGAAAACCCTCAAATAAACAAGCCCACTTGAATTTCAAGTGAAAAACCAGCTCCAGATCAGAATGCCCAGAATCCAGATTTAGGAAGCAAGTCATTCAAGACGAGATTTCTCTCGTTATAAATTTGGTTCAACAAAAAGCCAAAACAAGCAGAGTTTGAATCTTCTCCAAGCATGGAAAACCTCAGCAAAATTCACGGAATAGCCTCCAGCTCACCCAACGTCCTCAAGAACAGCCACTTCTGCCTGTTCAAACTGAAGAAACCGCAGTTCTGCCCACTCAGAAGCTTCACAAAAGCTTAAGGTACATTAAAGCTCTGCCAGAATCAACCTTTGGTATCGATTTGTAGTCAAAGATCGGGCAATCAGAATTGTCAAGCCCAGACATTCCCAGTCCAGCCCCTCATAGAGCCTCCCATCCAGGCAGAAATGGAGATCTAGCTATCTTTTTATCTTTTTGGCATCGACATGTATTTTTGTAGTCTTGTAAAAGGCACTTCCGCCCAAAAATAGCTTAAATTTCATCAGCCATTCTGGCCAGAACAGCCTCTTTATACTGAGATAAATTATTGAAGTCCTCACCAGTCTGAGGCAAGAAAAGAACTTACTTGGGAGATATTCCTCACCCAAATTCACAATCATTTGTTTAGGAAATCAGTAAATTGGGGCGCAAGTTATCCATTCCAGACTAAGTCTGCTAGACTTCTCATTACTAGCAGTGGCACGCTCGCACACCAAAGAAAGCTGACTTGTTGACCAGTCTATGGTTCTCAAGGCAGTGGGGAACTTTGCCCTTCCATCATAGGAGTAAACGCAAAACGGGTGAACAATGGCAGGTGGTACTCTATCGGGAAGAATGGCAGACCAACAATGGAGCTGACAAGAACCCAAAGGAGGAGGGTTCAGAGACAGTACTGCACATTCCTCAATAACGAGAAAAACGCACAGGTGCTTCCAAATGCCAATTCTGCCAGAAAAGGGAAAGAACCAGAAGTACTTCCCCAGACAGAACAAGCAATCTCTCAACTACAGAAGTTGACAAAAGCAGAATCCTCAGAGAAACCTTCTGTCCATCCTGCCCCCGCCTCAGGAGGTCTACTTGAAACTCCCCAACTAGAGGAAAGAACCGATCCTATTTCAGGAGAAGGACAAGAGGACTGGGTTGAGGAAGATGAAGAGGAGCAGCTGGATTATGAGCCATCCACAGATGACCAGAATACCCTCCTCGGGACAGAAGAACTGGGAGAATGGACGGAGAAATATGATGGAGAACAGATGGATTATGACGGAGAATTGGATGCAGAAACTGAGGCCTTTGGTGCAGAACTGGAGGACTTGTTACGTGTTGACCTAGGCATCAATATGGTGTTCATTCTGCCAGAAAAGTTCTGGGCGGTAGAAGGACAGAAGAACACTCTGGACGGAGACGTATTTTCCCAAGAAAGTTTTGAATGCAGGTTGGCAGAAACGGAAGAAATGCCAGAACAGCAAACAGGCAATCCCAGGATAGAAGGAGCAACCCACAAGCTGACAACAGGTCCCCTTTGCTTCTCCAAACCAACCAAAGAAATGGCAAACCACCTCAGACCCTTGTTCATAACAGCAAACTTTGGGGGTGTTCCTATCCCCAAAACCATGGTAGATGGAGGTGCAGCCATCAACCTTCTGCCTCACAGAATGCTGAGCAAAATGGGCAGAACAGAGAAGGATCTAATCCCAACCCGCCTGACCGTCACCAACTTCGCAGGGGGCATCACCAAAACCCTTGGGATTCTGGATGTAGATGTCTTGGTAGGAAGCAAGAAGCTGAAGGTTGCATTCTTTGTGGTAGATACTACTTCCACCACTTACAATGCATTGCTTGGCAGAGATTGGATTCATCAGAGTCTGTGTGTTCCTTCCACTCTTCATCAACAGTTAGCTTTATGGAACGAAGATGGCTACATGGAGATAGTAGAGGCCGATCCACGGCCATTCCTACCTTCTGCCATGTGTTGTGAGGCAAGGTACTATCATGATGACCTTGGTCCTTTCACTTTCTTTGGAGTCAACCAGAACGGCCGCCCCCATGGTGTCACGGCCCAGAGACTCATTGAAGAAGGTCTAACCAATTCTTTGGAGGATTGGAACAGACCTTTTGTCCTAAATTTCCAAAGCACTGATGTTTAGTCCCAATCAACAAGAAAAGGATCGAGCTGCAACAATCCGGTCCATTACAAAAAGATTGTTGATATACTGGGAGGAAAGAAGGTTGTTTGCACAGAATCCAGCCATCAATATGGCAGAATTCACTCATGAAAGTACGGAAAGCCAGGAGGAAGAAGAACTACAGGAGGAAGTGCTAGATTTCGCACCAGCCGCATTGGATGACTCTCTGCCAGAAGTAGAAGATCCTTTGCAGGAAATAAATTTGGGAACAGAGGAGGATCCAAGGCCAACCTTCATCAGCGCACTATTGAAAGAACCACTTAAGAATGAACTCGTTGCACTTCTACAAGAGTTCAAAGACTGTTTTGCTTGGCATTATCACGAGATGCCAGGATTAGACAGGGAATTGGTAGAACACAAGCTACCAATCAAAGAGGGATACCTTCCAGTCAAACAGGCCAGAAGAAGAATGTCCATGGACACAGAACTGAAAGTCAAAGAAGAAATAGAAAGGCTGCTCAAAGCAGGATTCATCAGGCCTGCCATCTATGCTGATTGGCTAGCTAACATTGTACCAGTTCTAAAAAGGAAAACTGGGGCAGTCAGAATCTGCGTGGATTACAGAAACCTGAATGAAGCCTCTCCCAAGGATGAATACCCTATGCCAATGGCAGACATGCTAGTAGATGGAGCTGCCCACAACCAGATGCTATCTTTTATGGATGGCAACGCAGGTTACAATCAGATCATGATGGCAGAAGAAGACATCCACAAGACAGCCTTCATGTGTCCAGGGCATATAGGTGCTTTTGAATATACTGTAATGCCTTTTGGCTTGAGAAATGCAGGGGCTACCTATCAAAGGGCAATGAATTCTGTTTTCCACGATATGATAGGACATTCCTTGGAAGTGTATATTGATGATGTTGTGATCAAATCACCAGAGGAGGGAAACCACATGACAAACCTAAGAAGAGCATTCCTCAGAATGAGGCAACATAAACTGAAAATGAACCCAAAGAAGTGCGTTTTTGGAGTTCAAGCGGGAAATTTCCTAGGATTTTTGGTCCACCAAAGAGGCATAGAGATCGACAAGAACAAAGCAAAATCCATCATAGAAGCTTTACCGCCTAGGAACAAGAAAGAATTGCAAAGTCTCTTAGGAAAAATTAATTTTTTAAGGAGATTTATATCCAATTCTGCAGGAAAGATCCAGCCTTTCTCTTCTCTGTTAAGGTTGAAACAGGAACAAACCTTTAAGTGGGAAGAACAACACCAGCAAGCTTTTGAGGAAATCAAGCATTACCTCTCAAATCCACCAGTTCTGTCCCCGCCAAAGAGAGGCAGGCCACTCAAGCTCTATATATCCGCATCAGAAGTATCCATTGGAAGTTTATTGGTTCAGGATAACAAGGAAGGAAAGGAACAGGCGGTTTACTACCTAAGCAGAACTCTGACAGAAGTGGAAAGGAAATATTCTGCAATTGAGAGACTTTGCCTAGCCTTGTACTTCACTGCTGTAAAGCTCAGACATTACATGCTGCCATACACCATCTATATCATTGCCAAAACAGATCTGATCAAATACATGCTACAAGACCAATGCTGAGAGGCAGAATTGGAAAATGGACCTTGGCCTTGACAAAATTTGCCTTCAGATATGTTCCTCAGAAAGCCGTCAAAGGACAAGCTGTGGCAGACTTCCTAGCAGATCATCCCGGAGAGGAGATTGAAAATATGGACTCTTTAGACATAGCAAATGCAGATCTATTAACCAGAGCTCACACCTGCCTCAACAATCCTATCTACTCAGTTCATCTTACACCTTGGAAGTTATACTTTGATGGGTCAAAAACTGATATAACTTCCGGGGCAGGAATTGTTTTGGAAGAGCCACTTGGAATCAGACACTGCTACTCTTTCCAATTAGATTTCCAATGCACCAACAATAGGGCAGAATATGAAGCCTTAATCATTGGCTTGGAAATGCTGGTAGAATTAGGAATCCAGTCTGTGGAAATCCTGGGAGACTCCATGCTGGTTCTAAAACAAATTGCTGGGGAATACAAGTGCCTAAGCCCTTCTCTGGTTGTCTACTTGGTGGCAGCTAGGAATCTTCTGACAGAATTCAGAGAGGCCACTTGGGAACATATCCCAAGAGAAGAGAATTTTGCAGCCAATGAATTGGCCCAGGTGGCAACAGGCATACAAATACCCGAAGATTGTGTACAAAGAATCATCAAGATAGGAAAGAAAAGCCTACCATCGGTTCTGGCCAGGGGGATGGAGATAGATGTCAACTCTGCCACAATCACTGAAGATGATTGGAGGAATCCTATCATGACCTATCTGCGATATCCAACTTTGCCCTCTGAGAAGAAAGTCAGAATCATGGCTTTAAACTACCTTATGTGGAATGAAGATTTGGTCCGAAAAGGTAAGGATGAGGTGCTTTTAAGGTGCCTCGGGAAGAAAGAATACATGAAAGTTATGGGGGAAACCCATGAAGGAATCTGTGGAGCACATCAAGGTGGAAGGAAAATGTGCTGGTTAATTAGGAGATATGGCTACTTCTGGCCAACCATGATGAAAGATTGCATTAACTATTCCAAGGGGTGCGAATCTTGTCAAAGGCACGGTCCAGTCCAGCAGGCTCCATCAGTTCCCATGAATCCAGTGGTAAAACCATGGCCCTTTAGAGGATGGGCAATGGATCTCATTGGTAAGATCTATCCAGCCAGCAGCCAGCAGCACTGCTTTATCATTGTTGCCACAGACTACTTCACCAAATGGGTGGAGGCCAAGGCTGTTAAATCCACTACATCTCAAGAGATCATCATTTTCATAAAAGAACAGATCATCCAAAGATTTGGCATCCCAGAATCAATCACAACTGATAGAGGGTCATCTTTCATATCTAGAGAAATGCTGGACATGGCAGAGGCATTCAAATTCAGACTGCTCCAATCCACTCCTTATATTATGCCCAAGCCAATGGACAGGCGGAATCAAGCAACAAAGTAATCATCAACATTATCAGGAAAATGCTTGAAAAGAATCCAAAACAGTGGCATGAGAAGCTGTCAGAAACTCTGTGGGCATATAGAACTTCAAAGAGAGAAGCGACTGGCATGACTCCCTACGCGTTAACCTACGGTCATGATGCAATTCTGCCTATGGAGATAGCTGTTCAGTCCCTCAGAATTGCTCACCAACATGACTTAGTAGGAGAAGACTACTCCCAGGCCATGCTGCTGGAACTGGAAGGATTGGATACAGCCAGAATTGACACTCTCAACAAACTCCTGGCAGGAAAACAGGCTGTATCAAGGGCCTACAACAAAAGAGTCAGGAACAAGAGTTTTGAAGAAGGGGAGATAGTCTGGAAAGCAGTTCTGCCCCTTGGAACACATGTGGCTGGTTATGGAAAATGGTCACCTACATGGGAAGGTCCTTTCATAATCAGCCAGATCCTTGGAATGGGGGCATACAGGTTGCAGGATAGGAATGGAGAAGTTCATACGGCCCCGATCAATGGCAAATGGTTAAAAAGTTTTATCCAACCATGTGGGATTCACAGGCTGTACAAACAGACCCGGGGATAGACACAGGATTTAACTAAAAATCTTTTGAAAATTACCCTTGTTTTTACTTTAAGTCTATCCCTTTGTTGTATTCCTACTTCTGTTTTCCGTTCGATCCATCAATAGAAATAAAATGAACTTTATTTAAAAATAAATAAACCATGGGGCCTTCCCCACGGCAAGCTGTTCAGAAAAGCGAAATAACGAAATCAAAATCCTAGTTTTCTAAGAGTCTCCTGCAGGTTAGTCTTCTTGGTAGAAAGTTCCTTTTGGAGCAGCACACCCTGATGAATTGAAGCTTCTGCAATCTCCAGGGCGGGTCTAGAAGCTGCAACCATGTTCTGCACAAGGAAAGTGGCCTTGGTCTTAGAACTCAATCCAGCCCCGAGCCTGTGCTGCACTTCCCGACGCTCTGCCAGCTGCTTTTGAAGTTCTGCAATCTCTTTTTCCAATTTATCCCCAGCGGCCTTGGCTTCTTTATACCCCGCAACCATCTGGTCCAGTTCTGCCTTCTGTTTTGCAAAATCAGCCAAGTTGGCTTCATGAGTGGCCTTGCAGAACTCAGAGGTTTCGAAGGTAGGCTTCAGGTCTTCATAACGGTCGTGAAGGTTAAGCACATCCCTTGCCAAGACAAGACTCATCTCAAGTATGGGTCTTGGGGCCATGTTCTGTCTATGCAGCAGATCCAGATCCTTCATCAGCTGATCAAAGGCCTCTCTGTCCTCATCCAGCTCCAAATCAGCAGACTGCCAGATCTTCAACCTCTCCATTGCCTCTTCCACTGCCCTGGACTTTGTCTTACCAACAGGAGAGCTGAGCTTTTCCAACTTATCCAGCTGGGCATCTAGGTCCATGGCTTCAAATTCTGCCAGCTCCGGGTCAGCAAAAGAAGCCGTGGCAGATGAACCTGCAAGAGAATGAATAGGCATCTGCAGAAGAAAGCATAAGGTCAAGAACAGGGCAGAGACAAGAAGAAGAAGATAGAACTGCAAAAAACACTCACTGCAACAATCGGAGGCTGCAAGGGGGTGGTCCTCACCGCCAAGGTCCCAGCAGTTCTTTGTGCTTCCACCTGTAAAGATTCGAGGGTCAGAAGGGACCAAGGGACAGAACAAAATGGGAAACGACAGAATAAGGACAGAACTCACCATAAACCCAGGAACGGCAGCAGCCACTCCTGCTACGGTTTCAGGAACAGGAACCACTTGTTCTGCCTGATCCCCAGGCTCCGATCCGGATTGTTCCACTTGGTCCTCAGCTGCTGGAGCGGCAGTAGAATGTTCTGCCTCTGGATCATCAAAAAGGGCCACCTCTGAGTTGGTCAGCCCTGCCCCTATATCTTCCTGCTGCTTCCGAGCCAAGGCAATGCTCTCCGCTATCACCTCAGCAGGAATTTCCTCCTACAGAATGCACGGAAGTCAGAACAGAATAAATCAAGGTGCAGCAGGAACAAATACTCCCAGATATAAATACAGACTCACCTCCTCCTCCACTGACTTGGCCTTCTCCTGGGGCTCCTCTCCTACCTTTTCCAGCTCTTCCAGCTCCCTTTCTTGCTCCACAGCTTCGAAAGCCTCTCTCAGATCATCATCCGTGCCAGAGGTGGTGGTAGGAACTGCCCCAGTTCCCTCCGGGGCCACGTATTCTTCTGCAATCTTCTTTCTAAGTCTTTTTGACTTAGTAAGGGGAGGAGAGGGACCTCCAACTGCAAACAGACAAAATAAGTCTTAAAGATTAAGACAGAACAGGATTATGAAGAATTCAAAAAAAAAGAGAAATCATCAAAGAATACCTGGAGCCACAGACTGGGCAGTTTCTTTTCTTTTTCTTTTGACAGGAGAAGTGGCCTCAACAGGAGTCTGTTCTACCTGATCTCCCTCTTCTTCTTCTTCTTCTTCCTCCTCTCCATCCCCGGAGGGCAACTCCAGATCCCCAGCAGCAATGACAGAATTGACTATGCAGAAGACAAAAGTCAAAGAACAATCCAGTAGAGAGTAGCAAAAGACTGAACAAAAAACACCTCTCCGCTTTGGGCTGGTTGGCTGCCTATATTCTTTGTCAGAGAGGGATCTGAGTACAGATAGAAAGGATTAGCATCATCACTAAAACACAGAATAGGCAACAACAGACAGAATAGAGAGATTACCTTCTATAATTTGCATGTTGATGTCTTTGATGGTCTGCACCATGAATCTGTGAGTCTCGTCGTCTGAATGGACATTCCAATTGTCCCAGCCCTTAAAAAGGACCTGAAGTGCGGTGCTAGAAGCAGGCAGATCACGGAATCTGGCTTTCCACCAAGCATCAAACTCCACAGAACTGCAGGAGTTCAATTCCCAGGAAGGATAAAGGGCATCTGCACTGTTGTTAATCTTGTTCACGGCACACCTGGCGTCTTTGTGGACCTCCAAGTCATCTGCATCCCTCCAAGAAGAGCCCCGATTGCAGCTTCTGTATGACTTGAGGGGTATGAGCTGAGGACAGCCAAGCTGCCTTGCACAGAAGTTGGGATGGTAGACTTCCGCCCCCAAATGATAATTTGGAGGCTTTCCCCCTCCATGAGGCAGATCCCTGGGTAAGGTCACACTCAGGAACTTCTTCCTGAAATCAGTTCTGGCGGATTCTTCTTCTGGCTCTTTCTCAAACAGACGATGTCCAGGCTGAAACCAAGGATAGGTCCTCCTAATCACCATCTGCCACTGTGCTGCAGACCTCTTGGTACAATGCCTGAACATCATCAGGTATTCACCAATTGACCGCTTGGGGACTTCTGCTGACAGCAACGGTTGAGCCAGAACCTGGTTCTCAGGCAGAACTATGTCTGGATACCTTAACTCAGGAAAATAGACCTGCAGCCAGATCTGAATCATCCAGAAGGCACCAGGAGCAGACAGATTCAGCGGATACTCCAGAGTAGCGGTATGCAGGTTCTTGAATAGGTGGGCCAGAACTGTAGGACCAAGGCCAACATCAGTATGATTATGCAGAGCTTCTGCCAGATGTCTGTACTCAAGCAGAACTGCAGAAGAACGATTGGGCAGAATAAACCTGTTCAGCCAATACAGGAGAAACAACATGTGTTGCTGATCTTTGTCTTTCTCAGCACTAAATTTTCTGAGATAGTTGGAGAAGGAGCAATTCTGGTTGATCAAGGCTGGGGAAATAGTGAATGGCTTGGCTAGCTTCTGCTGGTCCTTCTTCCTGTGATAATCACCAATGGCATCAACAGGTCTTCCGTGAGGCCTAAAGCCAAAAATCTGGGCCATATCCAGCAGAGTGGGAGCCATGGGGCCTATACGGAAATCAAAGGTGTTACTGGCAGTGTTCCAGAAACACAAAGCAGCAGCAAGCAGATTCTCATCCCTGTTGATAGATTGCTTGGATAGGAGTATGGCGTCATAAATTCCAGCCCGCTTCCAGTGAGCCCCAAATCGAGGAAGAAGTCTGTCAATCCAATCAGCCCACTTGACTGGACTGTTTCTCACTTCACTGGATGGGAACGAACGACTCAAATTTTTACTAACCCAAGAATGAGAAGCCAGAGCGGAGAGGCTCTCAAAACATAGAGGGGCCTCAGCATCCTTCTTCATCAGCTCCGCCATCTCGGGAGGAACGGGGCCAAACCAGTGAGGCCCCAGCACCAAGGTGTTTTCGAACAGATGAAGGACGTTTTCATCTAGGTTTTTCTGGGCAAAAGGATGGAGCTTGCTCCTAACCTCTATCGCATGTTTATCAATCCCAGCCCCAGTAACGTAGTCGGGAAGAACTGGAATAGAGGAAGACTGAGCACGGGATTTCGGGGAAGACATTTTCTTGGAAAGTTATTTTTTCTGAAAAGGGAGGTTCACAGGAAGGGCAAGGCAGGATCGAGCAAAAGGAAGTTTTTTTGAAAACACGAAAGGAATCAAGTTTGAAAATACTAGGTTTTCAGGTGAACAGGAACAGTGGTTTTTGAAAGACTTTTAAAGAAGCCAGAAAACGTGGGAAAGAGATGACAGCGACGTGGAGAAGACAAAGCGTCAATCTGATAGTGACTAAGCTAATAAAGGGCTAGTAACTGAAGAACTGCGCCACACGAGCACTAGCTTAGTGGGGAAGCGTGGCAGACGTGGGATAAATGAAGGAATTTACCACGGGCCAATTTAATGGCCATGTCATTTAAGTCTGAAAACCGTTTCAAAACGATTCAGACTTAAGGGGGCATTGTTTGGGCCACAAATTGGCATGCCCAGCCCAGCAAAAATTAGGCCCAGAATAAAGCTGCAAAAAATCAAAGAGAGATGGAAGCCCAAAAGCCAGAGGGGACCAGCCCAAGACTCATCAAAGTAAACAAGGCTAATCTGGGCCTCACGGGCCCAATATAAAGGGGAAGCCCAGAAATAGGGACAATCCCACGTGATATCTCTGAAAAAAGAAAAGTCAGCAATGGCAACTGTCATAGGAGAAGTGATTGAAGGGTTCATAGCATCAAGATCGATTCTGGAAAAAAACTGAAGATCAAATCCCTCTTACACATATATATATATATATTCAGAGATTTTTTCTGTCTTTTCAGAGAAGGTAATTCTCCCAAGGAGATAAGCAAGTTACAATCTCAGAGAGGGATAAGCAGGAAAGCAGGAAGTTGTCCAGAAAAGAATCAAACTAACCATCACGGGCAAAATATCGCAAGGGGCAGTTGAAATTAGGCAAGAGATTTCAAGAAAAAAACAGGGAAGTGATTGCCTATCTGTTGAGAACCTATCTACCAAAAACTGATGAAATCCCCTTTTTTCCTCTTTTCCATTTTTTAAGAAAGATCTTTTGAAAGGATTTGCCGCCCATTATTAAAAGAATTACCCTACTCCAGAAGACATTTCTTATAAATATGAGAAGGAGTGAACAGGGCGAAGGACAATCAAATCTTACAACAAAAATTTCATCACTCAATCAAACAAAGATCCTACATAGGAAAACCCTCAAATAAACAAGCCCACTTGAATTTCAAGTGAAAAACCAGCTCCAGATCAGAATGCCCAGAATCCAGATTTAGGAAGCAAGTCATTCAAGACGAGATTTCTCTCGTTATAAATTTGGTTCAACAAAAAGCCAAAACAAGCAGAGTTTGAATCTTCTCCAAGCATGGAAAACCTCAGCAAAATTCACGGAATAGCCTCCAGCTCACCAACGTCCTCAAGAACAGCCACTTCTGCCTGTTCAAACTGAAGAAACCGCAGTTCTGCCCACTCAGAAGCTTCACAAGAGCTTAAGGTACATTAAAGCTCTGCCAGAATCAACCTTTGGTATCGATTTGTAGTCAAAGATCGGGCAATCAGAATTGTCAAGCCCAGACATTCCCAGTCCAGCCCCTCATAGAGCCTCCCATCCAGGCAGAAATGGAGATCTAGCTATCTTTTTATCTTTTTGGCATCGACATGTATTTTTGTAGTCTTGTAAAAGGCACTTCCGCCCAAAAATATCTTAAATTTCATCAGCCATTCTGGCCAGAACAGCCTCTTTATACTGAGATAAATTATTGAAGTCCTCACCAGTCTGAGGCAAGAAAAGAACTTACTTGGGAGATATTCCTCACCCAAATTCACAATCATTTGTTTAGGAAATCAGTAACTTGGGGCGCAAGTTATCCATTCCAGACTAAGTCTGCTAGACTTCTCATTACTAGCAGTGGCACGCTCGCACACCAAAGAAAGCTGACTTGTTGACCAGTCTATGGTTCTCAAGGCAGTGGGGAACTTTGCCCTTCCATCATAGGAGTAAACGCAAAACGGGTGAACAACACCTAGTTTGATCTCCAATTACAGATCTTGGCCATCTACCTTTGAATCATCCATCTCAGTTGGCACCAAGTCTCAATTTCAAGTGGATCATCTTCCGGACCTTCATGGAGGAATTCCACCAAATGAGCTGTAGACCCATGCTCTACCGCTATCTCGGCCTAAAAACCATATAACCGTTTCAAAGTGTCTTCCACCGCGGCTCTTTTCTCTTCCTCAATGGTTGTATCACTTATTGAGAGAGAAGAAATCAGCCATTGTGGGGCGCTCCGCATCTGTTTGTGCATCATATGCCCCCAAGTCTATCAATTTTTGGGCCGAGACTCCTGTAGGTTGGCCGTTCTTATTTGACCCCGTGAAATAAAGAGGACCAAGATCATCCTCGTAAAATCTGACCTCTACTGCGTTGGCTGAAGCCATGAAAGGCCATGAGTCAGCTTGAACCAGTTCCACGGTCCCATCCTCATGACTTAGACCAAACAATTGAGCCATGTGATTGGCTGCTTAATGGATTTGATTTCAATTTTGATCGGTTATGAATAATGAAATGGCTCGTGTTGGATCAACAAGAAAGTCCATAATCATCCTACAAGCCCAATGCAGCTGGAATGTTCGGTAGTGATGATAATTAATCAATTAGTAGTATCATGTATTCCCACTATCTCAAGTAAATGGTTTCTAAAATATTTAGTGGGAGTATTATGTGCCACTAAATATTGCACTGGGACCCATTTAATGAGATTAGATAAGTTATTTTAACAAGATTAAAATTGGATTAATATGAGACCAATGTAACTACCATCAAAGCAATATTAACTTGATAAGTGAAATGGCACTTTGAAATGCTATTTTGTGGCCTTCCACCGTGGTAGTCTCTTATTGGGTGGCACATGTACACTTTGTTGTACCTCAGTGAGGCAACATCCAATACTTGTAACCATCCAAGGGAAACCTATTAAACATACATGACGTAGTGTAGATAGATAACAAGTATGGCCAACAAATCATTAGGTTGAGGATGTACTTGAAACCCTATATCCATAAGCATGGTGGGAACAAAACCAAAAAACTTTTAGGTTGAGGTCTAGTTCTCTAGAGGCCATAGTGATGGGTATTCACATTATGATGTGATTGGATAAGAGTATCCTCTCATTAGTAACATAGCAACCCAACAAATTGTTAGGTTGAGGAAAACTATGTGCAAGTGAGACTCCTATCCCCACTAAGAGTTTCAACGGAAACTCTCAAATTTCAAGATGGATATGAAATTTTCCAAAAATAGTGGGAGCTACCATCATGATTTAAAGACCCTAAGTCCTTGGTAGAAGATTAATCTAAATTAAAATCTATTTATGTTATGCAGAATTTCAAAAGAACCATCACAAACCCAATCTCAAAGATACTTGGCTTAAACGTCCAAGATGACACGAACTATCCGGTTTGATTGCACAAACACCAAGTTGTCCTATAATTGGATGAGATTGGTTGTCTATTAGAAAAACCCCACCACATACCCCTCTTGGTCCATATGCCGTTGAGGAGAAGACAAAGGCTTATAAGAAGCATGTGTTAGATGACAACCAAGGTAAAAGTTACATGTTGGCATCCATGAAAAGGTGAAGCTACTCGTAGCTTACAATACCATATGTGAACTTGTTATGACAATAATGGTAAGTGGTTTCCCGATTAATCAACATAGTCTCAAAGTAATATAATTACTTAAGAGATTGGAAAATATGGATTTTTCTTTGATAGTTGAAGTTCAACAAGATTTTTTATTTCATCCCTATCATCAGTTAATCCCAGTATGTTATGAACTATAATGTGGGAAAAATGAAAACCACCTTATCTGAGCTACTCACATGGCTATAGTAGCTTAAATGAATATCTCAAAAGATAAAGGGTTAAAGGGGTTAGTTGCAATTTTAGTAGGGTTCTTCTTCTTCCAAATCCAAACTGAAAGTTCAGGATAAAGGAAACAAGAAGAAAGGTTTTCTAAAAACCCAAGAAAGGAAGAACACAAAGAAAGACAAGTAACTGAAAGGTACTTGTTTTCACTGTGACAAGGATGGACATTGGAAGAGGAATTGTAACAGATGTCTTGAATGCCTCAAGAGAAAAACCTTCATAAGGTAACTCTTTTGCTCTAAAAATTAGTAATTATAGTTAAAACTTCTAAACTGAATAATTGATTCAAGAGTTAGTCACACATACATGCAATTGTGTGCATGGACTAGTGGGAAGTAGAAGACTTAGAAAATGAGAAATGGTGCTAACTATGGGAAAGAGCACTAATATAGTTGCCAATGCTATAGACACCTAACATCTCAAACTACCCCCTAAAGAGGACTTGAATTTGAATAATTGTTATTTCATTTCTGGATGTGTATCCGTCTCTATGTTTTTAAAAGCTGGATTTGATGTTTTATTTGACAAAATACTTTGTTCTATTTCACATATCAATCAAATCGTTGCTTATGCAATTTTGATTGATGGTCTCTTTTTCTTTTAGAAATGAATGGAAGCATTAACTGTATATGGATTAAGATCCGACTAGACCTAAGAGGCCTAGAGATGTGGATACCTCAACTTGGAGGCATTAGCCAAGATAGCATTCACCGGATGGCAAAAGATGGAAGCTTTGGATCATTTGATCATGTTCCTGTGCCTACTTGTGAATCTTGTCTATATGGCAAAATGATAAATTCTCCTTTCACTGGTAAAGGAGAAAGAGTTACAGAACTATTGGGATTGATCCACTTAGATGTTTGTGGACCTTCATCTACAAATGTAGAGGGCTGTTATTCATACTTCATCACCTTTACCGATGATCATTCATGGTTTGGGTATTTATACTTAATGAAGCATAAATCTGAATCCTTTGAAAAGTTTCTATAAGTTAGAAATGAAGTTTGAAAACCAAACATGCAAGAGTATTAAAATCCTTTGATTTGATCAAGGAGGTGAATACTTAAGCACATTATTTCTTGATTATCTCAAGGAACATAGCATCTTATTATCACAATGGACTCCACCAAGGACTCCAGAACATAATGAAATTTCTAAAATGAGTTCCATGAGTTGTAGTGATTTACCTATATCTTTTTAGGCATATGCACTTGAAACTGCAATTCATTTGCTAAATAGAGTGCCTTCCAAAATCCGTTCCACAAACTCCATTCGAAATGTGTTTTGGAAAGAAACCAAGTCTTTGATTATATCAAGATTTGGGGTTGTCCAGCGTATGTCAAATTACTATATGCGGATAAACAAGATGCAAGGTTAGTGAAGTGTAGATTTATAGGCTATCATAAGGAAACTATGAGATATTACTTCAATCACATCAACAACCAAAAGTTGTTTGTCGTAAGGTCAACTACCTTCGTCAAATAAAAATACATTCTTGATAGGAAATGGGAATATGAGATAGAACTCAAGGAATTGTCCAATGAGCTAGAAAACAACACTGAACTAAATGCAATCCTAGATCCACAACTGGTTGTAACACAGACTCCATGTAGTTCTAGTAGGGTTAGTAGAATGCCTGAAAGGTATTGTGGTTTCCTTCATAAAAACGAAGGAGAGTAATATCTCCTAAGTGATTGTAAGGATATCAAAGACCCTTTGAACTACAATGAGGCAATGTCATACATTCACTCACAAAAATGGCTTGGAGCCATGAAATCCGAAATGGATTCTATGTATACCAACCAAGTTTGAACTCTAGTTGGTCCACCTTCTAGTATTGTACCAATAGGTAATAAATGGATCTTTAAGAGGAAGATAGGCTCAGATGGGAAAGTAGAAACCTACAAGGCAAGGCTAGTAGCAAAGGGCTACAAGCAGAGAGAAGGGATTGACTATGAAGAAACCTTCTATTCTGTCACCATGACAAAGTCTATTTGGATTTTTCTTGCAATAGCTGCATACCATTATTATGAGATTTATCAAAATGGATGTGAAGACAGCTTTTCTAAATGGCCACCTTCAGGAAGAACTATACACGAAAGGCTTCATTTCTAAAGTTGATAAGCATAAGGTATGCAAGCTACATAGATCCATTTATGGGTTGAAGCAAGATTCTAGGAGTTGGAACATCCTATTTGATAAAGTTGTCAAATCATTTGACTTTATACAAAATATGGATGGAAAATAGATACAGTAATCAATTAGGAGAATATCTCCTAATTATACAAAGATATGTCAACTATATAAACTAAGGAAGTAAAAATCACCTAATTAATCAAGGAAATAAATCTCCTTGATTAATTAGGATAGCTCATGTCAACACTCCTCTTCAAGTTGGTGCATACACGTCACCAATGACTATACAAAAAGGGTCAGTGCGAGTTTGGTAATATTTTTGTAGATGACATACTAATTATTGGAAACAGTTTGTAGATGACATACTAATTATCGGAAACAATATAGGAATGATATCTTCAGTAAAGCTGTGACTCATTAAATCATTCTCAATGAAAGATCAAAGAAGCACCTTACAATTCGGAATAAAGATTTAACCTGATAGATCTATGAGAATAATTGGATTATCTCAATTCTTGTATGTTGATAAGGTGCTAAGGAGATTTAATATGGAATAATCTAAGAAAAGTTGACTTCCAGTTCAACATGGACTTCACTTTTCTAAGAGCATGTGTCCAAAAACTCATGATGAGATACATCATATGAGTAAAATATCTTATGCATATGCAATAGGAATTCTCATATATGTCATAGCATGTACAGGACATGATATCAGTTATACGAGTATAACTAGATATAAATTGACGCATGATTGTTTCCGATAATTAGTATGTCATCTACATACATCACTAGGAATGATAGTATGTCACGTGATGTTTGTTTATAAATCAGTAGGGAGCACTCCAGTGTGTTCTTAAGTACTTAAGAAGGACTAAGGACATGTTCCTCATATGGGAGGAACATCATAGTAGCAAGTGGAAGCATTTACTGATTCGAATAATATATCCGATATTGATGATTGCAAGCCACCTAAGAGTACGTCTTCATTTCGAATGGACACGTAGTTAGTTAGAAAACCACTGAAGCTGAATACATTGTCACTTTAGAAGCTACAACAAAAATTTGTTTGGATAAAAAGGTTCATTATCGAACTAAATGTGGTTCTGACTATACTGTCAAGTACCTTTACTGTGTGATATCAATGGGGTGATAACTCAAGCCAAGGAACCTAGGTCTCATGAGAGATCCAAACACATAGAAACATGTTACCATTAGATGGGACATGTTGCATCATAAAGGTTGCATCTGCAAATAACGTAGCAGATCCACTCACTAAGTCTATGTCATAGTCACAACTGGTCCGAACTAAATGTGGTTCTGACCATAATGGGTTTTTCAAAATGTTTCCACTCAGTAAACATTTACCCACCACACTAAAATTAATAAGATTACTTTGATTAGTGTGTAGGGTCTATCTAGATGTAAATGATGGTGATTTGTTATAAAATGCAAAAGTTGATCAAATTGTTCATATCACTAATTATTTACCCACCACACTAAAATTAATCATGATTATTTCGGTGAGTGTGGTTGGCCTACCTAATCACATTCATGCTTATTCACCTAGTTGGAATAATCATGATCACCACTTTGTGCTATACAAATGCTTGCTTTAACCCCACACCCTAGTGGATCAACATTGGATCCATTATTAATTGTTGAATAGTTTTGGACCTAGTTGCAATATATGATAAGTGTAACTATGCCCAAAAGGTCATTATAATTACATTTACTATTGTAGTAAAATATTTTCACTCCATGGTAAATTTATTTTATTTGAATATGGTTTTTACAATTGAGCCCCCTTTTTCCCGCTCAGTAAAACCTAATCCCCAATCTAGGGTTTTACATGAGCATTTGAGTTTTTACACGCTTTTGATGATGGGTTGGGACGAAAGGATAATAAAGCCCCTGCCAAACTGACGGAAATGAAGGCTTGGACTGATTTGTTAACAACTTTGAATATAGTGACGAAATCAGAAAAATTGAAATAACGGTGACTAAAATTGATTTCGAGCAAAACCACAGTGACCAAAATTGTAATTAACCCTATATTCTATGGATATGGAAACTGAAGCTTTGCAAAATATATGTTTGCCTGCCACACCTCTATGTTCTTTCACTTTTGGAATATTCAATAGATCCCTTTATATCACTGCTTCTCCTCCTGGAAATACGAGTGATATGGTTATGTGCAGTTTGAAGACAAATGCTTTTGAGAATTCTTGGACAGTGGACTTCATTATTGAGGGTTGTACTCTTTCCCCACCTATTATGTTGAAGGTTATGAAGACTAACCAAATACTCATGATTTAACGAATTGAAAGTCTACACTCTTGAGTCAAAGGGATTTGTCCAAGTTGACATCATTGTGATAAAGTTTTATTTGGGGGATGCATTCGAGCATACGCCAAGGTTTAGTTATATACATGCTTGATTGAGGATAGGCATGAGAGGCTAGAGCTTTGATTTTGAGGTAACCGAACACATGTCAAAGCTCTCGCATTCTTTGATACATAAGATAATTTCAAAGTAATTGTTATACCTTAACTTATTAGAGATATTACTAGAACCATGGAATCATCACATATATTTTGTAGTGATGTTTTCTAGTGGTTTATGGCAAGTTTTGTGTTTAGCAAAATTATATTGAAATGGTCTTTGAAGAGTACTATGACTGAGTGTTAATGTGTGTTTCTCAGGTATCTTAAGTACTTACTAAAAGTTTATGGGTTACTTTAGGTGATTGCATCCACCAAGGACTAAAAAGTTTATGAACTGAAAGAGACATTGTTGAGAACAAAAACGTAGATAACTAAATATGGTCTCTTTGTACATTTGTACTGAGATATGAACTTTTTGCTAGGTTGTTAATGAAATACATATTTATTTTGATTTTTGTACAATAATATAGTTGTGAGTACATATATATGGGCATGCCCAGTCGATGAGATTTTAATTGAATGTTTTGAATATATATATATATGCGGGTATGCCCAATCGATGAGATTTTAATTGTTTGTTGTGAGTATATATAATAGGCATGAACACTAAATATGCTTCCATCTACGTTGCACATGGTGTACCGATACACCCAAGTGAGATCTTAAAGACAATCCATAACGTTGTAATCACCATAGTCCTTGTCGGATGCAATTAGAGTAGCAGTTTACAAGTTTCTGCACTTGCATTACAACGTTAGGGTTCATCAAATCTATAATGTTAACCCATTTTTACAAAGATATGAATCTACATTATGTTGATGCTCTTTTTCGGAGAGGGTCAACTTAGAGATTGGGGTTTGTCTTTAGCAAGAGAAGGGCATGGGCCTTCAGTAAAGGGCTAGCCTGCAGAAGACAAAACAGGAGAAGCAGTCGTTAAGCTTCGGACACCGGTGTGGTGCTGGCCGAAGGCTCTCCAATGCTTGAGTCAGGTAGGGGTAGTAACTGTTGCAAAGTAATAGTAATAGTGAGAGAGAAGTTACCCATTTTCTTGGTTACTGTTCCCTATTTATAGGGAAGTAAAAGTAGGAGGTTTCCGATGTGGGACTTTGTGCAAGTTGCTGTGATGATGGCACGTGTCTCCTGTGTTTAGGTTTGGCTGTTCGAAGCTTCGGCAGGTGGTTGTCCCTTCGGAAGAGCATCTCCCTTTGGCAGGGAAGAAGGCATGTCTGCCTTGGTGTTAGTCACTTTGGTGCGAGGCACGCTTGGTTAATTATGGTGTAAACAGTAGTCCCCGAAGTTGTCAATCAAGAAGTGGCTTCTGGTTTGGGAACTTGTAAAGAGGTTGTGTAATTAAACCAAGCGTGTCAGTGTGGCAGGTGCCGAAGGTAGTGCCCTAGTCCCCCAAGTTTGAAAACTTTTTTTTTTTTTTTTTTGGGGGTGTCGAAGGTGGCCTTCCGAAGGGAAGGTATGACGTCACGGGTACCTTCCAAAGGGAAGGTGTGACGTCATCGAGAGTCGCAAGGTCCTTCCAAGCTTCGGAAGGGAGCCTTCCGAAGGGAAGTTGTGACGTCATCATGCCTTCTGAAGGGAAGGTGTGACGTCATCGCGAGTCGTTGTGATGTCATCATGCCTTCCGAAGGGAAGGTGTGACGTCATCGCGAGTCGCAAGGTTTCCTTCCAAGCTTTGGAAGGGAGCCTGCCGAAGGGAAGTTGTGATGTCATCATGCCTTCCGAAGGGAAGGTGTGACGTCATCGCATGTCGCGAGGTTTCCTTCCAAGCTTCGGAAGGGAGACTTCCGAAGGGAAGTTGTGATGTCACCATGCCTTCCGAAGGGAAGGTGTGACGTCATCGCGAGTCGCGAGTTCCTTCCAAGCTTCGGAAGGGAGCCTTCCGAAGGGAAGTTGTGATGTCATCATGCCTTCCGAAGGGAAGGTGTGACGTCATCGCGTGTCGCGAGGTTTCCTTCCAAGCTTCGGAAGGGAGACTTCCGAAGGGAGACTTCCGAAGGGAAGTTGTGATGTCACCATGCCTTCCGAAGGGAAGGTGTGACGTCATCGCGAGTCGCGAGTTCCTTCCAAGCTTCGGAAGGGAGCCTTCCGAAAGGAAGTTGTGACGTCATCATGCCTTCCAAAGGGAAGGTGTGATGTCATCATGCCTTCCAAAGGGAAGGTGTGACGTCATCGCGTGTCGCGAGGTGTCCTTTCACGGTTCGAAAGGGAGCCTTCCGAAGGGAAGTTGTGACGTCATCATGGGTCGCGATTCTTTTCACGCTTCGGAAGGGAGCCTTTCGAAGGGAAGTTGTGACGTCATCGCGGGGCGCGATTCCTTTCATGCTTCGGAAGGGAGCCTTCTGAAGGGAAGTTGTGATGTCATCGCGGGTCGCGATTCTTTTCACGCTTTAGAAGGGAGCTTTCCGAAGGGTAGTTGTGACGTCATCGCGGGTTGCGATTCCTTTCACGCTTCGGAAGGGAGCTTTCCGAAGGGAAGTTGTGACGTCATCGCAGGTCGCGATTCTTTTCACGCTTCAGAAGGGAGTCTTCCGAAGAGAAGTTGTGACGTCACGAGTGCCATGTGGCAGTGGTATAGAAACGTTTGTTCGTGGAAATCGAGGCGTCCCAACGGTATGATGAGTTATTGCTTGGAGCAAGAATCGAGGGGTCCTTCGTATGCCTTTAAAAGATTGTGGAGGGCTGAAGGAGTGAGCACTTGGAATTTTTGAAAGATTTGAGTAGACGAGCAAGTGTGATTTCCGATAAGGTTTAGGTACGGCGGAGCGATTTCTAGCGAGGCGTGAAAGATATTTTCGTGAGCCAGGCGATTTCCGGCAACCATGTACGGCGGTGATAACAAGATTGAAATGCCTTTCTCCCTTTCTAGATTGAAATGCCTCTTTCGCTTGAGTTTTTCATGAATTTGGTATGAACGTAGATGAACTTCCATGAACATATGAAGAACATGCCTAGGCTTTTGTTTTCAATCTTCACATGCCCCTTAGTTTCCCTTTTTTGTGTTTGTAGATGTCTGATAATTCTGAAAGAGAAAGTCAAAGCTCCCCAAGTCCCCATACCTTCAGTGGGGAAGAGTTTGAGAGTGGTAGCCACAATGAAGACTTGGGTACTGATGGGGAAAGTACTGGGCTTGAACGTGTGGTGGAAGGGCTGATAGTGGAGGGAAGTAGGGTTGGGGGAGAAGAGCAGTCAAGGAGTTTTGGGGGGGAAGCCTATAGGGAAATGCAAAGGAACTATGTGACCCTAGAAGCTTGTGCAAACCAGGTGTTGGGGATAACCCAGGCACCAGAGGCAAGTGCAAGTGGGCGAGCGGGGCCATCGGGGTGTGGTACTGTGGTAGTAGCATCCGCTGATGTGGGCATTCCAATAGGGGTTCCACTACCGAAGAAAAATATGATGAGTCTGTATGATTTAGAGTCGCTGAAGGTAGATTACACTATACCTGAGTGTGTGGGGCTAAGGTTGCCCATACCTGCTGAAGCGGCAAGATACCCTCCCGAGGGTTGTGTTATGGTGTTCTCAGCCATGTACAAACATGGATTGAGGTTACCATTGCATCCTTGGGTGCAAATGATGCTTTCCAGATTGGGCTATGCCCCTGGGCAGTATAATCCCAACTTCTGGTGTACATAGCATGGCGGTTGGCGAAGCGAGGGGAGCCCTCCTTTGAGCAGTTCATGCATCTGTACTCAGTGTCCAGGCAACAGGGCAACTTTGGCTAGGTGTAGGTCAACTGTCGAAAGGCGAAGGAGAGAGGATACTTTATAGAGCAACCACCATCGTCGCAGAAAACGTGGCGAAATCGGTGGTTCTTTGCCTTCGGTGATTGGGAGTGCTGGCCTGGGACGATTGTCAGCAAACATGTGCCCACCCAATTTCAATCTATAGGTCTTTGGTTATAACTCCTGTCTTTGTGTTGAATGTGTTGGTATGAACATGTATTGTCGTCCGAAGCTTGTGAAAACTAACGCCTTGGTCCATGTGCAGGTTCTGTGAAGTGTAGCCCAGTGTCCAGGGAGGAAGAGGAAGAGATAGAGCTAGTGAGGGGACAGGTGCCCTAGGAAGCGCGTGAGCTGAAGAATATTGTGACACCAGCTCTTCTTCTTCAGTCGGGGTTGCTTCAAGGAAGTAAGTATTGGTCTTCTCTCTCCCTTTTGTATGTTTGTCTTTGTATATGTGCTCACCTTTGCTTTGGTTTTGTGGTTGTAGTGGCTGAGGTGCCGAAGAAGGTGGTGACCGTGGCTGAGGTGTCGAAGAAGGTGGTGACCGTGGTTGAGGATTCACCGAAGGTAGTGGTGGATCCGGAGGAGAGGCAACGAAAGTTGCGAGAGAGAAGAGAGAAAGATAGGGCCAATAGGGCCAAGAAGCAGGCAAAGGGTGCGCCCAGCACAGCCGAGGGACAGCAGCCCGGGCTGCTGAAAAGCTGCCTCAGCAGGAGGATGATGAGCTGTTGGCAGAGCTGGAGAAGAAGCGGAGGGGGCTTGAGTCTTTGATCCATGACATCATGGGTGGAACAGTGCTGCCACCATTCGACTTAGATTCCCCACCCAGGCTGTCACTCGAGATGGAGGAGATATTCCCTGCAGGTACCAAGGATATAGACTTTGCCTCGGTTCGACGGGAGGAGAAGGAGGTAACCCTGGCCATGCATCGCCAGGAAGTGCCTCTTGTGAACGCCTTCTTGACTTGGGTAAAGATTGATGCGGGGGAGCTCACTAGGACCAAGGCCACGGACTTCTCCGATCGGGTCCAGAAGACGGTGCTCTCCATCGCCAATGTAAGTAGTCTTGTGCCTTTAACTTTCTAGTAATGCAGTTATGAAGTGGTCAGGCTTATGAACATATCTTTCTTGCAGGCTTTTGGGGATATGTACCTCACCCTAGCCAGGGCGGAGAGAGAGGTAAACTTGGTGAGACGCCACTCTGAGACAGCTAAAGCCGCTACTGCCGAGGCTCAGGCTGCCATCCGGGAGAGGAATGCGCTTCAGCTGAAGGTGGGGAGGCTGGAGTGGGAGCTAAAGGAGACAGCCCGGCGGCTAGAGGCAGTGGAGGAGGCTAGGCTCGAGTCTAAGAGGAGGAGGACCGAGGAGCTGAGCGTCGCTTGTGCCGAGGCTATGGAGGAGTATCAGAGCTTTGACAGGTTCAAGAGCCTTGTGCTAGACGCGATGGTCAAGGAGCAGTATGGGTGGGAGAAACTGGATGCGAGGTTTAATCCAGAGTTGGATATAAACTTCGACACTAGTGGTGTTCCCCCTCCCATTCCTTCCAGTCGGGAGTCACTGTTTGCAGCTACTCCGTCTGCCGACGCCATGAGTCCTTCTGAGACCTAGACGAGGAGAGGTGCCGATGCTAGTGGAGGGGAGTCGACCGTGGATCCTGACACAGCTGCCGAGGAGGAGGCGGACGACCATGCCGATGCCTGAGCGCTTGTGTATATTTTTGTTATGATGTACCCATTTGTTTCAGACGTAGTCTTTGACATGTATGGATATTGCCCTGCCCTAAGGCAAGGTTACTTTGATTTTTATGATAGCCTGGTATCTTTTTGCTTTATGCATTCTGCCAACTTCTGAAGTGTGAATGAGTAGAAATAGGGCCCAGTTGGGTGTTTCTATTAGATGGGTGCCGAAGGGCAGAAAGTACAATGGTAGGTTTGAGTCAAGGTTCAAGACCGAAGTATAAGAAAACATAATGTCCTAAGGTCTAGGTATGTTTACTTGTAGTAGTACTTGAGATGGTCAGCGTTCCAAGGATGAGGCAAGGTTTTGCCCTTGGGATCCCAAAGCTGATAAGCCCCGGGGCGGCTAACCATGGTGATCTCATATGGACCTTCCCACATAGGGCCCAGGGTACCTTCATTAGGATTCTTAGTGGCCAAGGAAACCTTGCGCATGACCCAGTCCCCAGTTGTGAAAGCTCGGGGTTTGACTCTGGAGTTGTAGTACTTGGCAATACGCTGTTTGTATGCGACGTTGCGCATGTTGGACTGGTCACAAAGCTCGTCAACAAAGTCGAGGTTGAGGACCAACTGCTCGTTATTGGCCTCAGCCTCATAAGTGGAGGTTTGGTATGTGGGCTGGCCAATCTCCACTGGTGCCACGGCTTCGGTACCAAAGGAAAGAGAGAACGGTGTTTCTTCCGTTGAGGTACGGAAGGTGGTGCGGTAGGCCCAAAAAACTTCTAGGAGTAGCTCTGGCTAGCAACCCTTGGCTTTGTCAAGCTTGGTCTTCAGGGTCTTCTTCATTATTTTGTTCACGGCTTCGACCTGTCCATTAGACTAAGGATGGGCTGGGGAAGCGAAGCAAAGTTTAATCTTGAGGTTGGAACAAAACTGCCTAAATTTTGCGTTGTCAAATTGCCGGCCGTTGTCCGTGACAATGGCGTTGGGGATGCCGAAGCGGCACACGATATTCTGCCAGACGAACGTCTCAATGCGAGCCGCAGTGATGGTGGCTAGGGCCTCAGCTTCAGCCCACTTAGTGAAGTAGTTGACAGCCACGACTACGTACTTGACCTGGCCCTTGCCCTCGGGCATAGGTCCAAAGGTCAAGTCCCCACTGGGCGAATGGCCAAGGACTGACCATGGCTGTTAAAGGTTCAACTGGGAGTTAAGGGATATTGGCAAACCGCTGACACTTGTTGCACTTCTGGGTGAAGGCTTGGGCATCAGTGTGAAATGAGGGCCAGAAGTATCCTTGCCTAATGGCTTTATGCGCTAGTGAGCGGGCGCCTGAATGATTACCACAAAGGCCTTCGTGGATTTCCCGGAGGACATAGTGACCTTCCTCTGGGGTCAGGCACCGGAGGTAGGGTAAGCTGAATCCGCGCTTGTACAGGGCGCCATTAATGATCAGCAGGGTCAGCAGGTAGCATCTAGTTCTGCAAAAATTGGAGGATGGGGTCCATCCATGTTGGGATGTGATCGATGGCGTAGATGAGTGGTGCCCGTGTGCTTGGCTGATCCAAGGTTTCCATATGGATATTGCGGCCAATACCCTGCTCTATGGCTGATTCTAGTCTAGCTAGGGCATCGGCATGGGGTTCGGTGAATTCAGATATAAAGTCAACCACTGCTTGGCCTTTTGTGGTTGGGCGGAGTTTGTAATGGATATCAAATTCGCCAAGTTCAATGGCCCACTTGACTAGCCTCCCAGAAGTCTCCAGCTTCTGAAACACTTGCCGGAGTGGTTGATTGGTTAAGACATGAATAGTATGAGCCTGAAAGTATGGCCTGAGGCGCTGAGCCGAAACCACCAGGGCGAATGCCAGTTTCTCGATGTCCGGGTACCAAACCTTGGCGTCCTATAACGCTTTGCTGACGTAATGCACTGGGTGCTTAGTATTGTCTTTTGTCTGGATGAGCACAGAATTGACCGCTGTAGCCGAGATGGAGAGATAGATCATGAGGGTGTCTCCAGGCTCAGGTGTTGACAATAAGGGGGCCCGGCTCATATACTCCTTTAGCTCGTTGAAAGCCTTGTCGCACTCAGCAGTCCAGGTAATACTCCGCTTGCTACCCTTAAGTGCCTTGAAGAAGGGGGCGCAGCGATCAGTGGCCTTGGAGATGAATCTGGTTAGGGCTGCGACACGCCCGGTAAGGCTTTGGATGTCCTTGATCGTCTTGGGTATTGCCATGTCTAATATTGCCTTGATATTCTATGGATTGGCCTCAATACCCCTCTGTCTGATCATGAAGCCAAGGAATTCGCCTGAAGCCACCCCAAATGCACACTTGGTGGGGTTGAGCCTCATCTTATACTGCTTCAGAATGGTGAACATGGCTGAGAGGTTGGGGATGTGATGGTCAGTAGTGTGACTCTTGAAGAGCATGTCATCAACCTCCATGGTGTTGCCAATTAGGGGAGCGAAGATGCTGTTCACTAGACGCTGATATGTGGCCTCGATGTTCTTGAGGCCGAAGGGCATGACTTTATAGTAGTAAAGGCCACGATCCGTGATGAAGGAGGTGTGGGCTTGGTCCTCAGGATGCATGAAAATCTAGTTGTATCCAGAGTAAGCATCCATGAAGTTGAGGATGGCGTGGCCAACTGTGGCATCAACTAGTTGGTCGATGCAGGGTACGAGGAAGCTATCCTTCGGGCAGGCCCGATTGAGGTTGGTGTAGTCTACACACATGCGCCAGCCCTTTGTGCCCTTTCGAACCATCACCACATTGGCCAGCCAGGTGGGATAGTCCACCTCCTTGATAAATTCAATGCTAGTTAGCTTGTCCACTTCTGCCCTCATGGCCTCATATAGCTCTGGGTCATAAGCATGACGCTTCTGCCGAACGAGTCGAACGGCAGGATTAATGCTTAGCCGATGGGATATGATCTCAGGTGATATGCCAGGCATGTCATTGTACGACCGGGCGAAGACCTCAGAATTAAGGCGAAGGAAGGCGACAAGATCATAACGAAGCTCCTGTGAGAGGGAGGTGTTGATCCTGACCTGCCGGTCCGGGATGTCTTCATCGAGAGTGACCAGCTCAAGGTCTTCCACAAATTCGGCCTATGGGGTGACAGATTCCTCCTTGGGATCTTCTGGGCGCTCGGTGCCAGCTTGAACCGAGGCTAGAGACTGGGTTACTGCGTGGGCCTCGCCCTGATGTTGGTGGTTGGTGGACTTTACTACTGAAGCATAGCAGCTTCGTTTGGGCCATGACGGGGTGGCCGAGGATGACATTGTAGGCTGTGGGGCAGTCGATAATGAGGAAGGGAGTGGTGATTGTCCTCCACTGGGGTGCCGATCCAATAGAGATTGGGAGATGAATGCTTCCAATGGGCTGGACCACCTCACCAGAGAAGCTCACCAGGGGTGTAATGCTACGGTCGAGCAGGTGAGATGGGACCTGGAGCTCGTTGAAGGCCTCAACAAACATCACACTGACTGAGCTGCCAGTGTCCACCAAGATACGCCCCACATCAAAGTTAGAAATGTCGGCGCGGATAATGATTGGGTCATCGTGGGGGAGAATAACATCGCGCGCGTCCTCCTCACAAAAGGTAATGGGAGCCCAGCCTGATTTATGGGTCTTCGGCAAGTGTCCCTGCTCAGCGCTGAAGACCTGATGAGCATAGGTGGAGCGGACATAATGCTTGATGGAGTTGTTGGAGGTTCCAGCCAAGGTGGGACCACCACTGATAGTTTAGATCATGTTGATCTGCCGTTGGTGAGGGTTAGGTAGGGGTGGGAGATTGTGCACGTATTTATCCAGTTTCCCCTCACGAATAAGTCCTTCAATGATGTTGAGTAAGGCAACACAAGATTCGGTGTCGTGTCTACCGAACTGATGAAAGTGACAGAAGACACCCGTGTTGGGCATGGGCTTGCTGCCTGGTCTCCGGGGGGGAGGCTTGGGTATGACAGGTGCCTCGTGCACTAGGACATTTTCGTAGGTAGTGTTCAGGGTGGTGAAGACCTCGAACCTAGGCATGGGTGAGAAGGGGAGTAGAGCCCGATCACCTGCCCTGTGTGGGTTGCCCCCGCTGGACTGGTGGTGGTTGTTATGTCTGCCCCGCTTGCTATTGTTGAAGGTATGCTGGTAGTTATCCTTCTGCTTGGGGTGCTGGGTACCCTGGGTACTTGGGGCGGGAGTAGAATGTTGAGGCGGGGCTAAGTTGGGTGCTGAAGTAGGTAGGGGATCAGCGAAAGGATGATGTGCCGGGGTGGCCGGGCCACACTTGGAGTTGAAGTACTCAGCTTTGGCATGAACTGCTGCCTACTTCATTAATTCAGCATATGTGTTCCAAGGGTTGTTGTGCACTAAGTATCGAAAGTTGGACTCTCGGATGCCACTCTTGAAAGCACCAAAGGTGGCATGATCATCGGTCTCTGGGCAGCGGGAGTACTCGTGGCTGAACCTGGCTGCATACTCCCGAAGGGGCTCATCCTCACCCTGCCTAAGCATGTACAGGTCGTCCGGGGAGTAGAGGCGATCAGTCTGGATCATGAAATGGTCCAGGAAGGCCTGCTTCAGACTGTCAAACATATTGATGGTGCGGGGGCTCAGCCTGAAGAACCAATTCAGGGCCACACCGCTGAGAGTGGATGGGAAGAGGAGGCACATGCCTTCGTCGGTTAAGCCTTTGCACCCCAGGGCAGATTGGAAAGAATGTATGTGGGTGAGGGGATTCTCTGTGCCAGTGTAGAAGGCGATGCGGAGGGGCTGGATTTCCTTCTCCTGGTGGTAATTAAGGATGTGTTCGGTAAAGGGCCCAGGTCGTGGCTTCGCCCAGAGGGGTTGGTGGTTGCGCTGCTGCTCATTCTTCAGGCGCCGGACATTCTCAAAGAGAAATCTCATTGCCGGGTAGGCATGAGGGAGAGTCTCGGGTGTTGGAGGTCTGGTGTTTGGGTGGCCAGGGGCTAGATAAGGGTCAGGTCCACCGAACTCCTCGGTGTGATAAGACTCGTGCTCTTCTAAGTAATCATGCCCCCAATTATCCGAGTCCCCCATACCCTCCCCTGCAGGCACATGGGTTGGCTTTGGTGGGGGTCCTAGGTGTGTCACCTTTGGGTCTTGGAGATTAATAGGGATAAGAAGGGGTCCCGTCTGACGGTCCAGGATACGATCCCTGCAATCCCTGTAGACCTTCGTTGGTTCATGAGGCCGATTCCTCGGCGGGGAGATACGGAGAAGCCATGACTTGGTCGTCTTCGGATGGAGGGGGCCTTTACCCTTGCTGGGCCTAGGCTGGATTGGGGGAGTATGATGGGAATGCTCCGCTGGTTTGGCTGTGTGCGCTCAGGTTCCTGGGTAAGGCTGCGTTGGGAGCCCTGGGCTTGGTTTCTTTCCCAGTTACGCTTCAGGATGCGGTAGTCGTGCTCCAGCTCAACGTTCTTGGAATGAAGATGGTCACACCTCTCGGACATCTTAACGACACTGGCGCGGAGGAGCTCCACCTCGGCCTGGATATTGACCTCCGCCGATGGTCCCCTCTGGGAGGTACCCTCCTGGGGGGTATTGCGCTGGGCATCGTGGCTATCCTCAGTAGGCATGGCTAAGTGTGGCGTGAAGAAGAGGCGACGGGGCCGAATAGGTGAAAGAGCCAGCTGGGCTGGTAGAGAAAAATGGGTTTTAAGTATTCGTTTCCCACAAACGGCGCCAAACTGTTAATGCTCTTTTTCGGAGAGGGTCAACTTAGAGATTGGGGTTTGTCTTTAGCAAGAGAAGGGCCTGGGCCTTCAGTAAAGGGCTAGCCTGCAGAAGACAAAACAGGAGAAGCAGTCGTTAAGCTTCGGACACCGGTGTGGTGTCGGCCGAAGGCTCTCCGATTCTTGAGTCAGCTAGGGGTAGTAACTGTTGCAAAGTAACAATAATAGTGAGAGAGAAGTTACTCATTTTCTTGGTTACTGTTCCCTATTTATAGGGAAGTAAAAGTAGGAGGTTTGCACAAACTTCCGATGTGGGACTTTGTGCAAGTTGCTGTGATGATGGCACGTGTCTCCTGTGTTTAGGTTTGGCAGTTCGGAGCTTCGGCAGGTGGTTGTCCCTTCGGAAGAGCATCTCCCTTTGGCAGAGAAGAAGGCATGTCTGCCTTGGTGTTAGTCACTTTGGTGCTAGGCACACTTGGTTAATTATGGTGTAAACACATTACAAAGAATTGGTATGGGTGGACCATGGACATATAAAATGTGGTCCATGTTCTAGTAAAAAAGAGGGCTTACAAGAATAAGGACTAGTGTTACAAGATTTTGGATACAAGGGTACCATAACGTCGTAAAGAGGATCCATAAACTTGTAAATTACAAGATTACAACGTTAGCGTACATCAAATCCATAATGTGGTAAATCTCATTCTTACAAGGATATAAATCTACATTACAAAAATTGGCAATGGTGGACCATGAAGATTTAAAATGTGGTCCATATTCTAGTAAAAACGAGGGCTTACAAGATTAAAGACCGTTGTTACAAGGTTTTGGATACAAAGTTACCATAGTGTCATAAACATGATCATAAACTTGTAAATTACTTATTTGGGTAGTGATTTACAAGGTTTGGCACTTGCATTACAATGTTAGGGTTCACTTTAATCCATAATGATGTAAATCTCATTTTTACAAGGATATGGATGCATACTTTAAGGAATATTGGTGGACCTTGGATATGTAAAATGGAGACCTTATTCTAGTAAAAACTATGGTTTACAATATTAAGGACCCATGTTACAAGGTTAATTTCGTATAGAAGGATACCATAACGTCATAAAGAGGATTCATAAACATGTAAATTTTAGGATAGCGGTTTAAAGGGATTCTGATCTTCTTCTTTTGGTTGAAAAAGTAGAGAAGTCTTTCTGTGAGATTTGCTTTCATTAACTTCCTATCAACTTCTCTGTAATAGTTGAAAATTTTGACTTTTCAAAGCCAGGTAGTCACGTGGGGTTGTTTAGAAAATATCTGCTGATTTTGTCAATCTTTTTGGGGTAGAGATTAAATGATGTAAAAAGGCTGGGCTAGTCTCTTTTTCTCAGTGGATAAAAAGCCCAAACATTTTGTCTCATGGCCCTTTCCTGAAAAAGAAATGGGCTGGGTGTGTTTGAGAATTTGGCCCAATCTTAAGAAAGGCTTTTGGTGGCTGCCCAAAATTTTGTCATGGGCTCTTTGATTTTGGACTAGGCGTGCCAAATTAGGCCCAAAAAATTACAAGGTAAATGACAGGACCCGCCCCAAATTCCCCCTTGGAACCTGATAAGCCTAGATTATATATATATTTTATGCCTCCTTTACTTATTTATTTGTTAATTTCCTTGGATTAAATTGGTTGTTTTAATTGGTTTTGTGAGATTTGTGAAGGAATTGTGGAAATAGGAGAAAGTGTGCTAAAAATGGAAAAAAGATGAAGATTGTAGATTAATCAAGTCAAGAAGCCAAGTCATTCCTTTTGTCGCAAGGAATGTTGTCAAATTTCCTAGTTCAAGATGTTTCAAGTCTTATCAAGTCAAACAAGGAGAAATAAATAAGACCCTATTTTAGAAGAAATCCTACTTTTATAATAATTGTAATTATACCTTAGATAGGTAGGATTTGTAGGAGTATTATAAATTAGGTCATTTTTCGGAAACCAAACATGATCCATAATCCTCCATCCTCCATAATCTACCATCAAATTCCTACATATTCATACTCATAGCCAAAATATCCAAAGGAGAATACGAAAAAAGCTTACGCAACCTTGGCATTCTACTTGGAGAATTCGGTGTCTTCCATGTCTTCATCAACCATCATGATTCTCAATAAGTCCTTCATGAACTAATTTCTTTTACTAGGGCTACGATGTAGCCTAGCTATGAATACTCAAATTCTTTGATATTGTTAATTTTATTTATCTACACATATTGAGTGGTTGTTATCGTTCTTAATGCTTTCAAATAATTGGCCACTAATTGCATGATTGGAAGAATTAGGTTGCGACCGGAAGGAGATTTCTAATAAAAAGCTTCTAGTAACAAGTACCATAAATTACATAGCCGACTCGGAAGACTACGTTATGGTTTGTGTAATCTTTATTGTTTTCCACAAATTTTAATGGGTTCTTAGCTATCTAAATCCATAACTAGGAATAGAGTGGGTTGATGGTAATGAATACAACTAATATAACTCGGAAGAGAGTATTGGTGAGGTAAGGGAAAACGATTATCAACATGTTAGGTAATTAGAATTAACAAGCTAATAGAAGGATTTGGGTGGAATTAGCTAGGTGAAATTGGTGCCCTAGTGCTTTATCATCTTTGTTTCATCTTTTACATTTGTTCTTTAATCTCAATTTATTTTACTTTCTTAATTAGATTTTAATCATCATAATTCTCTTATTGTTTAATTCAAATATAATTAGAATTAAATCACTCTAATATTTAATAGATTAACTTGATCCCTGTTGGAACGATACTCTACTTACAACTATATTAATTTGAGCGATATTGTCCACTTGCAATTAATCACATCAGAACCCGTGACGAACTGTGTGCATGTCCAAAATCTGGCTAATGTTGGACCCACTTTAACTATAAACAATTACTTCAAGAAAACAAATTAAAAATAATAATCAATTAAATTTTCTAATTTCTACTGAAATTTTGGCAAAACCTCCCTTGAAATTGGAGCATAAAGATTTTTAACCTGTCGAAAAAATATAAAATAATTTCCCAACTTTCAACATGCAATGTCTACTATCCATGCACAATCACAAGTAGTTCTAATGGCCTTAGGCCTGTTACACCATACAATTAAATCAAAAATCATTCATCAACTCAAAATGGTCTTAGACTCATAATGACCACATATACATTCTATTAACATCCATTCAGTAATAACTGATAAATAAACAAGCATTTAATATCGCCTAAGTTTCAATCGAGCTTTAGGCCCACCGACATATTCAAAACCAAACCAACCAAAATAATAAATAGGATTTGAATCCAATAACTATATTAAAGTCCCAAAAATATATTTTATTTCGCGACTGCACCTAGGTGAAACCCCAAGCTACCTATGTACCCTTTTTTCTTAAGGGATCAAGCCACACGTAGTTCTTTCAACCATAAAACCAAAAAGAAATCATCTAGATACACAATTGAAGACATCAATTGCTTTTGCTACCATCAAATTATATACATACTTCCATATCGCAAAACCTTACTAACTCCTTCGTTCAATCCCATTACAGTTTTAACTATGTACCTTTCCTAAGATCAAGCCTTTTTACCTAAAATTCATTCTTTGGGAAATCCTGGTCGGACACCTACAGAGTAACCTTAATACAAGTACTTCCTTCCTGGCTGGATACCTACAGAGCAACATCAATACAGGTACATGCTACATGCAATTCTTTCCTCATTGGACATCTGCAGAGCAATAGCATTACAGGTACAGGCAACCACTGGCGGAACACTGGTATCTATGACACGAGTACATGCAATTTATTGGCAAGACACCTACTACTGTAAGCAAGGATTAAAATATCGGCCGTGCAGATAATATCGGGTCTCCAATTTACGGATATTTCGGGGGATATATCGTTATCGTTTTAGGTATCGGGAAGAAATCAACAAAAATGACAGATATAGGCATTGAAACACATCATTTTGGTGTAAAAATTTCATAGATGTTATGTACATTGTCAATGAATGTATTGAACAAATAAAACTCAAAATTTACTAATAATAAGATATATATATATGATGAAGTATAAGTGGTATGTAATGCGCGTTAATGAAAAGTTTGAAAATAAAAAGTTGATTAGAATGAATAAACCATGCATAAATCCGTAGTTTATTTAAACATTGGATTACAATTTAGATGAGTGTCCAACTACATAAATGAAGAGCTCCTATGAGGTTCAAACAATGAGGAACAACCATCTAGATTCATACAATAATCATACCAAGTCATGTAACCCGAGTAGTTTGTAAGCCATGTTTGAACATGGTGCACATATGTCTCTCTTGAGCTCCCTACTGTCATCCCATATATGGGATAGTTAGGATTAACCCAACTAGTAGGTCCATAATCTGTTTCCTCATCTTGAGCTCCATATCTAGTTCCACTATAATCAGACATGACATAACCATAGCCATCATAAGATTCATTTGAGTTAGTACTAGGTCTAGTTCCTATGCTCATAGATCCAAAACTGATCGCCATGTCCTCTTCAGATGGATTGATTGGTTGGCTTCTTTTCTTTGAGTATTGCTTTCCCAATTGCGCCAATGCCTGGTCCAGCTTCTCTGCATCCATGATCCTCATCTTGGGTGGCATGAGTAAAATCAGCCTCAACAGTAAATGGGCTGTATTGTCTTCCTTCTTCATTACCTCCCGATCCAGCATTACTTCCTCCATCATTATCTGACGAATTGGATGAACTTTCCATTCTACTAGCACTAGCATCGTCTCTCAAGGGACGTCTTTGACATTGCCTAGGTCCAAGCATATCCCTTTCAAATGATGAAGTATCTCCACTCCTAACATCTTCGGATATGACTCTATCAACATCAACTCCTTCTTGGGCAGCATGTTGTGCTATAACGGCATCAGGGTTGCCTTGTTCATCATCCAAGTGAGTTGTCATAATCCATTGTTGAATTGGATTATTATCATCATCAGATGGTTGCCCTGCAATGTCAAGAAGGTCTATGTAGTCATTTTCTGCAACCTTGTTCATTTCAGCCTCTTCATCACGTAGCTTAAGTTTCATATTATAATAGCAAAAGACAATCTTTTCCAGCCTAGTATATGCGAGACGGTTCCTTTGTTTCGTGTGAATAAGAGCAAATGTACTCCAATTTCGCTCACATGCCGATGATGATGCTGTCTGTGACAATATACGCATAGCAATTTTTTGCAAGTTCGGGGCAGAATCACCATGAAGATTCCACCATTCTGCTGGGGGGATCGATTTTCTTGATTTGACGGCCATCTCAGTGCGAAATGTCTTTCTACAGTCTCTAAAATTTATCACCTGGATCACAATGTTTTGTGTTCAAGATGCATAAAACTAAATTTAATGAGGAAGACATTGTTTTGTGTCACTTACCTCAGCCCCAAATGCTTGCAAACCTCTATCCCCAGTTGGGTTCAACCTTTCAAATACGCGTTGGAGTCCTGAAAGTAACTCTTTATTGTGGCCAACCCCTGTTTCATATTGATATCTAGGGTTCAAGTAGTGGGCTACAAATATGAAGAGTAGTTAATACCCATTGTATAAATTTAAAAATTGATGCATATTTTTACTAAAAGATTAAAACATACCAGCTTGATGTAATGGACGAGATAATGTGACATCCCATCTGTGATTGATGATTTTGAGAAGCCATTTTTTTCCCTTCAACTTAGAAATCTTCTCTTTCATTATGTGAAACATATCATATAAGATAGGCATGGTAGGAACTACCTCTGTGTCAACAATTCGCAAGATGCTATACAAAGGCTCATAGATGGATTGCACTCCTTCCATGGCATCCCAGAATCTATGATCAAGGACTCGACTTTCAATTCTCTTCCCCTCTTCTGATTCACTAAATCGACTATTATACCATTCCTCACTTGTAAAAAGTTGCTTCAACCCAGCTTTCTTATTTAAGATGCTATTGATGGTGATGTAGTTTGTCGCAAATCGAGTTGCACCGGGTCGGACCAAATCTCCTTGACAGAAGATCCTCATCTGAGCCAATAGCCAACTATGATTGTAAATGTAGTTGGTTAATTTCCTAGCCTTATTTATGACATTAGCCACCGACTCTTGCTTCCCAATATCTTCAAATATTAAATCAATGCAATGTGCAGCACAAGGAGTCCAATAAATAGGGTACCGCTCCATCATCATTTGTCCAGCCTTAACAAAGGCTGAACCATTGTCGGTGACAATATGAACAACATTCGACGGCCCAACCTCTTTTATGACATCCTTCAACAATTTGGCAATGTACTTTGCATCCTTGGTTTTATTTGAAGCATCCACTGATTTCAAAAAAATTGTTTTCCCGTTTGAGTAGACCATGAAATTTATTATGGACAACCTCGTGGGGCCAGTCCATCCATCACTCATGATGGTGCATCCATACACACCCCAATCTACCTTTACCTTTTCCACATAGGCTTGCATGTCTGTGTGTTCCATATCTAAGTACTTATGCTTTATTTCATACGGTGATGGTGTGGCTACGCCTTGACCTAATATAAACTCATATTAGTAATTGGTGTATTTAGAATATTTAAGTTCAAGAAAGGAAAGTTATAAGGAATAAAGCAAAACCTGCTTGTTGGGCTGCAGCAATCATATTCTTGAAATGAGGGGAACTTGCTTTTTGAGGAGCCACATTCTCAAGTATGAAGAATTTGCTGCAGTATCTTCCAAGTACCTCTGCTGAGTTTCTAATCATGCCTTTGATTGTTCTCTGTTTTGCTCTAGTGTTCTTGTGTGGCGACGGTATTGCGGTTGACTACTACCACTTGCTCCCCCTGCAAATCGTTTGCTTCCCATTCCATAAACTCCTCCTTGTCTAAACCGTTCTTGCTTCGACGCTCTAATGGCAGCAAGGTAATCTTCTTTCTCCGCAGGGTGCATGTCTGGAGGATATGCATATCCATCGTCATCATCATCATCATCATCATCAACAGGATTGCTACTTTTATTGCCCATGTATCCCTCTCTTGCTGTAGATCTTATGTTTTCTTCAACAGATTTCTTATGTTGTTTGCTAGACTCTTTCTCCTTTATCCATGCAATTACCTCCTTCTTAATATCTGGTGGTACTTCTTTGCACTTCTTTACACTTTTATGTGGATCAAATCCGGCCAAATGATACTTTAACCGTGTAATTCCACCACTTTTAAATGTGGATTCACAAAATGTGCATATGGTGCCATGCTTATTGCCTTCTATTGGACGAGCATATTTCCATGCCACATCAAGACCACCATGCACACTAGCTCCACTCGGTCCACTACTACTTGCCATTTTTAATCTATCACACTTAAAATATATTAAATGAACTTACAATATCAAATCTATCACAAAAATAATATAGACCATGAAGGAGAGCCACATACCTGAAATAGCAGTCAAAGAGAACTTGCAAACAAGGAAAGAAGCTCACAGACTAAATAAAAATTGAAAAGCTAATAGAGAAAGAAAGAGAAGAGAAGGGAAGATTTGGTGCCCCAAAAAAAGCAAAATAGCCTTTGATTTAAAGAGGGCTTCTCTCGTGATAACAATGGGAACTTTTTGGGGTTGGGGGACAATGGTATATGGGTTTGGCAGACTTTATTTTATGGATTCCAGTTGGATGATTCTCTGACTTTGATGGAACTAAAAGTAGCCAAATTTTTTGGAGGTATGTGGGCAGTGAATTGCATTTTGCCAATTGTCTGACTTCGAAAAGTGAAAAAGAAACAACCAAAAAATGAAACAAATATTAAATGATAAAGAGCTCCACAAGAAGCTCAGACTTAGATAAAAGCTTTCAACAGTTTAAAGGCGGAACAATAAGCCAAAAAAGAGAACCCCAAAGCTCAAAACAGTATTCCAAGCACGAAGTAAAGAATCAATTCTTCTTCCAAGTTCTTCTTTTCATGGCTCAAAACACAGTCACTCACATTCTTTACATTATTAATTATTATTATACTAATATTTTGTCTATCATATAATCTACAAATTTACAAATATAGTGGTTGTGATCAATACACGTTAGACCAAAAGATGGGAAGCCAAGTTAGTGGCAAATAAGCTTGAGATAGGACATGTATGTCCCTTCAATTGACTATGCATAGATTCTTTTGATGCATACTCCAAAACATGCATACTCCAAAACATCTTTTGCATTGAATATTGCCAAAAACCTTCACACATATCTAATCACTGCACATATACCTCTAAAAAATATTTTCAGTTTCAATTTGCTTCAAAACTTTTTAATTTTTTTGGGTTTTGTTATGGGTATCGGGAAATATCGGGAAATATCGGCAAAATATCGGGACTATCGCACTTATCGGGGATATATCGTCGATATAGGGGAAGATATAACCTTACCCCCCAATATCGATGTCGATAGTTCAAAATGTCGATATATCGGCCGATATATCGGTGTATCGGCCGATATTTCAATCCTTGACTGTAAGTACATGTAAATGCTCCTGGTTGGACACATGTATCCAAACTACAGGTACATGCAATATTCTTTCCCAAAGGAAACTTATAAAAATCTTTTTCCCAATCCCTTTCCAAATCCTTAACTGAATTCCTTTTCTCATAATCCACATTGCAAAAACCATTTCCCATTTTCCAAGCCATATCATAATAAGAAACATAAATACATCACATTTGAAAAGTAAAGCGATAAAATAATTAATTCATAAAGACTGAAATTCATCCTGTTATAAATGATAATTAAACAAGAAATCAAACTTCCCCAATTAACAAAAGGGCTTTAAACTATCAAACAAATTCATTACAAACATCCCATTCTCAATCTGTAAATTCTTACATGACCCTAGAGATCCACAGAAAGACATGTAACAACCCGGTCCTCAAATTAATATTTAATTATTAAATTATTCCAGTAAAAGACAATTATACCCCTAGAATACTTTATTGGTTTAAAAGTTGACTTTTTGACCGGAAAGTAATTTGGGAATTTCAATTATACCGTTGAGTAGAGCGCAGCGAGATGAGTCCGTAGACACGTAACGGGCTCAAATCGGAGTTGTAACGAAGGAGTTACGATCAAAAGAAGTTCAGTGGCAGAACCGTAAATATTTCAAACTTCAGTTTATATAAACCCAGAAATTTCTGGGTTTTGCAGAGCTCGACCAGCCAGCTTCCCGGGGCGATTTCTCCCACCTCCGGTCACCGATTCAGGCAAGACCGGTCACGTTAGAACCACCACACCTTCCTCTTCCAGTCCCAGCCCATCTCAGTCTCGATCTGCGGTCGCGGTAGCCGGAAACCGCCACGAAACAGGGCGGTTTGGACAGTTTTTGACGGAATTTCGTGGAGCTCGTTCTCCCTCCTCCGGCCATCGTTTCAGACGAGTGAGGTATGGTTTTCTAGCTATTTTTCGTGCTCTAGCTGCTGGTTGGGTAGGATTTCAGAAATTTCCAGCGTAGATAGCTCGATTTACGAGCTAGGTTTCAGCAGGTTTTCGGGTCACTGTTCCGGCCACTTCCGGCCAGTTTTTGGGGTAGGTCCAAGAACAAAAGTGGTTCCAAATAGGGTGTTATACCTAGGATAGGAGTCTTGAGCTTAGATGTTGAGTTTTTCTGGCGAGGCGTTATCGCTTAGGACACCCACGCGCTGCCGGCGCGTGTGGCGGCGCGTGAGCAGATTGGTCAAGACCCCATTCAGTTCCAGAATGATCCTTGGGTCGTCATGAGCGCGTAGAAATTCGCAGATCTTAATTCGGATACCGTTTGAACCCCGAACGGATCTCACCTAGTGTGTGATTTCTGAGTTCACTAGTTTTGCACCGTTGGATCGTAACAATTTTCAGGTATGTTGATCTAGGTATTTCCAGGATCGTATAGTATTTGACGGATTGTAAAACGGAGTCCTGGATACTCCGAAAACGTCAGCCTTAGAGTATGTTTTACGGATAATTGAACCAGTTACAGGTCAGGGGCAGGTGAAAGAACTACGTGTGGCTTGATCCCTCAGAAAGGGTACTTAGGCAGCCTACAGTTACCAGGCGCAGCCACGAGATAGGGCCCCAGAGTTTGTGTTATCGCTTCCAGGGCATTTTGGTCATTTACGACCCACAGGCACCAGGTGTCAGTTTTGCACAGGTTTCGACCCGCATTCCAAAGTGGAATTTGGGTCAGGTCGTCTCAAGACATATTCTAAAACAAGACCAATTTGACGGTCCAATCATAATAACACAAAAATCACATAATAGGCAAAATTACGATTCACAGACCAAACGATGAATTTCACATACCGTTGTGCTCGGGATGACACGAGAATAATTCTGGGACCAAAATATAATTTTAATAGTGGCCCACGAGCCGCCACAGGTCGCATGCAACGGCGGTGGATCGAGGCAGTTTTCGACGACATAAAATTTCCACATCAACGAGTAATACTTATACCAAAACATTCAAACTACCTTGGGGACTAACTTTTATACTTGACTTGACAACTCAAGGTGGCTGGTTTGGCCCCAAAACGCTTTCTAACCGTCGGCCCTAATGGGTGTCCACAACAAACCCTCAAACTAGAAAATCAAGCCCAAAAACCTATAACAATAGCTAGAGGGTAACATCCCACATCGACCAATGAAGAGGGGGTAATGTGCCTTATATATACATGCCCACTTCCATCTAGCACGAGACCTTTTGGGAGCTCAATGGCTTCGGAGTCATGAGAACTCCGAAGTTAAGCGAGTTGGGGCTAGAGCAATCCCAGGATAGGTGACCTACTAGGAAGTTGCTCGTGAGTTCCCAGAACAAAATCGTGAGGGCATGAGGGGGCCTAAAGCGAACAATATCGTGCTACGGTGGAGCCGATTTGGGGTGTGATAGAATGGTATCGGAGCTATTCTGCTGTGTGGTGCGAATGTGCCGATGAGGACGTTGGGCCCCTAAGGGGGATGGATTGTAACATCTCATATCGACCAACGGAGAGGGGGTGATGTGCCTTATATGTACATGCCCACCTCCATCTAGCATGAGGCCTTTTGGGAGCTCACTGGCTTCGGAGTCATGGGAACTTTGAAGTTAAGTGAGTTGGGGCTAAAGCAATCCCAGGATGGCTGACCCACTAGGAACTTGCTCGTGAGTTCCCAGCAACAAAGAGGGCCCAAAGCGAACAATATCGTGCTACGGTGGAGCTAATCTGGGGTGTGACATAGAGCATGAAAAGAGGATGAAGTTTCATACCTCAATTGACGAAAATGGTGGCCAAAGCGGCTAGAAACGGCCCTTGAAACTCCCGAAACCCTTGGCTCTTCTTCTAGCTCATGTCGCAGTTGTGTGGCCTAGGGTGGTCGGGTCTTTGCCCAGCCATGATCGATGGCTTGAGGCGGTCCTTTCCCGACCAATGGCCTAGAAGGCGCGGCGTCACTGTGCACAAAGAGAGAAGGTCGGGGAGAGAGAAAATGAGGAGGGAGGGTGTCTCATGCTGGGCTGGGGTATTTAGGAGTTTTAAAGAACAAAGTTTCAAATTCCCAACACGTCCTTTTCGTTTCCTGACCGGAATGTCCTCGTTGTAATTTCAAACTACTTTTCCAAAATCAAAGATCATTTTGGGCAAGTATGTTACAGTAAAGGTTCACCCAAGTCCACTTTGCTGTAATCCTTGATTTACATTGATAGGGATCTACATTAACATGGAGTGGTAAGGGTAGACTTTAAAGAAATAAAAATGGACCCTTATTCTAATAAACATAAGGTATTACAATGTTTTGGACATTAGGGTACTATAACTTTGTAAAGTAGATCCTTGAACTTGTAAATTAAATTATTTAGGTAGGAATTTACAACGTTTTTCATGTGAATGGTAAGGATCTACAAACACTTTACCAATGCAATTACTAGCTACTGGTAATTATAATATGAAAATGTAATTGTACATATAGTGTATGATGAGACATGTTGTTAATTCATAATATTGGGTACATTTTGGTGCTTAACAAACTAAATCAATTTTTGTTGAAATTGGTATGTTTATTTTTTATTTTTAAAAATATATATTTTCAATAATTCAATAATTGCCTTAAATTGTCTTTATTACTAAGTTAATTTTCTATTAATATGGGCTTAATCTTTTTTCAACTGATGCATTGATGCCCACAACATCTCTTTGTGATAATTTTCTATTAATATGGACTGAATCTTTTTTCAACTGATTCATTGATGCCCACAACGTCTCTTTGTGATAAATCTTGTATATATATTTGATATAGCTAGGAGAGAAAGGACACATACTATAGCTGCTGCCTTCCTCCTCTTTATATCTTTTCCTTATTTTCTAAACTAAGGTTTCTGAGCAACATAGAAAGGTGTTTGTATTCGGGTCCTTCCTCAATGCAAGGAAGAACCTAGACAGAGGAGATTCTGAGGCTGTTTTATCCTAGGGACGTAGTGGCCTTTTCTGAACTGCTTGCACAAATTGGGCAGAGCCGCGAAACGTCTTAAAGAGAGCGACTTTGTACACGACTCATCCCAAGAATCGTTCACAGCTTCACATAGAATTTTCCGGGTAATATTGTTTTTTTAATTTTCTCTACTTCAACAATTTTAAGACGTATCATCTGCCATGGAAACTGTCAACAATTCATTCACCCCTGACCTAAATAAACCTTCCAAATTTGAGGGTCTTCATTTTAAACGATGGAGGCAAAAGATGTTGTTTTACCTTACAACAAAAAAATTAGCTTCTGTCTGCACATCTGTTAAACCATATGCCTCTGACAATCCCTCTCTTGAACTAACTTGGGCCTTGCAAACATGGACTAAAAATGATTTCTTGTGCAAAAACTATATTTTGAATGGTTTATCTGATGATCTTTCTGATTATTATTCTTCTTATGATATTGCTAAAGATTTGTGGGATGCACTTCAAAAAAAATATGACACAGAAGAAGCTGGTGCAAAGAAATTTGCTGTCAGTCGCTATTTGAAGTTTCAAATGGTGGATGAAAAATCAGTAGAAGCACAATCTCATGAACTACAGAAAATCGCACATGAAATTATTATTGAAGGCATGAATCTAGATGAACAATTTCAGGTGGCTGTTATCATTGACAAGCTGCCTCCCAGCTGGAAAAATTTCAAGAATGCTCTGCGTCACAAGACCAAAGAATTTTCCTTGGAAAGCTTGATCACTCGTCTGCATATTGAGGAGGAGGCCAGGAAACATGACATGAAAGAAGAAGTTTTGCTCGTCTCCAACAACAAGAAAAATCACAACTCCAACAAGAATCAAACCCCAGCTGCTCTGAAGACAAATGGCAAGAATATGAAAAATCAAAACAGGAACTGCAACAACAACAACTAGAATCGAAATGGGAAACACAACCAGAGTCGGAATCCTCAACACCATCATAATCGGAACCTTCATCAGAATCATAATAGGAGTCAACCCCCCTCACATGATGATGATTCGAGACAGTTTCTATGTTATAACTGTCACAAGCTAGGGCACCTTGCCCGGAACTGTAGGAATAGGTATCCCCCTGCTCCTCAAATGAATATAACTGAAGAGCAACTTATTGCTATGATTTCAGAAATCAACATGGTCGATGGATTAGAGGGGTGGTGGGTAGACACTAGCGCTTCTTGACATGTTTGCTATGATCGTGCCTTTTGCAAGACCTATTCTGTGACTGATGACAGGAAAGTGTTGTTGGGTGATTCTCACACAACAATTGTTGCTGGAACTGGAGAAATAGAATTAAAGTTTACTTCGGGAATGATTGTCATCCTCAAAGACATTCTACACACTCCAGAAATAAGGAAGAATCTGGTCTCAGGCTATCTTCTCAACAAGGCTAGATTTACTCAAACAATTGGAGCAGACTTGTATACACTTACAAAAAATGGTATGTTTGTTGGTAAGGGCTATGCTACTGATGGAATGTTCAAATTGAATGCTGATGCTAATAAAAGTTCTTCTTTTGCTTATATGTTGTGTTCTTTTTTTTTGGTAACAAGAGGGGCTAAGAGCCCAGAACAAACAGACTAAGCACCAACCACACGGGATCTGGACACCCCAATAGCATCCTCAGCCAAACAAGTCACAAGAAAATCAGGCACCTCAGTAAAATAAAGCACCCCAGAGCCAAACACAGAACTCTTAGAAGCCAAGACATCAGCTGCCACATTCTGCTCTCTGAAAATATGCTTAACTGAACATTTCCAACCAGCTTGCACCTTTAACTTGCAACAACTAATAAGGCTAAACAGGGGGTGAGTGGAAATAGTAGAGCTTGAAAGGAGAGCCACAGCCACACATGAGTCACTTTCCACCTCCACAAAACGAAAGCCAGACTCCCAAGCCAAATGAAGCCCCCAAAAAATGCCCCCACAACTCAGCTTCAAGAACAGAGCCAACACCCAAGTTCACAGAGAAGCCCTTAATCCAAGCACCATAATTATCTCTTAAGAGACCACCAGCACCAATAGACCCAGAATCACTATTACGACTTCCATCTGTGTTAATCTTACAAACTCCATGAGTAGGGGCTATCCAATGAAGTTGAACAACAGATGGCATATAAGAATGGGAAGGAGGTTTGTTAGCATTAAACCACTCCCAAGCATACTGAAGAATTAATTGTTGTGGGTCAACAGGCATAACAAACCTTTGATCGAAAATTCCTTTACATCTCCATTTCCAGATAAACCACAAATAAAGCGCAAAGACCAGAGGCCAAGGCAACCCATTATAAACCATTCTTTTAGACTGCAGATTCCTTAACAGCCACTCTTTAAACTCCATCAAGTCAGGGCTAGAATTATCTCCAATTTGAAGACAATTCCAAATAGCCAAAGAGAAAGGACAATCCTTAAACAGGTGAGCAATAGTTTCCATAGGATAATCACATCTAGGGCAAGTAGGAACCTGAGTGAGGCCTCTCTTCTGCCTTTGCACATTAGTAAGCAACTTTTGGTGACAAACAATCCGAAGAAAAGTTTTAACCTTAGGAGGGAGCCGCAACCTCCAAAGAAACTGCCAGTCCCATTTAACTGAAGCCTCAGCAGGAAATAAAGAGCTATAAGCTGAATTTACCGAGAAAGAACCATTAGGCGTAAACTGCCAAATATATCTATCAGTCCCACTGCCATTAAAACCAGCATGCACACTTAAAATTAAATGAATAATATGAAGAGGAAGACATTCCCTTAAACAGTTAACGTCCCAGACCCCCTCCTCCAAAAAATCACCAACATTCAACTTAAGCATTTCCTCAGAGAGATCAATGATAGCATATTGATACAAAGGCCCACAACTCAACCACCTATCAGTCCAAAATAAGACATTATCCCCGGAACCTACTCTCCACTTAATACCTTTGGAAAGGGCAGAATTACCATATAACACACCCCTCCAGACACTAGAGCTACAAGGAAAATAAGAGTCCTTCACAGCTAAAATGTTCTGCTGTTTTAAATACTTAGCATGGAAGACCTGAGACCACAAACCTTGCTCATGTTGAAGAAGTCTCCATCCAGTTTTAGCCAAAAGAGCTTGGTTCATCCAAGAAGATCTTTTGATGCCTAATCCACCAGCAACCTTAGGTTTACACACTTGCTCCCAATTGACAAGGTGGATTTTAGAAGTATTACTGGTATGCCCCCAGAGAAAATTTCTATTGAGCTGGTCCAATTTATCACAAACAGACATAGGCAACTTGGCAGTTTGCATAGTATAGATAGGAATTGCAGCAGTAACAGATTCAAGCAAAGTAATTCTACCTGCCATAGATAACGTATGGCTCTTCCAAGAAGCTAATCTCATCTGAACTTTAGCAATAACCTCTTGATACGTTTGTTTATTCACTCTAGTATGAATAAGAGGGACACCAAGGTACTTACCAAGGCTAGCAGTAAGAGGAGAACCACTAATTGCAGCAATTGCATTAGCCAACTCAGAGTTTGTATTTGGGGAGACAAATATCATAGACTTTTCAAAGCTAACTCGCTGACCAGACAACTGACAAAAATCATCCAAACACTGTTTCATCAACCAAGCTTGATCAATAGTAGCTTCCCAAAAAAGGATTAAATCATCAGCAAAGAATAAATGGGAAATATGAGGACCTCCTTGACAAATCTGAACAGATTTCCAAGCTCTATCTTGAATCTTTTGCGAATGAGATGGGAGAGTTTTTCCATACACAATACAAAGATATAAGGGGAGAGAGGGTCCCCCTGCCTAATACCACACTGAGGAGAGAACGAGTCAGTTAGCTCCCCATTAAGAATGGCCTTGTACTGCACCGAAGTGATACACTGCATGAGCAACTCCAAAATGCTTCCTTTAATGCCTGCTTCCCAAAGCACCTCCCTAATAAAAGGCCATTGCATAAGATCACAAGCTTTGGATAAATCAATTTTCCAAGCTATAAAACCCTTCTTCCCTTTGGCAGATTTAAATTTGTGGAGCACTTCTTGAGCAACAATAATGTTATCTGTAATTTGTCTTCCTGGGACAAAACTAACTTGACTAGGGCTAACAAGCTTAGTCATACACGGCCTAAGCCTAGCCACCAGGATTTTAGAGACCACTTTATAAAGAGTATTGCAAAGACTAATAGGCCTAAGCTGATTCATACACATAGGCCTCTCCACTTTAGGCACCAAAGAAATTAGAGTCTCATTTAAATGATCTGGAAGGGAGGCAGTATTAAAGCAATCCTGTACAAAGGAGATGATATCATCAGAGCAAACCCCCCAATAATCCTGGTAGAACAGAGCTGGGAAACCATCAGGTCCTGGGGTCTTAAATCTACCAATAGCAAACACACTATTCTTGATCTCTTCAATAGAAACAGGACAACTTAGACCTTCAAGCTCATCCCCTTCAAGACTAGGAAACAACTGAGGAAGCAAAGCATAGTCACCAACCATATCAGAAGCACTAAACAACCCTTGAAAATACTTAACAATAATATGTTTCATGCTCTGTTTCTCAGTAATCCAATCCCCAAAATCATTATGTAACCCTTCCAACTTATTCCTTCTTCGTCTCACAATTGTAGACAGATGGAAGAACCGAGTATTCCTGTCCCCTTCATTAAGCCAGGTATTCCTAGACTTTTGCAGCCAAAAAATCTCTTCTTGATCCAGCAGTAAATTATAATCTTTAGTAAGCTCAACCTCAAGCTTACTAAGGAAAGGATTATGCTCATGACACAGCTTCTTTTGAATTCTTGCAAGTCTAGCTAACAGATGCCTTTTCTTTGTAAATAAACATCCAAAAACTTGCTGATTCCAAGTACCAAGTGGAGCCACAAGACTAGCTGTTCTATGCACAGCATGACCATCGCCAGAGCTCCATAGGTTCGTAACAAAATCCTTAAAATCAGGATGAGACATCCACATGGCTTGAAAACGAAAAGGCACATTAGCTCTATTAGGATAATGTTTGGAGTCAAGGCGCACCAAAATAGGACAGTGATCCGAGTTCACCCTAGGAAGATGCATGAGGTGAGCCTCAGGGAACAAAAGACGCCAATCAATACTACAAAGGCCCCTATCAAGCCTCTTCCAGATAATTCCTTCAGCATTCCGTTTATTACACCAAGTAAACTTTGCCCCAGAGAAACCCAGGTAAACCAAATGGTTACGATCAATCCACTCACCAAACCTTTTACCACCTTGATCAAAATTACCCCCACATTTCTCATCCATACTCACAATATCATTAAAATCACCTAGAACAAGCCAAGGCAGATTGGAAGCTTTAATAAGACCATCAAAGTACTTCCATAAAGCTTCACAAATCCCAGGGCAAGGGTTTGCGTAAACAACAGTGAGAAGCCACCTATGATTCCTCAAGTTTACTAAAGCAGTGATAGATTGGCTAGAGTGCGCAACAACTTGAAGAGAGACCGAATTACCATTCCACAACAGCCAAACGCCTCCAGAAAAACCAGAAGCATCAACAATATGGTAATGAGAAAAACCCAAACTCTGAGCAACACTGAGCACCCTAGGGCCACTTATTCGAGGCTCAAGAACAGCAAACACATCAATGACATAAGCCTTTTTTAGATCTTTAATAGTACTAGCACACCTATCCTTACCAGCACCTCTAACATTCCAAGCAATAATATTCATCATAAAAGATAAAAATTAGGGATAATATTAGGCACAAACCTAAATCTGCTCATGCTGAGCCTCAACAGCTTCAAACCCATCATGCTCAAAAGAGCTATCAGCTTCCAGTCCAATATCATACTCACAATGTTCAGAGAAATTACCCTGGTGATCCATATCACTCACATCAGAAGGCTCAACCTCATTAATTCCCATCTCACTGATATCAAGAGGTTCATGACCAAAAAATAAGCCTCCCTTACCCAAAGGCAACTTTGGAAAAAGAGAGTCACCCAAATTAAAAGAAAACTTCCCCTGAACATCATCTCGAACATCAGAGCCATTGACTTGCAATCCCACAGATTCACTATCATGACAAGAGAAAGGTTTAGCCCCAGCTCTGTTCTTCCAAGGCCTTCTTAAAACAGAACCACTTTTAACACCACCACTACCAGAAGTAGTTGCCACAGAATTGGTAATGTCCTTAAGAGGTTTTTTAAACACCCATGTGCCAGAGTCACGAGAGGAGGAAGATTTCACCCCAGCACCATTTGCCTTAGCAGAATAAGTATTAGCAGAAGAATCCTGTCTTCTAGAAATAGAACCACTATTCTTAACAGGAGTAAATCCCTCCATATCCTCTTCTCTACCAACCTCCTCAGTCAACACATTAAAACGAGAGCCAAAGACAGGACTAACAGCTTTAGTACCAGCAGAAATTGTATTCCTCTTGCTAAGCTCAGCACCCTTCCCTATATCATTCGTGCTCTTCTTCCTAAAATTCCTTGGTTTCAACAACATCCATTCCCCGTGTATCTTTGCTGGAACCTCAGCCTCCCTTGTAGCAGTATCTAAATTCACATCAACCTGAACATTAGAAATATCCTTCATACAATCAGCATTATCTGACTCCGAAACCTGCTGTTTGGCTTGCAAAATAATAAGGCAAGTATCTCTACCATGCCCATAACACCCACATTCAAAGCAAACCAAATTAATTCCTTCATACACAACCCCATAAGTACGACCTTCAATCTCAATGAATGGGGTAAGAGGCTTAGCCAAATCAAGTTCTACACAAATTCGAGCAAACTTACCACGAGCTTGACTGAGAGTATGAGCATCCACCTTGACTGTAGCACCTACGAGATTTCCAATTTTTTCCATAACATCAGCACGAAAATATTCAACGTTCAGCCCATTAATTCGAACCCAAGCAGTCATATGGGTGATCCTCTCCTCCTTCGCATTAAACCCAAGCTTCCATTTCTGTGTCACAATGTATTGGCCAGCAATTTGCCACGGACCACCAGTGAGCACGTATCTCATATCTTCTTCATAAAGGAATTTCACAATGAAATAGTTATTCTCTAGATCAATTAAGCTCATCGGACCCTTAAGTGCCCACCTCTGACGGAGACGAGATCTGAGGAAGGTGTAAGCCAGAGGACGACCCATGAGCTTAATAATTACAGCAGAACGCCAAGGCCGATACAACGAGCTCATTACTTTGTCTGAGAATTGGATTGAAGGAATAGCCCCTTGCTTTATTACAACATCATCATCACTAAACACCATCTAATCCTCCGCCATACCAAAATCCCCAGAAACTTTATCCTTAAAACTCATCGGGATTGGAGGAAGAGGGGGAGACGGCTCGTCCGATTCCAATCCGCCAACATCCACCATCTCCTGGGTACGAGCTCTTTTCTCACCAGCAATAGGGCCATCTTTAAGGGAACCACCCACCCCAACAGAGAAAACAAACTCTGGCATCACAGCCACCGTCGTCGGCGGCTGCTGTAGTCACAACCCTTAGCACACGCAAACCTAATGTTGAAACAGAGGAAACTTCAAAGCGCGTGGAGCGCGTTCATATTTTCCAATTTTTATATGTTGTGTTCTTTCAATACTTGGCATGCTAAACTTTGTCACATTAGCAAAAGGCTTGTTTAAAATATGAGTAAATTAGGATTTATTCCTGAAATGTTGTTGAATGATTTTGAGAAGTTTGAATTTTGTAGCCAAGCTAAAATTACCAAAACCCCACATAAATCTGTCACTAGAGTACCTGAACCACTTTATCTAATTCATTATGACATTTGCGAATTTGATGGAGTGTTAACTAGAAATGGGAAACGATACTTTATCACTTTTATTGATGATTGCTCTAATTATTCTTTTGTTTATCACATGAAAAATAAAAGGGAAGCAATTGATATGTTTAAGATTTTCATAACTGAAATTGAAAATCAATTTAACAGGAAAATTAAGAGATTTCGCAGTGATAGAGGTCAAGAATATGAATCTGCTGTTTTTGTTGATTTGTATAAATCTCTTGGTATTATTCATGAAACAACTGCCCCTTATTCTCCTGAAATGAATAGTAAAGCTAAAAGGAAAAATAGAACACTGGCTGAATTAACTGTTGATGTTTTACTTAGTTAAGGAGCTGCTTCTTTTTGGTGGGGAGAGATTCTACTCACTGTTTGTTATGTGCTAAATAGAATTCCCAACTCTAAAACTAAAATTTTGCCTTACGAAATTTTGAAAAATAGGAGACCTAATGTATTGTATTTTAGAACTTGGGGTTGTTTGGCTTACGTGTGTATCCCTGATCCAAAAAGATCAAAACTAGCTAGTAGAGCATATGAATGTGTTTTTATTGGGTATGCTGTTGATAGTAAGGCCTATAGGTTTTATGATTTAAAGAACCATGTTGTTATTGAATCTAATGATGCTGATTTTTTTGAAGATAAATTTCCTTTTAAATTGAGAAATAGTGGGGATTCAACATCTATTAATCTTTCTCTATCCAGAAATAATGAACCTAGAGGTATAGAGCTTTCTGAACCTAACCAAGAAAGAGTAAGTGAGCATGAACTGCAAAGGACTTTGGATATGATTTTCATGTATATACCTTAGAGCAGGATCCCACAACTCTCCAAGAAGCTTTGTCTTCTTTGGATGCAGATTTATGGCAGGAAGCTATAAATGATGAAATGGACTCTTGGGAGTCCAATAAAACTTGGCACCTTGTAGATCTACCACCTGGTTGTAAGACAATTGGTTGTAAATGGATTCTTAAAAAGAAATTAAAACCTGATGGTTCAATTGAAAAATATAAGGCTCGTCTTGTAGCCAAGGGTTATAGACAGAGAAAATGTGGACTTCTTTGATACTTATTCACCTGTCACTAGGATATTGTTGTGCACCAAATGGATGTTAAAACAGCGTTCTTGAATGGTGATTTAGAGGAAGAAATTTACATGGACCAACCTGAGGGTTTTATTGTTCTTCGAAAAGAAAATAAAGTTTGTAAATTAGACAAATCTCTTTATGGTTTGAAACAGGCACCTAAGCAATGGCATGAACAATTTGATAATTTAGTCATCTCAAATGGTTTTCAAATAAATGAGAGCAACAAATGTATTTATTTTAAGCATGAGAATAATGTTTGCACTGTTATATGTCTCTATGTGGATGACTTACTTATTTTGGCTCTAATATTCATGTTGTGAATAGTGTCAAATCGTTGTTATGTGCGAACTTTGATATGAAAGATTTAGGTGATGCTAATGTGATACTTGGAATTAAGATAACTAGGTCTGAAAAAGGATTTTCTTTGGATCAATCTCATTACATTGAAAAAATCCATAAGAAGTATAATTACTTTGACTATAAACCAGCATGTACTCCTTATGATCCTAGTGTAAAGTTGTTCAAGAACATTGGTGACACTGTTAGACAAACTGAGTATGTGAGCATCATTGGTAGCCTTCGATATGCTACTGATTGCACTCGGCCTAATATAGCTTATGCCGTAGGAGTACTATGCAGGTTTACAAGTAGACCTAGTTTGGAGCATTGGTATGCTATTGAGAGGGTCATGTGGTACCTTAAAAGGACGATGAACCTTGGATTACACTAAGAGAAGTTTCCCGTTGTCCTAGAAGGATATAGGGATGCTAATTGGAATACCCTGTCAGATGATTCAAAGGCTACTAGTGGATATATATTTAATATTGCTGGTGGTGCAGTTTCATGGAAGTCTAAGAAACAGACTATTCTGGCTCAGTCCACAATGGAGTCAGAGATGATAGCCCTAGCAATGGCTAGTGAGGAAGCAGGTTGGTTGAGAAACCTAATCTTAGATACCCCCTTGTGGGAGAGACCGATACCAGCTGTTCTTATCCATTGTGATAGTATTGCAACTATTGCAAAAGTTCAGAATCGTTATTATAACAGCAAGAGGCGACAAATACGTCACAAGCACAGTACTATTAGAGAGTTTCTTTCTAATGGGGCCGTAAGAGTGGATTATGTACGGTCTTATGAGAATTTAGCTGATCCTTTGACGATAGGACTAGCACAAGAAAAGATTTGGAAAACCTCAAAAGGAATGGGACTAAAACCCCTAGAAGGTTAAGTCACTTGTGATGGTAACCCAACCTATAGATTGGAAATCCCAAGAAATGGGTTCAATGGGTAATAACAAGTCATTTAGTGATATGAGTGGAGTCATGCTAGTGTTCCATATCCATCCTTAGAAGCATGAAATCCTAAAGCGATTTAAGGTTGAGTTGTTTATAACTCTTAATGAGATCTATACTCTATATTGAGTGGGATATCTAGCTACAGGAATATCTCTGATAGTCTCACCTATGTGAATGTGAAAGTGAGGCCGCTTTCTATGAAAATTTTGGGGGAAATTTTCTAGAGCATTCACTATACTGGGACACAAGCACATGGCCGTAAAGTGTTGGCTTTTGAACTTCACCTTAGTAGGGCTATGTGTGTGGTGTTGTCAGAGATAGAGTTCAAAACTATATGTTACTCTTGTATATTCTAAAGCTCCGTCACTATGTAAAGGTTCAAGTTGAAAAACACCTCCACTTATGCATAGTCTTATGATATGTTGCTTAATGAATTGATTTCTAAAATAAACAAGTGGGGGATTGTTGAAATTGGTATGTTTATTTTTTATTTTTAAAAATATATATATTTTCAATAATTCAATAATTGCCTTAAATTGTCTTTATTAATAGGAGTTAATTTTCTATTAATATGGGCTGAATCTTTTTTCAACTGATGCATTGATGCCCACAACGTCTCTTTGTGATAATTTTATATTAATATGGGCTGAATCTTTTTTCAACTAATGCATTGATGCCCACAACGTCTCTTTATGATAAATCTTGTATATATATTTGATATAGCTAGGAGAGAAAGGACACAGACTATAGCTGCTGCCTTCCTCCTCTTTATATCTTTTCCTTATTTTCTAAACTAAGGTTTCTGAGCAACATAGAAATGTGTTTGTATTCGGGTCCTTCCTCAGTGCAAGGAAGAACCTAGATAGAGGAGATTCTGGGGCTGTTTTATTTTAGGGACGTAGTGGTCTTTTCTGAACTGCTTGCACAAATTGGGCAGAGCCGTGAAACGTCTTAAAGAGAGCGACTTTATACGCGACTCATCCCAAGAATCGTTCACAACTTCACAACGAATTTTCCGGGTAATATTGTTCTTTTAATTTTCTTTGCTTCAACAATTTTTAGCGATATTTTTAAATTTGAAAACATTAAGAAACAATATCATTCACTTGCTAGTTATTAGTGGAGTAATAGAGATAAAATAGAAGTGAGATTAGTGGAAGAAAAATGTGGATTTATTTAAATTTTTTTAATGACTGTTATTACTATTTTAATTTTATATGTTGAACTTTTTCTGTTTATTGTCACTTTTCTATTAATTTCTATTCGTTTTTTCAATTTAATTACATTCTTATTCTAAGCTTTTTGTTTTTATATGATTTTCTTAGACTATTAATAAAAATTGAAGCCTACTATTGATATATATAAACGTCAGCCCACAAGATATATAAACATGCCTTTTGTCCTTTTTTAATATAGCCATGTCAGCTTTCTCAGTTTTTTTCTTTTTCTCTTTCTTCCCTGACCGGTTGTACATGCTGTTGTGCTTGTGTTTTAATATTTACTAACAGCCATAGAATCAAAGTGATCTAATTGCTTAAATTTGGGCGCATTGATACACCAGCGCACTGTAGAATTTTCTTATCTTTGTAATGTTATATGGTTGTCGTTTTTCAATCATTGTTGATCATAATTTCAATATAAAAAAATTTAGTAAATTTGGCTTACACCCTTCAAATTCAATTTGCCGTACCTAAAACCTTTCACTTTTTGTTCCTATAAATAATACCCAATTTGTATAAGTAAAAACCCATGACTAGGATTCAACTCAGCAAGTTACCTAATTAAGCATAAAATCTGATTTATTGTACTTTTTAGATTCCAAAAATACCCCCAACTAAGCCATTATTGCATTTTGTATATTAATGTAGGAATCAATATGGAAACAGTTTTTAATTGAATTGTATATAATGACAGATGTTGAATTTGGAAAGATCTCCAAATGGTTGTAATGGATGTAGGAATTAATTTTGAAACATTTTTAAAAAAATTTAACAATAAATTCAAATTTGGGTAATCGGTTTGTTTAATAAAATGTTTATGTTATTTTCTTTTTATGAATTATACATGACTAATAATTCACTTTATAATTGTTTATGAATAAAACTATACATACTAATTATGTTGAAAAAATAATGTACCTATTACTTGTTTGTTTTATGAAAAATATAATTTACCTAGTATGAAAAGTGTACATAATTATCTATTCCAATATACCTACATTATACGACATCCAATATACCTACATTAATTTTAATGTACTTACAATTAGGATTTAGGTAT